TCTTAATTATCCACAGTTGTTACCCCCTTAGCGCTGGATAAAAATTTGTCTACATAAAAAACAAAACGTTACGTTTTGAATTTGCGGCGGGGGAAATTTACTCGTGTACTTCTGTAACAAAAAAATGTAATAACGAATTACCGCATGTCTTGATTGTCAACTTACAACACATTTTCTCGGACACTCTCCTTAAGATTTTACTAATTGTTTCGAGCGGCGATAATTGGAGTTTTGAGTAATTTGGAGTGTGAAGTATTTTGGAGATAAGTGGGGGCATATACGTAACTCTTTTGAGTTTTGACGCGTAAATAAGGGGGTAACCAAGTGTTTTATCTTAAGGGTAAGACAGTGATTTTCCTGCTCGAAGAAAAACAATTCGGTTGATATTATTAAAGGAGGGATACCCTTAAGAAAAAAGCTGGTAATTCAGTTTTCTTCAGTAAATACGCGGTGTTGTGTTTCTGTAGCACAAATAAGGGGGTAACGAATTGTTTTTTCCTAAGGGCGTCAACACTGATTTTAAAGCTAAGTTCTTAATTGACAATTTCAGCGAGTTAGATACGGATACCCTTAAGAAAAAACAACGAGAAAACAGATTTTGATAGTAAATTGAAAGAAAGATTTTGAGTTTCGGCGATTTTCGATATTTTTGAGCAGCTGCAAATCTGATTGGATGAACAAGAATCTGAAAGCATTTCGGATTTTGTGAATCGTCGGTCATTCGAGCAAAGAATTTGCCCAAAAGGGAGCAATCAGATCCGCCAAGTTAAGCCAGGGAGCTTCTTCTTAGCACTCAAGTACTGCACTAAATCAGATCTATTTCAAACTTGCCTCGGCGAGCTGCTTTCTTTCTGCCGAAATGAAAAAAACTGCCTTTTTGCCGCTATTTCGAAAATTAAGGATATACCCTTCGATATTGAAAAATAACTATTTTTAACTACAAAACTCATCATTTTCGAGTTTCCGAAAAGAAACTACGAAAATTGCTTTGAACTTGATTTTTGAGTCAAAAATGACAGTAACTCTTGGCTTTACTGAATGTCAGTTCTTTCTTAAAGAACATCCTTGTTGAGTCTGAACTGTGAGTCGATACCCTTAGGGAGTTTCTAACCGTTTTTTTTATCAAATTTATCCGTTTTCGCCGATCCTTCCTTATTCAATAATGTCAACAAATTCTTAAAATGAAATTTACATATTCCTCAAATCAACTTAACCCGCTCGCACGCGCTGGGAAAAAATGCGACGGAAAAATTGTTTAGAGCAGGATTCGATAACTTGTCGTATCTACTCACGATACCACGTTATCCCTCGCGCCGAATCATCAATAATCGCTATTTATGGTTAAAATAACGATGAATAATGAAGCACTAGAATTGAAAATTTCGAAGGGATGAGTAGTTGCATGTCGTTGATTTATTTCAAGTCACTTGACCTTATCGCGGTTAGATATTATAACGAGTTGACAGATTCCGAATTCTCAGGCGTGCTCTAAGGGGGTAAGCTTTGATTTTGATTGATTTAAAATTAATTTATTTCTTTCTTTTCGGATGATGGTAGGTCCTTAATTCAAAAGAAAAATCCTAAATATAAGCCATTTTTCGATTCGTTTCTTTATTTGCTCAAGAAATAAGGGAGTAGGCCATGAAAAATGAGTTTTTAACAGGTTCAAAAACTCTCAATAACTTCACGATACCCTTAACTTTTCCAAAAGACAGTCCTGTAATTTTTTCAATAAGCCTATTTTGAAGAAAGTTTATTCAAAAATAAGGGTGTCAATCTTATAAATTGCCTTTTAAATTGGTCCAAAAATTCATCTTCTAAGGACCCGGGCGTATGATTTTTCTCACATGTATTCCGATTACCGCCGAAACGGATGGGATTATCCCAGTTTCTTCCCCGTACTTCTCTCTTTGTAAATCTGCGAAAATTCCCAAATCCTCTTTCTGAAAATCAATTTTCCCCTTTGGCCGACTCTCAGAGCTTAGAGCCAGCAGCGGGGCAGGAACTGAAAATGAAGTCGGTCAGTTGCCATTCCGTCGCCGCGCGGAAATGTGCTAGAATTTTAAAAATGAAGAAAAAAATTGAGGAAGAGAAAGAAAGAGAAACTAACAATTCTTTTTTTAGATTTACCATTTGAAAAATAACTTCTATTCAATAACAACTATTCTTATTACTTACGAAACGACTTCTTTATGCTGATATAATTCATAAGGTAAGAAGAAACAAAGAAAAAAATATTCTTCCTAAGGTGACCCCTTCCATTAATCATAGGTCCTCATTTTAACTTGGTTACCCCCTTATTTTCCAGTTAAAATAAGGACCCCTTTTTGCGCGAACTTTCCTACACACCCTTAATTTTTCCTTCGGTTTTGATTTAGACATTGACTTAAGGGTATCCCCAAGGTTAATTTTTTTCAAATTTCCTTTATTTGACAAGTAGACTTTTATTTTGCTGGGTTGGTAATGAGTACGGCCTACTTTTCGTCAACCATAAAAATGTAAGGACGACAGTAAAATGATTAGCTTGATGGCATGGTGACCACCGCAAATTGCCGCCAGAATCTTCGATAGAGGAGCCACCACCCGTCCTTCTAAACCGAGCCTTATCGAAAACTCAGCGGGAGGTCCTCTTTTTTTTAACTCTTTACGGTCGATCCTTCCATTTTTATCTGGACATAAAATTCGTTAATTGAAAAAAATTCAGCGAGCCCACCTTTAATCAGCTTGTTAATTATGGCTTGCCCCTGCCCAAGTTTGTTAATTGCCGAAGTGAACCCCTTTCTAAATAATTCCGTCTATCAGCAGACTATTTCCATAACATTCACCAAATTTTTGGCGCGTTTGTATAACCCGACAGGATAAATTATTTGCTCACGGGAGATAATTCTCCCGCAGCAGTTCACGTTTTCGCAGCGGAAATTATTCAAAAATTGTCTTTCTTATAATTTTAAAATTAAGGGTGTATGTCAAGAATAAAACAAAATTTTCGGAAAATAATTTCAAGCTTGTGGTGGTCTATTTTGGGCCGATTCTACCGCCGGGACATGGAGCAGCATTTTTGAGGTTCGAAAATGAATGCGCAAAGAGGTTCAATTAATCCAAAAAATGCGACGGACAAAGCGCATGAACGCGCGCACGGGTTGAATTTATTCCCCAGATCGGGGGATAATTCCTACCCGCACGTTGTTTTTTTTCATGCAAAGTTTGGGTAGACGAAAAAGAAGCACTGAATAATTTTTGAAGAAAAAATTAAGGGTTCACCCCCTCTAAAAACAAGTATTTCCATTTAAGGGTCTACCTCCTTATGCGTCAAAAATATTAAGGTATTTCTACTTAAAAATTCATCGAATGAGTCCAACCATGTTTTTGAAACCGCAAAATCGTAGTTTTCGATAGCCGATTTTGTACATTTGAACAAAAAACTGCTGATTGAGCCCAAAAACTTCCGGTCGCTCGTCACAAGCTGCGAGGATTAAGCGCGGTGTAGAACGAGAATGGCTAAATCGCGTCTAAATAAGCTCCTGTCAGTGACAAATCTTGTCAAGCGCTAATTCGCCCTCACTTTTCTCACATGATGAGTTTTTCTACTTTGAGTACCAAAAAGTTCGGTGAACCTGATTTTCATCAATTTTTCGGCTCAAAATCGAGAAGCCGCTTGCGGCTTCGAGTAAAACGAGAATTAAGCCGCGCCCAGCGCGGCTTTTTCTTCCTTTTGCCAGAAGTCGCGAGAGAGCTCTCGATTTTGAGCCAAAAATTGATGAAAATCAGGTTCACGAAATTTTTTGGTACTCAAACAAGAAAGTATCATCATGTTCTTTCTAGTGCTCTCACGTTCTCTTTTTCCAGCCAAGAGTTCAGATAGTGCTATCTTTTTATATAAACTCTGAAAGTTCTAATTATAGCTTGTTTCTTTGGTAGCGCGTATCCACCTGTTTCGCGGTCTCGTTTTATCCCTTTTTTCACCTTCGCCAAAAACAGTAATAAAACGTTTTTTCAGTTAGAGCCATGTTTTACCCATAACACAGCCAGCTTGAGAAGCCTCGCTAAAGATGTTGTGTGTTTCATTTCAGACGGCGTTTCGTAAATCAGCTAAACCGTTAAATAATCCGCTCGGGAATTTATTATTAGGGCGGGGTTGGCCGCTTTCTTTTTTTCGAAGATAAGGGAGGGAACGTTTGTTGCCACTGGGACGCGTGTTTGATTATGAACAATTATGAGGATTTATAGATGAATTAAGGATGTCGTCTTTTTTCCGAAGAAGGATGTCTTAGGGCTTTCTTTTGTTAAGGGTATACCAAGCTTAGTCAAAGATCAAAAACGTTTACTCTTAAGAGTATTTTTTATCAAAGAATTGATGAAAATAAGGGTATCACAAAGGAAATTTCAGATATGATTGACGTTTGAAATCGATTTTCTTAAGGGTATACAAAGAGAAATCGAAAATTTTCTCTGATACAAATTTAGGGGAGAGACCCTTAATTGTTTTTGCTTTTGAAAGATTTATGAGAATAAGGGTATAACAGGATTTATTTTTGTTTTAAATTTTTCCTTCTGAAATGCTCGTCAATAAACGTCTAAGCATTTCTGGTTATAAATTTGTCGCGCGGCATTTCACTGCGCGTAAGAATGCAGTTTAGTAATTCGTCGTAGCAGATAACAACCCGTTCACGTTAAAAAAAGATTCACCCGCCCCAGCCGCGCGCGCTACACCCTTAATTAAGGGATAACCGCCGCGGCACAATAGAAACTCGCACAAGTGTCTCTATATTTCTTGCCTCGAGACACCGTACTATCTAAAGAAAACTGTCCAACTCATAAATTGAAGATTTAAGGCTCTCCCTTCCTTATTCTAATATCCTGTGTACACCCTTAAATTTTTTCAAAAACAAATACTCACTACTCATTTTCAGCTCTGATTGATTGATTCTTTAACAAGAAGCTATTAATCTAAAACCAATCACAACTGTACAAAAACACCGTTAACCCCCTTAACGATGGTGATGATGAAGAAGCTCTACGGGGCCCTGATGCTCAAGGCATCTGCCTACCTTCTCCCAGACGATAACAATGTGATAACCTACTCGGACATGCGAGTTCTCGATCCAAGGTAAGGACCTCAATCGACGTGATAGACCCTTAATTTTCAAATGTAGGACCCGTATTTCATCTATTTTGAATTCTTTGGAATAGTATTTCATAAACTTGTTATCGATCAAAATACGATTTTGAGCCGTTTTATTTCTTCTGTGTTTTGAAACAAGTGGTATTATTTACGCTCTCAACATTCTTTTTTTCCCAACTTTGCTGATCCCTATCGTTATGCAACGATAGTGAGTGAGTAAAAAAGAAAAAGAAACGCGCGTTTTAGAAAGCTAGCGCTGCGGAAGGTATTTGCAACACTGAGTACCTTTGGTGTGTGCATATCGCCCCGTTTTATGCACGTTACACACGAGGGCGGATATACCGCCGTAGCATGAATGGGTTAAGTCTTAACCCGCTACTGTAGAAAGATTTGGAAGGAAGAAAACTTGGAGAAATCTAAGAAATTAAAATGTTTGTCAGACATTTTTGTTCGTTTATTTTTTTGTTATATAATCTTAACCCACGGCCGTCTGCCGTCTATAATCCCTGTCTCCTCAATCTTAACCCGCAAACGTGCACCGCCACCGACGTTATCGCCATATTCGGACGTCAATAACATAACACGATCATTATCATACAAAATTTTCGTCCTCACGTCACTTTATTTCCTTTGCATAACGTGCAACACACCCTGAACCCGGTTTTTAATTCTAGATACGCGAGAAGCGCCGAAGAACTCGTCTGCGTCCATGATCCGCGACCTGCTCCATTTCCACAGCCTCATGGTGGCGGAGGACCGAAAGGAACCGAAAGACTTGATATTGTAAGTTTATTGAATTTTATTCAAAGATTTAAAATTCTAGAGCTCAGTTTTTGACTTGAAATGATTCTCAAATTCGTAGGTCAATTCATCAATAAGATCAGATTTTACTTTCTCATAGCTTTTTCTAGCATTTTTAACCCACAGACACCAAACGGACATTTTTTCACAATTTGTACAAAAACGGCCTCTTTTACCTCAACAGGTTAAATATCAAGATTGCATTCACAATGTTAAATTTCTCCCGAAAAATTTTTTATTCGTGTGATAGGTTATGTCCCTTTTTGTGACATTTTGTACAAAAAAGGCTTTTCTGTCTCAATGGGTTAAAAACGCATTCCTGAATTGAGCTCTTCTTTTGATTTTTCCTTCTGGAAGGTAATCATTGCAATTTGGGAAGATGTTCTTGAAGTCTCTGCATCCTAAGGGTAGATCGTAGAACTCCTGAATCCGTTCAAAATCGTTCTTAATCGAATTCATCTCTTTCTATTTCAGCCCATTCTCTCATTCTATTTCTATATATTTCACGGTACGGTACTTATTAAAGCCAGTGGGATCAATTCACTCTCCTGAAAAGCTGAGCCAAGCCGATAGAAGGCGGCGGGATAGCCGATCGGGGATTCGATTTCGAAGTTGCTCACTTAAAATTGGGGGGATCAGTGATTCCCCGGGATCGCGAATAAAATTTCTTCGATTATGAAATGAGCGAATGGATCACCGTAGGGGAATCGCTTGATCCTTTCCTGGGCCCGTCACTTGCACGTTTGAGTTCCAAACCCAAACCCAGGTTCCCTAAATGGGTTAAGCGATTTTGAATTCCAACAGGTTAAGTTCCTATTAACCCGTTTTGTCGTTCTGACCAAACCTTTGGCAAATTAGTTTCTGATCTCGAAAACACCAGAAATTGATCTCGAAATCAGTCTTGCCAAAAAATTGGATACTCCGCAACAACAGGTTAATTTTCAATCCCTTACCTCTGGAATATAAAGCGTATGTTTCTCCATGCCTCCCCTCAAAACCGGCGCAACTACCATATCATCTCCAAAGTAGTACTGAGTATCAACCGATCTGAGTTCTTCCTTGTCTTCCAGCCAGATCATTGGTCTCTAGAATTAACCCGTTTCAACACTTTTTTTTTCTCTCGGCGCGAGCGAATCCAAAATCCATTTTGAGACTTACCTGGATCGGTTTACCCTGCTCAGCGTTCTCGCCCATTAGAAAGTCGATATACTTCTCTAGCACGTTGTGGACCTTAAAAATAGTTAAAGGGGTCACCATGCTTATGCTTACCTTGACCAATCGGCCGAAGAGTTTCTTGCTGCAAATGTTGCAATAGTACTGGAATCCTTCAAACGGTCGATTTCCCTCGTGCGTTCTCATGATCGGCGTGAAAATCGCTGCCTCAGCGGATCGTAGGAAGAGCTCCTTAAAGCAGGATGAAGAGGGTTGAGGGATTAAGGGTATATCACCTCGGTTCTAATCAGCGGCGGCATACCAGTGTAACCGCCAATATCGAAGTGTGTTATGCCAAATCCGCTTGCTCCCAAGCTTAAGTGGTTTTAATGTACCCGCATTAGCGGATAGAAGAGAGGGGGTACCTTAAGGCGGCTGGAATTGTCGTGAATAAACCATCGCCATAGGAGAAGTCTACGTTTTGATCGCCAGCCCATGCGACAGTTGAACTTGCCCGCATGCCATTCCAGCCCGCTCGGGAGAAGAAAAAGCAATCCCCAAGCGTGCCAGTTTCCACGAGGGCCTTAAGGTTGTACCGTCAATTCCAGTATTCATCATGGACGTGGGAAAGAGTGCGAAATGCATACGGAAAAGCCGCGTTTTCCGGGTGCGATTCCCTTAAGTCCCCGGTCGACTTATTCACAACCGGAAAACGCAATGATGATGTTTCATTAAGGATCTCCCGCCTCTGATCTTTAGGCGAAAAAATGTAGTCGAAAGAGGATAGAGCCTTAACAAAAACTGCGGCGACGAGGGATTGTCATCCGAAACCGAGGGGATCTTACCTGCATATTCAAATTTGCCCACTTTTCGCTATACTTATTGTGCCAGTCTTTGCCTTTTCGTGGACTCAATTGCGAAATTCTTATGGTAGAGATATCCTTAACTTGATTTCTTTGCTGATTTTGCGCTTCGCAAAAACATTAACAACGGTTTCCAAAATCTTTTGTGAAGATAAAATAAGGGTATCACTATGAAAAATTTTCGAGAAATTACAGCTTGAAAATCAGCTCGATTCAAGCCAAATTAAGGGTATCACCGCGTTATTAGTCCATTTCCTGTTGATCCGTCAAAGAACAAAACATCATCAGAATAAGGGAGGTACTCTCCAAAGTCCGCCATCCACCCTTAATTTATTCAAAACCGAGCATTTATTCAAAGCTCTCACCCTTGAATCCAAACTCGATGGTATTTTTGATGATGACTTCGTTTTTAAACCACTCCGCGGCCTCTGGATTGCTTTAACCACGGTTCCAGTAAAATATTCAAAAAAATTCGAAAATCACCAATTCGCGAAAAAGCAAAAACGCAAAGAGATAACAAAGCGCTGCGGCTGGTTTCGCTCTCGCGTACGTGCGAAATCTCAACTCGCTGGAACCGCTAGAACCTGAGGTCGACAGTGACGACCAAAAACGGCTCGAAACCAAACACTTGTTCCAACGTCTGTCCAGTGGTTTTGTTCTAAATGGGGTGAAAGAGACGCGCTCAAGGGTTAAGAGGTTCGAGCAAATATGCCGAAAATTTTGTTCGCGAGGTTGTTTTCGCGGGGCACGTTTGAAGCGAATTCTGAAAGCTTGTTTTTTCGACTCGAATATCGAATTTTTGAATCAAAAACTCAAACTTGAGAAAAACAAGCTTAATTGTCGATCTTTTCTTTTTTTCCGATGGATGGCGCTGTTTAAATTGCTCTGATTGGTCAACTTTGAAAATCCATATTTCTGATTGGCCAGTGCTTATTTTTGAGATTTCTAGTTAAATGATTGTTCGAGTTCGCGTTTTTATGATTTTGCAGTGAGTTCCGACAGATTCTTTGAAGAATTTCGACTCAAAAATCGAAAAATTGTAATTTTCACGAAACTCGCTTACGTGCCCTTATGACAACACTGAAAATCAAAATTCCAATAATAAACGCGCCGCACAGTGTGAACACTTTGTCAAAATTCACCACGTGATTTTTACGCGAATTTTCGAATTTCTGATTTCCAGCTGAGAGTTTTCTTCAAACCTTGACAAAGTAGCCATGTTCTTCGCCGTAAAGGTAGAGATCAGAGGTGGGTGTGTTGAGGAGATGCGGATTGAGGTAATTTAGAAAGTAGACGCCCTTTTCGGCCATTTCCGGGAGGATTGTATCTAATCAGCCGGGCGCGAATGGGTTAAAAATGGTTGGTCAAAAAGTGCTTCTTCCGAGCAATCAATTTTGACTCGCTAATTGCGTATTTTAGACATTTTTCGTCTCAAAAAAATTTCGCGCCATCGAAGCCTTTTTAAATTTCCCGCCCATTTTCCTAAGCTCGGATATTGTGTCTTATTCCACTGCCAGTTCCAAAACACTCGGTCTCCAAAGTCCGTGAAAATCTGCCCAGACCAGTCCTGGATCCAAACGCCATGAATGTCGATGTCGCCGATTTTTTGGCTGTCTTCGATGATTTCTAGAACCCGGTCGGTTCCGCCTTGAAGTCCGACGATAGAGCCAGTGGTGACCCAGGAAGGAAGCTTGTTTTGCTTGCCGTATGAAAGGGCGAGTTTTGAAACTGTGTCCGCGTAGTCTTAAGGGTATCACTGAGTTAATGGAGTCTACCGAATTGAATCGTTTATCTTCTACTTTCCCAATACAAGACCAGTCTTGTTGCAGCAAAAAGGGATAGAGAAACGGATAGGCTAGATAGGAAAAGCGGATTTGAAATCGGACACGAAAAGCGGCTCAGCAGACATTGGCTGAGTTGGAATTGGGGTTTCCTTCGTTTCCAGAACCGAGCACTACCGCACTTACCCTGTCCAAAGTCCATTTCGAATTTCAGCAGCTCCTGTTTTGGATTCGAAACATGGAATTCAAACTCGTGAAATTCTTCTTGCGTCAAATCGAAGACCGAGTACTCGTCATGCTTTTTACCGGGCTTTTCTATCGCTTTTCGAGTCACGTGGTGGAAAAAATATTCATGCCATTCGACACTGATAAGGATGAAAAAGGAAGGGGAGAGCGTTATCAAAACGTACATGCGTGTTGGAGATGAATAAATTTAAGAAATAACGTGCCTAGGCAATTTTGAAAAATTTCTACGGTAGATGGCGCTTTTTTCCAATTTCTCGCCCTCTGATTGGTCAAAATTTCTGGCTCTCTTTTTGATGAATTAAGGACCTCCTAATCATTATTTTTGATAAAAAAATTTATGAAAATATTGAAGTGGGTTCCCTTAAGATCAAAAAAGAAATAACAGTAAAATCTTAAATTAAGCTAGTTTGAAATTTGCCTGGAAATTTACTGACGTGTGTACTTTTGTCAAAATTTAGAATTTCAAATTTTCTCGTTTGGTGGAATGTACCGTGGCGGTAGCAGAATGCCAAAGCCCGTGCGGTGCCCAGAAGTTGATGTAAAAATTCCTGCTCGCTCCGCCTGTACTCACCGCTCAGCAACACTTCTCTCCGTCTTTTTGGAGCAACACACACGTTACACAAAATTTCCAAAAATTCATTTCGAAAAAATTTGTAACGCGCGGCGCAGCGGAAAATTATTATTTTTTTTCTTTTCAAGTTTGTAGAACAACTTGGTTGTGAATTTAATTCAAGTCCAGGATAAATTCAAGCTTCTTTCTCAAACTTGAAAAATTATTCTTTAACCCGCTGGCGCAAGATGACCAATTATTTGGAAAAAGCATCATTTTCCGTCTTTACCAAATAATTGGTCATTTTCGCGCAGCGGGTTCATTGTCAAATCCTGTCTTTGATCAGATAAAAAGCGCGATCGCGTAATTTTTCTGGAAGAAATGACTTTGAACCGGCTCCGGAATGATTGTGCGATTGACACAACACCGTAAACCGGAGGGAGGAGGAGGTGAGCTGAGGCGGCTTCCTGAAATTACGCACGTTGGCTGCGGCCAGTACGTATGGTGATACTCGCCACCTGTTCGGCAACATCGTTCGCTCACGAAGCTCACTAGAAAAAGAACATTATTGAGCGACGGGTTGAAATTCTAGATATTTTGGCAGGTCAGCGAAATACGAAAACTTCGACAAACTTATTTTCTTTAAAAATCGGCTAGAAAATCTTAACCCTCGAGCGGCATATGGCCATTTTTGTCACTTTAAGGCACCGATTTGACCATCGTGCTTTGAGGAGTTAAAATTTAGCCGCCTTTTATTTTGGTTTTTTCGCTGATCAAGCCACAAAATCTCGGAAATTTTAAACTCGGTAAACACAGAAGGTGCAATGCACCATTGTATCTAAAGGCAAACGTGGAGTTAAGTTGATTTCCCTCGGCAATTTGAAACAAACCTAATTCGGACGCGTTACGGCCGACGCCTTGCTCGCGGGTCAACATTTGGAAGCTCTTGCCGCGCAGGTTAAAGTAGGAAAATTGTTCCCCACCGCCGTAAACACCTTCTTCCGCGCTGCCTTGATTGGGTTAAATTTGATCTTTGGCACATTTTGTGCTCATCCTTCCGTTTTAACCATTTGAAACTAATATGGCACTTCTTGTGACAGATTTTTAACCGGTTAAAGCAAAGTCGACACATTTTGTGTCTTTCTCTTCTGTTAACCCTCCAGAACTATTTGCATTGTCCGTCTTTTTAACCCTTTCCTGCCGCAAAGCGAAGCCAAAATCTATCCATTCCATTCTCGACCGCTAATTGAACCAGTTGTGCGCTCGTGTCGAGGCAATTTAGCGATAAATGAATATTTTCGCCAAAGTTAATTTGAAGAGAGTTCCGTTTGTACTCGGTGCTCGTGATCACATGTGACTACATTATGTCTATTATTTTGTGAAAGGGGAGGCCCTTAACGAACCTCTTTCTGGCGAGTGAAGTCGCTTTCCCAAAATTGCCCTCGAAGGTCTTTTATTTCTAAATTGCCAGAACCGGTCGAGAGGATGGCACCCACCGCCTCATCGAACAGGAGTGTAGGTCCTTAAGTGGCATACTCACCTGTTTTTCAGGATAAAAATTGACGCCCTTACCGCTTTTCCCTGCATTCCGCCTATAAACCTTGTAACTTCCACTGGTTCCTTCTGCATAAAACGGGCAATCTTGGCCCAAAACTAGACCTAAAATCAAGCCCAAGAGCTTCATTTTTTCTCTTTTTAAGTCTGCCCGAAAATTTGCAATGACGATATTTGGCTAAATAATTTATTATTTGTAATGCAGTGAAAGTATATTTGAACGCATCAAATTTCGTCGGCTAGCGATTCAGTTTTGAAATTGGCAGTTTTTCTGTGACCTTTTGAACTTTGCAGCCATTTTTAACCCGATTCCTGGGTCATTTTGTTCCTCCAGGGTCTTTTTCTGGATCTTCGGCCGGCCTGGGACTCGTTTCAGAGCTCTGGACCGGACCGGGTCGGCCGACCAGACCGAGACAAAGGGTCGAAGAAGAGCTGGGAGTGGAAGATTTGACCTTGACGGCCTCTTGATTTGCGGGCGAATCGCTAATCTCCGGTATGGTCGGGTTAATATTCTAAAAAGAAACTATTGATCCCAACGGGTTAAAAATTCTTAACCTGTCCACTTCGATAATTCGGCAGCGAGGCAAATCTTTTGAAACGTTTTTGAGCGGCCTGAATCTCCGTGATTCTCCTCGTCAAAGTTCTAAAAAAGGGTCCAAAAGGGAGAAGAAAAAAGAAGCCACCTCATTCTGGTCGGAGAAATGGGCGACGGAGATCTTGGATTGGCCAAATCAGCGGACTCGTATCCGCTACTCCTCGTGCTATAATTCGGACTGGAGCCGGTGACGGGCGCGGATGTGTTACGCCTCATGATCTGACTCTCGCCGGGCGGCTTCTCGGGAACTAGAATCTGGTAGTCGCGCGAGCGGAAGGATAAACGAGGCTTGATGTCTGTTCGTTTCGCAGCGAGCAGTGAGCTTGTCGATGTCTTCTCCAGTTGGCCGGAAAATCCTGCCGGAGTGGATGGAGTTGTGTTCAACCCAGTTGTTGAAAAGCTGATTGAAGCGCGCTAGAATCAAAATTATTTGTCTACCAGACAGGATACCATAAGCATATTCATGTTTATCACAATTTGAAAAAGCCGCGAGCGGCTTTTCTAGTGAATATTTTGATAAAACTTCTTGGTCGGCAGATTTTGATTTATTTTGCCTAAATATGCGTCAGCAATAAATATTTGCTGCTGTTATATTTGCTAAGTTTACGGTTCAAATTCTAGGGTCAGTTTTAAAAAGAGAATTAGAAGCGATTGTTATCGTTAGTTTCGTTACCTTTCCATTTTGCTGCGCGACGACGTAGCCGAACTCGGGAAGACTACGCATGTGGTTTTCTAATGGCGTCTGGTTATCGCCCAATAAGGGGCCATTTTCCATATCGGCAGGATGCCAACTAGACTGATAAGAAGAGTGATTGGCGCGGCTCTTATTGCTCGGTGCTCCCGCTGAGGCGTGATTGTATTTCTTCCTTTGGAGCGTTCCATCGGACCTGTGTTAGAGGGTTAATTTCCGAGAAGAAATTTTTAACCCATTTTTAGAAAGAGGCCCTTTTTGTGCCAAAATACACAAATTCACCCCTTTTTGCAGTTGGAAGTTAACCCTTTCCTGTGAATAACCAATTCAATGGTAGAACTTCTCATGTCAATCTCAGTAAAAACACTGTCCTTCCTCCTATCTCTTCCGATTTCCATATTGCCGCTAGGAGTCAGCAAGCTCTTGGAAGCACACATGACTGGCGACTGTAGATTAAATTCGATTAAGGGATTATTGAAAAAACGGGACAGTTACCTGGCATTGCTGACACTTTGTCGATTCTTGACTTCGGCTCAGTCTGAAACACAAAATCGATAACGCTGCCTTTTTTAAATTATTACTGGTTTATTTCGACCTTTGAAAAAAAAAGAAGAAGAACCGGAAGTCGTAAAAAAATCGGTTCCTTCAGTCATGCTTATTCGAATTTCAATATTTGCTATCCACGTGAAGTGGCCATTTAACTTTCTTTGTCACTGAGGCGCTGCCTGGGGAGCTTTGTGGCTAAGGGGCGGGCACTTGATTTGATGGCTTTTTCATATGACTTCAAATAGGTTATAAAATGGGCAAATAGCCACTCAAATTATACTGTCTTCTACCTACAGGTTCGAGGGAGGTTTGAAGGTCGAAATAAAGGTCAGAACTTAAGGGTATCTTCATTTAAATAAGGGTATTTCGACCGGATTTTAATGACCTTTTATGATGAAAATCGGCTTTAAAATGACTATCACTGGCCAAAAAAGAGATAAAAAAGGATAAAGAAATAAAAAGCTAAATTTAAGGGTATCCTCACCTATTTTTGCCATTTTCTTCTTTTGTCGATTTCTTCTTTCTGCCCCTTTCTGAATGAAAAAGTGGTAATATTCTGAATTTCTTTCTGATCTTCATCATTTTTGTTGTTTTTCTCGTTAAAAATGTATAGTCTTTGCTATTTTTCTTCCTTTGCCAGACTCTGAGTGTGAAAAAGAAAGATCTATGATGAGGAGGCTCACTACTACTCTTAGGGATGAGAAGCGCGCACGCGCCTCGGGGGAAATCAAACGCAGTTGGCCGAGGCCTGTCGTACTTCATTAAATTTGAAGCGCATTCTATGCGCCGATGATCGATTCGGATACTTGAGTTTAATTAATTAGAACAGAAGTAAAATCGACTCAGAAGCCGATTTGTCTTCTCCGCATATCATTTCTATATGTATTCATACTAAATTAAGATCTGTGATCAAATAGAAGATACATCTCAAAATACTATTTTCAGGTTTTTTTTGATAAGTTTTTACAAAAAATTATTCAAAAAAGTCATTATTTTTTCGCCTAGAATTTTAAATAAGGGTGTCACTTTGCTAATTATGTCGAAATTACGTGAAAAACCAGGCCTAAAGGTAGGATATCCCCTTATTTTGGCCACCCACGAAACTCTTTTTTACCATTTTTTCTCGTAAAATGCCAGTGACAGTAAATCCCCAGTAGTATCAAACTCGACCCCAGAATCGCCCCACACAGTAATCCAATCAGTAACAATTCCGTATTCATCTTCTTTATTTTCTCTCCTAATCTTCACTCATTCTCGATTTTCGATGTTCTTTGTTCAAATTCGTCGTTTTTTCAAGATCACTTTTTCATATTTGCGAAAGCAAAATAAGGAGCCGGAGTACAATGGCGCGCGTATTTGTAATGGCCTGTTGCCGTCTGTGTATGTGTATTTTTTTCTCAATGTTTGGCTAATAGTAATTAGGAAAAAATTGTCTTGCCCAGCGGCGTGTGCGTTTTTTTATGGAATGAAGGAAAAGACAGTGGAGGCCACCATTGGAAGGGCCTAAAATAAATGAGCCTCATGACGCCAAATTAACGGTAGAGCGCTCTAATTAAAAATGAAATCCGTTTGTCCTGTAAAGCTTTTTGCGACTTCCCGAAGGATTAATCAAAATCGAGGTCCAGATTGGCCATTTTGCTTCAAATGGCAATTGAGCGAATCATTTCAAGTCTCAAAACACCCCCTTTTTCGGCCATTTTCCTCATTTCTTCCTTTCAGAATCCAACAATCGGTCCCCGCGCAATCGGCTGCTGCCCTGCTGGCGACCCAACTGGCAAGCCCTACTTCCCCGGCCAGGGCTGCTGCTGCGGCGAGCTCTACGACGAGTCAACCAGCTTCTGCTGCGAGCTCAGCTGCAAAGTATTCGAGTCAACTCTCAAAGGTACGAATTTTTTTTTCTAAAACGGAACGAACCCACGTTTTGGACGGCAAGTTTGTTTACGAAGTTGGAATATGCGGCTCGTTTAATATGCACGCGCGTATATTCTGCTCTTGCTTTTGGTATTCACGTGACCTTTTTAGGATGGACCCAGTGCAACGCTGTCGAGGTTGACTACACCGATCATACTGAATCGTACTCTGATTATGTAAGTAAACATAGAGTTCTGGAAGTTTGTCAATAAGGTCAACTCACCTAGACCCCTAACCTAAAGACAATTCTAAGTTCTAGAGCTCAGTTTTTAAAAAATTGTCCAAAAGTCCAGATCGACAGTCAACAATAGTCTTTTATGGTTTTCATTTTTTGAAACTTTTTTGAACATGCTTATTTACTCGCTATCTTCAGGACTTCACCACCGAGCCTTGGCAACCAACTACCGTCCAGACAACCATGGATCCCAATACCAATAGTTGCCGACGCAAAATGTGGCTCCCGCACCAGATGGAAGCCGCTTGCACCGATTTCTCCAACCACGGCTCCCAGTGCACCTTCCAGTGTCCATCACCTTACAAGGTAAGACACAATCAATTTTCGCTCCTGACTGTCTTTTTAGATTAAAATCCCGGACAACCCGAACTACAGATGCGAAAATGGTGACTGGGTTGGGGATGCACCAGAATGCTGCATGCGAGACGGATGCCCAGCTAATATGAAGATGGACTTTATCTTTGTCATCGATTCTTCTTCATCGATCAAGGACAAGAACTTCAACGTAAGTCCCTACCCTTATTCTCGCTTAGCTGATGCCTTGCTTCATGAAGCCATTTGAGAAAAAATAAACAATATCTGGATGAAACTTGAAATTCTACGGCTTTTTGTCTATCAGACAATCCAATTGTCTGTCCGACAGAAATCCTCATTTTTGACTTTTTGACGTCTGTTTACCTTATTTCTTACTATTAAACCTTCCTGAGCGAGAAAAAGATATCCTTATCTTCTCCCAAATTAAGGGTGTGCCTTTCACTAATCCCCACTTTTCAGTACGTGCGAGAATACATCATCGGACTCATCAAGTCGCTCCCTATCGGCGAAAACAAGACCCGCGTCGGTGTGATTACTTTCAACGAATATGTAAGTAAACTTCTCTCCTTACACATTTAAAACTTTTCCCGCCCCATCAGATTCATCGAAAAAGCACCGACCAAAACACGCATGTTATCTTTTTGACTCAACGTGTTTTACAAATTTTCTCCATAACACTCGCTCAAAATTTTCTCTTCAGCAAATTTGTTCTTGACACCCTTGACGCGTTTTCTAGCCAATTTTCCGAATCAAACCCAACGACTACTACTCCAAAGCCGATCTTCTCGAAGCCGTCGCCAATATCCCATACGAAGGAAAAGGAACCAAGACTGCTAGGGCCCTCGGTAAGCATAGCTTGAAAGAGATGAAATGGTGTAGAACGGAAGTGGTAACAATTACGATTAGTGGGTACTTTTTTCAGAATTTATGAAGGGGCGATAAATTTATGGCCGCATGTCTGTCCATTTTTATGATGGAGGTAGCATAAAAATTTAAAGCTCTTTGGACACTAAGTTCATTTTTGATGATGATGATTCTCATTGATGATGCTTGTTTTTGACCCGAAAAAGGGGATTTTTTGGTCAGTACTGAAAAAGTCACGAATGTCACGAATGTCACGATTTTGCTGAAAATGTCACAAAAAAAAATTTTTTTTGACATTCGTGACATTTGTGACGTTCGTGACATTTTCAGCACTGTCGGATTTTTTTTTCGATAAAAAAGGATTGGGAAACCAAAAACCACGTTTTTTCGTAAGGTAAAGCTAAGATTATGAAAGTCATATTTTGTGTCAACGAATCGATAATTACTTCGAGCTACATTTCTGGTAATTACATTGGTTGGTGTAATAAACGTTGTGTTTTGGCTAATTACAAGCGCGGGATTATTTGATTCATAATATCTCACTCATTCCACCACGTGAGCTGACCCGGCTCGGTGTAACTGGCGCGTAACTTGTTTGTCGCGTAATTACGAGCTGGCATGGGATAAGTAACAAGGGATTGAGATTTTGTGGCGGGGATTAAAAATGGAACGGGTAGGAACGAGGCGTAGAAAAATCAGCAAATATCAGCGAACTCAAGGGTCTCAAGCCCGCTAATCGTAATTTGCCCCAGCTGGCCATCGTAATCGTAAAAAAGGATGATTTTTCTTGAACAAAAATTTTTTGCAAAAGTCTCATTTTTTGGTAAAAAAGCTTCTTTTTCAAGTCTTTTGATGATTCATTGAATAATTATCTTTTTGTACACTAAGTTCATCGTCAAAAAAATCCATTAAAACATCATCATCATCCAAAACCACTCGCCCTTTCGTTTTGATCTTCTCATTGCAAATCAGCGCGCAATTTATTGTGACGTCGAGGAATACGTAGATAGTTGGGTAACCGCAGACTCGTAATTAAAAATGCCAATCTTTGCGCGTCTCTGCTCTAATTATTGCTAATCGTAAAATCCGGCAGCGCAGCAGAGCGATATATAACTAACTTGCTTTTCAGATTTCACCGTCGAGAACGCTTTCCTTGAGTCTGTTGGAGATCGGCCTGATGTTCCCAATACTGTCCTTGTCCTCACTGATGGTAAGTAGTACAGAGAGAAAGAAAAAGAAGAAGCTACCAATAGAGAAAAGCAGCGAACTAACCATTCCTTCCTTAGGCCGAGCGAACGATAACGATCAACTCCCAGAATCGGCCGCCCGACTCCACAACCACCAACAGACGGAAGCCGTCATCGTCGTTGGCGTAGGCAAGCGAATCGTCAAGGAAGAACTCAACATCATCGCTAACGGCAAAACGGTGAGAGACTTCGCACATTTTCGAGCAGCTCGTAAATCACACCTTTTTATAGAACCAAGTGTTCGAAGTCAGCGATTTCCGATCTTTGACTGGCAGCTACACCGAGGGATCCAGCGTTTGCATCAACCAAGCTATCGACGACGAGCGAGCGCAGGAGGGACGACAGCGACGATCGACTTCTGTCGAGGACCAGGTACATATCAATAGTTTAATCAAATATCAATCTCGAAAAAACACAGGTTTTTGAGCTTTCTGATTCGCTGAATAGAATAAATCTCTTAGCCAAAGACGTTCTTTTGAAATTCTGACCAATCAGATTTGACGATTTTATTTTTGGCCAATCAAGAAACAGAAAAACATAAAATTTATGAATCATGTGATCTGATTGGCTTGTCAACGTCTTTTCGTTATAGGACGAATCAAATTTGATGATTTGTCGTTTGAGCCAATCAAAAAGCAGGAAATCAAGAATATTTGCTCGTTCGTGTTCTGACTGCCTATGACCATTTTTTATGTGAAACTTTAGCTGAACGCCATCGAAGAAAAACTCTCCGTCCTCGACGAGCAATACAACAACGACGAAATCAGCATTGCTCAATACGCCTCTCAGAGCCGATCACTTCAGGAACGGGATAGAAAAAGACTCCACTCATCACAAAATCTACTCATCCGCCCCTTCTTCTTTCCTTATCGCTTTTACGGTACTCAACCGCGCGGTAAAAAAGCGAGAGAGCTCAATCCAATTGAATTCGGGCTCCTTAATTCGCGAGCGTGGTAATTTTGAGGTCGTGTTCGTTATAAAATCACCGTCTAACGGTTTGTTTTCTGGAGCTGAATCGCCAATTTTCAATTTCGGAACATCGGTTAAAACAACTTTCCTTAAAATTGCTTTTCCTAAGGAAAAAAATGGAAGTTGAAATTTTAAAAGTTCATTTTAATGATGATTTTCGACAAGTTCACGAAAAAAAAATGAGGATCAAAAATGAAATAGAAAATGCTTAGAGAGGCAAATTTACCTGAAGCGTGACTTATGCGGGGGGTTAAGATCTAATTCGGTATTCCTTGACGGGGTTAAGAACCTTTACTTAGTTGCCTTCACGTTTGATGCATTTCGGCGACAGTTTGCGCATACGCTCCTTAACCCCGGGCTTAGAACTTTTCGATGGATTCTAGAGCTTCTTTTGATTGCTCATTTTTCAATCAAAGTAGCTTTTAATTTCGATAAAATGATAACTTTTGGACTCTAAAGTGGGGACACCTCAATATCTCACCAAAATTTAAGGGTGTGGGGTGGGATACACGGCCCCTTTTTCATCCAGAGAGTCACTGTTTCTATCCCTTTGAAGATTCAAAAGCAACAACTCTTGGCTCAAGTCAAGGAGATCCACATCGACAATAAGAACAGCAAGGTCAACTGCAACAGTTCCTCCGACTCGATGCGTTTCACCGTCCAAACCCTCTGCCCACCGCGGTGCATCGACGGGCCAGCTGGATCCAAGTACTACTCGCTCTGGGAAGCCGACAACGCCCTCAACCCATACTAAGTTATTCACTAAGTCCCTACCCTTAGTACCCCCGCCTCTACTCTTTTCTATTCTTATTATTTGGAAGGTTGAAAAACCATTTCCAACTTTAGGCGGCTAAATCTTTTTTATTAACAAAAAATTATTGCGTTTTCAATTCTTTTTTATAATATTATCTATGCCAGGTAACGTCACGGTACCCCCTTAAGTTCAAAGTCTTTTTTTCAAACTCGCCCATAACAGAACCCAAACCTTAATCTCTTATTCAAGACCCTTTCTTTCAATCGCAATAGGCTGGAAACACCCTTAATCAACCCAAACATTCATGTTGCTAAGATACAGGCGAGTACTGTAAATATCTTAATATCGAGAAGATACCCTTAAAAAGGCTCCTTATTCTGCTTTTATATCCTTTTTAAAAACGATTCACCAAATTTGCCACCATTTTGTACAATTCAACTTTTTGTAAAACACATACCCATATCTTCTTTCTCTGCTCTCGCGAATGGAAGTTGATACCCTTAAGTTTTCTCGAGCCAGAATCAAAAAAATAACGAAGAAAAAGCGAAAAATAACGAATTTCTGTCATTTCCTAGGGCAAAAAGCGCGGTATTTTCGAACGACAGAATTTCGCTCCAAAAAGTCTTTAAGCAGGGTACACCCTTAAGATTTTTTAAGGAGTTTGAAATTTTAAGGCTTCTCAAAATTGACTCCTAAATTTTAATTTTTCAAACCTGCCAAATTGATCTTTCTCGAGTCATTATTTTCCAAGCCGCAAAAATTGAAAAAATAAAGGGCGTCACAAAACTTAAAGGACACTTCCAGATACTATTTAAACCATGTTTTTTACTCTAAAAAAGCAGCTGCTTGACAGTTTTGCTCATAAAAGTTTGCCTCGCAAAATTTTTTAAAAAACGCCAATTCTTTTTCTTCTTTCAAGAGCTACTCCCTTAAATTAAGGGTCTAGCGTCTTAAATTGGCAAGTTTGTAAATATTAATCTAAAAGTCGACGGCCAAGATTTTGATGAAATAATGAAATTTTAAAAATTTTTCGAAAAATTTTTCGAAGTTTTTTGTTTCCAGGTGCGATAAACACCCTTAATTCTTTCATATCATCTTTCTGCCCGTTTTCTTGGCACTGCGTGTAAACCCTTATCGTTCAGTTAAAATCTTACATGTCTATTTATACCGAAATAGGGGTTTCCCTTATTTTCATTGTGCCACTTTTGTATAAAGCTTTCGCATAAATAAAATACGAAAATCAGATCTTTCCTTGTGTGTTCTAAAAAATGATCAGCAGATACAGATACAGATAGTTGCATAAAGAGACTCAGAGCATGAGATAATTGAGCGATAAAAATGCAGGTATCCATAACTTACCTAGCTAAAAAGGTAAGAATAGAAGATACTGAAAAATTCAAATTGATTCGCGGGGCGTTTTGAATTCATGGAGATAAGAAAAAGTGAGTTTTGATTGGCTTGAGAAAATAATATGAGTTTCATCGACCAATAGGAAGAGCTTTCTCAATAATTTGAAATACGACTTTTTGATTGGAGGAGGCGAAATCTGTTCTTATTCGCTAACCCTAGGCAGCCTCACAATATGGGTCTTATTGACCAATAAGAACGCTTTCATTCAAATAATCTAGCGTAAAATTATATAAGAAGGTATACCCTTAACCTTTAGCATATTCAACTTTGAAATTTTTTCTCCGCTTATCAAAAAATATTTAATACTCAGCCAGCATTTTCGAGTAAAATATCTTTTACCATCAAAAATTAACCTTGTAAGCCAACTGATGATAAGACGCTGGAATCCCACAATAAGGGAACACGTGCTTTAGAACTGCAAAAGCTAATCCTATCGCCAGATACTCGGCTCAGCGTACAAAATTTCTCGATAAGAAAATTTTGTGTCTTGCTCCAGAGAAGATAAGAACCCGCCGCGCGGGGTTTTTCTGGGCGGCATGAAAAGATATCGGCAAAAATGGCAACAAAAAAAGCGTAATGGTCCATTACTAATGGACAAGTAAGAATCTAACTCTTCCATTTTAAGTTTTCTCGGTAAAAAACGCAAAATAGTTCAAAGTTACAAGATCCAAATAAAACAAAGTTATCTCAAAAACACTGAGAAATTTTCCATCTGTCGAGAATTTTCCGGCAAATCGAGTTTTGCCTACTCCCCTTTTTCTCCATTGCCGTAGAAAATGGCGATCAAGTCGAAAAAGAAAATTTATTCTGAGTATGAAAAAGTCGAGAAATTCAAGAAAGCTGAGGAAGAAGCTAGAGAAGATGTAAAGCTCTTTGTCGGCGGAATCATTTTCACGTAGGATACCCTTAAGAAAAATCACCATAAATAGCCATTCGTAGCTTTTCTTTTCTTTGGGCGATGCTGGAATGGGGCGAAGCAGCTGGTTGGTACGCTCCATCGCCAACCGTTTACAACCAGCCAGGGCAGGAAAACAGCAGAGAACGGTACCACAGAGAATGTTTAGAGAAAACAAAAGAGGAATACATTAAGATTTGAACAAGGGCCTCTCGAGTGCGAAATGGACTACGACTTGTGTAACACTACTGAGATAGGTCCGGTTATGAATTTCTTCTTTGAAATGAAAATGGACTGTTTTTAACCCCCTGGCGCATGAGGCTCGAAAATTGGCCAACTCTGACAATTTTGTTCCCATTTAGCGCTAGGGGATAAAAAATATTCAAAGAAATAAAATCGTCATTTTTAACCCCCTAGCGCATAGAAGTCCAGAAATGACCATTTTGCGCTAGGGGGTTAAAAATACCCAAAGAAATAAAATGGTCATTTTTAACCTTTTAGCGCACAGAAGTCCAGAAATGACCATTTTTGCGCTAAAGGGTTAAAATAAGATCTTTATCATTCTGTCCAGAATATCTTTATTCGTGTAAAAAAAGAATAAAGGGATTGTGGACCAATGATAAATAACTAACCGGCGGAGGTTACTATGGCCCTGGTTGTGTAACACGTTGGTACTACTGGAAGGAACGGGGCTCCGAACACGTGTTTCAAATAATCGCCCTAGCTTGCGCTACCAAATACACTTGTCATCTTTCCGGCCCCTGCTTGCGAAATTTTTCCGCTGATACTATCAAGCCATCTGCCCCAGATAATTGCCCCTTACACGAATTCCGGCAATTGTTGTTTTGGAGCCCCGAAATTTAGCTCAGACCAGAATTGGCTTGGAGTTATGTCATCCCATGGGCTTTTTATTTGATGCATCAAATTACTGTCTGGGCTGGAGTCTTCTACGCTCAGAAACTTAAAGACTCGGAATTCGGCTCGGGTCAAAAACGTTTTGCATTTCGGCGCTTTTTTCCGGCATTTGTAATTCTAATTCGAGGGAGGATTGATTCGCGGAAGGCGCATCATTGCCCATCCGGCCGATTTTAGTATTTTTCAAAGCGCACATTTTTCAGCTTCTTCGATTTTATGGCGCCTTGGACAGGTGAGTATTAGAAGCAAAGTTCCAAAAATCAAAAGTGCAAGAAATCAAGAATGCCAGTTTTCTTTCAATTGAAGATTTCACGCGTCTTTTTTGGCTTTTCAAATTTTTTCAATTTTCAAATTCAAAAATATCTGCAATTTCATCTTTTCTGGATAACAGATTCTTTCATCACGCCCCCTGATTGGCCAGTTTTCTTATGTAGAAAGAAGCCAATCAGGGGGCTTGATGTAATCTTCGTTATCGAAAGTCTTTTCTGTGGAAAAAAAATTCGAGATTGAAATCGATTCCTACAGAAAAAATCTCGCGATAGAAAATTTTGCCTCTGATTGGTCGAAAATTCAAATTTAAATTTTGACCAATCGGGGGTCTTAAAATTATAATTTATGGAGAAAAGCTAGTGTTTTTGTCCATAAATAGTCAAAGACAACTGAGTTTATTGACTTCAAATAAGGGGATCAGACCCTTATTAGAGAGCTAATTAATCTTAGTCTTTTCCGGGGTCGCATCTTTCTAATTTTTGATTAATTTGAATTTTTGGACTGATTGCAAAACGTTACGAAAGGACGCGATATCGGCGTCGAGGCGAAATTTACAACCAAGCTGAGTAGCTTCAATTACTTTCTGACCGCAGCGAACGTGTTTTTCGTGATTGCTCATTTGGTAATCACCCACAGTAAGTCTAAACTGAGGTATTTCACTATTTATAAAAAACGCGAGTTTTACACACGTTTTTTCCTGTCCGTTTATCATTATTTATAATCATTTTATTCGAGAAAAATAATCGTCTAAAATGTTCTTTTAAAATTCTATAATACAGACTCATAAATGATTGAAATTTAGTTTCATATGATGGCCTGGCCCCAACCGTCGCCGAATCGACTTCTCAAGGTAAAATATTCAAAAAATTATTTTGAGAAAGCCTCAAAAATGCTGTCAGCAAACTATAAGGGCGTCTGAGAATGCGCATTTTAATTTTTTCGTGCACTGTTATTACCAAATATTGCATCAACTATCAATCAATTTTATCATTTAGAAATGAATTTATTGTTCCGACACCCTTAAAACCGCTCAAAATCTACTGTCTACAACCTGTGCTAAAACCTGAGTCAGGGCTCATTGCGGCTTCGATTTTTAAAAAGCCGCTGCGCGGCTTTAATAACAGCTAATTGAAAAACCCCGACTCAGGTTTGGCGAGGGGTCTCCTTAATCATAACCGTCTTTTTTAGCATCTGTTATTCTAATGGGCTGCATCATTTTGGTACTTGGCACTTTCGTTTCGGGGTCAGCGAAAAGGGCATGTTTCTGGCGTGAGTGCGCGCTGACCCCACATCAGACCGCGGTTTCTTATTCGGCTGGCCCGATCTACGTGAAAACGAACCGAGCTTTGCAAGGGTGAGTCAAACGTGAATAATCTCTTCGTCTCAAATTCAGCAAAGACTGTTTACAGTTCTACAGCAGTACTGTTAGTATTTTTACTGTTCGAACTTCGAACAGTTGAAAATCGAGAAGCCGCTTGCGGCTTCGAGCGAAAGATGCCATAAGCCGCGCATAGTCCGGCTTCTCCCCGTTATTTTTCTCGAAGCCGCAAGCGGCTTCTCGATTCTGTCACAGTCTATGACTCATAGACTATGAGTCATAGTCTATGAGTCATGTCAAAGTCATAGACTATGAGTCATTGTTCTCTCAAACCCTGACTCAGGTTTAACCTTTCCTCAACAACCTGTGAAGGAAATCTGAGTCAGGGTCAGAAAAGCCACTTTGCGGCTCCGATAAAAAAAGGCCATGTAGCGGCTTTTTGGACCCTGACTTAGGTTTTCTACACAGGTTGGCGAGCCCAGGGTTTTATTCTTTCTTTCTAGTGGTTCATCAGCAGATATCATGGCTACGTCATCTTCTGGGGCATCTGCTACACTTTCTGGTAAGTAACCCCCTCGTTGAACTTCCCCTGCTTCCTCAGCAAAATAAGGTACCACCCAATGGAATCTACTCCCGGCCACTTTCTCGGATTCACCAACGGATGCTTGTGTTTCCTCCAGAGTTCGATGATCTACACAAAAATGCACGTTGTACGTATTCTCGAGTTTCCAAGCCTCAAAAACCACAAAAACGCTGTTTGTTCGTTTTTTCGTTCTCTAAAACCTTGAAATTGAAATTGTCACCAGCAGGGTGCAATTTAGGACTTTTCGCGTTTTGAAAATGAAAAGCGCGGGTATCAACCCCTGTCGCCACTGCTGATCTCTTTATGTCTACGCACTCACGTTTTCGTAATTTTAAGTAATTCACAAGATTTGCCCTTTTTCGACAGTCATGTGACAGCGAGCGGGAATTACCAAATGACCTTACAAATTGTTGAAAATAGTAATCAAGATCAGTTTGCCTAAAATTCACCATCATAGATTTAGATCCTTTAATTGACAGAGAACGATGAGTCATTGATTATGAGTCATAGTCTATGAGCCATAGTCTGTGACTCATAATCTATGACTCATAGTCAATGACTCATGTTATATGACTCATATTATATGAGTCATATAATACTGCATAAATACCGGTATAATGTGTGAAAATACTCGAAAACTTATGTTTTTGACCTTGAGTCCTGTAAGAGTATTAAAACTCATGCTAACTAGTTTGCGTTATGCTATGTTCAATGGTTAATCCGTGTTTTCAAAACTCCATTTTATCCGTTCTACATTCGTATAAACATCAATTTCCAAAATAAACGAAAACACGAAGCAACAAAATATAACAAGTGCAATTGCCGACTTTATTAAATAGCTTCGCGCCTGTCATACTCGTCAAATCTGGCTGATTTCAAATCAGTGATTTGCTCGAATTTTGAGTCGGCAGTTTTTTTGCCTTTTTTTTGAGAAAAGATTTCTAAAAAAAAGTTCTTCAGACGAAACAATGGACGTTCTTTATCGAATTATGGCCCCTCATTCATTCTTGCGTTATCGCTTATCAGACAGGCAATCGTGATCTCCCGCAACGTGAAGACTTGTGGCCGATTTTCTTCTTTGGTTTCACTACAGGTACCTAATCCTTCCTTCCTACACGTAAGAACCTTCTTATTCCATATTTCATCCTCGATTTTCGGAAGTTAGAAATCGGGTCAAATATTCAGAAAATCTCAAGATAAAAAATTCTACCCAGTCTCTTCTCGATAACGAAATGTTTCATTCAGCGCTCTGATTGGCCAATAGAAAAGTTTTCCAAAGAGCTATTAGCCAAATGAATTGACGAATCAGAGCACTTGATTTGAGCTATATCGTGTTTATTGACCAATCAAAACGCTTGATGAGAAATTTCACTATAACAAGAGCAAGCTGTAGCGTTTTAGAAATCATTGTTGATTTTCTCAAAAAAATCGAAATTTGATAAAAATTTTAGTTCTTGTGATCGCCTGGATCTTCACCTTTGATTTCTGGTGGCGAGAAAATTCGACCCTCGTCCGATTCTTCCCCTTCGTCATCTGGCTTGCCTACTGTTCCAACTGGTTCCTCCCCGATCGAGTTCAAGACCTCTGGCAGCTAATTGCAATTCCCTCAATTCCGTGTGGCAAAAACATGGCCAAAGAGCACTAGAATTTAGAAGTAACGTGAATTTCGAGTGAAAAAGGACCCTGTTCCTTTTCCAAACATCTTGCGCAGTTGAGTTTTTGGCCCTTATCCGGTCCTTTTTCAGGAGAAAGAAATTTCCAAAATTTCGTAAAAGAAAAATTAAGGGTCTCAAAAGGAGAAAAAAAGGAGCTTCTGAAAAGAAGCTTGAAGCATGTAGTAAGGTCGTAAAGCGGAAATATGCCCGGGCCTGATGTCAGTTAGACGTCCCCTTGAATTATTGTCAGTGACTTCATGGGGGACAAGCACGTGTTCTACACACGTGTTTTAACCTTGTTGACCACTCTGCCACTGTTAGATAATCCCGTCTCTGAGCCGAGATGTAATTGTCGAGCGGCGCAAAAGGTCATTTGAACGTGTGGGAAATTGTTCAAAAATAAACTTCTTTTTGAAAACCTGAATTTTATTATTTTAATTATCAATTTCTATTTTTAAAATATAAAAATTAATGAAATCAAAGCATCACACAAGCAATTGAATTTATAGATGACATTTACCTATCTTGAAGAAAAAAATAATAATTTCTTAGTAAAATGGTACTATTTCATGACCTGATCGAGGAAGGTAAACGAATTCAAAATTACTCTTTATTAATTTTTGCCACACCACCTCAGCTTATCTCATCTTTGGACCATTTTTCTACATCGTCTGCCACATTTCTGGACTCATTCTTGAGCGTAAGTTTCTTTCCTTCCGGAACCCTATGAAACTCGAAATTCTAGTGCTGCCCTTTTCGATTCAAAAACCAAAAGGACCGCTGCAAGAAAAACTCTTCCTCGCCCTCTTCATCGTCATGTACATCATCAACTACTATTTCTGCTGGGCGCTGGAGTTCGGAGAAATCCGCTGCGAAAAAATCTGGGCGCAGATGATTTTCCTTCAGGTACTCAACGGTCCATAAGGCCTTCTGGTTTCGGGTTCGGAAATCGATCGAGTCATATCCTGGGAAGGAACTTAAGAGGCAGCGACTCGTTATCCGGCAACCGCAATTTTCGAGGGCCAACGGGGCTTTCTTTCAACCAAAAAATGCGTAGTGAACCTTTTCTTTTGGTCATTAAATGACGTAAAAGGCGATTTAAGCTCTAGAATTTCTCTTAAACTAATATAAAAGGCTACTTTTAGGCCTTTTCTAGCCGTTTTTCTGGCTCTTTTGAAGAATTGCAGTAAAGAAATGAGCGTTTTTCGTCCTCTAGAAGATGTTTTTTAGATTCAAACTGCGGTGAATTCGAACTTTTGAGGGGGTTTCTTTCAAGATACGTGGATGCGGTCACTCGGGGATCAGCTGCTCCGCCACGTGCTAGAATTGTTTGAAAAGTCCTCCCGAGAGCGATTCATTCAAATACACATTTCATAATCCCTACCGGTCAAGAATTAGACGCAGCAGCGGCTAAAATTGGGATTAAGGGTGTACCATCGTTTTTTAATTGTTCGTTTAGGCGCTGGTCTCCTTAATTCCCTTCACTCTGCTCACAGTTGGAAGCATGGTGATGGTGCACCTAGCTCACTTGGCAAATGACGATGAAATGAACACATCAAACAAGATCAAATCAAAGAAAAACATTTCCGAAGACGATCAGCCCTTACTTTCTGAACACCATGTTTCTGAGGTTGTATCAGAGTAATTTGCCACCAATTTGCAGTGTTTGACACATCCTCAAATTAGAAATAAACGTACTTTTCAATCTGCCCTAGCTTGTTTTGAATAAATTCGAACAAATTGAATTTATTTATCAATCAAAGTCTTTATGAATTATAAATAATAATGACAAATATTCTTCTAGTGATTTTTCATTCTTCTTCTGACTCGATATTTTTCTTTCTTATGATGATGCTCGAGATTATGGCTGTCAAATAGAGAGTTGGCACGAGGATGACAATAATTCGGAGAATCAAGAAATTTCGGAACCGTTTATTGACTAAAATTATTTTTATAGACATTAGTTTTTTTTCCTTACTTTTTCTTGAAGTTCTGTCATTCCATTGTATAGTTGGTCTTTACTCCAACCAGTCTAAACGAAAAAGTGAATTTTGTGCCAAAAGAAATGTAGAAAAACTATAGTTTTGAGTCACTAATTAACTCACAATTTCCATAATCATCCGATTCTCATCCGAAAGCGGCATTGTTTCATCCCAAGCCGATTTTATTCCACAGAAAGTCGCTTTCACTGGGTATTGATAAAGTCGGTCGTCGTGCGAATTCCAGCAACAACAAACCCTCAGTAAACAGCCAGGATAACAAAGCCGATTTGAGATACGAAAAGTACTGTTATTCGCAGGATCACCTACAAAATTTTGAAAATAAATAGATTGATATTGATAAACCTGGAAAAACCTCATGAATAACAAAAGCAACGAAACTTGAAGATGCTTCTATGAAATTTTCAGTAGTCAAGGGAAATTTCGGTGGTCCCTTTTTATTGCCTATTTGAGGGAACATTTCGATGTCGCGGCTTTGAATAATTTGTAAAAATTGACGAAGTCTTTCTTTTCGCAAACGAAGATGGGCAAACTCGTCAGCTCTGAATTTCTTCTGGATTTTGTGCAAAATATTTTCATTGTCGTCAATTTCTATTGGTGCTACTCGATAAGTTTCGACTGACGACCACTGATCATTTCGTCTCTCATTGTGATCCTCGAAAAGGCTCATAACTGGCTAGATTTTTAAGACCTTCATAATATTTTTAAATAAATTCTAGAGAACCGATGCAGAGATAATAGGTGGAATCCATCAAAGTCATTATTTTTTTTATTTTGACGAGTTATTCTGACGATTTATGAAATTCATTATGTTTCAGTGAAATTGTTTCTTCAGTTTTTAAGTTCTTACTCTACCGTTGAGAGCCATCATGAGCCATATGAAAAAGACGAAGGGCGCAGCACATCTTATGATCATGAAGGCGTTGTATTGATAGGTCACTGAATTAAGGTTTTAAGTAAAAATCAAAACATGAAATTTCTCACATGCTGTTTGGACCTCCTTCATTCCTGCGTACAGTTGTTCTTTGCTCCAACCAGTCTTAAAAAATATCAAATAAGCTGTTCTTTGAAAAATTGAGTTTTAAGGACCCCCATCAAGAATCGTGAAAATGAGCCTTTTTAGTGAAAGTTTTTCTCAGAAACTATCTTAGGTAGATCCTTATTTTCACTTGCTACCTTTAGATCCAACCCTCGGCTGCAACCGTTCCCCTTATGATGATCTCTCGATTACAAATTTACAAGGGTATACAGGCCATTAAAGGTAAAGTTGCTTAGTGAAAGATTTTTTTAGAATTTTAGTTGAGGTATACCCTTAATTTTTTTACAGGATAAAGTTAAGGCCCTAAGCTACGACCGTTCCTCTTTTGAGAGTTTTTGGTCAACGAACTTAAGGAGGACACCCCTTTTAAAAACTTATAAGTCGAATATTAGGCAAATTTCCAGATTTCCATTTTCTGTTTTTGTTTAATAAACTGCCTTCGATTATGTTTTTCTTACCGTTTTTATGATGGAAATGCATTTTTAGATGGGTATACCCTTAATTGTAATGAAAAAATAGCAAACCAAGGATTTTCATAAAAAATATAATGCAAATTTCCACTTTTTAAAGCCAATTTTCGTCAAGAATTTCTAAAGCAGCGAAAAAATTTTCAACATAAAAACTTCTCCTCGTTGTCTAAATAACCCAAAAAGACCAAAAAATAAAGAAAATTTTGACGAAATTCATCTTGATGGGGGGGGTCCTTAACTCACAACTTCCATGATCATCATGTCTTCTTCTGAAGGAGGCTTTGTCTCGTCCCACATTGGTTTGTCTCCACAAAAGGTTTTTTCTACCGGAAATTGATAGAGACGATCATCGTAAGAAGAGTTAGCGCATGGAGCCAAATCTTGTTGAACGCCTGAAAGAAAGATTTTATGAACGTCGATCACTTCTAGTCCGTAAGCCATAAGTAGCTATTCTACCTGGAAGGACTCCACCAATAACGTAGCTCACAAAACTTGGGCTGGCTTCTCGGAAATTCGCAGCTGTTAGAGGAAACGAGGCCGGACGATCGCCGAAATTTATATCTCGGCTTTGAATGATCAGTAGAAATTGATAGAGTCTTTCTTTTCGCAATTGAATGTCGGCTCCTTTCTCGGCTCTTTTTAATCGATTTTAATTTTTTATTCCGGTTTTCGAGGTCAAGAAATTGAGTTCGATTTCCTGAATTTCTCTTGTAATTTATACAAAAGTTTCATTTCTGGATCGATGACAAGATCTGCATGAGATCGTAAAATCGGCGCTCGATAAATTTCTACATGTTCTTGAGGGGCCGCGGCTGGTAAAGCTTGGACTGGAGTCACTGGACCAGCTTGGATCGGAGCAGCTTGGAGTGGAGCTGCTTGGACTGGAGAAAAGTGAGAATTGGTGTTGAATGAAGAGCTTGTGTTATTATTCATGGGAGCGACAGGAGCCCACTGCGATGTCTCTGCTGCCTGCGGCATTGTAACAGCTGTATCCTGAGGGGTTTGCCCGAAACCGTAGTCAGAATCAAAGGCTGATCCCCACTGATCTTTATTTCCATCGCCGAACTGGTAGTCGTCAAAATAACTCATAACTTGTAACTGATTACTTTTACCGTCGCCACAACATCTTCAACACTAATTCTAGAGACGACCATTCTATTTACAAGGTCATGGAAACAGGAGAAAAGTTGCTTAGGTCATTTGAAAATGACAAAAAGATTCATATCTGTGGAACTCGCGCTAAGTTAAAAATTCACAGAAGCTTCCGCCTCGCCGACCAAGAATAAAGAAAAAACGAATTTCTTGGCGCATGCGAGCTTTCTCGTATTCACGTTTTATGCGACAAAAGATCCAAAACAATTTGCAAAACTAAATTGAGCTTCTTTCGCACGAAATTATCCCATTACTGAATTCGTGGAGATACTGTTTTATTCAACAAAACAATTTCTAAGTGTATTAGACTTCAAAGCTTCTTACAGTAGAATGCAAACAAATCTTACGCCGAGATGGATCTACTGGCCTATTTGCCGCTTATTTGAGATTCATATCATTGATATGGAATAAAACTGGGGTATTTAAATAAAAGAGGCCTAAATTTCTTGAAAAACTCTAGCTGATCTTTATCAAACTCGTTTAAAAGCAGCATTTTCCTTGCCTTTTCAAGAGAATTTAAAATGAGACGATTATAAAAAGAAAATTTCGATGCATTTTTTCAAAAAAAAAAGTGCAATGGGATTTATTATTTATTTGAAGATGAAAGAACAGGCAATTCGGAATGTTTTCATTCAATCAACTCTTGTGAATCTTACATTTTCAACTATGTTCGTTGATAACTTAAATTTTCTTGAAAATAAAGATTCTTCTTCAATTTTAATTCCTTATTACCAATTGGCTCTTGACTGTCTGTTCCTAGTATTGAACACGTTTCGCTCGGAAAGTGCTCGTGGAATAATTGAGCTTTTTCTAAAAGAAGCCTGAGCCGCACCTGGCTGGCGATAACGGTCGACGGTACTCAATCCGCTTTTGAAACTTTTAGACCTCCGCACACACTAAAATCTGCAAAGCAAAACTCAAATTAAGTTCAAACTATTGATAAATTATGAAAATGGAAAGTTGGTAGGTCGAAGCGGTTTTGATGTAATTAATCTGTAAGTACAGCGATTACTGCCACGCAAAACATGGCGATAGAGCGAGCGTTGATCAAAAAAGTGCGCTTATTTCTAAAAGCTGAAAGAGACATCATTGGAGCGGAGCCGCTTACACGCGTACATCAGATATGCCAAAATAATTACTAGAGGCACGTTGACTTTTTGACAGGGCAATTTTTGCTTACTACATAGGTTCAGGATTGAGCGAAGTTCAGTGGTATAATTTCGATCCCGCAACTGTATTCTAGACAACAGATTTTCGGAAATCAAACAAGAGTCCGAAAAAGGCCGCTTAAAGCCGCAATGCGGCTTTTCTGAAACGCAAAGCCGCATTCATTTTTGACCCTGACACAGGTTTTGATACAGGTTCCTGACTCAGGTGAAAAATCAGAAAAATCAGAGGGTGGACGAGCCTTTTGATGGTTCTATTTTACTTCTATTTTCCTGTATAGAAAGTCGTGATTAGGGTTAATCAGAATGCCAAAAGCGGGTTCCGAACAGGCGGTTACGTAGCCATTGCAGCGCTTGGTCTTATCCGCGGATGATCCTGTTCCGCGGCTCGTCGGATGTCTCTTGAGAGCCACGACATGCAACTTTTATTGATATCCCTTCCAAACCGCCAACTTGGAAAACGCTTATTCAACCTCCGCTCATCTATCATGTACTTTGAATAAAACTCTCATTCAAAGGGGAAAGACTCTATTTTTCAGTTAAACTCCTTAACGGAGCGCGGCTTTTTCCTCATGTTACCCTCGAAGCCGCAAGCGGCTTCTTGATTTCAATAGCATATCTTCTTGTTCTTTGTGGGAAAGGAGTGGGCTCCAGTTTTTGGTTAATTCACATGTAAACGTCCGGATGCGCTGGACAAAAAAGCCAACTAACGCCTTATCAACGTTTCGCTATGTCCGGGGCCGGACGAGTCTCTACTGGAGTCACAATCCTCACGCGGCTGTACCCAGCTCTCAGACAGAAGAAAAACACACGATTCTGAATTCGAGGGCGGCACTTGACACGGGGGAAATGTTTCAGCGGCTTTTTTTTGGCTGGCTTAGAGGTTATTTCGTAAGAATAATCGATAGAATATCGATAAGCGAATTTTTTGAGCAGAAATGCCCATGTTTTTATTCAAAAATTAAGGGGTCCCCATTGTCAATGGGCCATTGAGCAAATATTTCTACCCGAAAAATTATCTCGAAAACCACGATTAATGATGTCTTGCCCCTTAAAATGGGGACTTTTATATTAAAAATAAGGGCATCACCGTGTTATTCTTTTGAGCAAATCTCGAATAAAGATATTCACTCATAAAAGGTGGAGTGAAACAGAAAAGCGGCTGGTGGCCACATAAAATGTCCTTCCGATAATTGCTTCTGACCAAATTAGCTCAAGAGAGCGAGTTTTGCATTTGAGTTGAGCCTAAAGAATACCTCTTGCGGCGGGTAGACCGCAGCTTACCCAGAAGCTTATTGCGCCTCGGCCAACTCACGTGACCAGTTTCTTCCTGTTCCGCTGCGAGTTTCATTCGCTCAACAGATTACTGCCTGACCTTTCTTCTTGTTCTAAAATCGAAAGCGTAAAATCACGACCGATACTGTCGCAATTCTAGCGCCAAATGCTCGCAGCTGCGATGGCCGAGTGGTTAAGGCGAGAGATTAGAAATCTCTTGGGGTCTCCCCGCGCAGGTTCGAATCCTGTTCGCAGCGATCTTTTGCACTTTTCAACCCTTTTTTTGAAGAAATCTCAGTTCACCGAGAACTTGGCCAATGCCCGCCATGCAAAGTTGCCCAGACTAACAATGATATCACATTCTATCCCTCCACAGCTCCGTTTTCGCCCATCAATAACAACATCTTGCTGATCTAAGGGGATCACCGAAACTTTTTCTAATCGACACTTTCGGTTTCAAAAAAGGGAATAATGCTTGCCTTATTTAAAAACCGCAAGGATCGTTTAGTAACCGTTTTTTCGCGCAGCAGGTGCTTGAAATGATCCCGATAGTGCTACTGATACGATCGCTCTCTTATCAGCTCTTGAAATACTTCCATCATCCTCCTTATCAATAAAAGATGCCAGAATCGCATGAACTTAAAACTGGAGATTAAAAATTTTTCTCAAAACTGAAGTTGCGAAAGCGAAAGTTTCTGTCTGTAAGGCCCTTCTTATTTTCGTTATCATTTTTTTCCGAACTAGCGTTGCGGAAGTCGCTAGCTTCCCAATTTGAGCTTCTCTTCGTCCCTCCCGCCGCAACGTACATTTTCAGTTCACGCAATGTTTTCCAACGGTAGCTGCGGTTAACCCTTAGCCGTCCAATCTTTCCAAAACATCCCTAACGCCGCCCATTCAAGGTGCCACTTATAGAAGCCGAGGTAGACTAGAGAATTTTGTTTTTAGATAACGCGTTAACAAGCATTTATTCTGAGCGTTTAGAAATTTTTTAAACAAAAATAATTTTCATTTATTGGGTCATATATGTCAACAGCAGTATATAGAGAATTTATTGCAAAAACAGCGCTAGTCCGACAATTCAACAAAAACCCAGCGAGCGTACTTTTCATTGTTACTATAGAGCCTTAGTTTCGCCATTTCATCTCCTGCAGGATCAAACAGGCCATACTCTTCTTCCACATCGAAAATATAGAAGCTTATTCCATCTTTCGAAAGGTTTTTCTTATATAATAAGAGTAAGGATTTCTAACTAAGGAATATTAGTTATGTTACATTACTTTTCAGCTTAAATATATTTTTTCTTGAAATATAAGGATTATTGAGATTTTGTGAATATAAACCAATGCTTGGTGGTAGACGATTTTCCATGTAGACATTTCACCATGGTCATTAGTATCCGTTTCTATATAAGCACCATCTTCGTACCCATTAAAACGGTAGGCATAATAGATATTATCATATTCAGGGTCGACTATTCCAAATTTGACATGTTCATTGTCTAATAGGACAACAGATGCATTGCGCATCAAAGCATCATTATCGGCATAAAGATATCCATCATAATAAGTCATATATCTCTAAAATTGATTCGCATGAGATTTGAAATTTTTAGCCAATGCAGATTACCCCATTACAACCATCGCCATCATAATCCTTGCAAATGTGTCCGAATTTTTGTGGTGGAGAATTTATTGCTGTTGTTTTTGATTCTTCAGTGGTTATCATGGTTGTCGTATCTTCTTTCGTTGTTTTTGTTTTTTCAGTGCTTTGAGAGGTCTGCATCGTTGTTGTTGTTTTTGAAGTCGAAATCGTAGTTTTTGAAGTTGTTGTCGTCGATGGAGTTGTTGTCGTGGTCGACGGCGTTGTTTTTGAAGATCGAGTTAAAATTGGAGGAAGAATGGCGCCGATGGTACAACAAAGAACGACTAAAAACTTAAAAAAGCAAGAATTTATCAACAAAACATACAAATAACCGAAGCCCAAAATCCAATCTTTCTCTTCTTGCTCCATTTTACAGGAGCTATGTCCTCGTTTTTCGACGCGTCCATTTTGAAACAGACTCGGAAATTTTAGTCAGTTTCATGCAAAACAAGCCAATTATAAAGAGTCCGGAATAAGACCCGGAAGACTATCAATGAGATACCGTATTTACCAATTCTGCTGGCAACGGATTCGATTTACCGATAAATGCACTAATATCACCATCTTTACTTGATTATTCTTGACCTTGAATTCGATAATTGATGCGGAAAATAAGACAAGTTTACTTTGAAACGCATATGGAATGTTTATTTTATCGTACAATAATTGAACTTGATTCAAAGAAAAACTCAATTTTGTTAATTTTATTTTGATATTCAAAAATTATTCAAATCCATTCGCCACACGATTCCCAGAGTCAACCGATTTTAATGACTCTCCGAGTTCGGCTGAGTCTGCTTGACGCTTCCAACTTTTACGAGCTCAGGAGATTCGACACTATTAATCCTTCACGAAAACGAAAGCGAAAATTAAAGAGAGAAAGCAAAAAAGATGGCTGCCAATGCAAAAATCTCCACCAGTTCGGCCGTAAGTCCTTGAACAGGGTAAAGAAATGACTGTTTTGTGTCCTCTAGAATCCAGTAATGGCGCACACCTTGGCGTATCTGGCGATTGGCTACGGAGCTATGATTTTCTTATTTTGGTTTTTCAAAGATCTTCTCGGCCTCACGGTACGTAAAAACATGCAATCACGGGGTTTCAGAGGGATCAAGGTCAATTTTGAGATTTATTTCTTGTTGTCTGAAAACTTTCTCTTCCGGTTTTTTTTTTAAACATCGTTGATTTTTGCCCTTGATTTTTGCCGGAGGTGTCTGGAACCCAGAAAAAAAAAATTCGACAAATTTTGCGTGGAAATTTTCAACCATTCAGAAGCCTGGATTGGCAAACCAGCCAATCAGCAGCCGATTAGTCGCCCACGCAAAATTTGTCGTAATTTTTCTGTCGGTTCCTGACGCCACCCCTTATTTTCGTCTCCGCGGTATCATATTTAGTCAAATTCTTATTCATGGAAATCCCTTGTTTTTCCGTTTTTGGATGAACCCCTCGAATCGCCCCGGCCAACGTGAGTTGCAAAATTGAAGGTGTTTAGCCAAAAATCCGTTTCGGAAAACGGCGACTCTAAGACTCTCTCCGCGCCAGTTTCGTAAATCTTATAAATGTACCACGCGGTCTATTTACTCAATTCCAGAATCGGGCGTATTTTGGCAAATGAAAATGTTTTCACAATTTGTTTTGAGGCGCGAACGGGTTGAAAAATCGAATTATTTTCGGTGAAAATTAACAAATAAAGTGATAAAACAAATTTTGCGATAAGATAGGGCTTCCCTTAAATTGTCTAATAAACAGTGACAATATTAGTCAAAGATTGTCAAAAATGCTTCTTTAGTAAGACCCAAGATTGTCGATTCTGTAATCGAATAATGGCCTATGATTGGCCGATATCGACAATCTTAGGCCATATTTTTGAAGCATAATTGGCAATCTTTGACCAAGATTGTTGATGTCTAGTAGACAAATTTGGGCATTTCTGATAAAATTTCCTCCAAAATTGCCGATTTTGATCATCAAAATCGACAATCTCGAGCTCAATTTCTGATATATTATTCGCTATATTGAAATTTTCTAGGAATTTTTCTTCTAGATGATCTTCTTGATGTCCTGTGGTTACAATTTTTCCCTGAAATCGTAACTGTCTAGCCACGTGGTTGAGTAAGTCACCTTCTAAAGCAAAAAAAGTCGAGTTACGCGTCTTTTCGGTAGGTGCCCGAAACCTCAAAATTTCATTTCTGGGAGAGGCGACTGCGGCTGATCTTATTTGCCACTTCCGAAACAGATTTGCCGAGCATGTTGGCGCGGCGCAAAATTTACAATTTCCACAAGAATTATTCTTGAATAACGAAATTATCCGTTTTGCCAGAAAGACTTGTTCATTTGAGTTCATCTTGTGCTGAGATGGCACTTTCGAGTTTAATCTTTATGGCAAATCGAAAACAATAAAAATCTATTATTTTGATGATGACAGATAGATTTTCACCTCATAAAACTATCATTTTTCTTGCAAAAATGGATGATAACGGCTCGAAAAAAATAATAAAATGACACCCATAATAAGGGTGTCATAATATTATCATTGATAGAAAATCCTATCAAGCACAGACTTTTCTTTTATATTTAACAAAGTGACTCCCTTATTTTTTTGAAAAATAGAATACTAATCAACCAAGCTATTTTTGATCGTCAACAATAAGGGGGTCACCATGTTAATCTTCAGAATTAAAAAAATTCTTTGTAAGTATCAAAGCCTATTTGGTAATTTGAAATTAAGGGTGTCACTTTGTTAGTTTCGCCAATATATTCAGCCGGGCTGAATTTCAGCCCATATTCCACTCTTTCGCTGCCTACCCCTTCAAATCGCATTTTGATGACAGCAAAAATCGACATCGCCATCAACAAAAAACGTCATTATCTTCGCCTGATAAGAAGTCAATTAGTGATTGTAGGAACAAGCCCTTTAAGTTGTTATCAATTGAGTTCTATGAAGGATAAGAGGCGATTAACTTTTAATTGGTGCTTGGTCAGAGAATACAGAGAGCGTTCGTTTTCGTCGCAGGTTCTATCGCAGCGGCTTTACTCGGCGGCTTACGAACATGAAACCGGAGAGCCAAAGGGGACTCTATCCGATCAAAAAAGGGCAACAGCGCGAATTATTCGGAGAAATTAAAATGCTCCTTAGAAAGCGGCCCAACTAATTCAAGTTCAATTTTAGCAAGTCTACAACGAAGATAAGATGAAATACGAATTTGCTTGGCTGCCGAAGAAAGTAACGATCGATTAGCGAGTTTTGTAAAGCGAATTTTCAAAAAATTCTTATCAATTTTTTGATTAGCCTGTTATTATTCTTCAAAATAAAATCTATTTTCAAAAGTATTCTTTATAGAAACATGTTATTCGAAAGGTGCTTAGTTTGGGGTTAAGTTAATGGCGAAGGTTAGGATAAGGTAACCTGCGTAAAAACCTGAGTCAGGGTTCTAAGAGAGCCCTTAAAAAGGCCGCGCAACGGGTTTTCAAAAAATGGAGCCGCAACGCGGCTTCGGCAGAAATTGATGTTGACTTTCTAGAGAACTTTGGCAAAGCCGCCCTGCGGCTTCGTTTTTTAAAAAGCCGCTATGCGACTATTTATGGGTTTTTTCTAATTCAGGTTTGTTTACAGACTGCTGGCCCTTGATCTATTTGAATTATTTACAAAAATGAAACTTATTTTTAGAACTAATAGGGTGTCCCTATGTTAAGTTTTGGTCAATGATTTTCGAGAAAGAAAAAGCCTGAAAATTGATAGAACAAAGTTACCCTCTTTCGACTGAAATGCGAAAATTGATTGGAAAAACAATTCTCGTTGGGTTGAAAAACACGTCAATTTGTGCGCTGTCCCAAAAATGGAACCGGCAACAAATGGCCAGTGATGAGCGAATAGAGCGTTCCAAAGCTAAGAACACACTTTGTCGCAATTTACACTCTTATTGCATAGAACGACGCGTGTGAGTAGACACTACGTTTTTGCATGTTGCCAGAATTAAAACAATAATAAAAATGAGGAAAAAACAAAATGCTTTTCTTATTGACCACTTCGTTGATTTTCTTATGATCAAATAATCTGAGCCGACATCTCTATTTGAATAGTTTCATTTTTTATTCAGAAATGACTGAAGGAAAAAAATACATAACTGAAAATAGTATTGATTCATTTAAAAGAGCAATTTATTTAAAATCCCATTCTATTAACAATCGACTGGCAAATGAAAAAGTTTCATTTCAAAATCATCATCAGCAAATAATCAAAACGTGAAAACTCAAGCAAAATTTATAAAAATTGTTTCATTTAAATAATCTTTCTGATTTATCAAAAGGCTTCTTCTTTTTATGCGAATCGGCAAGATGGTCTGAATTTAACGGTTTTGATAGGAATCTATTTTTTTTTCGCTTACAGATGAAAAATCTTTATGGCTGAAAAATCTTTGGAATTTCATGGAATTATTGCGTAAAATCCGGGTTTCGAAGAAATTTACTTATCTATTTTAAAACTGTACTAAAGAAAGAAGCCCTTTTTGAGTCTGATTTTCTCAGGCGCCTCCGATTAGTGAAAAAAAAAGGGTGTCAGCTTTGACATGACAGGTGCGCTCTGTAGAACGTGAAAGATTGTAGCAAGTATGTCTTTCGCTTCTCTTGAAGAATATTTTTTTGAACAAAGAATCTCGCAAATATTAAGATATGCAGGGTTATGTCAAGCTTCTTGTTGACGTGAGCACCGAAAACACTGTTTTATGCGGCCGAAAGATGCTTTTTTTTTTCTTTGCTGTTGAAAGCAAAGCGGAAAATTTTAAATTGAAATTTTCGATACTCAAAAAAACCCAGATTCTAATCAAGACCGATTAATTTGCAGCATCTTGCCAAAAGGCATAAAAGAACCAAGATCAGCATTCAAGTATCATTCAAAATGAAACTGAAAAATCCACTGTTTATGATGATTTTGTCTGAACAAAATTTATTTCCTAATGATATTTTCTATGTTCTTTGATCAAATATAAAATAAAATTGAGGAATAATTGTTCTTGATCTAGTGATTTTAAAGCATTGAAAGAGTACTTGGGAACAAGCTGCTGGTAATCGCTTGAAATGAGTCGACCCGGGCGTTCCGATGCCAAAGTGGCTTTTGGCCGAGAAGCCAAGACAAAATCGAATTTGAGCAAAGCGCATTCTCCAGCGGGAAGGGACAAACAGGTGCCTCTTTAGACAAAGAAAACGACCGCGCGACCGCAGACCACCCTTACTCAGTAATAATCCCACCGTTTTTTGGATTACCAGACGAATTTTAAGACAATCTAAGGCCCCAAAAAGTGATATTTTCATCATAATCTCGTCATTAAATCGTTGTTGTATAAAAAGCGGGCTCGTCAAAATTAATGATTGTTCATTAATTTATCTATCATAAACAGGGGCTTGGAAAGTCGATAGTTTTTGGGAACAATCTCGGGATCTTGCGGTCGGATTTCGCCAATCGCCAATCTTCACCCGGTACTTGAACGCTTCCGAATACGTTCTTCATTCTTTTTTTCGCTAATCAGTAATTGCAATCATAAATTTACGCGAAAACGGCCATAAAAAGCAAGGAAAGATTCCTGCTCTGACTAGAATAATTTGCGGGATGACAGAGGCTTGTAAGAAAAAAGGATTTGCATAAGAACGAAGATAGAATTTCAAGTCGGCCTGGGTCGGTAACGATTTTTTAATCACGTTTCAGGTCAAATTTTAACATCTGTGTGGATCATTGCTTTTGAGAAATTGAACCTTTTTCGTGAAATAATATTTCTACTAGTAAAATTCATTCTTATTTTAGACATTCAACTTGCTTTCTTCTCCCAATATTCGGCTGATTTTTCTCCCTACGTGGTTGGAATTTTAACGACATATTTTCATCCCCTTCTGGAAGAGCCAAAAGTTATGTCACCCCTCCTATCTGATGTTTTTTTCCCAGGACACAACCCTTTTTCTTCCAAAAAAACTTAAATCATTTTCTAAAATGCACCTTGCCAATTTCCTCAGCGGCAAAAACATGTGACAAAGGAATGAAAAAAAGCGAAGTGCCTCTCTCGTCACCCAGAACACTCAATATTCAATTGTCTGTAAGTCACGAATGAGCTGGATTTTATTAGTTTTTCTCACTTTCTTGGAGTAACAGAATTCTTGTTATTCAACAGGCGAAAAATTTTTCAGCTGAAAAATCGTGACATCTGGACTTTTTTACGGATTCGGTAAGGAATAAAGTTTGATTAAAATCAACAACGAATAATTTGGAACATCTTGCCAAAACGCATAAAAACATCGAGGATTGAGCATTAAGGGATCCCCCCCTGTTTTTGTAAGTCTTTGATACGGGTCTATATTTGACATTTTTAGATTCCTCGCGTTCTGAGGATCATTTTGATGTGTCACATGACCCCTTTACGAACATCTATCCCCGAAATTTCGGCCTTCAAAAATTGCAAAAATGCATGTAAATTGTACTTAAGTACAAAATAAAGCGTAAAAATCGCAATTTTTTCGACTTTTCAAAGTGATCGAAAATAGTCATATTAGGGGTCTATCGAAAGCTTAGGATGCACTGAGTAAGAATATGAGAACCGCACTAGAATTTCTGGTCATAAATCGGCGCTAGAGAGCTATTAAAAGTCAAATATGTGCCAAAATGGCATCAAAAAGTTATTCCCAAGAAAAATTTTTTCTTACTTGACCAAACGACTTCTCTGTACTAGAGTTTTGAGATTAAACTCTACTCTTTCTAAATCTAGTCGCAGATTTATTCTAGCTAAGCCCAAAAAAAAGTAGTTTGCCGTTGAAAATGGCCGAAAACGGCGTTTTTTCAAAATACGCTAACTTCAGCGCCCCCATGTGGTAGGTTTGCGTTTACGGAATTTTATTTCTGTACTAGAGAATTACCCGCTATGAACGAGCTTTCATTTGCGCTATTGCACGCTTGAAATTGTAAGCCCAAAAAAAAGTAGTTTGCCGTTGAAAATGGCAAAAACGGGGGGGGATCCCTTAAAGTATGATTTTCGAATGAAAGACATGATTATTTTGTTCATTTCCTAAATTTTCTACTTCTTATATTTGTAATATTAAGGATAAACAACAGAAATTATTGAACTTTAAATGAAACTGTTAAAGCACGATTACACAGATATGAATCATATCATATGATGAAATAATTTCAATAAAGATAAATAAATCAAACTTTTTTTTTATTGGCTAAATTTTATATTAAAGAAAAATACCAAAATCGATCAAGACACCCTTAAACTTATCCTTTTTAAATGACCATGAAGATAAGCAGCCCCATAAAATCTCAAATGATCATCAATTATGATTTTCTTGAAATCTGAAAAGTGTTCTTTGGAAAAAACGCTCTAAGCAACGGCCGATGCAAATCGTCTGGTTTATCCTGCTCGGCGATCTTTCAGCTGAATTCAAAAAAATGCGCTCAGCTTTACGCGTGAATCGGCCCAGAACCGCTACACCTGGACTGCTTCTGATTTTTGAATGAGGGAGGAATGGTTTATTTTGTAATTTTGAACTGTTTTTTGGGAAGAAAATTAACAAGGCTTCATCTGGTATTTTGGACGGGAGAGGTTTCGCTCGGCGATATTGAAGATTTCTTCATTCCATAAACCAACACCTGAATAAATTTTATTTGAAATAATTTCTTCGTGATAAAGTCAATTTTGACCAAAAACGTGGTCATTTATGAGTTTTTTGATGCATAAGATTGAGGCAAATTTTTGTTGATTTTTCAGCAAAATCGATAAAATTTGTTCATTTTGCACCCTTGGGACCTGGGCGAGCAGCGCGGAGCCGAACTTCACGGGCTCGCAGCTTATCTTAGAAGTGAGATTTTTAAGAATTTCTTTTTGCAAATCATATCTACAAACATTCAGCTTTCTATACCTACTTTCAAAATTTCTCTATCATTACCGGTTGATGAACTAGAGAGAAAAGAGAAGAGCAACTTCAAAGGCATCAAGTCCTGCAAACCAAATTTTATCTTCCTGAAACTAGCACCATTGAAAAGCCCGTTTAATTCTGCACAGATTCCACCTAATGCGCAAAGCTAAATACGTACTTATCGCCAAGTAACGCCAAATAAACAAAGTTACTTAGCGCGCTCAGCTGGTCGCGGCGCAGAAGGACGCTCTGATGAAGCCATTTTGGCCTTCCGGGACATGATTCCCGCTGAGCGCGCGCTCAGTTATCTTGTTTATCTAGCCTCTATTGCCAATAGGTACTGTCCCGTATTTGCGCATTAGGTGGAATCTGTGCAGAATTAAACGGGCTTTTCAATGGTGCTAGTTTCAGGAAGATAAAATTTGGTTTGCAGGACTTGATGCCTTTTGAAGTTGCTCTTCTCTTTTTCTCTCTAGTTCATCAACCGGTAATGATAGAGAAATTTTGAAAGTAGGTATAGAAAGCTGAATGTTTGTAGATATGATTTGCAAAAAGAAATTCTTAAAAATCTCACTTCTAAGATAAGCTGCGAGCCCGTGAAGTTCGGCTCCGCGCTGCTCGCCCAGGTCCCTTAAGAAAAAGGAAATTTCGGTAAGATATTCTTGATTTTCTGCTTCGAATTATCGTGATCGTGGCACTAAGGATAAAAAATATATCTTGGCCGCGTATATTTTGTTGAATTTCGGGTAGTCTTCGTTGATTTCAATAGTGTAAAAATTCTTCTCTTTCTTACCTTTTCCTTCTTCCGATTCGCCAGAAACAACATCAATCCCGTTTCCCGAGAAATAATCGACTTTGAAAAACTCATCATTTCTCTCCTCTCGTTTGCTGCAGCAGTTTTGAAATAGCAAAAATACAAGAATAATGATCCACGGAGTCGTTCCTATCAAATCTTAATTTATACTAGACTTCGGTCAAGTTATTTTGAACTAACATTGCAATACTGTTGACTTAGTTTCTGGCGGTGTATAAATGTACATTTTTCTCTAGAGACTCTAGCAGAGATTCTGAGTTAAAATTTTTAAAAAGACAATCATTTTTGTCAATTATTTATGAACCATGCTTGCTTGAAGCAACCTCGAAACGCTGAATCAAGAATTTTGCATTGTTTGATTTTCAATTCCGCTGACCTGGAAAAACCTTTATTTTTTTCTGAACTCTCCGTTCTGCTTCTGACAGCAAAAACTTATTTCGCGGTCTGAAGAAGTTTTATGGTAAATCTGGACTTTAGTTTTGACCAAGTGACGTTTTGCTCAATAATAACAGCTTGTTGCATCTGCGTTTTTATTCAACAGAGTCCATATGAGCTTATTTAGAAAATAATCCTGTGCTTTATAAATCCGCCTTCTCGAAGAAAAAATCGGAAAAGTTCGGAATGAACGCTTTACTTTATCAAGGTATCTTGTCACAAGCTGGTGAACCTTACCTTAAAACTTATGAGAATCTCGAAGAAAACTGGGATAAATATCTTCCTCCTGAATTCGTGGATTTTTGGAGAGAAGCTGACAACTTTGCTCATCGAATTGGTCGATCTCTGGTCGATAATCAAATAGAGAAACGATTTTTCGCAAGATACGATCGCACCAAACACAATGTTCAAAATATGACCTTAGGACTTTGGGAAATTTATGGAAACCCAAATGTCACTTGTCATAATGAATCAGACCCGAGATTTTGGATAGACAAAAGAGTTGATGGCGGACTGGTCAAGCTTTATGATCAGAAGATCTACCCAGCAACTGAGTTGCAAATTTTCTGAGCTACAGCTCAGCTCAGCTCAATTATTTTTTTAAAAAAGCCAGCTCAGCTCAGCTCAACGATTTTTTGAAAGGAGCCAGCTCAACTCGGCTTGCTTAATTTTGACTCCAGCTCAGAAAGCTCTCAGAACCATTTTCAATTGGTCTATCTTTTTAAAATTTTCAAAAATTTGCAACTCAGCCAAGCAAAAAATGTTTACAATTTGGTGAAATTGATTGAACTTTGGATTGAGGATTTCTTATGTTTAACCGAAGCTTCTGTCTTGAAAATCGTCAAGACTTTGCGCGGCTATTCAAGTTACTACAGCGCGCTCCGGTCGAAAGAATTTGGGATGGCGAGGAGACAGATGAACAAAATCAGCAGAAACATCAGATTTCTTCGCTTCTATGCTAGAGAGAGAAATCCAAAAGTAGGACCGCAACCAATTGAGCTCAAAAGATCAGAAAGACCAATGAGTTACAGAGATGCTTTTTTATTTTGTCGTGTTCGAAATATGTGGTTTCCAGACCGTCAAACTTGGCGAGAAGAAAGAAGACTGTCAGAAAATTGGAAAGGCTACGAATATTGGTTCGATCACGCAAAACTTGCTCCAAAGAGCAAGTATTATGATGATAACTACGATAACTGTTATACAATAAGAAACGATTATGATGATAAAGGGACATTTTTGCGCAACTGTGATGATCTCTTTTACGCTGTTTGTATGAAAGGGCAAGTCGCTGATCCCAGAAAACATAAGAAAAAAGATATAAATGTAAAAAAGAATGTCTCTTTCAATCGAAAATATTTTTAGCTCGGCTTTCAAATGCTTGTTTTTTCAAACGGACGTCAAGAAGCCTCAGTTTATTCTTCTGATGCATTGAGTAGAACCAAGACAAATCTTACGTCACCTTATTTTGATGGAAATGTTCATGCAATTATCAGAAATGAGCTTTACTTGTTTTCAAATCCGATAAATGTGAGTGATTTGCATCATTTTTTTCTTTTGCCAAAATTAAGGTTGTCAAACTGGACGGATGCGATTTTGAATCTCTCAATATTCATATGAAATATTTTTACGAAGGCTTTTCATCAGCTGTTGCGATAGAAAATGGCACCAAAGGTAAAAATCGAAGTTTTTGTCCCTTTTTGATTAGACTTAGCACTTGTTTGTTTCCCTTACGCAACGAGCCACTTATCCGACGCTAGTCTTACTGAATGCGAAATTTTCGATACAGTCAAAATCGAAATTACTTTTTCATCGAATTATACTCATTATTTTGGTGGGCTTGGGCTCTACAAGGGAAAACCCACTACTGTTGGAGGACTTCAACTTGGAGGAGATTTTTCTTCCAAATTCGCGATAGAAACGTATTCCCAATCTGGTTGGGAGTACATTGGGGAAATTCCAAGGTATATACTAAGCTCCCCAAAAACCTAACCCTTCGAAGAATGTTAATTATAAACATAGAAAGACTTGGGCTCATGCCCTTGTTGGTTTCAATGATAATCTTATTCTTGCTGGTGGAGTCGATGAAGAGCGAGATTTATCGAGCGAGATTTGGCTTTTCAAAGATGATTACTGGAGTCATATTGGAAATTTAATCGAGGTTAGGCTTACTTACTTTCCCTGAGTTTAAACTTTTCTTTTGGCTGACAATTATCTGTCGGGAATTGTTGTTGGGTCTTCAATTGTATTCACCGGGTACTCGAGAAGTCATTTTTACGAAGACGCAATCATTCAACGACTTGACATGAAAGAAGAGGAAATAGAAAACGTTGAAATAATCGGCACCGCTGAAGCTTTCAATTATTATCCAATCTTTATGGAAGTTCAAGCTGATTTTTGTCTTTGAAAATAAACCGTTGGGACATGCTTGAATTAGATTATCATTAATTTACAGAAAAAAGTCGTTTTTATAGAACAGCAGAAATTCGCGATTGAAGAATATGTTCGCTTGAAGTCGAAATTTCCGAAATCAGCTTCGAGTTTTTGAAAATCAGCCAAGTAGGAAAAGAGGCGATCGAGTACTTCTTTCTGATGTCGTAAGCATTATCGTTTATCGCGGCTAAAAAGAGCGCTAGAACTGGAAGAAGGGGAAAAGTGCCTCACCAAATTTGATGTTTTCGTATTTTTTCGCAATCTCTGGCAGCTCCTTTTTGATATTTCTGCACAATCTGCTCCAGTCTGCCAGACAGACGCCAATAACAACTTCTTCTTTTTCGATCAGCTTTTCTAGCTCTCCGTAATTTTTGATCTCGATCATCTTTTTGAAAGTTTTTTAGTTCTTGAGAAAAATGGAAACATGAAGGTTATATTGGCGAGTATATTTACTTGAAGCAATTATTGCCCCTTTTGTCCTTTAGAAGCGATACTTGCGTAAATACCGCGCGTCAGAGAAGCCACCTGACTGTATGTTACTACACGACAGCGCACTGTAAGTACAAAAGAACAGCTGACGTAGCTTCGAAATGCAAATAGAAAGATGAGTACTCGAGTCAAAGATTCTCAAACTTCAAAAGAGCAAATTTGAGAAGGAATTTTAGAGCGGATTTACGAAATCTTATCGCTAGTAAAACTGCGTCGATTTTGTGATAGAATGAATGGAAAAGAGGTTGTTTTGTCTGAATGTGTTGCTAGTGTATTTTGAAGAGCAGGGAATGGAGAAAAAAGCAGAGATAAGTAGGTGTAACGGTAGAAAAATCAACCCATCCTACCGTTACATCTAGAGATAAGGGCATCGGCTTTGAATTATGATTGAACGAATCTTGGATCGGAAATTCGACGAGTTGGCTTTTTGGAAATCGGCGGTTTTGGCTCGAAAGTTCGCTTCGAATCGGCGCTAGAATATGCTCGAAAAGCAGACTGGCGGTCGACAGAACTTCTGCGAGGCAACCGTCGGTCGTTCTGAAAAAAAAAATCTTCGTTGATTTCAATAACGAAAAAGAAGAATCAAACCTGATGGTCACCATCGCCCCTCTCTTCTCTCGGGGTCTCACTGATTTTGAGAGCAGAAAGTCGATCAATCGGTTCAAGCAGAGTTCGGGACCCTGGATGTCGTCGATCTCGACTTTTTCTCGGCCGGTGACGATTTTTATGACGCTCCTTTTTATCAGCGCTTTTGCTGTTGCTCTTTTTTCTTGATTCTTTTTTCCCATCATCTCGTTGTTTTTCTTCCCGGACTGCTACGACGCTTGGTTCTTCGTCTCTTGAATAAAATTGGAGAAAAAAGTAAAAAAAACAACGAATTACCTTTCGTTTATCACAGAAACCGTCGGACCTTCGCCTTGTTCCCAATCAAACGGCTCCGTTTCTTCAATACCATTTCTTTCAATAGCATTGTCGAGAAGCGAAAAGAGATAATCATAGTCAGGCTTGATAAAATAATGTTGATGTCGATAATTTATGCGTATTTCCAACCTTGACTTCATATTTGAGATTTTGAATGTGCTTCAAAAAGGGTTGAAATTCATCAGGAACGTTTTCGTGCCTTAACAGTTCTTCGTGGCTGAAGGTTCTTTTGATCTGGCCGACTTGGTCCTTGTCCTTGATTTTTCGCCAAGGAAGTTGGCCGATGAGCATTTCGACAAGCATGTAGAACAGGGACCATAAATCGTCATGTCGGCCCAGTTCGCTGTTGTTGTGCGCGTTTACCGATGTGTAGCTAGGTTGAAAGTGAGTCAACGAAAAAATTGTGAGGGAATTTACCGGACAGTTCCGCGAAAACCAGCGATAGAACGAGGCTGACGAACGTTTCCGGAAGAATCGATGTATTGTCGGGCGAGACCGTAGTCGAGCATATAAACTCTTCTACCGATGATAGCGAAGTTTGATGGTTTCACATCGCGATGTAGAAAGCCGACGTCGTGGATGTCTCTGATTGCTTGCAGAAGTTGCTGACCAAGGCGCAGAGTGGTGGATAAAGAAAAGGTTCCTAAAATTATAGAAAAAGATGAAACAGTATCTTCATTTTCTACCTTTTGGTTGTGCTCTTCTAAGTTCCGCCAACGATTTGCCGACCAAGGTCATGACGATGTAATTGAACCTGATCTCTCTTCCGCAGCCGAAAAACTTGCACACATGTCTTGACTTGTTTTGGAGAGCTTTCAACACCGCTACTTCCATCTTCAGGACCTTAGCAACTGTAATTTCCATGTCTCAAACTGAGTTGGCAAACCTGCTTTGATTGTTCTGCTGATTCAAGTTTGATCGCGACTTTTTCTCCTGTTTCAACGAAAAGCGACTCGTAGATCTCGCCAAAGCCGCCGCCACCAATCTTCTTGATAATTTTCCATTTGCCTAGTTGTATCAATTTATGAAAAAATACGATAGGTACCTTTGATCATCTGATCGGGAAGCAGGAGATCAGGCTGTTTTTCTTCAGTCTTTTTCGTGTTGCTCGGCATTTTTTTTTGTTGGTAATCTGATAATTGAAAATAAATGAAATAAATGAGTCTGGCGCTGCTGGCTTTTTCGCTGCCGAGAACTGGCTAATTAACTTTCTGTAATCACAATAAAAAAATAATCTAGAGACAAAATCAAGTTCAAAAATTCTCTTGCTGAAATTGTGTTTATTAAATTTGCAACTTTTCAATTATTTATAATTTTCATCAGCTTATGAGTAGATTTATGAGTCGCCTCGAAGTAATGCGATTATTCAAGATTGAACCTTTATGATGAATAAATTGATTTATTTTGGATGTTTACAGACGGGAATTGATCCACTCTTCCCATCAACTCTTTTCGCTGTTACAGTAACTCGTTCTGCCTTTGCATTGACCATATAAAAACTCGGAGTACAGTCACCATAAGCCATCCTTTCTCCGTTCGGACCCCAGTATTCCTTTGAATTCCAAGAGTTCTGGCTTGAAATGGAAGTCATTACATATTGCTGAACCGGGCCATAAGCTGGTGGAACGTTTTCGAAATGAGTGTGGCCGGAGAAAACCGAATCGACACCGTTTTCTGAGAATTGGGAAAGAAGTTGGTTTCTGTAAGCGATCGGGATAGATTTTTCTTTCAATTCGGAAGCTTCAATTTCTTCTGGGTTTTCGATATAAAGCGCTAGAAAAAGAGATGAAAGGGAAGAAAAATAAGCGAAGAAATACCTTTGTGCATGAAAACAGTCTTTGGCGCGTCGCTAGGGAGCAAATTAAGAGTATTCATGATAAAGTGCTCCTGTTCTCGAAGCCTAGTCTGGGCAAATCCGTTTACCAGAAAGTAAACTTGAGTTTCGAGTCCGATAAAATAGCGGTTCCCAGCTTTGAACCAAAAGTTTTTCTCGTGAAACAGTTTTTCAAAGCCAAGCATGTCATTTGCCTTGTATTTTTCGTTTCCGTCATCGCGGTTGCCACTGACGGCGAATTGTGGGATGTCCTTTGGGCAAGAGCGCATTGCGTCCATGTATTCGGAAACTTGGAATGGCCGGAGTTCAGGATTCGAGCCAGGATTGCTGGCTCCTTCGTCGTGTGGCAAACCGTGAGCGATATCGCCCAAGTTGACGATGAAAGCAGGTCTCTCGGAACTGGGCATCGCGCTGATTTGCCGACACATTTCTTCGATTCTCTCGATGTCGTAAGAAACATCTGTTCCATCGCCATCTAAGTCCTCTTTGTCGTACTTGCCAAATTGCGCATCGGCGAAGACGGCGAAATTGAAGTCGTCCTTGTTTTCAATAAAGGACTCGTACTCGCTAAAGTCGATGAAGTTGTTCTCACTGGTAGGAATATTAATCAAACGGGCCGAAGAAAAAGCGAAAAGAGCGCTTTTCAACAACATTTTCTTCAAGAACAAAATCTTCTGTCAAATGACGCGAAAAATACAGCTGTCTAAGTCCCATGAAATTTTCCAGAAGAGAAAACTCACAGTGTTCCTAAATGACTCTAAATTCATCAGAAGAATATTCAAAGAATTGAAAATTTTGATTTTTTATGTAGAAAAAATCGTAAATGACCAACAAAATCCGCGCTAAAATTCAACCCTATTCGTTTTTTTCCAGCTTCTTTTGTTCGATTTCGCGAAGTTTTCGCGTTTTCGGATTTCGATCAGATTTGGCAGCGGATGGATCCGTGGGCGCCGAATATCGGATTTACTCGTGCAGGTGATCGCATTTTACAACTACCGGAGAGAGAAGAAAGCAGAAACAATAATCGTTTATTGCTGCGCGCAAGTGCATTTGGCAGCTTGATAAACTACTTCTGAGAGACGAGAAAAAGAGACCTGAAAATTATTAAAAAGAAAAAAGGGAGGAAAAATGGGTTGGAGAAAGCTTTTCTCGTCGTTGGGAATTATCTTGTTCTCTTGGATAGGTAAGTTTTACGGAGACAATATGAAATTGACAAAATACTTTTATCTTGAATAAGGGGCTCTAATGACTATTTTCAGGATGCGCTTTACTACTTGTCGGTCTTTGCTTACACCCTCTTCTGGAAATCACCGACCCAAATGAAACCTCAGAATCATTAAAAATTTCCCTCTGGAAAATCCAGCGCTCGAACGACTCGATCTCCAGCTGGTCTGCCTATTCTTCCTCTTCCCCGATTCCGATTCAAATTGGCTGCGCTTCGATTGTTATTTCCGCCGTTTTTGGATTTCTGACCTGTGTGCGGCTGAATAAAGAATCGGCTTCGACATGCTCGTTTTTCGCAATTTTAGCGAGCTTTTTCAGCGTGACGGCGATGCTGGCAATTCCTGTTGCTGTTTTGGCGCATTTTGTGATTGTCAAGTTTTGTTTTACGTTCTGGCTAGCTGTTGCTGGATCTTCGGTTTTGTTCATTATTGGTAGAGACTCTTCTCCTTTTTCTCTTTCCAACCTCGTTCAGGTCTATTTTCTCACGCCAATCGAGAATCAATTCACTCAACTGGAACCTGGACATTCATCAATTTTCTATTTGCTATTTTCTCCCTTGGCTCCTGCACACTCATCGCCATTTCCACCTCAAAGCCAACCTTCGGCAACTCTGCTGGTTACTGTTCGAACTCTCCAGCTTCTTGTGAAGAATTCCTGCCAAGAACTTCCGTTGGCTTGTGGGAATACTGTATCTATTCAGGCTCGGGCTCTAGAAAGAAAGAAAAAAAAGTTTTTTGACCACGATGGGACTCGAACCCACAACTTCCTGATTCGAAGTCAGACGCCATATCCATTAGGCCACGCGGCCACGGGAGCATGACTGTAAGCTTTGAGCCACGAAAAAGATTTAGAAAAGAATTTCATTTGCTACAGTTGGAATAATGACACCTCGAAGATATATAAAAATTGGCCACTGAAGCTTATTTTCAGCTTTTTCATGATCTCCCTTATTTCATCTTTTCTGGCTTGCATCTTCAAATTTCTGCGTTCTCATCTGAGAGGTCTTGCGATCGGCTTGTGCTGCCTCTCTCTTGGCTCTGGAGCATCAGCACTTCTTCTTATGACGTCTTTCTTGAGCTCTTTCTTCGGGACTGGAGAAATAACCGACTTCAACTACACAACGGTCTATCCAGGAGAGGCATATTTCCTGGCGATTGGGGGAGTTTTAGCGATTTTCTTCGCGCTAGTGCTCGTTACTGTTGAGCCTGTTTGTACTGTTGGAGGAGAAAGGGTATGTAAAGAAGGGAAAACACTTAATCAAGCGAATTTTAGGAAGAAATAAGTCCAAGACAGTTCATTTATGATGTCTTTGACGCATTTTCTTTGGACAAGCGTAAGTTTAGATCAATTTTTATGCTTGTTTCTGGAGAACCAGAAGTTTTTGAATGTAAAAATTTCTTATTTGTCTCTCTTATCAAGAAAATCGACTGACAATCTCTTCAGTGGAAGATGAACAACCAGAAACACAACCAAAAAGTATCGCAATGTGACCAGTCGTACGGCTTCTTCAAAGACAAAAGTGAACAAATGGGTGAGAACATTTCCTTCCCCAGTTTTTCAACCTCCTTAAGTGAGTCAGTCCTCCACCACGAACACCATTTCCGGCCTGGACACCCGCAAACCCGGCGAGCCCGTGCGCATGACCCTAGAAGACCTGAACCCAAGCCAGGCTGGCACTCCAATTTATCGCCCAAAAAATGCTCTAGAAATTTTCTAAATCACCACTGCCACCACTGTTTTTATCATTTTTGTAAATATAGTACAAACAAACTCAGCATCTATTTAAATTTCTAAAAGCTTGACGAAAATTATGAATCAGAGGATATTATTTTATGCATCGACCTTTTTTGGATCATAGAAAAATGGCGCGCATGAATTTTTCTCTTTAGGGAAGTTAAGAGAATAACTCCACGCTATTCCGCATTTTTAAAAGACAGAGAATAAAGAAAAGGGATGAAGATCGCTTCGAGCCTTCTTTCCTCGCTGGTTGTTACTGTTGCTTCTCAGGGTGCTATTTTCTTTGCGTAAGTACGCATTGCCTCTTCATTAATTTTATGCAGCGATAATTTTGCCTATAATTTTCATAAGAAGCTCCTTTCTTTAGCCCTGATTCTCCAGATGTCCGAGCGCGAGCACCAAGTAGTGGAGGCTTCCCTTCCCAAAATCGGCCAACTATGCAGCAGCGCCCAACTCAGCGACCATTCGGCCAAAGACCAGTAGGTCAGCGCCCAGTTAGCCAGACTCAAAATCGTCCACCCGTCCAAAACCGACCTCAACAACAAAATCGTCCGACAACTCGACCAACTCCTCGACCAACAACGCGCGCCACAACGAAGAAAACAACAACGACGGAAGAACCAACGACAACAACATTTACGACCACAACGACTGTCGAAGACACCACACTAGAAAAGATCCAGGAAGTCGTTGTCGATGAAGCCGGAGAGGAAGGACCAGGAGAGGGAGAACGAATGTGGGGAAATTACAACAACAACAATTATAACAACCAGTACAATCAGCAGAACTACAATCAGCCGAGCCAGAACTACAATCAGAACAATAACTATGATGCGGTGAGTCATGAAATCAAAGAGGAAAATTGATCTTTATGTAGGGAGCTGGTGGTTATGCTCAAGCCGATCCTCATTTCATGGTCGAAACTCTTGGCCAGCCCCCAATTTGCTTCGACTACGATCCTGAAACACTCGACGATCTAGTCCTCTTTTCCGATCCAAGCGGACTCTCCCTGGTCGCCCAAATGTTCGAAAATGAAAAGGGACATAAATTCATCAAATCGGTCAACATCCGCTCTCCTGAGGGAGAATCCATCACCATCAGCGCTGAAAATGGTCTCGAAACCGAAGTTAAAGACATGGAAGAGTCTGGAGAAGGATTTGTCGTTGGAGATTTGAAAATCAAAAGCAACTGGTAGGTCTCTATTTTGGAAGAAAAATAATAGTCTCTAGGAATGGAGTTCATGAACACACTCGCGTACACATTCATGGAGGACCAGCTTTTGCGATTATTTCCAATACGATCAAAAGGAATTTGGAGGTTAGATGCTCTAGAAATTCGTTGCGTGAAAGTTTTAGGTTTCTGTTGAACATGGACAAGTCGAGGAATTCGACAAAGTTAAGGGTATCATCGGCGCTTTTATGAACAACAACGCTTATGTTGTCGTGCCTAAAGAAGATGGAACTGCCTCTGTTCTTATTGGGTAAAGAAAAGGCACCAATGAAAATGATAACATTTTCCTTTCAGTGGTGAAGAATTCGCGGCTGTGGAAGAACGATACCACTTGACCCCGAAATGCTGGGTTTTAGACACAACCGATGCGCTCAATATTCTCCAGCTTGTTTGAAATTTGTAATTCTAATAAATTTGTTCACAAAAATTGTCATGAAGTCTCATTCAGGGTCATATGCTAATCCTAAATCTTTAATCTTGACCACAACTGTATCAGAATTAATAAAAGGTACGACACAGAATAGTTCTGTTTCAAACAGAATGGTTCTGTCCACAGAATTTTTCTCTCCCCCCCAGCCGAGTAAGGTTTCTGAATCATTTTTGTGTCCATAGAAGGAATAACAAACGCAGCGAGAAATTGCTTTTCAACAAAAGTAAATAAGCTTTTCTGCGAGAAAATTAAGAATGAGAAGGATATCCTGCATATTTCCGCTTTTTGTCTCTTTGTTGTTGGCACTCAAGTCGGTTCCTGGACGTTTGTTTACGTATTCGGTTCAACTGGCTAAACTTGAATTTGGAAGAGTTGATTTTCTAAAAATTGGGGTTGTTGGATGTAGAATTGTTTGTTTGCATTTGCATAGAAGTTCTGCATCATTTAGGTTTCTCGGATCTTCTGATGGTTGAGGGGGGAAGGAGTGATTTCATCAGTGGATGGATCGGTGTCTTCTTCTTCAGCGCAGCCTCTGGATCGAATCGAGAAAATCTTGACTTAATCTTAAATAAATCTTAAATAAAAACATTCTGAAACGAGAACGTGAGGGTGAACTTGATCACGTTTTGTTCGAGACTGCCTCTGCAAAAGCGCGATTAAGAGAGTGCAAACAGAAAAAGAGGCAGCGAAAGCTCAATAACAATACTTCCTCAGAAAAAATAAGAGAAAAAAATGAGGGCAATTATTTTTGGAATATGGCTCCTCCTTGTCGGAATAGCTGCTCAGTCGAGGGAGAAAAGGAACTACGGAAGTGTTTGTTCGAAGGAGTTTTCTTGCAGCGATTTTTGTCAGAGCTCGGAAGGATCAAAGTACCAAAATAACTCAAAAAGATGCAACAGAAACGCGGAAAAAATGGAGAAAAAATGCAAAAGAAGATGCAAAACAATTGATTGTCTAGAAATTTGCAGGAATTGATTTTTACTTACACGAAAACTAATTAGCTTAATTAAAAAAAAAGTAAAAAAAAACCGCTAAAAGAAAAACCTTTGAGGAAGAAATCAGCAAGTGCCCCTGCTTCAATTTTTCTGACGACCAGAGTTGCAAATTTTGTGAGCTTGCTCAGATAGCTCAGCTCAGCTAAATTTTTTTGAATAAAGCCAGCTCAACAATTTACAGAAAAGCCCAAGCTCAGCTCAGCTAAGATCAATTTTTTTGAAAAAAACAGCTAAGCTCAGCTCAGCTTAGTTGTTTTTGAAAGAGGCCAGCTCAGCTAAATTTCGACCTCAGCTCAGCAAGCTTAGCTCAGAGGAAATTTTAAAAATTTGCAATTCTGCTGACGACTGCGATTCAAAAATCTCCACTTTGCGAAAGAAGGCAAATTCTTTCAAAGAAGAAAACGAAAGAAAAACTGCTTTGTTGATTGAGAAAAATGACGAAATCAGACGGCTAAAGGAAGAAAATAGAAATCTTCGAGCTTCGAAAATCCAAAGATGCGAAAATCAAGATGACGATTTGGAAGAAATGAAGAGACCCGAGGAAGACCTTGATGAATCAAAAACAAGGCAAGTAACTTTATACTATTTGTGGACGAAAAATGAAAAGAATTCGTTCAATCTTTTCTTTAGAATCGATATATTGGACGAAAATATTCAATCTCAAAAAATTCGAAATCAAACCGGCGTTTCCGAAAGATCTTTTCTCGAAGCTCCAAATTCGAAAGAGAATGAAAAGGTAAAAAACAGTCCGAGCGGCAGGCGTTAATACATTATATGTATGTCTTCTGCGCCAATAAGCGGCAAGGGTCGGCGCCGACCACCATTTTTCATGGTCGGTTTGGTCGGTCCCCGTGAAAAGAGGCCGAATCCGTGGTCGGTTTGGTCGGTCGGGTCGGCTTTTTTTGGCCGGTCCTTCGGATAAATCATAAATCGGATCAAGCTTTGTCGAGTATTAGCTCGAAAGTGAAGTTTTAAAAGAGTAAAAAATTGTAATTTCACAAAAAGCTTTCCTTGTAGAGTACTTTTTTTGAAGATTTTGAATCAGAAAGCGAAAATAATTTAATCTGACCATACTTCATATAACTTATATGATATAAGCCTGATCCCAGACGAGAAAATTCGGGTACCAATTGGAACTGTCTACTCAGAATATAGTTCACAAAATTGTGCCAAGAAAAAAGAGCAGACAAAAGACAGCGCTCGAGGCTTTCGAATCGAAGCATTTTACTGTAACAGTAGATTTGCCCTGAAAAGTAAGATTTTCAAGAGCTTTAGCGCGGACTCGCCGTCGATTTTTTCTCCTTTCGCCGGAGAGAATTGAATAAATCGCACAATGCGTAGGTTTAAACCGACCAAAAACAGACCAACCAATTCAAAAAGTCATAATCAATGGTCGGTCCGGTCGGTGCCCCTATCAATCCGACCATTTCCGACCAGGTCGGGTTTTTAGTCGGGTCGGTGCCGACCCTAGATTAGCAGTGCGATTTCAAGCATCGGGGCCTGTTGTTGCTCGGCAACGGGTCAAACTATTCGCAAACTTTTAATTATTTCCCAAGTACCTTTTGATAATGGGCGATGACTTGGACGACTCATTCTTAATCTCACTCGATGGATCAACATCGACGGATGCAACAATTACAGGTCCTTCCGACGACTACCTAGAATGGGCTTGTCATGCTCTTATTAAGAACGAGCTCTTCGTTTTTGGTGGAAGAACGGAGAAACAACAAGTTATGACGTTTAGTAATTTTGTAATAATTAAATACAGATTGCGAAATTGACTGGCTGCGAGTGGGAAGAGCAGTCGACAAGATTGATCTATAGGATGAGTATTCTTTCCGCAGCACTGACGATCGAAAATGGCGATAAAGCACTTATTTGCTTTAATTACGGCGAAGGGAAGAGATGTGAAATTTTCGATGGAGAAACTTCAGCTACGACACATGCATCCAAATTTGCCCATAACGGAGGCAAGCTAGGTTTCTACAAAGGGCACCCAACAACTGTTGGGGGCTCTCAAGATAGTAATCGGGTCGAAACTCTTAATTCTGAAGGCTGGTCCTCTTTAGCCGATTTCCCAAGGTATTCTTGAAGGAATTATTAATTTCAAAAAATATTTAGCGAAATACAATATCATATTTTGATGGGCCTTCCAAGTGGAAGTCTTTTGCTTGCCGGAGGAGAAAATGATCAATCTTATAGTCAAACAGCAATTTGGCTTCTTCAAAACAACAACTGGAATAAAATTGGGGATCTTCAATACGTAAGTTAAAATATGTCAAGGATATAGCCGCTCCAGAAGAACACTCGTAGCTCGAAAATGGGACGGTAGATTTTTTTCATTTCAAAAGTAAAGAGTCATAGTCGGTTACGGACAAGAGTGATCTCCAGCCCGAGAAAAAGATGAGGTGGAGGGCCGTACTCAGCAGCGCTGGCGTCTTTCTAACGCTGCCGCACTTGCCCACACTCACCCCCTCACGAAGTGAGAAGAGCTTTATTGGTTTTAAAAGTGCTTCTGGAGCGGCTTTATTCTTAAAACAGAAAATTTATATTTTAATTCAGGCTGACAACACGGGATCCGCAATTATGATCAAAAACTCAATTTTCATTGTCGCCGGCGAATTTAAAAATCCAGCACCAATTCAACGACTCGACTTTGAAGGAGATGAACTGGTCAAGACCGAATATATTCACGGCACTCGTTTTAGTTGGGTTCCTGTTCTTCTTGAGGTCTCTCCTGATTATTGTGTCTAATAATAAATTCTCAGATAAAATGTCTATATTTTTATTTTATTAAATTTTATTATCCCTGTTGCTATTAATAATAATAGCCTATTATCCTTAATTGTTGTTTGTAAAAATCATTTTTTTTGAAAAAAAAAACAATTATTGATTCAATGCAAGAGCCAATACGGAGAATGTCACAGCAAATGCATTGATGACATGAGCTACGCTCTATTACAGTGAAAACACAAAAATTGGCCGGTTTTTAGATCCTCATTCAAGAAAAAAGCGGCCAAATTTTGAGTTTTTTTTCCAGATAGCCAAGAGTCCCCTTCTAAGAAGCAAATTTTCGAAATTTTCGAAAATGGGCATGATTTTCACGTTTTTGAGTAATTTTATTCAAATTTTTGCTTGTTTGAAGACATTTATTTTAGAAATTGTCATTTAAGATAATTTAAACACTCTAAAAATGCCCAGGAATAGCATTATTTGGGCGCAATTTTGATCCAAAATTTTCTATTTTTGAAAAAGCGGCCAGTATTTTTCAGATTCTAAAATCAGTCAATTTCGACCAAAACCGGCCAAATTTCGAGTAGGCAAAATTTTGAGTTTTCACTGCACGGCTGTGGATATGCCGCGAATGACTGCGTCATCATTTGTCCATGCAATTCAGAAGATGAGTGTCCTGATGCCGCAAAATGTCGAAATAATTTTACGGGTACCGATACAAGGAAGAAATTAACAACAACGGAAGAACCAACGAAAACAACGTTTACCACCACAACAACTGTCGAAGACACTACACCAGAAAAGATCCAGGAAGCCGTTGTTGATGAAGCCGGAGAGGAAGGACCAGGAGAAGAAGAACAAATGTTGGGAAACTACAACAACAACAATTATAAGAACCAGTACCTAGGGTCGGACTTCCTTCCTTTATTTTTTGCTTACTAAGGGTCCTTCCCTTAGTAAGGTAAGGATTTTTTCCTTACCCTTTTTCGGATTTCGGCTGAAAAAAATCCTTACCATAGTTCCTTTCTGAGTTTTCAGAGATCCTTAGTAAGGATCTTCAATCCTTAGCGATTTTTCCTTAATTCCTTTCCTTACTAAGGATTTTAAAAAGGATTTTTTCGACGGCCTACGCATTTGGAGGGCGCTTTTATTAAAAAACCTTTTCACAAGCCTTAGTAAGGAAAGGAATTAAGGACGAGTTGTGAAGGAATTTAAGAAAAATGTCTCTTGCCAACTTACTGACTGCAAAAAAATAACCAATTGTTCGAAATATAGGGTCGTTGACTTAAATAAATGCTATTTTCATCGATAAGAACATTTTTGCAAATCGTACCTTATCAAATCCTTACTAAGGTTACTAAGGCCTTAGTAAGGAAGGCCCTTAGTCCTTCCTTAGGCCTTTCTTGATTTTCATCAAAATCAAAACCCATACCCTTAGTAACTAAGGAAACCTTAGTAAGGGGTCCGACCCTAGACCAGTACAATCAGCAGAACTACAATCAGCCGAGCCAGAACCACAATCAGAACAACAACTACGACGCGGTGAGTCAAAACTTTGAAATCGAGAAAAAAATGAGCGCTTTTTGTAGGGAGCTGGTGGTCACGCCCAAGCCGACTCAAGCCCAAACTCTTGGCAAGCCTCCAATTTGCTTCGACTACGATCCTGAAACCCTTGACGATCTTGTTCTGCCCTTCGATCCAAGCGGACTGTCCTTTGTCGCCAAAATGTTCGAAAATGAAAAGGGACGTAAATTCCTCAAATCGGTTAATATCCGCTCTCCTGAGGGAGAATCGATCAACGTCAGCACTGAAAATGGTCTTGAAACCGAAGTTGAAGACATGAAAGAGTCTGGAGAAGGATTCGAAACTGGTTGCGTGAAAGTTTTAGGTTTCTGTTGAACATGGACAAGTCGAGGATTTTTACAAAGTAAAGAGAATTATCGGCGCTTTTATGAATAACAACGCTTATGTTGTTGTGCCTAAAGAAGATGGAACTGCCTCTGTCCTTATTAAGTAAAGAAAAAATCGCCAATGAAAATGATAAAATGCTGTTTTCAGAGGGGAAAAATTCACTGCTGTGGAAGAACGATACCACTTGACCCCGAAATGCTGGGTTTTAGACACAACCGATGCTCTCAATATTCTCTAGCTTGTTTGAAATTTGTAATTCTAATGTGTGGGATGACTAGGTTCGTGGGGACTAGGTTCGTGGGACTAGGTTCGTGGGTGTCTGGCTGGAAAAGGTGGTTCGTGGGACTAGGTTCGTGAGTTTTTGATTTTATATGTATATTTTTATTTATAATGATTGAGTATTATTTATATGTATATATTTATTTATATATATTTATATGCATGAATTGTAATTGTTAATGATCATATAATATAATATTGTTATCTAAATATAGGTTCGTGGGTTTTTGATTGGTTATAATTTTTATTCTATAAGGAAAAAATATGTGCGACTAGGTTCGTGGGACTAGGTTCGTGGGTTTTTAATTGGTAATTATTTTTATTCTATAAGGAGAAATTATGTGCGACTAGGTTCGTGGGACTAGGTTCGTGGGTTTTGAAATTTTTTTATAAGGAAAAGTGAAGTGCGACTGGGTTCGTGGGACTAGGTTCGTGAAGACTAGGTTCGTGAAGACTAGGTTCGTGAAGACTAGGTTCGTGGGACTAGGTTCGGGAAGATTAGGTTCGTGAAGACTAGGTTCGTGAGACTAGGTTCGTGAGACTAGGTTCGTGAGACTAGGTTCGTGGAATTTGGATTTTTATATGTATTTTTTTATTTTTTTGTTTGTTATGGTTAGGCTTTAAATAATCTAATGGGAGAGCTATACTCTCACCATTTTTTAACCATGAAGTATGGCAACCATTGTTATTCAGCGCTAACATAGAAATTCAGTTAAAGAGCCTAGCGGCTTATTTGGGGGTGGGGTGGGAAAGTCAATTTTTACCATTCAACTTTACCAATATTTAAACCCACGAACCTAGTCCCACGAACCTAGCCGCATTTTATTGTTCTTTATAGAAAAAATTTCAATTAAAAACCCACGAACCTAGTCCCACGAACCTAGTCGCATTTTATTGTTCTTTATAGAAAAAATTTCAATTAAAACCCACGAACCTAGTCCCACGAACCTAGTCACACTTTATTCTTCCTTATAGAAAAAAATTCAATTAAAAACCCACGAACCTAGTCCCACGAACCTAATCGCATTTTATTGTTCTTTATAGAAAAAATTTCAATTAAAAACCCACGAACCTAGTCCCACGAACCCAGTCCCACCACATTGTTCCTTATAGAATGGAAACTATAACCCATCTTGCCCTAGTACATTGGCCTATTTAATCAAAGCTTGCTCAAGTTCATCACCACAAAACTATGAGGTCGAAATTGTTTTCAATTTTCGCTGGAATCGCGGTCGAGGCTCACTTATCACCGAAGACTCAATTTTGCCCGTAAGTTCAGAACAGATCATAATTTTCGGAAAATATTTTCATTTTTTACTGAAAAACTGGTCATTGTCTATTTAGTTATGAAAATTTTTGTTTGACGTGTGAGGCAAAATGCAAAGCCGAATACGGGGAATGCCACAGCAAATGCATTGATGACATGAGCTGCGCCCTGGCATGTGGATATCAAGCGATTGATTGTGTGATACTTTGCCCTTGTAACTCGAAGGAGAGGATTAAATGTGAAACGTAAAGATTATTATTAACAGACTCTGACGAACAGAGAAATCATATTTTGAGCATAATTTTCTCTATTTTTGAATAGTACTTACTATTGAATCGGAACACGAAAGGATCCACGGAAGGACCCATGCCCTGACAATCGCGATGCACAAGGAAGATGCTGTGATGAACCTGAAGCAACCTGTAAGGACACGAACGTCTGCGAAAAGCCCCAGGAAAATAATCCGAACTACATGCGTTGTATGGATCGGGCGAGTGGCGCTTTCTCTGCTTGCATCAAGGTTTAGTCATCTGTTAGAGCATTCGTAATAAACTAAGGTCTGCTCTGCGAATTCAACCTGCTACGATGATTGTTGCTCAGCATTCGACAAGAAGGTCGAGGACTGTCCTTGCAACGCAAACTGCGATACTGGATGTGCTCCTAAGACCTCTTGCACGGGATCCTACCAATGCGACTTTACGCTCACAAAGGAAAACGTCAGAGGTTTGAGAGATCTGGGTTATATTTGAATTAAAAATATTAAGACGAGGACACATTATCCTCCTCTTTGTCTCCGTTCAAATTTCAGGGGTCATTCTTCATTTTCAATGATGACGCTGAACGGAGTCGCTTCAAATAAACGAGTAAAAATTCCCTTAAAAAGAAAGATTGTTAACAAATATAAGATCGGGCTTCTTCAAAGGTCACAAATTTCAAATTGAGCTCTGGAGCTCTGGAGAATACAAGATCAATAATTTTGAAGAATAAACTATATTACTTTGGGGGCAAAACAGCCTCACTTTTATACCCATTGAAAGATTGGTCAACGCTCTATACCTACGATAATGAAGGTGAAGATTTTAAGTTGTCATTTGATATTATTATTATTATCTTAAGTTTACATCTGCTTCGGATCGTACAACAAAGACTTTAACTACCGTAACACAAGATATCAAGACCACCAAGCTGGTAACGAATGCCAAATTTTTGATGGCGACTCAGATTAAGGGTCAGAACAACCTCGCAATATTTAATCTTTTCCGTTTCGAGCTGTTTAAGTTAGAGAATGGGATAGAAGAACTTAAAATCATCATCCATTGGGGATCATGGGCGAAAACAGAGGCAAATTTTACGTTTTCGGTGGCTACGATAGTAATTATTGCTACCCTTTTGCAAAAACAGTTGAATTCCTTAATGGAACTCGATGGTCAATTGTTGAAGGAGTAGAATATGGGTAAGAATTTACGTTCAAATAAAAATATTTATTAATAAAATTATAGCTCATATCGATCTGGAGGAATTGTTTCCACACCGAACGGAATCTTTATTGCTCAAAGTGGAAGAACAATTGTCCGCTTCGATGATGAAAAGTTCACAACTGTTGGTCATGTTCATCACACGATCACTCAATTTCTCAGCTTGAACAATATCCTTCACGGAATGTGAGAATCAATGACTTACATAAATCTCTTTATGTTTTTTTCAGAGGTGCAGGTCAGAATCTCCAGCGAATCTTCATTGAGGGCGATCAACTAAAAGCCTTCGAGTACGATGTTATTCCGAACTACAAGATTTCTGTCGAGGCAAAATATATTAACTGTATTTGAGCGCTGACTTTAAACAACCTTCTTTCCCTTCATTTATCCATTTATTTAACCAATACATATATTTTTCTTTCAAACGCTTTTGGTCTTTTGCAATCAATGAGGACTACGCAAGCCTTTGTTTTTCTATTGACAATGTCTAGTAGCAGGTTCAAAGACTTTCCAAAATATCTTGATTGAGCCCTCGCCAGCCATTTCTTTTATAATTCATCCTTTTTCTCTTCAAGATGGTTAGAACATTGGCGCTCGCAAACTCATTCAAAATTCAGCGCATTTTATTTAACATGACTTGACTCTTCAAATAAAATCCTTTCTCCCAAATCAGGGGAATCATCTAATTACCGAAAATATTCGCTGAAAAATTCGCGAATAATTTTCGACCTCAATTCTCTCCAGAAAAGGAACCGGTCGTAAAATATAAGACGCTGATTTTTTTAATTGGAAAGCGAAAAATTAACGATCCGACGCGGCGAAGTTAATTGGAGTACCTGATCACCCAGTTTTGGTTATTTTTTATTAGTTCATCGTCTTAGAGAAAAATAATAAGAAAAGAAGATGATGGAACACAGATCTCAAAGCTTTGCCGAGGATCAAATTGGGACGAGATCAGCTTCACTTGCAGGAAATTGTCAAATTCAACTTCATTTTCATCCAAAATTTTATTTTTTCACGGGCTCAAGCAAACTAAATATGCCTTATCTTTCGTTTTCACCTTCATTTTGAGCCTTTTATCTTCAGTAAATTGAAGCTCTCAGGGGCAAGGTGGAACAAAGGATGTAACAAAAATGGAAATAAATATCGAGTTCAACAAAAATCAATGATTTCTTACCAAACCGCCCCCTTTCATAAAGAATATCACTTTCACCGCAGAGCTTCCACTTTATAAACCACTTTTAAAAGCGATGATAACTTTGACAATGAATGAAGGAAGCCGGGCAAAACTGTCTCATAGAAGTGGGTCTTCGATGAGCTTAGTCAAGGAACGGCTTTTAAAACAACAGTAGTACTGACACAGTACTGAAATCGTCGTGGTTTTGGACGTTAGAACCTTCATTAAACCGTCAGATCTTGTGTTAATCAAGTGATACAGGCGGTAAATACACGAATTTCAATATAAAAAGGGAGACCAAAGGACACGTGTTCCATTCAGAAGGTCCTCTTCTTCTTTTTTTTCTTTTCAAAGCCGAGTAAAAGGGTCGCCAGGTCATATGCAAAAGTGGCAACGCATTCTCGAAAAGCAACGCGAAGCAAAATACGACACTCAGGTATTTGATGTTCCTTTTTTTAATCAAAATCGGCTCATAAAAATCCGCACACTTTGTCATCGTAAATTCACTCACTTACCTCGACACGCCTTCATTTCTTTCAAAATAATGTCGATACGTCAAGTTTTCATAAATAACTTGCTCATTTGAGTACTCGCCTTAATTTTATACACAGTGATATCTTTGATATTGATTTTGAAATTGAGCGATTTCGGAAAAAGCTTGATCAATATTGCAAATTTCCAGAACTGTTCGATATTTATAATCGTCGTTTGAATCATTTTCTTTCGGGCAAGAAAACGATTGAATTTTTAATTTTTTGTCGTTATTTCATTAGAGATGTTAGGAATTTTGAAAATTCTTTCGAGGATTGGAAGTTCAAGTTCGATCAAGGATTGGTTCTTGACAACTAGCAATTCTAGCGTTAGGAACAGTTGAATAACCGAGATATAGCTAGTGGACTTAAAGTCCGATTCAAGCGGCAAAACGCCCTCTTCATGTGCGCCCGTGCCACTGCCGGAAACAATTGTCTGCGAGACAAGTGGCTGTGATCACGAGACGATTGAAATTGAAAGTCAGGAGTTAACTTGCACAACCACTAACATACCATCGTCATTTCAAAGGCGCAAATAAAAAGTGGCAATTAATGAATATGTCACGAATGTCAGGAATGTCGGGAATACATTCTGACGTGACAGTAGTCGATTTTGCGATATTAACGACAGTCGTGACGTTCGTGACATATTTATTAATGAGACAAATGTCATTTATGTCAAGATTGGCGTTATCAACAGGCATACTGAGAAAGACTTCGTTGACATTCGTGACATTTCAATCTTCATTCAAATTCACCAAAAATCATCATCATCGCACTTTCTTAAACCTAAAAAAGAATTCAAAAATTAAATTGGTTTTATCAGAACTCGAAATTTTAATGACGACTTGTCGCTTTTACGCCCGCAGTCGTGGAATGAACACACTGGCAAAGTGGAAAGTTACAAACGCAGTGCTACCCCGATGGAACGGATACGAGAGCAAATCGAGGTACAATCGAATGATTTTAACTTCCTACAATTTTTATTTTCAGAAAATCGATAACTTGGACTTGAAGCTGAAGGATTCCTTGCTGGGTGATACTTGGCGGGGGATACAGGCGATTTTCTTTTTCACTGCGATTTGCTTGCTTACTGGTACTTACCTGTCCTCCTGGTTTATCTAATTTGAATCCTTTTCAGCCGGATTGAATGCATTTCTGATCTTTACGCGAACATATCTTCACTTCAGCAGCTTCGTTGCTTTCGGCGGTATTGCCGCCCAAATGCTGTAAGTAAACTTACATTAATAAGTCAAACAAGTAGTGGCTCAACTAACTCGAGGAATTGCCGTTCCTAAGGAACGGTTCCTTCTAAACCTCAAATTCATAATTAACAATGATTCTAGTGGAATAATCGTGATCTCAATCGGCAATCTCTTCTTCCTCGACCGCGCCGTCAAAAAGAATAAGAAAGGATTTATTATTCTTTGGGCGACTGTTTGTCATGTTGGAGCGTACTTATGTCTACCGCTTATTGGTTACTACGGGTGGGAAACTCTCAAACATCCTGTTTATCGGTAAGGAAATCCGATTCTAGCGACTTTTATGAACAAAAAATTTTAGACTTCAAGCAGTTTCGATCTTTTCCTTCTCCTGTTACATCATTCAATTTCTAGTAATGTTCACGATGGTAAGAATCAACATCTTTTTTCATCCTCTTATTCGATAATTTCTACCGTAGTCGTATCTGCTTTTCAACCTCCAGTACGTCCTCAGACGAGAAGAGTACATCGCCAATTCTTTTAACGAAATGGACGATTCGATCATCGTAAAAGCTATTCAGTATTTTGCTGATTGGCAAAAATTCACGTGAGTCCATAATTTTTCTATGTTTTCACTAACCGCTGCTCAGGGAACAATTATCTGGCGGGGCATCAGCAGCAGCAGTTCAACAAAAGACGAAAAAGAATAGCAAATGATGAGGAGATAAAGAATTCTTGAGCAAGTGCCATATGCAATAAATAATAAGACGAAATGAAGAAAAAAAGCTAGAATTTATTAACAGAAAGAGTAATTTTTAGATACGTTTCTGGAAAATTGACTCAAAAAATTGGGCAGAAAAGTGAAAAAATCTAGTTAAAACGGATCAGCCTAGGGACTTTCAAATTTCTTCTCGATCTTCTCGAATTCAACGCCATTTGAATCTGTTGCATGAATTCTTGCTCTCCGATTCTAGGGACGTTTCTTCGTCTACTTGCTTGATGAAGTTTTACTCTATTGAGCATGTGATTTCTGCTGATCAAATCTCTTCCCTTTCTTCTGAGCCCCTTTTCAAGAGGAATTGATTGAGCAGTTTGGAGGACGAAAAGAAGCAGTTTTAAAAAATTCATTTTGTTTTTGGTTATTGTCTTTCTTCGTGGAAATTCTGGGACGTCACCGCGTTTGACCTCATTCGCAAAAGACGATGGGTTTTTATGCGGAAGGTAAACAAGGACAGAGATTACGTAGAAGAATCCAGAGCCCTTCGGATGTCATAAAATCGTGTATTTCAAGGTGGACATGGCGCGTTTTCTGGCCTTCAAAGTGAAAATCTTATTATAAAACTCTAAATTATAAATATAATAAGAATTTTTATCATAAGAAATAGAAGGGAAATATTCTTCATCCAGCATCTTTTTGTAAGAGTCTGTTGTAGAGACTCGTGGATTAAACTCAAAAAGTACACAGTAATTTCATTGTACGTCAGGCCATAAATTGACGTCCGTCGAAAATCTCTTGAAGACTGTGACCTCACAAAAATGCGTAAAAATTGCACGATTGGCTTGTCCTTGAAGTTGTCACGATTTTCCAAGGAAAACTTGAGATTCATAATGTCTGTATAAATCGATTCGTCCCCGCGAAGGACAACTTGAGGCTGGTTTTCTAACACTTCCGGCTCGTAATTCCGATTTCGAAAGAGCATCCATGATTGTGTGATAATTGCGAAAATTTCAATTACCGCGCTAATTTCGCGACAACATCTTCTGATCCCGCCATCTTGTGGCGCCGACCGCATTCGATTTGCTACCAGGTTGATACTTGCGGGCTCGCTTTCGTAATAAAAACGTCTCCAGAGGAACAATCATCGATTCTACCGTAGGAAAGCTGAAACTTATTTCGAGGATGAAGATTTTGACATATTTTGGAGCTATTTCTTTCGCCTGCGAAGATCAAGAATGCGGAAGTAAGTCCCTGTTTACACCAAAAGTTGACCTCCAATCTCGACAACCTGTGAAAAAACCTGAGTCAGGATCTTCTAATAGCTGCACTAGAAATTAAAAGAGAGATTTGAATGGATATTTTAGCGAAGCCGCTTTTTCGGGTTCATTTTCATAAAAGCCGCTATGCGGCTTTTGATGAAGCTCTCTTAAAACCCTGAGTCAGGTTTTAAAGACAGATTGCTGAGCCCAAATTTTCATGGCCGAGGATTAAATTTTTACGTAATGATTTCTGTGGATGATGCAAGACCCAAAGAAACCCCAGAGTTCATCGCAAATTCTTTGATTGTGTTGACTTTTCTGTAAAAACTCTCAATAAAGAGAAGGTCGGAGAATTTCCTTGCTCAGCAAATAATCAGATGATCTCCAATCTGACGAAAACCCGCGCAATTGCAAATTATGCGCAAATTTTATCGACAACAATTGACGTTTATGTTCAGAAAATGCCATCTGCAGCGAATACTTTCAAGCGAAATTGCGGCCACTAAAAGCGTGCTCTTGTAAGTCGTCTGAGAATCCTGGAGACTTGGAATTTTTCAGCGCGAAGGAAATTACCAGACCAGGAAAAGGGATCAAAATTCATTGTGTAAAAATCAAGGAGGAAGCCGAAAAACGACCTTTCTTTTTGATCCCTTCTCTAGAATCAAATCTCAACTGCTCCCCAGTCCCCTTCCCTGCCCAAGGAAAAACTTGGCTCCCGACAAATGTCCACGAACGAATGACCGGCCAATTCATTGCGCATTTCGTCCCAAACAGGTTTAGTAATCGAGCTCGTTTAACTGATTTAGTGAGCTTCAAACTCGCCCAGGGCATCAAAATGGCTCTTGTCAAAGCTGCCCAGGATCAGAAAAGAATGAAGGGGTGTTTGAATGATGAGTTGGAAGAGGACGAGCTACTGAGAGTCGCGCAGACTTGTGAGGAAGCCATGGAAATTGATGCTAAAGGTAGTCTTTCTTGGAAAACGGCGTGAAAGAAAATTTTAGGGATGGTGGTGCACACTGAAATAAATCAAAGAGGGATTCTGATCAGATCTCTTGGCGCGAAATCATGGAAGACAGGAGTTTCAGTAACGACTTCTTGCTACAGTTCGACCATCAAGTAAGTTTTATGATGAGAGGAAGACTATAATTACCTCAAAGGGAAAATAGAATATATATTTTCCTCTTCGCTAATGAAGTGATAGAATGAAAATACCCATTGAAATCGCATAGAATTGACCGAGACCTTTTTTATTTAATGATAAAAAATTCTAATGAAAAACTGACCGGAAACAGGGACAACGCATCGCCAAACCAGGAACAGATGTCAAATCTGGGAATGTCTCAGGCGCCAAAATGTTTCAATAGCGTGACTGTTTTTCAATTCTGACAAAGGCATTTAGAACTTTGTTCAAATTAGACAAGCCGCAGTGCAAGCGATTATCTAACCAGTTCTGGCGAAGTATCAAGAAGCTCCAGGTGAGTTGATAAAAACTATTCATTACGTAACAATAATTATAGAGGGCAATGTTCGCGCTGTGTTCAAAAGATAGATGTGAAAATTGAAGATTTCACTGACCTGTATTCTTTCTGTAAATAAAACATTCGATTGAAACTTCGATCTGAATTCCTAAACTTGTAAAAACTGGTTCCTTTATTTCAAAAAATTCCATATTTGGCACAAGACCACTCCCAAATCTCAAATACTACCTCGAAAACACACAGTGTCCCATTTCCGATAGAAATCAAAAAATGAGAGAAGTTGCCAATGTGAATGGAACTCTATCGCTTCTTGAAGACGCTAGAATTCCTATCACTGACCGCGGGTTTCTTTATGGGGACTCGTTGTATGAAGTGATCATCATCGAAAATGGATACCCAATGTTTCTCAAGGAGCATTTGGAAAGAATGAAGAAGTCAGCGGAGAAAATGAGAATGAAGCTTACGATTTCTGATGAAGAAATGACTGAGGAGATCAATAGAACGATCGCGTTTTATGGAGAGAAGCCTCAAAGGATCTATTGCCGATGGGTTCCGGGTTCATTTTGAAAAAATCAAAGGACCATAAATTACAACCTTACCCTGAAAGACTGCAAAATTATATTCTAAATATATTCGGAAGAACTATCGAAAGCAAATTATCTTCGTCAATTGCATTTGGACAAACTTTTTATCAGCTAAAATAAACCCAAAAAGATCATCACCCGAGGAACTGGTCCATTAACCTTGGCTAACCAAACTCAACCCAACAACTTCGTCATCATCGTGAAAGAATTTCCCGTCAACGCCGACCCACTCACTTCTACCGTCTCCGTCAAAGTTACAGATATTCAACGGAACTCAGATGACTCGATGGATCCGAACATAAAGTCGGGAAACTATTTGAACAACATTCTAGCGCTCGACGAAGCAAACAAAGACGGATACAACGAGTGTCTTATGTCTCGGGACGGATTGCTATGTGAGCTTTCCAGGTAAATGGATCTTGATGGAGGCAGTTTGAAAGGTCCATTCTAGGGCTAATTTCTGGCTCTACTCAAAGGGAACCTGGTCCACTCCGGCGAAACACGTCCTCTCAGGAATAACACGGGATAAAATCATCGAGGCCTTGAACTCAGCCGGAATCAAGGCGGAAATCCGTGACATAAAAGTTGGAGAGCTACTGGAAGCTGAAGAAGTAGCACTTTCCAGCACAACGAAAAATCTGTATCCGATTAATTTAGTCCACCTAAATGGCAAAGAACACAGGTAAAGTAGACCAAATCCTTATGATGAATTGAGTATCTTTCTTCAGCTTTTCTTCACGAGAAAATTGGATCAAAGCAAATGAAGTCATTCTCAAATTCATTAGCGACTATCAAAAAACTCTCACTCCTTATTTTTAATACAGATGTTTCCTTGTCTTTCTGTATTAAAACTTTTGGTTTAATCAAAATAAACTTTATTAATTATATAAAAATATACCGATAGTAGTTTCGCAGAAAATGAAAGGGAAAAACGGGTGCACTTGTACATAAAAGTTTTTCGGACTTTGAGATTCTCAGTTCTTGAAGGTGATATTGAGCTTTTTGTATTCGGCTTCTGCTGCTTTGACGAAGTGGTCACGTGTGATCAGTTCCGATTCGAAAAGGTCTGCTTCGATGCCGACTTTGCGCAGGGCTGACTGGGCTTCTGCCTTTGAAACGCTAGAATTTGATGAGCCAATGAAGAATAATGTGAGGCTCTTACGTTCCACGACCAGTAATATCGATGAGGCCGAAAATAGCGGCAAAGTTGTTGGCTTCAAGGAGAGTTGGAGGTTCCGTTCCGCTTTCTCTTGCAGAAATCAGGTGCTTGAGCTGCTCTAGAATTAAGAAAAGGCACTCAAAATGACCGCAAAAAGAGACTTTACCGATCATAAATGCTCTTGGATCTCCAGGCTGATGATAAGTCGTCAATTCAATCAGCTGCTGCATGAGTGGCTGGAGCTTGTGCTCCTCGACATAGCCGATAGCTTCAGTTTCTCTTGGGTTCATTCTGAAGCAGTTTATAGTTCGAAAGGGTGAAGAAAGAAATCTTTAAGGAAATTGGAACTTGAAAAATAAAGTTTTTGGAACATTGAAATATAAAAAATAGATTGATGGCATTGAAGATTGAGTTGATGAAAATGAAAGAAAATAGAAATGATTTTTATCAAAATAGTGTGTCAGTATAAAAATAAAAGCTTGAAGTCATATAAAAATCAAGATAAAGAACGAATAACACCGGCGGCAGAGAAATCGAGGAGAAGCTCGCCGAGGACTTTTCCGTCGCTCGTGAATTCGAGAAGATGATCTTTCAGATCTTCGTTTTCTTTGACTAAAGAGACAGTCATTTGGGGAGGATAATAAACGACTTACAGGTTCGGAGATCGATCTCAGCAGTGGCAACATCTTCGCATTCGACGCTTCCGTCATCGTCTTCGCCAGGATCCGTCAGCAGCGTGAAAGTAACTCTAGAATCGAACTCGCCATTCATCATCAACTTCAGTTGGTTTTCTTCCTCGCTTCCCTCCTTGAAACGATGATAAAAAGCATTGTTTTTATGAGATTTCTTACCGTTATTGGCATAATTTCATCATGGTTGATCGTGACTGGCGTTTCAGGATCTTTGGGATAGTCGATTGATGGATTCGTTTCGCATAATTTTCCACAGAGGCTGAACTCGATGAAGACTTTTGAATTGAGAAGTGTCTCTTCTGCATCTTTTCCGCAACGAAGCTCTTTCAAACAAACTCGCAGCTCTTTGTCTTCAACCTTTTCAGGCTCTTGCTCCTCCGCATTTTCTCGTTCTTCAATTGAAAGTTAAGTCAAAACAATTTCTAGCGCTGTAAACTCACCGTCTTCAGGAGTAGGAGTTGCTTCGTGTTCAGTGGGCTCTGGCTCGATTTCTTCGACGGGAGGAGACGGACTCTTGATCTTTTCAATTTCTGGAATGCTCGGTGGAGCAACTGAAGCTGCATCGTCATCATCGATATTCTTCTCGTCGAATGGATATGGATCTGAAGATTGACTCGTTCTCGGCGGCGGCGTTGGCGTCTTTTCACTTTCTGCTGCGGAGGGAGTAACCTCGCGAGAGACCGAGCGGGATTTTGACTTGATCGAGGCGCTAGAAGTCTATGAAAAAAGATTGGAGAGAGAAAATCTACCTGAGAAGACTAGCCGATGATTTGGTCCTTGATCGAGTCGCTGATCTTGGGCTTGACTTTTGACTGTCGGAAATAACAAGTGGATTGGTGTAATCAACTTCTGCTGGAATTATTTCCGGAACTCTCATCGCTCCATGGCGTTCTTAATTTTTGATTGTTGGAGGCACGAGCTAATCAAAGAGTACCTCTGTATGAGTGTTCCCAGGCAAGTCTGACCTCCAACTGTCCGCTTTCATCACCATGCGGGTCCGTGAGCGTCAGAATTTCAGTAACCTCGTCTTGTTGAATCAAAGATGTAAGGACGATCTCGCACTTGCCAAGGTACTCTTCTTGATCTTCGCCATCATCGCTTTTATCCACGACCAAAATCGTCAATCTCCCGGTGGATAAGTAGCGATGAAGATTTTCGTTTTCTTCGACGGGGTGGCGCGCGGTGTAGTTGAATCGCGGATTTGAAGATGATTCGATTACGTTAGTCGTCATTTCGTCGTACGTAAAGAATTTATATATGCAGAAACAGCTTGGTTCCTCGTTTTCGAAGATTCCGTCGAAGTTTCGACCGCCGATGATGTTCACTAGAACGAGTTGGAATCGCATCCTTGTATTTGTTACCTGTCAAAGAATTGAATCCTCCACTTGCACTTTCCTCCTCATTCAAAAATCCCCTCGCGGTTGATTTCTCAAAATGAAGCGTAGCCGCATTTTCAAAGGGTATTTTCGCCGCCACCGCGTACTGAATACTTGCAATCTCGCTCACAGCTACGACTGGATCGTTGGACTTGATCTCCACAAAACCATCAAAGTGCTGAGCGCTTAGAAACTTTCGAAGGGGGATTTTTCCTCGACCGATGAGTTCGTATTGTGTCCCGCCAAGAACGCGGTGGAGCTCGATGAAGATGCACCCGTCTTGGAGGAATTGGAGGAAATCGTCGGAAACTTCGACTTGATAGCAATGTCTAGGAGATGTAGTCATTTATTTATGAAGACAAAGAGTGGAAGTACCTGAACTTGAGATTTGGCATGATTCCAGTCACAACGTTGGTCGCCACAGGCTTGAATCTGCCGAAATTAACACACGCAAAAATTTGGAAAGAATTCTGCGTAAACAACTCGCACTCCTCTAATCTCAGAGAGATTTCATTTTCACCTAGAGGAACTGCTTGACCAAATTCGGTGTCGATAAGCTTCGAGCTTGTCAATCCTAATTCAAAAGGTTCAATAGGCGCTAATTACTAGAGAGCGCTAGAATTGAGCCTGATTGAACCGTTTCCTGACACGGGAGGCGCTGTTCCTTCCAGACCAATTTGCCTTAGGCTTCGAGAAAGTTGGTCTATTTGGCTGTTTTGATTATCGATAGTTCTGGCCTGCTTCGCCGTCATTTCTTCGAGAGCTCGTCTGGTCTGGTCGTATTCCTTTTGAAGCTTGACAAGTTCCTCATCTTTCGCTTGAATCTGTCTATGGCAAGTGATCAGCTTTTGCTCAAGCTCTCGAACGCGCCGTGTAGTTTGGCGGAGAGCAACTTCGAGCTCTTGATTCGTGTTTCCAGCACTGCTCGTGGCGATTTTTAGCGTTGACATTCGCTCAAACGCTTCTTCAGTCGATTCCCTCGGCTCTTCTCTCAACTCGCTTCCTTTTCCATGAACGAGCAAGGTTTCTTGCATGCTTCTATGCGCTCCTTCGAGTTCATCAAGTTTCGCCACAAGTCGCTGGGTCATGAGTTTTTCTTGATGAAGCTCAAGGCGTAATTTTTGAGCAGTTTTAGCATCGTGGCCGATCGAGTCTTCTAGCAATTTGATTTGACTTTTGTAGTGATTTTCTCGCTCCTTGGCGATGTTGCTTCCGACTGAATCTGCTTTTCGAATCGCTGCTAGTTGATCTCGCAGAAGAGAGCGCTCGCTTTCCAAATCTTGGCGAGTGTCTTTTTCAGTTTGAAGCTCTTCCTTGAGAAGAACCAGCGCTCTTCTGTCACTTTGAAGCTTTTTATTCCTCTCGATTTCGCTCGAAAAGTCTCGTCTGACAGCATCAAGCTCTTCTAGCGTCGCTTTTTGAGCTTCTATCGCCGCGCTGAGCTGCTGTTCCAAAAGAGTTACTTTTGAATCTTTGGCGTCGATTTCAAACTGGAGCGTTTGAATTTCAGTTTGGCTTTTGTTCAGATTTCGTCGCATGTTGGAAATCTCGGTTTTCAGCGATTTCTGGTGGGTATTGAGATTTGCGGAAGAGAAGTTGAGCATTTCGTTCTTTTGAGAAAGCTGCGTGTTGAGGCTTTTGTTAGTCGCTTCTGTCTGGGCTAGTTGTCGCTGAAGATGGCTTATTGCTTCGAGCATATTTTCGTTTTCCTGGTTTGCTACGTCCAAATGCTGCTGAAGACTCCTCAGCTGCGGGCTTGACTCGACTCTCCTCATGCCAGTTCTGATCGAATTCGCCGTTACAGTCGCTGATTTCGCTTGACGAGCAGGGGATGTTCCACTCATGGGTCGGCCACCTGAGGGAAATGGGAGGCCAGAATCGACTTTTGACGAGCGGATCTTCTTCGATTGCTGAAGCTCTTTGTATTGAGTCTTGAGCGTTTCGACTTTTCGGGCGAGGTTGCGATTTTCGTCTTCAAGCTTTTCACATTTCAGCCGCCACTCATAACTAAAAAGCCTATAAAAACAAAAATCGGCTTCGCGAATTTCTCTCTTAAAAAGTTCATCATCTTTCCAACCTGATATCTTCCTCAGAATCAAAGGCTTCATCTCTCGTTCCCGATCTGGATCTATTTCTTCGTTTCCGATCATCCGCCAATTTCAATATTTTCGTGGCGAAGCGCTTGTTCTTTTCCTCTTGCGCCCTGCAAATCTTTTTCAGCTCCTCGTGCTTGTCATAAAGCGTCAGATACTTGTCGAGCACTTCTTCCTGGGAGAGCTTCGCGAGTCCGGGATGCCAGCCTGCCCGTTGGGCTGACATTCTAAAATCCAGCTCGTAAGGGAGGCTTGTATTCATTGTCTACTTTGAAATCATCAAGGAAAAAAGGAAGAAAACAAGGAGAGCTCTAGAAACGACTCATGTTTATATAAAAATACACTTTATTTAGAAAAAAGAATGTTTTATCATGAAAGAATAAGAGTCAAGCTCGCTGCAACAGAAAGGAAAAGCTTGAAGGAATGGAAGATTTCTCAAAAAAATATTCAACAACATGGAAGATCGTGGAAGACTTTAAACGCTGGTGTCAGACAGAACAATGAGCTTCTTCATTTCTGCCACTTGGCGGTCGTAATCGTCCTTGTACAGCTGGATTTTGCCTTCAAGGAGTTTTTGGAGTCCAGAAACAGTCGATTGAAGACTGTCAAATCCATGCTCAATCTTGGAGAGGGATAAGTATACGAATAATGAGCTATTGGCCTACCTCACTTCTAGTGTTCTTGATTTCGCCAACGTGCTGTGAATGCTTGGATCGGCTTCTGCTTTCGTTTTCAGTGATTCGTTTGATGATCTGCTTCACTTTATCGTCCAGTCTTTTGCATTCTTGGTCCGAAAGAGTGGTCGTCTGTTTCAAGTCTTCCGCTGTTTCATGGACGAAATTCTAAAGAAAATTATAATTTATAAAAAAGCCAAAAGCAACGAGAGTCTTACTTTGAGATCTTTGCTGTCCCTCTCGATAGTGGCCAAAGCTTCTCTGATGTTGTCATTCATTTCACGATTTGTTCGTTCTCGCTCCTGATCTGCCCAGCGCTTGGAATTCTCGATGCTCAGTCGCATTTCTTCGGCGAGGGAATTGAGTCTGGTTTGCAGCAGCTGAAGTTCTGCGCTTCCGGTTATTTTCGACTCAGCTTTTAAATGGGTTCATGCAAGAATCAGGGAGAAATCAAGAGAATTTATGAAGAAATTTAGCTTCAAAAATGCCTTGAATGGCTTGAATCATGAAACATGCGCTTTATCCGAAAAACTTCGTTTTCTGATATGCAACTGTAAGTTACAGTTGGACTGAAATCAACCTTTGGCAATAGAATCTGATGTTTCAAGAGCCCGTTGTCCTTCGCTCCTTGCCGTTTGCTCTACCCGTTTTTCGATTTGCTTATTATCGCCTTCCAGATCCATGATCCTCCTTTGGATCGTCTGAGTGTGCTCTTCTGATATGCGAGATTGCTGCTTCAACGAATTCTAGTGCAGGCAAATAACATACCAAAAAGAAAAAGTAGGAGTACCTCGAGATGAAAGATTTGCTCATTTTGCTGGACTAGTTTTTTGGAGAGATCTTTGTTTTCATTTTCGACCTCGTTGAGCTTTTTTAGGACGGAAATGTAGTTGTTTTCTGATGCGGAGACCTAAAGCATTCATTGAGGAGATTGCTGTAAGAATTATTTTATTCAAGAATATAAAAAGTAGCAGCTTACACTGTAAGCCTTACAGTAGTTGTAAACTTCACAATAGTTACAAAATGGCAATAGTTGTGGGATCACCGAACGTTTGGAATCATTTTAGAAGTGAATAATACGGGGCCATCTTAAAACAGTCTGAAATTCGACACTGTAGACAGGATGCAGCAAAAAGCGATGGCGGAAACGACGGCCAGAAGAAAACAAGAATCGATTCGCCACTTCTGCAGCTGGGCGGCTTTTTCTTACTTGTTTTCTTCCGGCTCTCATTCCTCAAGAATCTTGACGATCGTGTATTTCTGCATTATGGAGGGCCCGACGAAATCGTGCATAGATTGAAAAGGGAAAAAACCTTTTGAGATTTTGTGGCTCAGAGTAAGGAAGTTTGAGGTTAAATACTTACAGAGGGATCATAAAACGATTAGCATCTGTTACATAAAGATCTTTATTGGGACTGAATTAAAAAGTGCACTGTCACGGATCACTAAATCTGATCAAAGCGTATGACGTGCTTTTTTTAAGGTTAAGGAAGTTATTTCTCTTCGTACCTCTTTTTAGACCGGGAACACCATACATATTTGGAATCAGCAGGAAATTTTAAGAACTTTGACCGTTTTAGTTTCTCAAATTTCCACTTCCGGTCCGATTCTAGAGCCGGAAGTTGACGAAATTTTTGAGTTTGGGCAACTTGTGACCTATCAAATTGATGCTCAGAAGATTTCCTATCATCTGAGATAAGAATCAATGCCGACCGCGGTCAAATCATCCGCTAAAAACTGAAAGAAAAATCACAAATTTATGCCTTTTTTCCTTGTTTTGCCGGTCGGTTTGTCCGCGGTTGGGACGGTCTTTTTGAATAATTTGTAGATGTGATGACTCAAAATCTTCTGAGCATCAATTTGATAGGTCACAAGTTGCCCAAACTCAAAATTTCGTCAACTTCCGGCTCTAGAATCGGACCGGAAGTGGAAATTTGAGAAACTAAAACGGTCAAAGTTCTTAAAATTTCCTGCTGATTCCAAATATGTATGGTGTTCCCGGTCTAAAAAGAGGTACGAAGAGAAATAACTTCCTTAACCTTAAAAAAAGCACGTCTATGTCAACGACCGCTTGATCTGGTTTACTGACTCTTTAGGGTCTATTCGCAGTTTGACGTTATTTAAAAGCTTTTAAAAGGCTCCTTACCTTGAATTCTAGCGTCTTGATACTGTCCGTCAACCTGGATACAGTCTCTGTCAATGTCGCAACAAATCTTCTCATCTGAGCATCACTCAATCTTTCCGTCGTCGTCATTTTTCCTTCAAAATCTACAATTTTATAGAGAGAATGAGAGTTAAAATAAGAAACTTATAAAAATAGAAAAGTGTGTGTGAAAAAACAGAAATTAAAAATTAAAATCTAAGCATTTGGCAGAGATGAGATGTCTTCGGGAAGCGCGTTGAGGCGAGATTCGATGTCGATCAGTTTGGCTTTGAAATCGTCGATCAGGAGTGTGTCCGAATGCGACTGAAATGAGCATAAGAATATTTCACCTCGAAATTGTACCTGATCAGCCTCAGTCAGAAAGGACTCTAGTTCGACGTTGAATTGGCTGACTTCATGAAGCAGAGTTGACGATTCCGAAACAGTCGATTGCTCCAAATTATCTTTGATCGCCTGAATTTGCTTTTTCATTTCTTCCACGTCGCCGAAATCCGGTTCCAAATTATGAACCGCCATTTCGTCTATCTTCTCGATCGTCCTTGATATCTCGTCGTTTATGCTCAACGTATCGCTTTTCCCACTTCTGGCCGAGTTTGGTTTCGAGCTTCTAAGCGTCGGAGTGTCTGAAGAGCGTTGAGAGAGCTCAGACTCCAGGCGCTCGATGATTTCTTTGGAGTATTTGTTTGATTCAGCTTCTGCGGTTGCTTGTCGCCGGAGACGCGTTTGGAGGATTTCGTTGAGTTTTTCGGCGGACATTGCGCGTTGACGCTCATTCGAAAGCTCAATTCTTGTTCTAAAGAAAACTCAATATTGAAAGGGAGACCCTATTTTTAACCTTTCAAGTTCCGCATTTTGAACCGCTTCCATATTCACCATTACCGTCTTTTTGATATTCACGCTTTCCTTCTCCAATTCCTTCACTTTTCCTCTGAGCGATTCATTCTCCGAAATGAACTTTTGCAACTCTGATTCGGCATCTAACTTTTGCTCCGTCAATTCATTCAGGCTTTTTCGCAGCTCGACGAGTCTCTCTGTGTTTTTGGCTTCTGTTGATGAGCTCGTTGTCAGGATTTCCTACGAAGAACATGAATTATGGAGAGATAGTAAATAAGCGTAAATATTTGAGGTTCCCAGGAACAGATTTTTCGATCGAAAAGATAGACTTGAATTTCACCAAGAAGGAAACCCGTATAACGAAACTGAGTCAGGGTCTTTCTCAAGGCAATAAAAGATCTGTCAAGACTCCTGACTCAGGTTTTCTTCACAGGTTGCCTATCTCTTCTGATTATTTTACCTTGTACATAGAAATTTCTCTATCCAATTTTCTGTTGAGTTTTCTAAGTTGCAGGAGCTCCTCTCTCTGCCTCTCATCTTGATTGACCTTCGCTTCTGAAGTCAGTTCGGCTGTTTGGAGCGCAATCTTTAGTTCAGTAATTTTCTGCTCGCTGACGAGGTATTTTGAACGAGTCGACTCCAAATTTGCGTTAATTTCATCGCACCTAGAAATGAACGAGATAATTGCTAGTCCTTGTTGATTATAATTTCTTATTTTTGTCGTCTTCATTACCTGTTTGATTCATTATTTAACTGTTCTTTTAGATCCATAGCTTCTTTTTCTTTGCATTTCAAATCGAATTCTAGCGATTTTACCCGCTGTGTAGAATCGACAATTTGACCGTCAAAATTTTGCATCTTCATTTCCAAATCGCCAATTTTCGATCGATAGCCCTCTACCTTCGCCACTTCTTCTTCCAGTTCTTTTTCCTTCCCGCGGATCTCGTCTTTCAGACATTTGATTTCGTCTACTAGACTGTCGCTTCGTCTCTCAAGAGTGAGAGTTTTGACTTTTTGGTCGTCGTTTTCTTGTTGACTTTTATCGAGTTTTTTCGCCAAAGATTCGGAAATTTTCTTCAGCGATTTTCGCTCAGAGTCCAAACTCGTAATCTTCTTCGTCAAGTCCTTTATTTTCTTCTCCAACGCAGTGACTTCAGAAGTAAGTCGAGTGCACTCGGAAGTTTTCTCAATAAGTTCTTTGTTTCCAACAGCTGTTGAGGATTTATAAGTCTTTAACTCTCGTTCGAGTTTGGTTTTTTCTTCTTCGATGGTGGAAATCGTATCTTTTTGGCCGTCGATTACGGCTTGAAGTTGGGCCTTTCGAGATTCGGCTGAATATGAAAACCATAATAGAAGAAAAAATGAATGAAATTCTTAATTTTGAGAATCATCCCATTCGGAAAAGAAATTTTAAGAACATTTTCTTCGAATCGGTCTGTAATGATCATCCAAAATTATGTCCAATGAAAACAAAAAATTATCATAATTATTAAAATTATAACTAATCGCAAACACTATTTACCTGATTTTATTTCCTCCTGAAGATTTTCAACCATATTCTGATTCTCTTTCTTCGCATCCTCCTCAACCTTCTCCCTCAACCCTTCGAACAGCTCCACTCTTTCCGTCAGCTTTTCCTCGAGTTCCTTGATCGTGATTTGCGCTATCGCATGGTCCTGAAGAGCAACGACCAGTCTTCTTTCCACATCGCTTTTGGAATCTTTCTGAATCCTCTCGTTCGCCCGGATTCCGTCGATATTTTCGACCAGTTCAGCGCGCTCGGATTCCAGCGCCGCTATTTGATGATCTTTTTTCTTGACCAAGTCGTTTTTCGTCTTCAGTTCTGATTTCAGCGTCTTCAGGGCGTCCAGAGCCTTTTCAAGGTCTCCCCCGGTCTCAGCAGCTTCGCGATTCATTTCCTTATTCGTTTGGTTGATTTTCTCCAGCCTCTTTTTCAGCCGAATATTTTCTTTTGAAAACTCATTCATTTTCACCGTCACTTCGGCGAGCTTCTCTCCTCGTTCGGTGAATCGGCGGTCCAGGTTGGCGTTTTCTTTCTTTTTCTCCTTGAGCTCGAATTCCAGCTCGTGGGTGCGGGATTGAAGTTCTTGGTCGAAGTCGTTTTCGGCTGTGAGTCGGTTTTCTCCGCGAATTCGGCGCTCTCGCTCGAGCTGAAATTCTGCCAGTGCTTTTGATTTTTCGGTCTTTTATCGGTTAATGAAAATTTCAATTAAATCTGATTATCGAAAAAAATGTTTGTTAATGGAGCAGTCAGCTAACTGGTATAAATTATCTTATTATCTTGGTATGTCTCGAACGAAAAAAAATTTAAAATCCAGAAAATTTTTACATTTACTAATTTTATGGTTTGTTCAATTTTGAACACTGAATGATCATATTTGAACCGTAGCCTTGACTCTTTCTAGCGTATCTTCTAGACTTGAAATTCTTATCTTGCATCGTTCCAGTTTTGAGCTTTGATCCTCGAAGGTCCCCAGTTTTGCTTTCGTCCTCGATAGTTCATCCTTTTGTTCAGTTTTCTAACTCAATTTTCACCGAAATTTTCCGCGATAATATCATCCGAAAACCCTTCCTTGAGCTGGTCGATTCTCTCCTTGCTCTGGCGAATCTTCTGATCAGACATTCTCTTGATTTGCTCGGCCATTTCCGCCACTTGTTTCACCTTGTCTTCGGCGATTTTGCTCTTTTTTCTTTCGATGATCGAGTTGTTTTGGGCGATTTTCTTCTCTCGAAGAGCTTTTTCTTTTGAACGAGTCGCATTTTCCGCGATTTTCCGGACTTCTGACCGAAGATGGGCGATTTCTCTTGATACGGCTGTTGAAGCAGAACTTTGTGAAAACATTGATTCAAGAAAAACAAAAGAAATTTACCTGGCTATCGAATAATCATTATCAGATCTGACCGATTCGCGTAAAACTCCATCAATTTCGCTAAAATCCAGCTCTCCATCGTAAAGATCCATATTTTCTCTTTCAATCAATCATCAATATTTTATTCTTTTTTTCCGGGATGTTTTTATGAAAATTGTATGAGATTTTCAAGGAGAAATTCCATTCGTTCCAGAAACACCACCTACGCGTGTTCGCCAATTCGCGCTGCCAAAACCCTGGCGCGGACGACGAGTTATTCACGCGCTCGAGGGGAAGTCAACTCGGGTCGGTCAAGTCTGAAATCACAAACTGATTTAATTATTAAAGTTTTGCGAAAAAGGAGGAATGAACTAGGATCAAGAAGAGTAATGCAGCTAATTGCATGCCAGTTATACGTAGCTTATACGAGCTATTTCAAATAGCTCAGCTCAGCAATAAGGACAAAATTTGCATCCATGGGGCGTCTCCTAGTTCATTTTTGACTCGAAGCATTTAACAAATAGACTATTTGTTGTAATTTTTGAGCTTTGAGTCAAAATGAACTAGGAGACGCCCCATGGATGCAAATTTTGTCCTTATTGCTGAGCTGAGCTGATTCTGATTGAAGTTTTTCAGAGCTGAGCTGAGTAGAATTTTTGCTTATTGAGCTGAGCTGAGCTGGACTTTTTAAAAAATCATTGAGCTGAGCAGATCTTTTTCGTAAGCTGTTGAGCTGATCTGAGCAGACACAATTTCGAGCCAAGTTGAGCAGGTTTTACAGTATTAAAAGAAGCGAAATAGTGTGAGCTGAGCTGGTCTTCTCAAAAAATCATGGAATTAAGCTGAGCTGATTAGTCTCAGAATTTATCGAGTTGAGCTGAGCAGACCATTTCTGAAATCATTGGGCTAAGCAGCGCGGACTCTCTTCTAAAAATGATATGAGATGATGATGGTGCAGAGAAATGGAAGCGGCCAGGGTTTGAAAAGTCTGAGCCAGGGTTCTTAATCTGAGCTGAAAATCAGAAGTCGAGTCGAGTCGAAAGCGTTTTTGAAACTTGCTAGTCGAGTCGAGTCGACTTAGTTGACTTATTAGTCGAAAAGTCGAAAAACTTGAAAAATATATAAATTTAGTCGAAAAAATCGAAAATTAGTCGAAAAGTCGAAATTTAGTCGAAAGTCGAAATTTAGTCGAAAGTCGAAAGTCGAAAGAGAAGTCGAAAAGTCGGCATGCCCAGAGCACTGGGCATTTGTGACTTTTTAAACCCTGGTAGCGGCTTGATAATATTCCAAGTTGTGAGGTGAAAACAGGAAAAGGAACCGGTGAGGGGAAAAGGGGGATGCGCCAAACAAAACTAAGGAGGGACCACTGTTTCTACTCTAGAGCGCCATCGAAAATTATAAAAGAAGGAGATCAGCACTCATTCTCAGTAGTCTTTCAAAAACTAGAGTTAAAAATGAGGCTCTTCGAATTGGGTATTTTTCTAGGAATAAGTCATGCTCAGTGGGAGAACTATAGTTCATATGAAGACATGTTTGGAGATTATGGAAATGAGGTTTCAGCGATAGGGAGTTTCTTTGAAAACATCGAGTTCCAGAGTATTTGCAAGGTAAGATATTTTATAATCGAATGACTTAGAAAAGATGATTTGGTTTTCAGAGAACGCCAGAAGACGATTTTTTGGTCGGAGCATTGAATGATGTCCGTGGATTGATCGAAGTCATGGACGAGCATTTTACCGAATTCCTCACGAACAAGGATTTTCAGGCCTTCACTCTTGTTGACATGATGAAAATTGCGGAAGGTGAAGATTTATCTGAGAGTTTTCATAGTTTTCTCTTCTAGGATTTCTAAAAAACATGAACATAAACTGGTGCAACAAGTTCCTCTCAGTCTACGTCCCCGCTATGGAATCGGGGGTAGACGAATTGAAACAAACCACTACCGACTTTGCCGACTCCATTGTTGGCGTTATTTTGAACATTTTTCGAGGACTCGGGTAACTTTTACTTGAAAGCGGAAAAGAGAATGATGTTAATTAATAACTGAACGAAATTAAGTGTGAATCCACAAGTGGACCGACTTGTTGCGATGCTTGAAGAAGTAAAAGCATTCATGGTAATATAAATTCGAACTGAAATTTTATCAAATTTTAAATTTTAGGATAAACAGTTGGCTCATCCCAGTCAATTTTTTCGCTCTGAGTTTTCCCCAAAACCCATGACAATTCGATTATTTTAGTTGGCACAATCCGATCTTTTTGGAGAAGCTAAAGACATTGTCCGGTCTATCAAGTTAACTGCTTCCGCAGACCCTTCAAATTTGGATGACTTTGATCAGCAATGCATATTTATGAATGAAGTAAGCTTAACTGATTTATAAAGCTCGTTAAAATCAATTAAGGTGATGCCGATCGTTGACATAGTAAAGCCACTTGCTTTAGGACTTATTGGCGAATTCAACAATGCGTTCAGGTAGAAACGCGTTTGAAATAAAAGTGCAGTTGATTTCTAAGCGGCAAAGAAGGACTTCTGAGTATCGGAAAGATGATCTATTTTGAATACCGTCTTTCAAAACACTTTCTACTAAACGAAAAGGCCTGTACAAAGCTGACAGAAGACGGCGCCAAGCTTATTGGAGACTTGATGGGAGAGATGAATGGCGTTGAAAATTTTTTATTTCAAGTCAATGTGGATCAACTCTTGGCAGGTGATCTTTCTCAATTGATGAACATGGCGACTACTGGAAGAAGACGTAGAGAAGCAGAAAGTTCGATGATGATGAATGACATTATGAGTATTCTTGGGGACTTTGTGAAATCAGAAAACCCCAGCGGGGCAGAAACCGTTGACTTACGATATTTACAAGATGAGTCAAATCGGAGAGGCAGTTCTTAAATCAGTCCCGAATATGGTGAAGACGGTGAAGTCGAACATGGGCCCACTTTTGGAAATGGTCGGAATGGACCAGCAGAGTAAGTATTTATATTCCTTTGAGCGATTTTCTCATCCTTTAAGCAATCATCATGGTGATGGATGGAATCAAAGAAGAGGACTTGCGAGCTTTTGCCGATGCAATATCAGCTGACCTTTCTTCTGCCACCGAAAAGATGGTCTGTGGCGACGTTAAGAATTGCGAAGACCTTGTCTCCTTCAAATCTCAAGCACAAACTGAATTCAACGAAGCTGTCGAACCAATCGGACTCTATGGCGCCGCTGACAATGACGCCGCTGATAATGGCGGTGCTGACATAGAAATTATTTCATTTACCACTGTTCTTCTCCTCCTATTTGTATTTGCTTAACCGTATCTTGAGCGCCAGCACACTTTCAGAGCATGATAGTTGTTTCTTCAATTTTTATTCTAACTGATAGCTCATTTTTTCTAATTGTACCATATTGTAAACTTTACAATTTAAAGATTGTAAAATAAATTAATTAAATAATTTCCGTGTTCGCAAAATTTTAATTCGAGCTTTAGATAAATTTTTAAACAAGTTGACGCTAAATCAGAACATTGTAACGGTTCTATTATGCTTGATTTAAATGGCTTGAATTTTGGCTTGAATTTTACGCTACAAATATTTCCTATCTGTTCCGAGCGTGTTATGATTGATCGTGAAATCCTTTAGCTGACCACAGCAAATCATTATCGCTCTTTAGGGGCAATAACCAGCGCAACCTACTGTATAAAATATAAAATATTTTCAAATTGAAAAATTCATCGACTTTTTCAACCGTGTTTTCCTTTTCCTCTCATTCTCATTCGGAATGTTATCGTAGAGCGATTCGGATTACCTTGTCATCCTATCTTTTCCTATAAATAAACGCTTCATCAAAAAGGGAAATCGAAACTTAATCCTGAGAGAGAAACAAAAGAACACTAAACATTGCGGTCGAAAAATTGCCATAAAAGCGACGAAGGAGTTTACCACTCTTCAGACTTGAGAACTTTGAAAGATGAGATTTTTTACTCTAGAGTTGCTTCTAGTTTCGTGTCTGGCCAAATCATACAACCGGTATCACTATGATTACTACTGGTACTCTGATAGCAGCGATTCCTACTGGCCAATGACGATTGGGTACTACGAGTATCAACTTGAATCTATACTCTCTGAAGTCGAGGCATTCTATACTGACAACGACTTCAAGAACATCTGCAAGGTACTAATAGTTGACGGTCAACTGTTGACCCCATACTTTTTTTCTTAAAAAGCGGACTCTGAAGTCCTCAAAAGAAACCAAAACTAAATCTTGAGATTGTTAGAAAAGTACTAAGCAGCGCCATGAAAAATTAACCATAAAAGCCAACGGAATTAGCTATCTTCAGTTTTTAAATGTCGAAGAAAAAGATGTGATTTTAAACCCTAGAGTTCTTCATTGCTATATATTGTTGCTACAGACCAGAGAACTGGTATAAAGTCTCTATGATGATGATGTAACGATTTCGTATTTCGGGAATCAAATTGAAAATTTTCTATCAGAAGTCAACTTTTTTGAGACTTTGAGAATGTCTGCATGGTACAGTCTATCTTGAACCCGTTTTCTCATCCTTCATCTTTTTATTTTGAAGAAAGCACCAGCGAACGATTCTCTTGTGGAATCACTAAATGTTGTTCGTCAATACATTGAAGATTTGGACAAACCGGTCACTCAACTCTTCACGAACTCTGATTTCCAGGCTTTTACCATTGTTGATTTCATGATGATAATTGAAGGTCATTTTAACAGGAAAAGAATACATGGAAAATTGATATATTCATAGGAATTTTGACGAACTTCAAGAAAAGCTGGTGTAATAAGGTGATTTCCGCGGTAAAGCCAGCGCTGGAAAATGGAAGTGATGAGCAAGAAACAGTATCGGAAATCACAAAAGCTGTAACTCAAGTTTTTCTTGAGATATTCAACACTGATATTGAGTAATAATTATAGAAACGAGTGATGTCTATTCTTTTAGTTTCAGTCTCGGATCGGAGTTCACCCGATTTTTCGCTATGGTTGAAGAAATGAGGGGATTCTTGGTATGATTTATTGCTAATAACTTGCGTGTACTCGAATATGTTTAGTTACAGCGAGTTGATCTTTTTGGCGAAGCTTCAGAGATAATGGAAGCTATTCTCAAGTCAATCGATTTTTCTTCAAATGATTCAGAAAATTTGAGCGATATTCTTGGCAATATTCTTGGTGCTTTTGATTCCGAAAGGACTTGCTCTGAGATGGACGAAGTAATTTCCCTCCCCTCAATTTTAAACGAAGTTATTCATTTAAGGTGATGCCGATTATAGATACAGTAAAACCATTAGCACAAGGACTTATCTCCGACTTTCAAGAAGCTTTTTGGTAATTCAAAATATTTGACGAATCAAATAAAGCATTCATTTTAGGGAGAAACAAGGTCTTCTGAGCATTGGAAAGATGATTTATTTTGAGTACCGCTTTGCAAAGCATTTTTTGTTCAATGATAACGCCTGCTCAAAGCTTATGCAAGATGGGAGCGGAATAGTTGAGTACTTTACAAGAGAGTTGGAAAAGCTGTCCGGTCGGCGGAGAAGAGAGCAGGATGGGTTGGCAATGATTGGGGAAATGATGGGCCTTCTTGGAGATTTCGTTGAGTCTGAAATCGCGCCATTTGGACAGCAGCCATTGACATACGATCTGTTTAAAATGAGCCTGATCGGAGAAACCTTGCTCCAAGCCCTTCCGAATATGGTGAAAACTATCAAGTCAGAAATTGATCCAGTGCTTGAAATTATGGAAGTGGTTGAGGAAAGTAAGCATCAAAAAATATTTTGACATTTACGAGTTGAACACTTCTTAGCAGCAAAACTTGTCCTGGATGAAATCAAGGAAGAAAAATTCCGAGTGATCGCTGACCAAATGTCTTCGGTTCTTCTTTCTGCTACAAGAAAAATGATCTGTGAAACTGACAGTAATTGCGATGCTTTGGAAGCTTTTAAGGCTCAAGTGGAAAAGGAAAATGCTCCATACGTCGCAGATATTGAAAGCAGGGCAGAAAGAATGCTGAGCTCTATTTCTTCTATTTGCCTCTTGGCTTATACTTTTGCTTAACTTAGAGAATGATAAAATGCATGACCATGACTCATGAGTCCATGATATTCACTTTTTGAAATTGACTGTTCTTAATAAAATGATTGATTTACAATATCGTCTATTTAATCTCGTCCAGATTAAAAGATATTCAGATATTTTTTCTTTAAAAAAACCGATTTAAAAAAGCCTATTATGATCGATATTCTGTCTGTATCAGTATTGTCACAAAGAAGTACTAATTGACCGGACAATTTTACAACATATATGTTTCCTATTTGTTCCTAGCGTGTTATGACCGATCGTGAAATCATTCAGCTGACCACAGCTAATCATTCTTTTTGAACTCGTCAAAGGCACACTAATCGAGCAGCGCCATCAAAAATTATAAAAGCAGGAAAACAACACTCTGCTCATCAGTCTGTCAAAAAACTCGAGAAAAAATGATGCTCTTTAAATTGGGCGTTTTTCTAGGAATAAGTCAAGCACAGTGGGAGAACTACTTTTATGATGATTACGGGAATGGAGTTTCAGAGATTGGGAGCTTCTTTGACGACATCGAGTTTCAGAACATTTGCAAAGTAGGTCATCAGAATCGAATTCTAATCGATGATTTGGTTTTCAGAGAAAACCTGAAGACGATGATCTTGTGGGAGCATTGAATGTCGTGCGTGAATACATCGAGGATCTGGACGAGCAGATCACCGAATTTCTCACGGACAAGGATTTCCAGGCCTTCACAGTCGTTGATGGGATGAAAATAACTGAAAGTAACATAATCTGTGAGAGGTTTCTGCAGCTTTTCTTTCAGGACTTTTGAGCAACATGAACAAAAACTGGTGCAACAAGGTTGTCTCTGCAATTATCCCCGCTATGGAATCGCAAGGAGACGAGTTGAAAGCTGCGACGGACTTTACCGAGTCTATTGTCGGCATAATTTTGAACATTTTCCGCAAACTTGGGTAATTTTTAGTTGAAAGCGAACAAAAGAATGATGTTAATTATTCAGTGTGAATCCACAAGTGGACCGACTTGTCGCGATGCTTGAAGAAGTCAAAGCATTCATGGTAACATAATGATAAATAGAAATCGAATTGAAAAATTCATCAAATTTACCTTGAAAGAAAAACAGTTGGTTTATCAAAGTCAACAGCAACTTACTCCTAAAAAATCAAGATAAATATTGATGCTACTCTTTTCGCTCCGATAGTTCCCGAAAAAACTGTAATTAGATAATTCTAGTTGGCTCAATCCGATCTCTGGGGAGAAGCTAAAGACACCGTGAGAACAATTATCCAGGCGATCAAATTTACTGCTTCCGCCGATCCATCAAATCTAGGCGAGTATGATGAGCAATGCTTAATAATGGACGAGGTTAGATTTACCGCTGAATTTATGATCGTAAAATTTGTTTTCAAGGTGATGCCGATCTTTAATAAAGTAAAACCACTTGCCTTGGGTCTAATCCGCGAATTCAACAATGCGGTCAGGTAGGAAAAACGCTAGGAATCGACGTTGAGTTGTTTTTAAAGCGGCAAAGAAGGACTTCTGAGCATCGGAAAGATGATCTATTTTGAATACCGTCTATCAAAACACTTTCTACTAAACGAAAACGCCTGCACAAAGCTGACAGAAGACGGCGCCCAGCTTTTTGAAGATCTGATGGGAGAAATGAATGGCGTTGAGGATTTGTTATCTCAAGTCAATGTAGATCAACTATTGGAAGGAGATCTCTCTCAATTGATGAACATGGCGACTCGAAGACGAAGACAAGCGGAAAGCTCAACAATGATGAGTGATGTTATGAGTATTCTTGGCGACTTCATGAAATCTGAAACACCTCCAGCGGGACAGCAACCATTGTCGTATGATATGTACAAGATGAGTGAAGTGGGACAGGCAGTGCTCAAATCAGTTCCGAATATGGTGAAAACAATAAAGTCAAACATGGACGAACTTTTGATAATGGCCGGAATGGATGAACATGGTACGTTTTTCCCTCCCTTTTTCTTTCATAACTCGCTCTTTAGCGATAAACGCGGTCAAGAAGGGAATCAAGGAAGAAGACTTCAGAGCTCTTGCCGATGAAATGTCAGCTGACCTTTCTTCCGCCACCGAAAAGATGGTCTGTGGCGACGTCAAGAACTGCGAAGACCTCGTCTCCTTCAAATCTCAAGCACAAACTGAGAACAAAGAAGCTAGCAAACTTCCCGGCGTCTCTGGCGGGGCTGGTAAAGAAATCATTTCATTCACCACTGTTTTTCTTCTTCTTTTTGCCTTTGCTTGATTCTTTGATTGATTGACGATTTATTCTTATTGAAAAATGAACTAATTTAATAAATTTCCTCCTTTGCATTTTTCAAGAATGTTCCATTTTATTCAGACACTATATTAGCAGATAATCGATTTTGTAATCGCCCTTCTATTCGTTTTTCGCCTTCTCCAAAGATAGTGGCTATAGCAGAGCTAATGACATTGCCACAAGAGAATGGGGATTAACTCAAAATTATTCGTTTTTGAAAGAAAACGAGTTCGCAAGACGGCTTATTTTATATTTTGAGAAGGAAGAGATTTTTATCTGCTTCCAATAAACCAAAAAAAAAACATCGTAGAGGCAAATTTTCGAATTAAAAAAGGTACGCAGCCCCAAATACTTGACCAAAGCACAAATCGCAGCTCGAAAAAAAGAGTAATTGCGAGGTATTGTTGAGCAGCCATGATGCCACTAATCATGCGCTTGCTAATGTCAGTACGGACAGCAGATAGACAGGTCATACTATCGACTACACAGAGAATAATGAGCGAGTCAAAATCCTATTTAGGGCCCTTTTAGCGAAACGACAGAATATCGAACAAGTTTGTTTTTCGCGAAAACGAAAGAGACGAAAAATAAATGAAAGAGACGGCGATTTTAACGATTTATCTTACTGCTGGAAGTTCAGGTCAATAATTTGATCATTATTTAATTTAAACTGGAGGATCTTTTAGTGATCTTATATTTTATCTGGTGGATGATATACAGTTGCTTTCAAAAAGAAATCAAAGGCAGCGTTTTTTCAAAGTTTTCAATGAATAGTTTCGCTGAATTGATGATGTAAAAAACGCCATCCAAGAAAAAGGCGAAGAGTTACGGACAAGTTTTAAAAGCTTCAACAGAAAAAATTCTAGAGCATCAGAGAGCCATGGAAACCTCCCAAAATGGATATGATCTTGTCTCTCTGCTTGTAAAGTTTTGTAAATAAACTCTGTAAAAAGTCGGTTTTTGAGGATTTATCTGTCAAGTTTATTATCAATAATAATGTTTCTAATGTTCGTTATTTTGTTTTTACTGAAGCAACAATCTACAGTAGCGAAGAATTGAATGAACTTTTGCTGAGAATCAAAAGACTCGATCGACAAGTCCGGTAAAGGCGGGCTTTTTCGCGGCGGAATGCTGGGCGTGTTTCATTTGCTGAGGAAGTGATTCTGTGAAGTCGAAGAGCGATTTGTGAAGTTTGCTAAGTGTTTCTAGGAATTTGTGAATGGAGATTTTCAATTGACTTTCCGGTAGGTACCTTCTAGTGAACAAGGCATGGGATCAGTCCAGAAGAAATCGTGATCCAGAACTGTGTCACAGTCCCATCTATTCTCAGGCTTCAGGGTCAAGAGCTAAACAACTGTCTGAATAGGTTTCTTTTCCCTATTCACCTGTTCAACAAGTTTCAGTCCATTTTCATCTCTCAAGTACCGGCCAAGATTCTTGAATATTTTACTTTTCTCCTTCGTGATCGGTTTTCCCTGAAGCGCGTTTCTGAAGCTTGGGTATTTCTCGACGCCGGGCCAGGATTCAGTGTTGATGCCTCCAACAAATCTCTGGATCTTCTCGAGCATATCCTGCTCGTTGCTCCCTTGAAGCAGGGGAGTTCGCGTCCAGAGCTCGGCCATGACGCAGCCAGCGCCCCAGACGTCAATTGCTGGGCCGTAGTTGCGCTCGCCAAGGAGCAGCTCTGGCGGTCGGTACCAAAGAGTCACGACTCGGTTCGTGTAGCGGTTTTCTTTTCCTTGCTTTGGGTAACTAGAAAGAAAATTAGTCAACATTGATTTTTGAAATAATCGAGCAATTGTTAATTTTTCACCTGAAAGGGCGAGCAAGTCCAAAATCAGCAATCTTAAGCACACCCTTTTTCGTGATCAAAATATTCGCCGATTTAATATCTCGATGAAGAATTTTGTTCTTGTGCAGCGCGAAAAGGCCTTCGAACAACATGTAGGAGAGCTTCTTCTTCTCTCCCATTGAAAAATTGACCTCGAGATGGTATCAAGAATCAAAGAATGGACTTTCTAAACCTTTTTGTTTTGAAGAAGGCCGGCCAAGTCATGATCGCAGAACTCAAAGACCAAATGTATCTCTGGTCGGCGCCCTTCTTTTGGATCGAAGCGGGTTCTGCAGATTTCGATCAGCTTGAAACGCATTTTCAACTCATTTTTTCGGAGGTTTAAAAGTACCTGGACGATGTTGTCTGTCGGGACTCGTTTCAAATTATTGAGAATTTTGATTTCTCGCAAGGCAGTGACTGGAAAACCCGCCGAAGCTTGATCCTTTTCGATAAGGATTTTCTTCAGCGCTACAACTTGACCTGTTTCTTGGTTCTTCGCTTTAAAGACTTCGCCAAATGTTCCTTGGCCAATTTTCGCGATAGTCATGTACTTTTGTCGACGATCGGGGCAGTGGGGGAAATCGCGGTCGAACATAGAGGGGTTATCTTAAAAAGTCGATTAGAAAATCATGTTCATGATGTCTTTGGATGTCTGTAGATGTCCTGAAATGTCTATCGATGTCAAAAATGTCGATGACTGTCAAAAAACTTCCTCATAGCAGATTCTAGCGCCAAATAAGAGACCTGTATGATGAACATGTCTCTTTTTCGGCTTCTGTTTTTCAGGAATCGGGATTCTATGATCTGCCTCTCTCTGTCGTTTTTCCGTGGAATTACTCCGATCTCTCATTTTCATAAAATCCGTGATATCCTTCATCAAATCGCCCATTATGTTGGGATTTTGACGGTTGAAACTGGGATCGTAACTCATCTCTATTAGCGTCAAAAAATCAATTTTTTGTAGGTGAAAAAATTGATGAAAACAATTGATTGACTCCATATTCCAGAGATTTTCCGGCAATATTGAGCTACGTCTCTCAGACATAAGAACAAGGGCGCTTTACCTGACTTCGTTGGATCAGGGGATTTCAACTTGTGAACGAAGGGAGGGCGACTTTTCTCATTCTGGCGATGAGCGTTTCCATCTGGGAATCGGGTTTCTTTCTGAGGCGGTCTGGCATAAGGAAGATTCTGTTGCTGATGCTGATGATGGTGGTTGTTGTGAGGTCTTGATGGGCGAGTTCGGTATGGCATCACTTGATTGGCAATCGACATTTTCTGAACCAGGGGGCGATTTCCTTGTTCTGAACTTACAAAGGGTTGATGGATTTCGATTTTGAATAGATTGATGTTGTATTTATCTGTGACAAGTTTTTGGGAGTATTTCAAAAATTTAAACCGTTGAAATTATATTTAGAAGACTAGTGAAGTAAACAATCTTCGATGATAATCACAAAAAGCCGCGTGCGGCTTTGAGATATAAAGATAATCAGGCAAAATGACTTGTTAAATCACCGATCTTTGAGGGAGACTTCTAGCTGATGGACAGAGAATAGTAAAATAGAAATGTAAGCAGAAAAGGTGATTAAGTAGATTAGGGGCACAGTATATCTCAGTAAACACGGTCGATCATGCCGCCATGGGATGCGTTATTTTGCCTTGAAGCTTGAGCTGGCTGGTGATGATTTCGCTGCGGATTGGTAGTCAGGTACTCGAACATCGAGGACGAGAGTTTGCTCAAAGTGCCTTCGAGAGAAACTGGCATCGGATCTGTCCAGAAGAAGTCATGATTTAGCGCTGTGTCGCAGTCGATTCGATTTTCGGGTTTCAAGGTAAGAAGCTAAAGAAAGGGAATTAAAAAGCTCGAAATAAAAGTGAGGCTTTTGCCACAAGAAACAAGAAAAAAAAACACATTTTTGAAAATAAGGGACTTTTTTATTAGATAATTGGGACAGAGAAACGCAGAATTTATTATTGTTTTCCAACAAATTGACCATTCTTGGGCCCGTTGCCATCGACATTAGCCAAGTACGCTCCCTGCATGTTTCCACCGTTTTCATATCGAGCGACGATGAAAGTTCCCGCTTCGTTAGCTGCTTTTGCGACGCAAACAAACTTGGTACTCTTCCAGATGTTTTGAGTGAAGTGGCCACAGTCGTACCACGATTTGTTTGGGCCTTTAGAGCAGGAAGGACAGCTGCCGGCGGTGCATTCTTGATGGTTCGAGAAGTCGTAGTAGACGTCTTCCGATTGCCAGGCTTTGGTACCATCGGACATGGAATATCCGGAGCTAACGCTAGACCAGGCCATGTTTTCACCGAGACCTAAAGAAAGATTTGAAAAAGCTCCTATGGCTAGAATCAGCCGATAAGACTGACAATATTTTGAGTTTGAGACTCAAAGGAGCCGCCAGCGGCTTCTCGATTTTCTGAGTAATTCCGCTGGTGCATTTTTGACTTACTTCCGAGCTGATCTATCGACGCGTGCTTCATACTTCCCGTTTTTCTTGCCGCCTGGGTGTTCGCCCATTCTTGAGCGCCATCACAGAGGGCTTTTGATGGAATTCCGAGAGCAGGAGAGTTGTGATTTGCACGGTATTGATTGTGACGGATGATGGCATCGCAAGCTTCTGCTGCATCTTTGTGTCCGTATTCGGTCAACTTTTGGACGCATGCAGCTCTGTCGACGCCGCCTGAAGAAGAGGAAGTTGTAGGGGTGGTAGAGGCGGCTGTAGATGCGGTCGTGGAGGCAGCAGAAGCCGTAGTTATAGCTCCAGTGCTGGATGGTTTTCCGACGAATTGACCATTCTTGGGCCCGTTGCCATCAATATTCGCCAAGTAAGCACCCTGCATGTTTCCTCCGTTTTCGTATCGAGCGACAATGAAAGTTCCAGCCTCATTTGTTGCTTTGGCGACGCAAACGAACTTGGTACTCTTCCAGATGTTTTGAGTGAAGTGGCCACAATCGTACCATGCATTGTTCGGTCCCTTCGAGCAAGAGGGACAGCTATCGGCAGTACATTCTTGGTGGTTAGAGAAGTCGTAGTTGACATCTTCTGATTGCCATGCTTGGGTTCCGTCAGACATGGAGTAGCCAGAGCTCACGCTTGACCAGGCCATGTTTTCACCGAGACCTAAAGGAGGATTTATCATAGGATTGCATTCAAAACTGTTTTTGACTTACTTCCGAGCTGATCCCTTGACGCGTGCTCCATGCTTCCTGTTCGTCTCTCTGCCTGGATGTTCGCCCATTCTTGAGCACCATCACAAAGGGCTTTGGAAGGAATTCCAAGAGCAGGGGAGTTATGATTCGCTCGGTATTGATTGTGACGGATGATAGCATCGCAAGCTTCGGCTGCGTCCTTGTGCCCGTATTCGGTAAGTTTTTGGACACAGGCAGTTTTGTCGACGCCAGCTGAAGAAGAGGGAGTGGTAGAAGCCGTGGTCGAGGCTGTTGTGGAGGCAGAAGTAGCGGCAGAGGAAGCTGCGGTGGTCGAAGAAGTGGTAGTTGTTGATTTTGTTGTAGTTGAGCTAGCAGCAGTGGTAGAACTTGCTGCTGTTGAGCTTGATGATGTTGGAGAAGCTGTTGTTGTAGTTGTGGTAGTCGTTGTTGGTGTCAAACTGCCACAAGTGAAGCTATCAAGAGTTGTTTGATTCAGTGCGCTTTTCCAATCGCCTTTTCCTTTCCAATCACAAGTGAATGGAAAAACATCGGACTTGGGACACTGGCAAACGGCGGACAAAACATCAACCTGCGTCTGACCGTTGTTCATCGGATCGCCATTGGCGCACGAAAACAGGCATCGACGCTTGTTGTGCTTGGAGATGTCGCAGCTCTTGACAATACCAGATCCAGGAGCGAGATCTTGACACGTCCCGCAGCCGCCCAGTTCTCTCTTCCACGAATATCCGCTGTTGTGATTTCCGCGGCACTTGATCTTCCTCAATCCAGTTGGGAGAAATCCCTCCTCGCATTTCACCGAGCAGTGGTGGCCCGAGCATTCGAGCTTGCCGTTCTCTGGCGATTCTAGCGGAGCGCAGTTGGAGTAGCTAGTCGCTTTGGCGAGCTGGACGAATTGAAAGAACTGGAAGAGCTTCATCGCTTTTCAAATTATCTTCGAAAAAGCTGACTTTCTGGCTTGATTTCTCGGCGAGAAGTTTGGGGTTATATTGCATAAAAACTGTTGACTAAGGGGGCAATTAGAGAAAACCGCGACACCCGTAGTTCGGCTACCGGTAGTTTATCGCGTCAGTACGGTTTAATAGCTGCATGGGAAAGTGCTGCAATTTCAAAAGTTCCAAAAGTACCTGGTCAATTAAATTTAAAGCATTTTTATCCGGCATATACGTTCTTAATCGCTGCGTCAGGATTCGGCTGGAATTTCGGACTTCGTTTGGTAGAACAAGTTTCTTATACAGTTCCAATTTCTCCACACCAGGCCATCTTAAAATATACTCAACTATTATCGAGAAAATGAAGAAGCAGCTTGCTTGAACTTGAATCCACAAGCCTCTTCCCTTATTATTTAAAAATGCTCTTACGTTTCCGGATTGATGCCACCACAAAGTTTTTGAATCTTCTGAAGTTGATCCTGTTCCACTTTTCCTTGCATAATCGGCGTTCTTGTCCACATTTCTGCCATGACGCAGCCCGCGCCCCAAACATCAATCGCCGGGCCATAGTTTCGCTCACCAAGGAGCAATTCGGGAGGTCGGTACCAAAGGGTTACCACTCTGTTGGTGTATTTATTTGGCTGGCTTGCTTTTGGTATGCTAAAAAGATGATCAATTTATTTTACGAAAACCAGAAAGAAGTATCCAGCTGAAGAAATTATGTTCAACATTGATAAAATTAACCGAGAAAATGAATCGATTTTAGCAGTTATAACTCTTTGAGGCCAATGAGCATCAAGTCAATAGTAATAAATATCAATATTAACAGTATAATAACCTGAAAGGACGGGCAAGACCAAAATCAGCCAACTTCAGGATCCCTTTTCGATTTATCAAAATATTCGCCGCCTTCATATCTCTGTGAAGAATTTTGTTCTTGTGAATAACATACAGTCCTTCGAAAAGCTGCTGGATGACCTTTTTCTTTTCTCCGATCGAAAAATTCATCTAAAATCTTCATGAAGAAAAGGGAGTGAAAAATCAAATTCAACCTGTTTGTTCGTGAGAAGTCCGGCCAAATCATGTTCGCAAAACTCGAAAACTAGATGAATTTCTGGCCGTTTTTTCGTCCGATGATCTGGCCGCGTTCTGCAGATTTCGATCAACTCGACGATATTTTCGTTCTTGAGCTTTTGAAGGATTTTTATTTCGCGAAGAGCGGTGATTGGGAAGCCTTCTCGTTCGTTTTCCATCAAAACTTTTTTCAGTGCGACGACTCGCCCAGTTACTGTGCATTTTGCTTTCCAGACTTCGCCAAAGGTTCCCTGAAATAGCGGCTGCGTGAGAATTTTGACATAGAATAGAGTTTTTATTTTGCGAACCCGGCTTTATTTTCATAATAGCCGACTGTTCATCAAATATCTTTTAAATGACTACAAATGAGAGGAGAGTGGTGAAGAAGATGTGGTTGAAGAAATGAAGTTCATTTTGACGCGCTTTTTTTAAGGTGGTGGAAGTTTTCTAGCCCACTTGCGCCTTATAAACCCTAGAACACCATACCTTTTTAGAATCAGCAGGAAATTCTAAGAACTTTGACCGTTTTAGTTTTCGAAAATCCCACTTCCGGTCCGATTCTAGAGCCGGAAGTTGACGAAATTTAGTAGTTAAGGTAATGTGTGACCTATCAAATTGCTCCCCAGAAGATTTCCTGTCGATATAGAGAAGAATCAATCCCTACCGCGGCCAAACCAACCGGTTAAAATTGTGAAAAATTTCATCAATTTATGCCTTTTTTACATCATTTTACCGGTCGGTTTGACCACGTTTGGGACTGTTTCTTCTGATGGTTTGATTATAGGATGACTCAAAATCTTCTGAGCATTAATTTCATATGTCACCAACTACCATTACTCCAAAATTTCGCCAACTTCCGGCTCTAGAATCGGACCGGAAGTGGAATTTTCGAAAACTAAAACGGTCAAAGTTCTTAGAATTTCCTGCTGATTCTAAAAAGGTATGGTGTTCTAGGGTTTATAAGGCGCAAGTGGGCTAGAAAACTTCCACCACCTTAAAAAAAGCGCGTCTTTATTATACAACCGAAACCCTTTCTTTCTAAGCGTTCTCTTACAACTTTCTTTCGCTTTATGGCTTCTACAAATTTCTTCATTTTTACCTGTCCGATCTTGGCTGTAGCCTTGTATTTCTTCTGCTTGTCTGGGCAATATTCAAAAGTTCGTTCATGCATCGTCAAATCCGCTAAAAAGAGACGTTATTGAAAGTATCGTCTATGGAAGAAATTTCTTAAAAATCAAAAATTTTCAACTGAAACCGTACATGACTGGGTTCTATCATTTTTCGAAGAAGAGGAGCTTTGGTTGTTGTAGGGATGATGACGATTTCGCTCGCCACCGGGTCGACTTCGCGATGGAACTGACATTCTATAAATTTCCTCACTGATTTAATGTTTTTCATATTAATAATTATTATAAGGAAAATTGAAAATTAATTTTTTCAGTGACCCAAAGATTTTATCAGAAATTGAGTTCTTCTCTTTCCTTCTTTTTGATTTTTTCTCTAGATCGGTTATTTTCTTTTCGAAAACGGCCGATTGCCCCGTTAGCGCGCTACGATTTGCGCGCGGCGAACCATTGGGCCCCGCGTTTTTTTGCTTTTTCAGTTTTGCAAAAAGCGAGTTTTCCTGATTTCCAGTGACAAATTTTAGCTGGAAAAAGCAGACTGTGAAGAAAATGAAGATTTAGAAGAACACGAAAAGAACGAAAGAGAAAATGGCAGTAGAAGATGAAAAGAAAAAAGGGATTTTGGGTTATTTCAAACCCTTGAAAGAGAAAAATCTGAATAATGAAACTGCAGAAAATGGGAAGAAAAAGACCAAGTCAAGAAATCTATCTACAGGTAATTTTATATTGAGTCTCAATTTGAGATCTAAAGAAAGAACCCTTCTCGGCTCGAAAATCAGTCCGTTTACGAAAATGGAGATTTTTCATTCACCACAGAAAAAAATAACCATCTCTGATAGGTTTTATTAACTCCTATTGAAAACCAGAAGGATTTTCAGTCGCAAAAGCATTTTCTTCAATTACCATTAAAATAATTCTTCAGAAAGCCCAAGGAACCCGCCCTCTCCAATCGTCGAAATCAGTTCTTCAGACTCCGAGCCGGAAAACGACTCCTCTAAAAAGAAGCCCTCCATTAAAGCCTTGCCGAAAAAGTCCATTACTCCTCGAAAAACCCCTCCAAAACCTGCTGTGCTCAAAAATTTTCCACTTTTTTCACCAAAAGTTTCAAAACCGCCGACTCCTCAACGCTCCTCTTCGAATGCGTCCCTCAACGAATCTCTTCCTGACATTAACGGAATCGATCTCTTATCTTCGACAAGCCAAGTGATATCTTCCGACAGCGATGGAGAAGTTTTCACGTCTCAAGAAACAGCAAAAACACCAAAAATCAAGCTGACGAAAAAGAAATCTTCAGGAAGCAAGAGAAAGAAAAGCCAGAAAAAGCAGGCTATCGCGCCCATCAACGAAGAGGAAGAAAATGAACCAGAGAAAGACGAAGAGCAGGAAATTCCAAAGCCAGATTGTCCAGTTTCCGAAACGAACAAGAAGTCAAAGAAGAGGAAAGCTTCGGCGACAGAGGCTGTCAAACCAGCTCGTCTTGAATCGATTCAAGAAGATGAAGCAGCAAGTACTCCTCGACGACGAAGCTCTAGGTCAGTTTATTTGCTCCTGTCTTTCCCTTATCCTTATCCACTCCTTTCAGAATCAAGAAAATTGAAGAAACAAAGCCACCAGTCGAAGAGCCCAGTCCATCCCCTCCTTCGCCCCCTCGAAAGCGCGAAAAACTCGACCCAAAACTCGCCAAATCCAGCGCTAAAGCGACCCCAAAAGCTCGTAGAAATTCCTCTACTACTTCTTCCAAAGCCCAGACTCCATCATCAAAGAGGAATTCTAGCGCCAAACTCGTTGAAAACGGAACGCCAGTGAAAGTCAATGGGTTGAAAAAACTCATGAACACTGCTAAGGAGACGCCCAACAAATCGTCGAAATCTTCGTCAAAATCGTCTTCAAATGGCCCAGTGATCGAAATCGACTCAGACGACGAAAAACCCCAGCAACCCGCGAAGAAGACCGAGCCACCAATTACCAAAGAAGAACTAGATTTTTACGCGAAAGAAGATGAAAAAGTAAAGAGCTGGAAAAAGTATTGCGAGTTAAAAGATGGCGATTTCCAGCTGCATCTGGAGAAGAGGATTGAGCGGGCGGAACGAAACTTGATCATCAACGACGAAGATATTGAGAAGATTCTCGGGAAGATTCAAAAGGCGAATAAGAGCATGGATGTGGCGGAGAATTGGAAACGAGTGAGCAACCAGGGCATTTCTGAGGAAAGCGATCTTCTTCAGGTTAGTTACAACAGATTTCTTTTGAGAAAACCTGAACTTTTTGGTTGAGTTTTTTAAGCTTTCCAACAAGAGAAGAGCTCTCATAGAACTCATGATGGTGCGAAATGTTCATTTAAAATTCTAGTTCACCCGACTATACCAGCCGGTAAAACTGCCAGATTTCATCGGAGGAGACTCCAGCGACAAGAATCGAGTAGCTTCATGGATGTACGACTGGCGCTGCCTAGCTGACAAGCGGCGAGAACAATCTCAAAGTTCAAAAGCAGAAGCAGTCGCCCCTCAGTCGAACAATGGGAAACAGAAGAAGAAAACCAAAAAGAAGGGATCAAGACGACGCAGCGATTCGGACAGCAGCGACGAAGAGTATGTTTTGGAAAAGGAAAATGTACCGGACTCGAAGACGGTGTTTTTGTTTGGAATGTCGGGGCTTGGAAAAGCCGCGTTTGTTCATGCTTGCGCGAAGGAATACAATTTTAAGGTAGCAAAAGAAGACTTGTTGGAGTCGAATAGGTTTTTTAATAACCGTTTTTTTCGTTAAAAATAATTTAATTTTGAATGAAATTTATCAAAAATTTGATTGTAATTACAAATTTTTATGAAGGCGCCAATGCTCGGATGTAAGCCTGGATCTCGTCCACTATTTCTTGATTATAAATTATAGAAAGCACTCTATTCCATTTTATTTCAGGGAATAGAGCGATTTTTCTTATTTATCTTCGCTTCATTTTATTTTTGAGTGTGGATTTTGGATTTTTGACAGTTTTATACAGCATATTCCAGGTGTTTTCCCGCTGCTCCGATTTAGGCAATTCGTAAATAATTGATAGTCAATTCTTTCGCACCTGTTACTCAGGTCCCACGACTCCAGATGTTTTCTTGCAACTTAATTTCTCTTTTTTAGGTTATCGAAGTCCACCCTGGGCAAGAACGAAGCGGATCTGTCCTCCGTGAAACGCTGAGTGAAGCAACTCAATCAGAGCGCCTTCAGCAGAAGAAAACAGCCATACAAAACTTCTTCAAAATTTCGAAAGTCAAAGAAGCCATGAAAACCGCGGAGAAGAGTAAAGACACGCTTATCTATTTCTCCAACGTCGATTTGCTCTTTTCCGAGGACGAGGGCTTCTGGAGAGCGCTAAAGAATTTCATCGACAAGACGAAAGGTAAGATCTGTTTGAAGAGCTTTTGAGAAAGAGTTTTCTAGTTCCGATCATCTTTTCCGGAGAAACGATCGAAGCGAACTCCGGGTTGAATCCTGAAAAGTCGAATATCGACGCAGAGGAGCAACAGAAATGCATAGAAGTGGCACTTACTTGCATGCAGCGAAAAGACCTCATTAGTTTTTTGCGACTCGTTGCTCTTGACAAAGGCTTTTTCCTATCCCAAGGTAAATCCACTCGAAATAAAGGGCACCAATATCCTTTCATTCTCTCAACTTCGCTCTAGAAAACGCTGCGACCTTGACAAACTACTGCCATTCATACCGCCAGTGCCTTTTGCAGCTTCAACTGTGGAGCTGTGCCTATCCTTTGGCCAATTCTTCCCCGCTCCTTGATACTTGCGGAGTCCGAAAACTCGACAAGGAAGAAAACGAAAAAGACGGAAAACCTCAGGAAATTCAAGATTTCAGCAGAATAGCTTTTCTTGACAGCAAGAAAGACAAACTCCTCTCCCTTTATAACGGCGGAGTCAGATTCATAGCTGTAAATCGGTGGAAATTAATGAACGAAGGGGTGAAATACAGGAGGATTTCAATGGACGAAGACGAGTTCGATGACTTGGTGAAGATGAGACGATTTACATCCGGTAAAGAGAGCTGAAAATTGTCCCTTGATAACTTTTTAGTTATGAGCTTACTTGATCGCCGAACCTGCAGCATCCAGGAAACCTGGTCTTCCGCCAAGTCCGACACAACGAACAGTTGTTGCCGAGCTCCTAGAATGGACTCAAATCGCCATCACTCGCTCCAGCAAGAAATTCAATGCTACCTTGAGAGTAAGAGTTATCCTGCATTCTCACATCAATTCATTTTTCTTATAGCATCGGCGTTGCAAAACTCGACCATTTCCGAGCGTCTTTGGCTGCCAACAATCGACAAAGAGTTCCAGTTCAGCAAGCCGTTGCCAAAAAGCAAAGCGATGACGGCCAGTTCGGTTGATGAAAAAGTCCTCAATTATCAAAATCAACTCGACGGCTGTTGCTGGAAGGTGCCTCCCTTTTATAGCATGGGTTATCGGCTTTTCGCCAGAGGTACAATCTTCTTCCTTGATTTGTTAATTCATTCACTTTTAGATTATGTTCCTGCCATTGCCCACTTCTACCGGCAGTTCAAGGAGTCCGGTGAACTGAACGCCCGTGGCATCCGAAAACGAGGCGGGGGACAAGACTATCTCGAATCAAGAGGCTTTGCTTGCTGGGATGAAGATGATAAAGACTTCCTCAGCCGCCCGTTCCCTTATTTTCTCAAGTACTAGCCTTATTTAACAAGAAGAAAGAATCACTTTGTACAGTTAACGAGACCTCACTGTAAGATAACATTTAGCCCACTGCCAGTTATCTAAATAAAGAAAGAGTTGCACAAAATGCAGTCAAAAAAGTTGTTTTCATTTATTACTGAAGAGCAGCATGTGGTACAGAAATCACTTCATCTAAAAATTAATTCAGCAACTTTCCTTCAAAATTTTTCTTACCTGAAAAGCCTCTGTTTTCATCCGGATCATAGAAAAGCATGACGACGTATCTCTTTGCAAAAGAAAAAGCAAAACCCAGCAGCAAGCAAATGGCAACCCTTTTTCTGGACAAGCTTTCGATTCCCTCCTCGCTCATTTGTCTTTCTCAACTTTGCCGAAAAAGCGGTTGGAGATTTTGAATAAAATGTATGTTCATCGATTTTTGCCTGTCTCACCCTCTCCTCGAGCAGAAGAATCGATAGAACAGAAGATGAGTTTTAATGAACACATTTAAAGATTCAAAGCTGCAATTTTGAAGTTGAATACTGTCGGTTTTAAAACGCATGACCTTTGAATATTTATTTTGCTAATTCTGCGAATTTCTGCAAATACACGGGACTATATAATTTCGAGCGATTGTGACCTCGTTTTTTCAGCAGCCAAAATACACAGAGAGCTGATTGTAAGTCACATATCCCAGAAACTAAAGCCCTGACCTACTCAGCTTTCTTCCATCCTTTCGAACATTTTACGGCCCTGAAAGGCCCCGTATAGAAAAATGTGATGAGTAAGCAATCAGAATTGAACTTTTATCATCTGTTCAACTTTAATCATCGGAATCACGTATTTCGCCCGACCCACCTTACGAATGTCCACACCCCTCTGTCCGACCTCTCCTCTGGCTTCCAGACCTGATTACCTTTTAGGTCTTTTGCAGTTTAAAAGAGCCGGCTCCTGACAGAACTCTCAGTTCTTCACTTCTTTTTCATCATGTCGACTTTCACCAATTACGATTCTAGCGCTGCAAGTGACTACGATGTGGCAAGACTGCCCATTGGCGCAGACATTATGGGTAAGGTTGTTTTTCTGTAGACGGGTCGCTGATAAAGGAGATCATTTTTAACATTTTTTGCAGAGAAATTCATTCGGAAAAACTCTCCTGCTGGATATGAGCAAACCAATTTGGTCGATTTTGGAACAGGAACTGGCAGCTACATCGTTGAACTCCTGAAAAGTGGCCTGAAATATGCCATGTGCACGGATTTCAGTCAGATTATGCTTGACAAGTGCGAGGCAAAATTATCTGCTGGCGGATTTGATGAACGATTCGGTATCAAGAAGGTCTGTCTTCCCGATTCAGGTAGAAGGTTTACCCGAGGAATCAGATGAAAATGCATTTAGGGTTCAAAAACGACGAGTTTGAAGCTGCCAAATGCTCGATGGTCATCCATCATCTCGTAAAAACCAACGAAAATGGCGTCGTCGACGATTGGTCGCCCATTGGCAACGCCTTTTCTGAAGCCTTCCGAATTCTCAAACCTGGTGGAGTCTTTGTTGTTGCCTTCAGTACTCCTGAACAGCGAGGGGGCAACTGGTAAGACATTCTTCCTATTTTCTTTTCATAAGTTGACGTAGGTACGCTCATTTGGTCCCAGCAACGAGAGCGCGAACGATTGCCAGATGTCCAAGCAAGGAAAAAGTACGGGAGCTCCTTCAAGGCGCTGGTTTTGAAGTTACAGATGAAGAAGTCATGACGAATCATTACTGCAGCAACGAGACTTACTACGACCACGAAATCTTTTGCAAAAATCAGCGAGCTTGGTTCATGGACTCTGTCTTGAGTTCTGCGACTGAAGAGGAGCGAGAAGCAGCAAAGGTAAAATATGACTAAGGAGGTCAAGGGAATAAATCGTGATTCAAGGCGAAAGTGAAAGAGTTCGCAGAGAAAAATGAGCTCAAGAAATTCCTCGAAGAACACGATGATTTCAAGAACTTTGGCTGTGGAACAATCATTGCTGGTGTGAAAGGTCTTTCTGCCACTGCTGGACAATAATACTGAAAATAATTGAAAATATATTCAAAGTTTTTTAATAATTTATTTATTGAATTCTTTCACAGAGGGAGAGAAAATCGTCGGGGAGCGAATAAGGCAGTCAAAGGCGGAATATTGTAGTTTTTGTGTCTATTTAGGCGAGGAGGTTGGTCTTCCATTCAGCCTCGGTAGCGTAGCTAGCTGCGGCGATCTGCTCGGCAGCAGTGTCGGAGCAAGTTCTGCAGACGGAGGTGATTTGAGCGCCGTTAGCGTCGACTGTGTCCTCTGGTTTGCATTGGTCGCCTTTCCAGAAGTTCTGCGCTCGGTTGTTTTTGCAGGCATCTTCAGCTTTGCATGATCCGATGACTTGCTCGACGACTCCTCCTCGTTGTCTGAACAATATAGTTAACCCTGGAAAAATGAAGGATTTGAAGACCAAAAAAAAAGAATCAAAATCGTTGAAATCATCTGATAAAAGCTGAAAACTCTCTTACCTGACGGTGATTTGGCAGGTCTCCTCGTTCGCCTGGCAGGTAACACTGACTTTGTTGGCATCAAAGTCGGCGACGGAAGTTCCAATACCGGTCCAGCAGTCGAGAGCGGAAGTAGCGACGGCGAGGGTGGCAAAAAGCTTCATTTTTAAGAGTTTTTTTTTTCTTTTTTTTTTGGTCGATTCTAGGTCGAATGATACATTTCTGCTTTCTCCCCGCGCTTAAATGGAGCGCTATGTTTATAGAAACACCATGTTAAAAATAACGTCTCTGGTTTAGATTATTCGCAAAGTTTTGGTGTAAAACATCATACACGTTGGCCATTTTCGGCCGTCTAACTGATCGGCCCTGGTTAAGTATTAAAAGAAAGGTAAATTTGTTTTCAGCCGAAATCAACCACAATTAACAAAACGGGCTTGAAACGAATCGGCTTACGGAGAATTGTTGATGTTCCAGATAAATGCCGCATTTATCGACTTATTAATCGCTACGCACAGCGTTTTATGTCCGTAAATAGAATCTGCCATTTCGAAATTGCCCCGTTACCCATCGTTTTGATAGCAATTAACTTGATCGATCCTATTAGGATGATCAAATTAAATGCATCAAGATTAGCAAGAGCTCCCATTTGAATAGATTGAACCATCGTTTTGCGGATTCTAGTGCTAGTTCATCGCCTTTGATTGTACTTGAGGGACGCTCTTCGTTCAAATATGTTTTATGATTCAGCGTTGGGGCTCGCTACTCAGCCATAACTTCTTTATTGTCAGAGAAAATGGACATCGATGCATATTTAGATGCTTTTCAAGCGGAGCTCAAGCGGCCCAAACGGCCAGTATTTGGGGGTCCACCCGCAGCTGGGGGAGTGGGACCTTCCAAGCCTCTCTACATGGCGGCTGGACCGATTCGGAGAGGAAGCACTAGTCAGCGGCCTCAAACGAGTCGGACTATTGAGCAACAACAAGCCATACAAGTAGGACTCCTTTGGGAGTAACTTTTGTTGATTTTAATTATTAAGGATGTCCACTCTGGTAAAAATGTTTTCATGACTCAGGAAGAGCGTGTCAAAGCTATCTTCACGGACCTTAAAGAAATCGCTCAAACCAATGAAGAAGTTGCAGAAGGTCTACGAAAGATCGTAAACGAGTCAAAGTACGCGTAATACAGTGTGTTTCCGGAGGCGCTATTTTCATTTTAGATTCAACGAGCAACTGGCAATAAAAGAAAATGCCACAGGAATCGCAACTCTTCTCAGTCTCGGAAATGCGAAACGAGCTTCGAAAGTCATGCTTCTTACTGCTGCAGTCAATGTTTTAGGAGACGATAGGAGTGTTCTGAGAAGCATTGCCACGACTTTCTTTGGTCAGGAATCGTATTTTGTCTGATGCTCGCCTTATTTTCCGTGAATCATCAAAACAAATAAAGGCTTGAAAATATCAATCCAACTCTGGTACCGGTAGAAAGAATTGATTAGTTCCAGTGCGTTTTCTTTCACTTAAAAAGTGCGCTTTATAAATGTCAAAGCTGGCGCGGGCAGACATGACACTGTGGCCGAGTGGTTAAGGCGTTGGACTGCTAATCCAATGTGCTCTGCACGCGTGGGTTCGAATCCCATCGGTGTCGTTTTGTTTTCGCCACGAATTCGTGGTAATTACAAGCAGAACAGTATGTTTATCGACTCTAGAGCGGTAGGGAAGACATTCAGTAAAGAAAAACAACAATTTTGGTTGCTTTTTGATCATTTTATTGGTACGTTTTGCTGATGAAACCGAACATGTCAGGAGAATCCATTCTTCGAAGAAATTTCTTTCTCAGCCTTTGATCGTCTGCACCAGGGAAAAGAGAGTGCTTCGGTTGTCAACAACAACTACAGTAGCAGCAGCAAGAAGGGCAACTTTAACGACTTGTTTGGCATGTCCTAGGTTGAGAAAATTCATGATTCCCGTAGCATTTTCTTTGATTTCTGCCACCATGTCGAATCTGAAGAGATTATTTTCGGGGAAAATCGATGGAAATTACCGGGGATTTTCGAGCATCGTTTGAATTTCATTTGCGATTTGGTCGTTTGTCGCCGCGATATTTTTCAGTTCTCCAGCGATAAATTGAATCCGATCATCTTGGGACATTGCCTTGACATTCATCCCATCCGCATGAAGATCCTTAAACGAATTGAGTCAAGTTTATATGCCAGAAAATGCCAAGTTACCTGCATCGCCTGTTTTCTTTCTTCAGAAATCGACTGACTTTGGGAACTAGGCCTGGGTCCTCTTTTGGAACCTCCTATTCCCCAGCTGCTGGAGGAGGCCCGAAACCGGCTGGTTTCCGATTGAGCTCCTCTTTGAAGGCATCTAGATACGCTTCGTAATCCATTCTCTTGGGAACTGAAAAGCGAGAAGTCTGACTTGCGAGGCGGTATTATTTGCTGAGACTAAGCTTGCTGATTCATAAAAGTAAATTTAAACAGAACAATTGGCTCTCCGTTCAATGAGAACTGCGAAGAAAGCATAAAAATTGAAAAAAAAAACATGAGAATGAAAATAATTTTTAGTGCTATTTTTAGTGAAATAGTTTGGCCAGGAAACGGAACTCGTCAGGAGAAATCAGATTTCGTCAGCGCCAAATTTTATTTTCAAGCTTTGATTGTTTCCACCAGGGAAATCAGAGTGTCCTGGTTAGCGCCGACGTAGTAAGCAGCAGCAAGAAGGGCGAATTTTGCCCATTTTGCGGTGAGATATTCGACGATCTCACTTGGATCGGTCTTGATTTTCTCCGCGACATCGTCGTATCTAAAGAAAATTTTGTAGGATAATAAATAAAGAAGTAGATTTACTTGGGATTGTCCACCAAGGTCTGCATTTCTTTCGCGATTTCGTCATTCTTTGCAAAGCTCTTGAGTTCTGCAGTGATAGCAGTAATTAGCTCCTCCTTGGTCTTTCCTTTGATGACATTTTGTCTATCGGCATGAAGATCCTATTGTTCGTGAATTGTAATTGTCTTTATTCGTTCATGAAATTACCTGAATTGCTTCTTTCTTTTCCCCAGAATCCGGAGTTTCGGAAGAAGCTCTGGCATTACTGACTCCCCCAGCTGCGGGAGGAGGCCCAAAACCTGCTGGTTTCCGGTGGAGCTCCTCTTGAAAAGCAGTCAACGACATATGCGGTCAATCTTCGGGGTAGGGATCCCGAAGAATAGACGATTTTAAATACGCTCAATCTTCGGGGTACGATCCCGAAGAGCTACCAATATAAAATGCGGTCAATCTTCGGGGTCTTGAAAGCCAGAGACGAAGAATAACCGATGCACAATGCGGTGATTCTTCGGGGTCAAATGAGTGTTTTCGAGATTGTCGAGTGCTAAATTTCGCTGCCGCGTTATCGAAATTCCTATCATCCGCCCGCCTTATGAATGTTGCTATCAGCACAAGAGTTGGTAAAAAAGAATACTTCATCCTGCGCTTCAAAAATCCCCAAAGACTTTTTGTCGATAAAAAAAAATAAAATCATTGTATTTGCTAAAATAAAGGTTAGGGTTAGGGGGCACCTTCAAAATGACGGAACAAATTACCCGAGGGGGATAGGCCTTCGGTAACCCTAACTAACCCTAGACTAGACCCCGGCATCTTAGGACCGAGGGGCGGAGCCCCGAGGTTAGGGACAATCAGTTTTGATAATTTTCTACTTTTTAAATAGTTTACTGTTAAAAACTTTCAATAAGAGAGTTGTTAATTGGCTTTCAATCTTTAGGACGAAATTTTTATTCGAAAATCCCTGAATTCTGGTCGGAAATATCGGCCACTTTAATAAAATATTATTCATTAAATTATTATTCATTATTATTCATTCATAAATTGTAACATCGGATTTCTATTTGTTTGATAGTTTCTCATAGCAGGAAAAACTATAGAAAAATTAAATATGCTGATCTTTTATAAGTATTCATCTTCAAAGTTTTTTTCTGACCCCGAAGATTCACCACAATGTTGATCGGTTATTCTTCGTCTCCGGATTTTCGAGACCCCGAAGATTGGCCGCATTTTTTATCGGTAGCTCTTCGGGATTTTACCCCGAAGATTGAGCGTATTTAAAATCGTCTATTCTTCGGGATCCCTACCCCGAAGATTGACCACGTATGACCGCAGTCAAATAAGCTACGTAATCCAAGGTCATTCTCTTTGAAAACTAGTCTGACTTCTGAGGCGGAATCGTTTGCTAGCACTGCGCTTGAAAAAAGCGATAAATTTAGACACTGTCAACGACTCTTCTGACTCTTCATGAGTAGGCTCATAAAAAAGCTCATGAGAAGGTTTTTTAAACGAAAAACATATCAATCAAATTAGTTTTCAACAGTTTAACTTTCAATAATAATAAAGTAATTTGCATAATAAGGCATATATTTTGGTTGTTATTAACCATTTTATTGGAATCTTTCGTTGATGAAACAGAACTTTTCAGAAACATCATTTCTTCTGAAGCATTTTTTCAGCCTTTGATCGTTTTCAGTGAAATCTTCAACGGATCACGCTTGATTGCGTCCTCCAAATTGAATCTTAAAGCAATCAAGACTGAAGTGGAAAAGGCATAAGCTATACCGAGGGTCCTGGAACATATTGTTGATTTCTTTGGCGATTTTGTCGTTTTCGACGAAACTCTTCAGGCCTTCGGTGATCATTTTTATTCGATCATCTTGAGTCATTGTCTTGATATTGAGGCCATCAGCATGAAGATCCTGCAAATCCTTCGAATTCAATTAGAATCATATAAATTATATGATATAATTACCTTTTTCGCTGCGCCTTTCGCCTTTGCTATTGCCTCCTTCTTTTCGTCAGAAAGCGGAGCATTTTCGGAATTAGGTCTGGAGGCCTTTCTAGCACTTCCTATTTCACCAGCTGCGGGAGGATGACCAAAAGCTGGAGCTTTCGGCTTGTAATTTAGCTCGGCTTGAAAAGCATCAAGATACGCTTCGTAATCCATTCTCTTGGCAACTGAGAATCCAGTAGGCTAACGAAAAGGCGCTCACTGGAACAGAAGAGAGCCAAATTATGAATAGGCTTCCAGACCATAAAATATAAATGGTTAAAAACCGAAAATGAATCTTTATAGAGAAAAACATATTTTCACCCTTAGTTTCTTTTATTTTTAACAGTCAATATTCAAAATTCCTCTCCAAGAAATGATTTCTTTTCTGAAGACGTTTATTGAAAGGCGGAATGTTCATCGGGTTCAGCCAGCCTTTTTGTTGCTCAAGATATGTTTTCTTATAATATGATGTTTTTTCTTATTAAAAATCTTACTTTTTCTTTGAGAAAAATAAGATTGAAGGTTGATCTCGTACCCCCAAAACATTTTTTGTCTTGAGAAGAAGGATTCAACAAAGAATGATGGAGATTTTCCTCAAAAAAAATTTTTTAAGCGATTTGGATGGGACATTTTTTTTGGCCGCGTGTATCAAATTTTTGGATATTTTTGCGAAAATCTTGGGACAAAAAATGTCCAAAAATTTCATAATTAACTGTAACTATATCGTGAGCACTGCTCTAGAAATTGCTTGAGTCCAGATGAAGTGTCTTTTTCTAAAAGATCATTTTTGCATTAAATTTTTCAAAAAGACGAACCTTGTTTAGGGTGATCCGAGAAGCTGTATCTACTCTGAAGAAAACCATCGGCAACGGCGACAAGGAGGAAAAAGAGGTTCAACTGCATGTTGTTCTGAATCAAAAAACTGTATCAGTATTTCCTTTTAAAGAAGACGAATTAAAGATTGAGAGTTCTCCGAGAATCAATTATTCTCATCTAAGATCCGCAATTTATCATCGTGGAATGCATTATCTGATTTTGGGAACGTTTTCGTCGTACTAAGGTGCCCTCTTGAAATCAAAAATTGACAAACCTGCAGTTGAAAACTCGGAGAATGGCGAATTAATTATGTGGTTGAGGAAATCAGACGTCGATGACTTTTATACTCGCCGGAATAATCAATCATTCATCAAGAAAATGAGAAAATCGAATGTTAATTGGAAACTGTGGACATGATTTCCACCTGAAATGGCATGTAAGGAGGCGCTGACATTAAGTATTGTCCCGTCTTTGAAATTCAAATTGGTTATTAAAAAAAGCGGCAAGCAACGAGTTGTCTTTTGATAAATTATGCATGTGTTGTCGTGTCGAAGAAAATATATTCCTGCCTGTATGCGTGGATTAAAATGACCTCACTTTTTGTTTGATGTTATTTATTTACAGGTGAGAAATGGAAATATGAGTCCTTGTTGTTATCAAAGATTTTATGAAAAATTCCGTCATTTTCGTGATTTTTTTAGGGATTTGCCGCGATGGTCGCTTCGATCCAAGATTTTGCGCTCAAGACGGAGGAGTAAATTCCCGGCCATCCCTCGCTGGCACAGCCGACTCCTCGAGAAACAACTCCGATGAGGGTAGCTCGGCCGTTGACTGGGCAAATGAGGGGTCCACCAGAATCGCCCTGGCAAGAATCCTGACCGCCATCGGTGAAGCCGTCAGAGTTAAGATCAGGGATCCCGGCACAGACATCGTCGGGCATCAGGGAGTTGATGTTACTGTTCATGTTTTACGAAATGATTCAAGAAAGTCGTAAACCAAAAAAAGGTTTGCCGTTAAAATTTGTATAAAACGATCCTGTTAAGAAGACAGTACTCTTGGCTCATAACATTGACACCAGTGCTCAAGAGCTCAGAAGAAGTACCACTTCCGAAAGAAGTAGCTCCCCATCCAGCAACCCAGCAACCTGCGCCATGCTCTGGTTCCTCAGTTGGCAAACAAGCCATACGAGTCTTTCCCTCTGGATCAGCAGCGAGGATATCATCGTCGAATTTGATAAGGCACCAGTCAGAATTCATCGAGTTTCCGTCACTTGAGTTTCCGTATTCAGGGTGATTGAAGAAGGTTGTTGAAGATAGGCTGTACTCGTTTGCTACAAAGACCTTGATTTTCAGAAATGAAAGTCTTTACTTACAGTCAAAATCATTCACTGAAAGTTCTCCAAAAGTCGCAGTGATTTCCGCCATATCCTCGCAGCAATGAGCAGCTGATAGAACCCAGTTCGAGTGGATGATACTTCCGCCGCATCTGAATCCACTTGTGCCACCAACTGTTTGAGCAAGGAAAAGTCTAGTGATCCATGGCCACTCATTATCTTCTGCGGTAACTCCGCCCACAATCTTTGACATGCGGGCACGTTTCTTTCGTCCACCTGTTGGGAAATTGGAGGAGTCAGTACAGGTGTCGAGTCCAGCGGTGATGGAGTTTGTAAGAGGGACGAATTCAGGAGGAGTGGTTGTAGTCGTTGTAGTTGTCGTAGTTGTGGTTGTCGTAGTAGTAGTAGTTGTAGTAGTTGTGGTAGTTGTAGTTGTGGTTGTGGTGATTGTTGTTGAAGTTGTAGTTGTAGAAGTTGTAGTCGTCGTAGTAGTCGTCGTCGTGGTCGTCGTAGTCGTGGTGGTGGTGGTGGTAGTTGTCGATGTTGTGGTCGACGTCGTCGTTGTCTTGGTGGTGGTTGTGGTCGTTGTTGTGGTCGTCGTTGTCGTAGTCGTGGTGGTAGTGGTGGTGGTAGTGGTGGTAGTGGTAGTGGTAGTGGTGGTAGTCGTGGTCAATGTTGTCGTCGTTGTTGTAGTGGTAGTTGTGGTGGTCGTTGTTTTTGTAGTAGTGGTAGTACTTGTAGTTGTCGAAGTAGTAGTGCTTGTCGTTGTGGAAGTTGTCGGCATGAAGCTAGCAACAGTTTCTTGAATCCAGTCAATGGAGCTGTCAACCGAAGAGTACAATCCTGGCCATCCCTGCAACGCACAACCTGTTCCGCGTGAAACGACACCAACAAGTGTGGCTCGTCCATCAACATTGCAAAGAAGAGGTCCTCCAGAGTCACCTTGGCAAGCGTCTGCTCCGCCGTCAACAAGATGATCGCCGTCCATATCAGGAATACCGGCGCAGATGTCGTCTCCCTCGAGGCTAGCGATGAAGGACTTGGCGAGACAGTAGTCCTGATCCATTACGTTGACGCCGACCTGAAGGAGATCGCTGGACAATGATCCTCCAGAGGAAGTCGTTCCCCATCCGGCAACCCAGCAGGCTTTTCCATGTTCAACAGGCTCTTCTGGGAGACAAGCAATCTTGACATCACCGTCATTGTCACTGGCAACGATATCTTCCGTGAAATGGATCAAGCAGATATCATTTCCTTTTCCTTCGTAATCGGGGTGAATGACGAAGTGATGAGCAGTGAGATCAAATTGGCCGCTTTCGAAGACGCTGCTGCTCAAATCACTAAAAACCGCTTTGATCGACACCGCGCCCTCGCAACAATGAGCGGCGGACAAAACCCAGTTATTGTCAATTACTGTTCCTCCGCATCTGAAACCAGTGAGGCTATCTGGATCATCTTTGATAAAAAGTCTGGCGATGAAGGGCCATGCATTTTCTGCTGCTGTTACTCCTCCAACGATCTTTGAAGATCCACGAGTTTCGTCGTCGATTCCGAAGTTTGATTCGCGGGCGCAGGTAAGAAGGCCAGGAGTGATCACATCTGTCAATGCTTCGAAATCGGATAGATCTGGGGTAGTGAAAGGCGGTTCTGTTGCAAGTGTTGTTGTACTTGGACCAGTTGTGAATGTGGTTGCATCGGTAGTCGTTGAAGTAAATTCCGTAGTTGTTGTTGGCTCTTCTTCGCAGAAGTCATCAGAAAACTTCTCATTTTTGAAAATGAACCAGCCATCGTTTGGCGTGCAGCGAGTTTTGAAACGAATCGGTGCAGATTCTTCCCAGAAGCACTTTCCACTGCAAGTAATTTTGCCTTTTTTGGTGGAACATCTCCACTCGCCCTCGCCAATCGGGAAGTTTTCGAAGGCATCTTCCTCGTTGCAGACAAATCGGTCGCAAGCAGTTTCGAATGAGTTGATTTTCGACTTGAAATTGCCATTCTTGCACTTGACCGCGCCCAGATCCTCTCCATCGTCGCAGACGAGTCGGTAGGTATTTCCCTTTTTAGGGTGGGTGCTGACTAGATTCAGGGAGCCCATAAGAATGTCCATGGATGAGAGCGCTTCCTCGCAGAGATCGACTTTTTCCTCACAGATCAGGTTCTCAGTGCTGAGTTTTCGCTTGATTTTCGGGGTGGATTTGCATTTTGCCTACAAAATTGATGATTATTAGGGAAAGACTCAATTTTAAGACGAAAGTTCTGTAAAAAAATAAATCGAAAAAGTACCTGAATCGAAGCCTTCTTCCAATTTTTCTCTCCGACGAGGCATTTCGCTGAGCAAACCATCGTGGAAACATCTTGTCCTAGCGTTGGGCAGTCCCATTCACCATTAACGATCGGCAAAGCCGCGGTCTCCTCAATCATAGCCGCAGTGCAAGCCGCCGCAGTCGCTGGTGATCGTCCTCTTATTTGATTCTCCCATTTGTCCTTCCAAGCTCCTTCGGCGAAGGTCAAAAGAGTAGCTGCTAACTTCATTTTCGCTAGCTACTTTTGATATTTCTTTATAAAAAAGTATATCAAAAAATGGGAAATAACGGATTATTGCCGTGTGGGAAACAAGAGAAACGAAGGGTTTTAATATTGCGCGCGATTACGCGGTGGAGTGAGAGAGCGCTCGTGACAACGCGCGCCTGTCAAGAAAAGCATTAGGAAAAGGTTACGCGCGGGAGCTACCGTTCGTTTGTCCGGGTTCAGATTGTTTCATCGTTCTAAAATGCCCAAGAGATGAATGTTCCATCTATTTCAAATTTCAAGCCGGTTAAAACATATGCTAGATATACATTACTTGTTTAATACGACACCAACAATTTTCAGCACCAGATGATTTTTAAGTTGGACAAACTTCTCATGCCCATATTAATGGCGAGCTTTATATTTAATAGAAACACTGCTGATCAGCAAAAATTATTTTTTTTTGATCAGTTTATTAAATTTAAACCATCCTAAGATTGCTAAATTAGAAGGATGCGAATGGAAAAACAGCCTCAACGACTTATCAACGAATATAAAACCGGCTCTGGTATTCTGATATCTGGACTATGACCTTCAGAATGTAAGAGAATCCTTTAAAAAGAAGCTCTTTTGAATTTAGGCTGATTGATGGGGATCAGCCATCAGAATTGACAATTCAATTTTCCTTGTCGCTGGTGTAGAATATCCTTTTCCTTTTCAAAGACTCGATTTTGATGGAGATCTATCGGTGAGCACAGAAGTCATTGCAACGTCCCTAGTATCATCAAAAATCCCTGTTCTTCTGGAGGTTTCTGCTGATTTTTGCGTTTAAAAATAAAGTCTTCGAAGTTCGAACAATGAGCCGTTACCAAAATAATTGGCAAGATCACACGTTTTTAGCAACAGATTATTGATAATTAAATATTCTCCTGTTTGAATTGATCACTCTAGAAATAAAATTCTGAACTCGTTGATCGGTAAAAACGGTTTTTCAGACATTCGGAAAGAAATTCGCAAGAACCATTGATTTATTATCCTCCGTAAAACGAAAAGATAACAGACAGCGTGTCCATTTTCAGATGCTGCGTAATCAAATATTACTAGAGCTGATTTAACAATTGTTTGCTCTTGAATTCACTCATTCATTTTAGAAAGACCATATTTTCTTGACCCGCAAAGTGAATTCTGAGCTGGGTCTATCACTTATGGAGAGCTCTTTGTATAATTTCCTGTCATCAAGGATAACTGATAATCCGATTATATGCGAACCTGATCTAACTTGAGCTTAGACAAAAGGGCTGCTGAATATTTAGAAGCCTGAAACCAAGATTCGCGATTTGTGACTGGCGAATTCAGGAACGGAACACTAAATTGTCATTCTTGCATCACCCCTGAATTTTTAAAGCTCAACAGGTTCATTCAAGTGCACTTATTTTGAGCCAAAGCGTGTCTGAGCAAAATCGGATAAGCGCTGCTCTCGAGTACTCGGCTGAACTTGGACAGTTCGGAAAAGGTCAATTTCTAATTCAATTTTAAACGGTTGAAATTTCGAAAAGTCGCCAGTTTTCGTTGTCGAGATTTTAGAATATTTTGCGAGAAATCTGTAAAAATCTGAAAAATCAGATTTTCCGGTTATTTTAGTACGAAAACGTCAGATTTCGTCATTTTGGGGACCGTTTAAAAGTCAACCCTTTTTTCAAACTCATCAGCAAGCATCTTTTCTCCCAGCCAAAAAGGTCATCTTAAAAGGTTGGCAACTGGAAAATGGAACTTGAATTTTAAAGCGCTTAGACGCGGTGACGGATCCGTGTCAATCTTTGGGGCTTGTTTTGAATTACACGCTTTCTCGGCAAAACAACTTGATCAGCGCTATTTTTTTTATAAAAAATTTTATATTTTTCCATCACATGTTGAATTATTAACAATTGCCATTTGATGCTTCCATTTTTTCTAGCTTGATGACTTTGAATGGTTCCTACGATAGAAAAATGAGTTTGTTTCCGACCCATGAACAATGCTTAGTTTTGTCCATCTCGGCTTAGTTTCCAGAGCTTTATTGAAAGAATGAAGCTCACTTTGGCTTATTTTCTGATTAATTTTTGCTCCTGTGATGATTCTTCGGAAGAGAGTTTCAATCATACAGAATACGAGATAACCGTGAGTCATAGAATTAAGTTATATTACTCAACTGAAGATTAAGGGCTGGCCAAACGACATCCTTGATTTTTCAAAGTGTTTTGATGACTTGAAGTTCAAGTTGAACACTACCAAAGAAATTGGCGATAATAAATTGAGAACATTGCTTCTTTGCAATGTCACTTTTGAGGCGATAGAATTGGACTTCCAACCGAACACAACTACAACAATTACCACAACGACGAAGGCGTCAACGACAAGACCAGAGGCTACTACAACTGATGCACCAACTACAAAAACTACAACAACAACTAAGGCTACGACTACAACACAAAAACCAACAACGACAAAAGCGACGACGACGACTACGAAGGCAACTTCAACAGCAGCAACAACGAAGACAACTACGACAACCGAAAAGGCTACCACTACAACAACGAAACCAACAACAGAGGAGTCTGACCCTGGCACAGACACGGAAAGCGATAAAGAGACAAGAAAAACAAACACTGAAAAAAGTGAAAACAAGAAAGAAATCAGAGAATATCTCGTTATAAAAGAAGTTCATGAATCAAGCGTTCCAATTTTTCGCACCTGGGGAGGAGCCGTATTTTTGCAACATATAAGCCTCGGGATCGCGATCTTGATCATCTGGTCAAACCAAATTTCTCTAGGTAACAGTTCCATTTCTGATTTTTATTTTAGTTTTTTAGGTCTCAATAAGAAGCATGAGAAAATTCTTCTTGCGATTTGGTTTTTTATTTTCATTGCCTTGATTGTCGATTTGAGCGCAATTTCAAAAGTGGTAATTCCTTCTCAAAAATTGAGCAAGGGTGCAAAATTTTTAGATCACTGAGAAAAATCCCTATCCTGCTGCTTTCTTCAATTCGCTTCTGAATTCTGTACTGCTGATTTTAGGACTCATGCTTGTTATTGGAGTTTGCAGAGAGCGCGAAAGAGTACAGCGACATGAATTTGAATGAAAAGTTCTTTCATATATTTCGTTATTAAATCACTCAAGCTCTTTGTATTGTCGCGATTGGAAACTTCTGGCGGAAGTGTTTTATCATTCTTTTCCGTTATTTACTCCTCTGAAACTTTTTTGTCTCCATTGAAATATAAAAACGTCCATAAATCGTTCCAAAATGATCACTTTCCGATAAAATGAAAGTTTTCATTTTTCTTTTCGCCGGTGAAGCCTTCGCGAGAGGATTTCTGCGAGAGCGTCGATCCACAGATGATCTTAATTTCTGCGAATCAAAGGCGAATAATGGGCACTATCCGCATTGCGAGTGCCAGAAATTCTACCACTGCTATGAGAATCAGAAGACGGCGGTGAAGAGCTGTACTGGTGGGACTGTTTATGACCCGGTTATTCAAGGCTGTAACCACGCTTATGCTACTGATACGTCGCACTGTTGCATGAGTAATTGTGGAACTGTTTGCTCCACTCAAACGACTACGACAACAACCACGACTACAACTACGACTACGAAGGCGACGACAACGACGACGAAGGCTACTACAACTACAACAAAAGCGACAACTACGACAACTACAACAACAACTAAGGAAACGACCACAACAACCAAGGCTACGACCACAACTACTTCGACAAGAACAATGACGACCCGACCACCAACGCTTTCAACGACCCACAGTTCAACAACAACAACAAGACCACCTACAGTTTCCTCTACCACCACTCGTCCACCATCTGTGACGACTAGGGTTCGCAATCAAATAATTTTGACCATCTTGAATAATAATAAAATTGAATTTTAGTATAGTAAATCGGTATAAGGGAATCTAAAAAATCGAAAAAAAATGAGAAAAATAAACAAACAAACAAATTATGAGCTAGAAATTCCGGAAAATAATCAATATCTTGGGTCACAGGTGTTCTACGATTTCGCAACCTCGACCATACATTTATACAGGCAAAATAACCCTCCTGTCAAAAATTCAAGCACTCGGGCGCCACCCATACAGCGCAGCGCGCAGCCCGCGCCGATGAAATTCGTTCTTTTTTCCGGGGCCATATCTCGAGTTCTACTGTAGATTTTTAAATTCTGATTTCAGAAATGAAATCTTGATGATTGAAAAGGGGGGAATCCTGAAAACGGTTATTTTTAGAGCAATTTTAAATTTTGAAATTATTTGATTGCGAACCCTAGTGACGACAACAACAACTCGACCCCCGTCAGTCTCAACGACCAAACAATGCACTTGCTCAACAACTACAACTCGACCTCCGTCAGTTTCAACAACCACTTCTACCCGTCCACCAAATGTTTTTTCAAGCTCAACTGCAACAACGCGGCCTCCAACAGTTTCTTCATCAACGATAACGACGACAAGACCTCCATCAGTCTCAACAACAACTTCGACTCGACCTCCGACCGTTTCCTCTTCAACAACTCGTCCTCCAAGCATCACTGAATCAACTCGATCAGAGTCAGAACCCTGTCCTTGCATGACAACTACAACTCGACCTCCTACCATCTCATCCTCTACAACGCGACCACCGAGCGTCAATATCGATGATGAAAGCATGGAAGACAAGAATCGTGCTTTTCGAATGATTCTTCGTATTCTTGATTTTCTCCAAAACTGGTTTTAATTCCGACTGAGAATTAATTATAATAAATTCTTTATTTCACTTGCAGAAAACTTATAGTCGTCATTTTTCAAGCATCGTTACTGTAAATTTTCATAATTCGCATCTTTTCTACCGATTTCCCAAGTTTTCGCCTAAATATTCTCGTTTTTGAAGATCACCTAAATCTTACCCTAAAGGAGAAACTCGACCCTTTTTCTTTTTCATAGAAATATATTGAGCAGAATTTTCCGTCATTGGCACCTCGTAGATTTCGTCGAACATCGAGTAATCCGTCGAATATGAATTGTTTGGTCCGCTGATTGTCAGTAATGGGTTGAATCGATACCCCCAAAGAATTTCAGTATTGGTATAGCTCGTTCTTGCTTGAGAGCTTTGCCCAGTCGCTTCGCAAACGCCTTCCAAGAGCACGATGATTTCAAAGTGCTCATTCAGCATATTGGCTTTGCTTTTTGGAAATTCAATAATCTGAGATATTCTCTTCTATGATTCTCTCAAATACCCTAGCTGATGGTCCACAGCGGGCTTTTCTCATTTATTTCATGTTCAATTATCATCGGCGTCACGAGAAACAATCTGTCAGCTCCTGTCATGTTTCCAATGTCCATGTCCTTCTGATCCATCGGCAAGAATTCCCCCTAAAAGCATGTTTGTTTTGGGTGTGAATAAGTGGGCTTGCCTCGATCGTCTGCTTGGATTTGATGAATTTGACCTTGCAGATGCATTTGACAAAGAGCGAGTTGCGAAGATTTGCCACCCGGAACATGAAGGTGTGTCTCCCATCTCGTATCGCGATGACTGCCTTTTCCGAGAAGATCAGCGTGTCGTTTTGATTCTAGAGCCCCTTACGCACCATCAGCAAAAAATCACGAACCTGAGGTTTTGAAATCTTGATAAAAATACAACCGACCATGAAGGCATCGACAAGTGTTCCGAGAAGACATTGAATGATCAAAAACACGATTGCCTCAGGACAATGAACAGTTACAGCTCGCTTGCCATATCCAACTGTAGTCTCTGTTTCGAGAAAGAAGAGAAAGGCGGTTCGGAAGGAGTAAACATGCTCAAAGCAAACTGGCCGTTGGTAGTGAGTATCATTGACGAGCCAGTAGAATTTTCGACCAGGGCCTTGGTCCAAATTTCTAGCGAAAAATTGAAAAATCAGGGGAATGAAAAGATGAACCTGAGGAAGAAAAGATCCTTTTCTGTCAGTTTGTTCTCTACGGCTCCGTTTTCGACCGAAAACTCAATCAATTGCTGTGGAGAAAATCTTCTGATCCTCCCAATTGCTTTGGAACTATCCTGAAATTCGACCGTCAGTCTGTCCATTTTCTCCCTCGCGCTGTAATAGTCAATATCTCCTCGAACCTTCGCATCCAAATAATAAGCAGAAGAGAAAATAATCCACCCAAAAAATGTCATTGAGAAGTAAAAAATCATAAATACTCCGAATGGCAAATCAATAATTGTTGTAAAAAAGTCCGAAATGAATCGCTCGAATTTATCTTTTGAGTCTTGACGGATGTTGCATTCGCCATTTTTTTTCATAAAACGAGGGAGAAGAGGCGCTTTTTTCTTGGCAAGGTCTTTTGATCTGTGGGTTGATTCTCTTTTGAACCCCATTTTTGATGATTTCGAGGCAGTGTATGCTTTTTATTGCGGAAAGAAAGGCTTTATGTCAAATTCCATAAAAGATCAAGTCATTCAAACTTCCTAATTCGTGATTTTTTCGTAGTAGAAAGTTCAAATTGCAGTCCGAGGAGATATTTTCTTAACAATAAAATATTCCCACAGCGGAGGTCGAAAAATTTCAGAAATGCACCTGAGCAAGATCGAGTGGCGTTCTGTCAGATTAACTCGGCCCTTGCGGCAAACTCACAGCAAGAATTGCTTCTACCAGGCACCACCCCTTCTGAGTCGAGATGAAAGATATTCCAAGTCAAGAAGAGGGCGAAAAGATGCAGAAAGAGGAACTGAAAGTAGAAGAAAGCGAAGAAGGGCTGACTAATGGGTGGAAAATGTTTAACGTGCTCATGTGTGGGTTCGCTTTTATGCTGGTTTTTACAGGAAAAGGGAGAGAAAAAGTATATTTTTCATGAAAAAAAATCAAAAAATTCAATTCTTATTTCTCAATAAAGCGTTTTTAACAACTTCCATGGCTGGAAAATACATCATCGACTCGCTTAAACTCGAAACTGTTGAAAACCTAGAAATTGACGACGCCTTTTTTGAGTTCAACAGCTCTAACTGGCCGGAAGAGTCGAAGGGAGAGAACATTACTTTTGAAGAAAAAGAGAAAAAAGTGAAGAAATCGTTCGTTGACCAGAAATTCGGAGATGGGTACATTTCCCTGTCGATCGTTTATATTACCTTTTGCTTGTCGAATTTCGCTGCTCCTGGGGTAGTTGCTTTTGTTGGCCATAAGACGACGATGGTAAGAGTTTTCTTGCTTTCAAAAGTGACCGAAATTCTAGTTCATCGCCGCCGCGACCTATGTTCTCTACATATTGACGTATCTCAACCCAGTTCCAGGCTTTCTCTACAGTGTTTCGGCACTCAACGGTCTTGGAGCGGCATTTCTTTGGACGGCTCAAGGAGATTTTCTACACCACCAATCTGGGACAGAAAAACTGATGGCGCGAAATAGCGGGACTTTTTGGGGGATCTTTCAATGCTCTCTTCTTGCTGGAAACTTGTACATTATGTTCGCTTGGCAGGGGAAAGAGTACGTGGATACTGAGATGAGGAAGCAGATTTTTACGATTTTCGCGATTCTCGGTTCGACCGGTTGTGGATTGCTGTTTACGCTGAAGTCACAATGCCTCGGGTTGGAGAAACGATTCAAAAGCAAAAATGATGATGGGAGCTCTGGAATACAGAAGTTCGTGAATTCAGTCAAATGCTCTTTCAAGCTTTTAGGAATGGCTCTAGAAATATTGAATTTTCAGTAGTAATTTTGCTTATGAGCCGCTTAAAGTCACGAAAAAGATGCTTTTATTCGCGCCTTTCATCATTTTCGATGGATTTTTCCTCGGATTTTACACTGGCGTCTACCCAACAGCAGTCGGAAATTCAAAGAACCTCGAAAATGCTAGTGCTGCTGTAGGACTATGCGGATTAATGACCGGTGTTGGAGGAATAATCGGCGGTGGAATTTTTGTCTTTGGTTCAAAAATCATGAATCGCTTTTCAAGAGTGACAATTGTGCTTTGCAACAGTGTTTTGATGCTTAGTATGTTGGTCTTCGTCCTGCTTAATCATCCGTTTTCCGCAAATATCGCGGCTACTGACGAACAGCCAAAGGGATTTGATTCTGTGAAAAGAGAACTCGTTCTTTATATCGCTTTTGCAAATGGTTTTTGCTACACAGTCTATAAGAATGTCGTCTATTCTTCTGTAACGGAAGGTTTTGCGGGCCAGACATCCTATGCTTTTGCCCTCTATCAGGTTTGATGCCCGCAAATTTGATGACTCACGATTTTCTAGTTCCTTGATGCTGGTTCCTGCGCGATCTGCTTCTTCATCAACACATCGATAAATCTGCTAACAAATGTCTGCATAATGTTTGCCCTGCTTGTTTTCAGCATAATTACTTTCATTCCGTTTAGGCGAATTATCGCAAAATAAATTCAGACAGCCATATTTTCAATATTCTATTTAACTTACGAAGCTGTGTTTTGTTTCAAATAGCTCCGTTTCTCAAAAGTAGGGAAATTGTTCTGTTCCAATAGATCGTAAACTTCATTGATATATTGATTTCCTTTTTCAATCATTGGTTTCGTAAAATATTCGAAAGACGGCTTCTTCTTTGGTCGATGAAATTTTTCAGTTTCTTCAAGCGTCTCAAATAAATAATATTTAAGGGGGTAGAACTAGATTTTTCGAAAAAAGTGATATTCGAGAGCCCTTTTAAATAAGAAAAACCTGTTTTTACTTATTCTAACGAAATTTCCTCATAGATGTTGCGAGAAAACGCGTTAAACTATCAAAAAATAAAATTAAAAAAATTTGACTAGTCACGTGACTCGAGAAATTTGAGGACGCGAATAGGCTAAAATGGCGATTTTCGATGAGATAGGTTGGTGTTTCCCTCTTTACCGCCAAAAATTTGATGACGAAAAATATTTTAAGAAAAAGGTTATTAGATCTAAGTTTGCTCTATCTTCAGCTGAAGAGAGAATTTGAATATCTTAGCTTGCCTGGCTTTGAGCACCGGTCTAGAATTGGCTATTTTCGAAAATCCTAGTTCTACCCCCTTAAAAGCAAATTTGAATAAATTTGAAAAGCCATGTTTCGTATTGCAAGTAGGACTTACATTTTTCAAACAATTCATTCGAGTGCTACGATCAGAAACATGAAAATAATCCTCTTGCGCAATAAAATCAAGAATTTGTTCCATTTCATGTAAAGCATCAGCCTTCAAGTTTTCATAAAAAAATACGTGAAGTGAAACGTTTTTGTTTTCTTTCAAAAGATCAATTTATTTTCTTTTCAGAATATTTAAATATATTAACTTCGCCTCGCAAACTGATCTGATAAAAACCCTAAGTACATTGGAATCGACCCTTCCTAAATAAACGTCAATTACTTCTTTCGCAAGAGTTCTCCATTTCTTCAAAAAATAACTGCCCTTATTTTGCCATTCTTCGCCCTTGAAAACATTCTCTTCTACATCTGACGTATGTCCCTTTGTCAATCTACGTTTCCATTCGGCCACAACCGCTTCAAATGGGTTTCGAAGAAGAAAAAGTATCCCTCTTGGATTTGAAATTTGTTCGTCCTTGATGTCATGCGATTTTTGGAAGAGAGTCTCACCATCTTTAGGAAGAGTGATTTCGCCGAGCATACCAGCTTTGAACAATGGTTGGTCATTGTAAATGCTTCCTGTATAAATTCCAGTTGATTTTTCAAGCAGCATTCGTGTCCAACTACGAAAAAAGTAAGCGTATGAAGCGATAATGATATTCCTAAGGTTCTCATATGATTGGTTAGGATTATGATTAGGGTAAGGGGTAAGGGTTAGGTAAATAAGCTCAATGACGAGAGTTTCCGAAGGGCAAAGCCCCCTGGGTTAGATCTAAAGGGGGGTTCTGTTCATTTTGGGTCGGTTTACTACTTCATCAAAGTTTTTTACTCTGACGAATAATTCGTTTTCCTAACGAATATTTCGTTGCAACGAATTATTGGGCCTGGTTACCAAAAAAGTAAGCTCCTTTGTAGTGCCTGAAAAAATATCAGGGATGACGCTCGGTTCGCCGGGAATTTTTTCCCCGAATCCCGGCGAACCGAGGATATCCCGGCGAACAGAGGGTATCCGGTTATCAATTATAACAATTTTTTGGTACTTACGTATTTCCGCTGCCTGGAAAAGAAACTAAAGGAAAAACCCCAAACTCGTCTTTGCTACCCATTCTTATCCCCATATCGCAATTTTCTTTTATAATAGGAAAATCCAAATTGAATAAATTATCAGTTCTTCCATCAATAACTCGTTCGAGATTTATATTCATGCTCCAAGAAGATTTTTCTGAGAACAGGAAAAAATCAGAAAGAAAGCAAATCTCTTGTTCGACAAGAGAGATCTCGGTGTCGCCATCAATTTTATCCAGATCAGATCGAAAAAGTGAAAGAATTTCTTTTTCAGTGAAAATTTTTTTATCATCAATGATTGAACGAAGCTGCTCCACGAAGCCGTGATCATTAATTTTGGGTCAAATTTTATGTCTTATTCGTGCGTTTTTTCTGAAAAAATTCACCCATTTCTTGGAGGACAAAAGATCACCAGTCTCGAAATGTTCCTCTTCCCAAGCTCTTGTTGAATGAATTCCGCTAAGTATTCGGGTCTGTCCCTAATTGCAAGCACATTTTTCATAAGTGCCTTATAATCATCCTCATGAGCTCCCCAGTCATTTAAATCGTATCTCCAATGGAAAGCCGCCATTTTGTGCTCTTTAAGTCCTTCGAATTTGATGATTGACACAATTTTCTCAGCTAGACTCTTGATTTTCTTCGGTCGAACAGTTGCTTTGATGGTTTCTTTGATGAGCTCGAAATCTGAGTCGACGAAGGGCTTCAAATTTTTAAATTGATTGCGGAACAGCGAAGTCCAGTCGAGATAACCATATGTGTATCTTAAGGAGGGGGTCAACGAGAATCGGGATTTCCGTGACCAAAAATGCGGATCAGAAAGGCAAAATCTGAATTTAACGGCAAATGAAAAAGGGCTGAAAAAATTAACCGGCGAGAAGTAGAAAAAATTTTCGCCAGAAGAATCGGTCAAAAATGCCATTAAAGTAGGGGCATTTTCGCGAAAATGCACATAAAATAGTCATTTTATTTACATTTTTCATAATTTTATACCCTTAATCTTATTTTAATCGAATGATTATAGGCTCAACAGATTCGCGAGGATCTGTAGATTCCAAAAATATAAGATTCTTGCACAGACCATGTGTAAACGCGAAATTACGATCACCTCAGAAAAAATTCTCGTCGACCCCCCTTAAGGGAGTCCCAAACGGTTTTTTCGAAATTGGCCATTTTTGACTGCCTTTCACGACGAAATTGACTTTAATTTTCAAAAAATTTATTTAAGAGGCAAATATTTTAATCTAAGAATCTAGTAAAGGAGTTCAGAGATTTCTTTTAATCTAACCACAGCTGGCGCTATAGGGCCGAGAGGGTGACTATCTCGCGGGGGTCCTTAAACTCCCCAAATGGAGCGCGCCCCAAGAACCCCCCAACTGGAGCTTGACAATTTTTGTCGAAAAGACCTTCCCGCTGAGATAATTTTCTGAAACTTCGTCGACATACCAATGTGTTCTTTCACATGGCGCTTTTAGGTTTCTCTAGCGCAACTATATCTCCTTCAAATTCTTACAACTGCTTCCAAAAAAAGGTCGGAATTTCGACATTTTAATGAAATTTTCGAAATCTCAATGTTCGAAAAACTATAAAAAGATGTTTTCAGCTCATAAATGCAGATATATCATCAGGATAAAAATGTTATAAGAAAGTTTCCTTCTAAAACAAGTCTGATTTTAATGACACTTTCCGGTGCCAAGCGCCACCGAGAGGGATTAGCGCGACCTATTTTTGGCTAAGGGTGCAGGAGGTCAGTGCAAATACTCATTACTAGGCCTCGGACGTAAAAAGATGATTTTCACCATCCGGGCGTCGTTAGTGAACAGGAGTGGGCTCATTCGAAGGCTCTTGATAAGGGCATTCTATTTAATCAATAAAAAACTGGGCCCTCCCTTTCTGTTACGAGTTATTATGAAAAATATTTTTCGAAGCTCAACTTCCAAATCAAATATCTCGAAATAGGAGGACAGGGCCTTATCGACAAAAAATGTCGAGAACCAGTTGCGGAGTTAAGATAAAAATCAATTGAAAATCTATTTTTTCATGTTTCCCGCATTCTTGGTCACGGAAATCCCGATTCTCGTCGACCTCCCCCTTAATAAAATGCATCGTTTTTCTTCGTATTGGCTCAAAGATCTTGTCAAAGCTTTAGTTCCTTCAGATCCTATGTTTTTTAGATGGACCCTTTCTGTTCTGACCGGCATAACTTCTTCATCGAATACTTGATAATTGATAAATAAATTTTTCATTGACAATTGCCATTAGCAATTTGTCAATAATTAAAAATTCCAAAATTTGACGACTTCGGTTGCTTAAGATAATGCCGATTTCCTGTTCCATGTTTCATAATTCATTTTAAAATACTTGAACGTTTTTTCAATCCGAGCGCTACCGTATGTTGAGGCTGGACGATGATCAAGAATGAGATCGAATGAGTCGCCGCAAATTGACCGAACATCAGTTGAGTTGACTGTTTTTACCATTTTGGATAAATTTTCCTGATCGATAAAAAGAGCCGCTTCGGAAAAGGGATGACCCCCAGTAGTATGATGTCGAAAAAATAGAGGAGCAACAAAAGTTCGATTCATGAGACGTGTAATGAATAAACTTTCACGGAGGCCCATCATTTGGTTGTTTGGACCGTAAAGATTGACTGGAATAATTATCTTCTCTTTTTTCTCGATAAGATTTTCATCGTGGTCAAAATCAACAGTAACATGGGATCTGTAAGGTTCTTCATTGAGAGCATTCTCTTTTAAAATATAAAAAATCGACGATGAGAAAAATCCAACAAATAAGAGAAATTTAAATTTAAAACTGAACAAATCGCCATTCTTGATCTTCGATAAAATCATCGACAATTCTTGCTTTGAATAATTTGCAAAAAAGAGGGAAAAGAGATCTTCTCTACGCACTCGCTAGAGCGAATTCTAAAAGGGCGCGCGAGAGGCGCTTGGGTGAAGCAGCTGAGGCACCCGCGAGAAACGCGCTAGGAGATAGGCACAACCGGTAGGCGAAGAGAGGGGTTATCATTCGGGCCTATGATTCGAGCCATCCAATAACTCTAGAATCTGAGCTAATGGTTAGGGTTAGGGACTGGGAACTCTTAAGGGGGGTCCGGGGGGCGAAACCCCCTGGTTTAGGCGTTAGGTGGGGGGGTCCCGGGGGCGTAGCCCCCTGGGTTAGGTTTAGACTTAGGGGCAGCCCAAACAATAACCCCCTACTACCCCGGTAGGTGTAATGGTTTAGTGTAATGGTTTAACCGGATAAAGTATTGTTCTAAAAATTGTGGGTCGAAAATAATTTTGATCCTCTGAAAATATGAGCCTTGTGTGGATAAACTCGAGCTCAAAACGTCTCTTTGATCATGATTCTCCACGGTTGATAAGCGATTTCCAACCGCAACTCGCTGTTCCCTGCGGAGTTGAGCAGTTCGAGCATCGCGGGCTTGTCACCCGCGTGGTCCGGTCATTTTTGTCACCCGCCGGATAGGGGGCAGGCGAATCCCTCGAGACTCTTCTCATCTTGGTTAAAATCAGCAGTTGTAGGCGACCTGTAAAGTTCTTCGTTGAGAGCATTCTCTTTAAAAAAATATGTATTTGCCGATGATAAAAATGTGAAAGACCCAACGAATAGAAGGAATTTAAATTTATATGAGAACAAATCCCCATTCTCGCTATTCGGTAAAACCATGCTCAAATAAAATCTACAATTTGATGAATAATCTTGCAAAAATTTTATGCAAACGCCGCTTGAAATCTCACTAACACTTGTTGTTGGTTTGACCGCAGCGATCAGACCGGCGAGCATGTCAAGTGTGATGGCACCATCCTCTTTTCAGGGAAGCGATCATGTTCTAGAGAATTCCAGTAGTTAACACTCCGAGTAGAAGCCTTAAAGCACCAGGATTTTTCAGCTTTTTGTTGAAAAAATCTTCTTTTCTCCCTTTTGAAAAAGATGAAATAATTGCGACCTTAAATATAAATTAGATACTTGAGTTATGAACCAAACCTTAAAATGTTCATTCCTCCCTCGCTTTTTCGAATTATCGTAAAACAAATATTCATAAAATAGAAAAGGTTTTTCTGAGACTTTTATTGGTGAAAAAGCGTTTCTAGAGCAGCAGTTCCAATATTGAACTCGTTAGTCTGAGAAATCAGATGAATCATCATTGTCTCGAATGATTCCGGCAAGTTTTTCGAGCTTCTTGAGCTTTCTTCGGTACTTTCTGTACTTTTCGCCGACGGATTCATTTTCAGCTTCAAGCTAAACACCGCTCTAGAGTTCTCAAATTTCTTCAAAAGACTTACCCTGTCTAATTCAGCTTGCATCGGTTCAAGAGCATCTTGATAGGACTGAACTTCAACCTGGAGAATTTCGACCTCTTCCTGAACAATCACTTAAATTTGAGAACATCAAATATTTAGTTTTACGTCAAGATCTCCGTGAGATTCGATGAGTGCTTTCAAATTGGCGTTTTCAGTTCCGAGCTCTTCGCATTTTGCCTTGATTGCTTCTCGAATTTCCTTGAGGCTGGCGTTTTCGATTCCAAGTGCATCGGCAGCGGCTTGGAGATTTTCCTGAAAAAGGGATGAAAAATGACTAAAAAGGTTTTTTTTCGGTAAAAATCTGGCTGAAAACAGTCTCTTTGGCAATATAAAGACGAGTTCTGCGCGTTTATTTGCCATTTTTAGTAAAAAAAAACTGCCAAAAAGCTGGGAAATCGAACCTTGAGCTGGTCATATTCGGCCATTTCATCCTCCATCGCCAAATACGTCCTGCAAATCTCCTCAAACTCCCCCTTCAGCTCTTCTTTCGCTTCTTCCAACTCAGCCTCCTGCGCCTGCAGCTCTTCGATTTCTTCCCTCAAACTGGCCGATCCACCGCCATGTTCTTTCACAAGCTCGAAAGCCTCCTGAAACTTGGCGATAGCGTCCATGAAATTATTCTCTGCGTCTTCCATGATTTCAAATATTTTTTATTTCCGAGATAAAATTTAGAAATGCGCGAAATAGATAAGTAGCGGCAGCGATAGTTAAATATTAACGTTTATTTTCGCGAGCAAATGAAAATGACTAGGACACAAAGTATTTGGATTGCAATTAATTCAGTGCCTGAGTGATTCAAGAAACTTCCAATAAGAGAGGTCCTTAGGGTTAGGGTTAGGGTTATAAGGCGATCAAGATAAATGATTAGTCCCAGTTGGGTGTCTCCATGGGAACGAAAATCGTTTCTTTCGCAGATGACAGTCAATCTGCTAATGTCTTAATGTTGATGTGGAACATGGTCCAGAAAAAGATAATCGACTCCCACTTCTGAATGTTTTATAAGCCAACAAATTATTGGCAATTATCTTATTCTTCTTAATTGACCTATGATTAACTGTCTATTTTTCCTGCGATTCGCAATTCGGAATTCGTTTAGGAAAGGAAACTAGACATTTCTTTAAAACCATTAATTAGCTGAAATAAAAGTCAAAATCTTATATTTTGAAGAAAAACATAGAAGAAAATTGTTTGAATTCAGGAAGTGTAGTCGATAAAAGTGCCTTCGCTTTGCCGAAATTGAGACATTGTCTTTTCTTGCGTCTTTGCGTCTTGATTTGCGCTTTTTCGGGAGTTGATAGGAATGGAAAATAGACAGCCTTGCAACTGCCAGAAGGAGACGTAACAATCCATTTTCAAAAATGTTTGATCGGGTTAAAATTGGAAAAATGGTCTGTGACGTCTCGAAGAAATGCTCAGCATTAATAATGTTATTACATGACGTGAATAACATCTTGTGTGCGGGAGGATTAGGGCCAAATGAACATTGGAAACACCAGGATGAAGCAACAGGGTTCATGCTATTAGTTCAGTAAGCAAGGTTGGTTAAGTTCAACAACAAAATGCATTTTGACAAGACTGTATTTACATGAAAAGGACACAGATGACATTTGTACAAGCATAATTTATGAACCATAAATTATGGCTTATTTTCATTCAGTGACCTTGAACATCCAATAAGAAAGAAAAACAATTCGAAATCTTTTCTCAAAATAAAGCGGTCTCATAATTTTCAATTATAACTGGTGAATAGTCAAAATCGTTGTCAATAAGTCTAATTATCAACTCTTTCCGAATACTTGCTGCAGCTTTTCTGTTCATATCTTCGGCGATTGTTATGTAAAGAGCTTCTCTTTCTTGAAAAAACGATTGAGAATTATGTTCAACGGCGGGTTTCATACCTTTCCGGACTTTTTCTTTAAAAAGTTTTGGCCGAACACAGTTGTACCAAAACGCGAACGACTAAAATATAACAAGGATGGGCAAACTCTTCGAAGTGAGGGGGAGGTGGTCATTGTTGGGCCCCTTACCCCCATATCTACTTTTTCCAACCTATAGTTCAAGGTTATTCTTACCAAGAGAAGAAAAGCAGGTGCAAGTGGGAATATGACAAAAAAGTAAAGAGGCTTGTCGCCAGTTTGAGTCGCCATACATTGAAGAACTGTCAGATAAGATCCTTTCCTAGAAAATAAATGATGAAAAAACTTAATATTATTTCAACAATTTGCCTTTTTTTCGTCCTTTTTTGTCTCTTTCTAATTCAAATTCTGATTTGAGTATTTTCAAGAAAGCCAGTTTTGATGCTCTTCTTGACGGTTTTCACGTAATGGACTCTCTTTCATAAAGTATTCAGCTTCTCGTTGCTAAAACATATCATTTCGTTGGGTTGAATGATTGCATTTACTAATGACTGCTAAAACGTCTCCTGTTTTGAATATAAAACAAGCTCGATTTGCGACAAAAAGACTTCTTATTCAACTTTACTTATTTGTCTCTATATGGCAGATTTGAAATCTAATGCTTCATAATTATTTAAATATTTTAATTATTTAAAATAATTATTTATTATTTTTGATTATTATCATAAATTCACCGAAAAAATGACGATTTTCCTTTAAAATTTTATTAATTTTGATCAAATGAAATAAGGGTATCACTTTCTTAAATAAAAAATGCTTTGTTACCGGTTCTTATTTACCAATTATTTTTTTCTTTTTTTATATCTCTAATTTTCGTCTTATTTATCAAAAAAGGAAATTCAAATTTATTCACGTGATTGATTCTTAGAGACGATTTTGACCGGCAAGAGTGTCCGAATGCGACGGTTCAAGAAAAATAAAATTAACCTTTGCCGCCCTCCGCATTATAAACTCTCCGTGAGCTGTTTCCTAAGCTGACTGAAATCAAGGATGAATAATTGATTCCATTTTGCCTCGTGTTGTTTTTATCCCGAAAGATGTCAGGCTTATGCTGACAGCTTATTTAAGGGAAAGAAGTAATAGGTAGGTCAGCGCGCAAATTAACCTTCTTATGTCCTTGAAAGAAGGTTTCTGTCATGATTTTATTCATTCTGTAAGTATTAACCGAAATACCGTATGTGCTCGAATTCGACAAAATCAAGTCAAAAAGGTCTTCAAAGCCGCTGAAATTTTCTTATAATTTTCGTTTCCTTGGCAACGCGCAAATATCTTCATCCAATTATTTCCACGACAAGTTTCTTCTTTTCGCTTTCAATTTATTTTCTCCCAAAATGGCTTCTGTCCCTCGGCTTGACCTAAAAACCGCACTTGGTCACGATGAGAGCCAAGATAGAGATTTGAAAGTTAGAGAAGTTGCTTCGAAGGAGCTTTCTTGGGGGACCCCATTGCCCACTCCATCTGGCTCCGCTCGGCCCCAGAATTCAGCTCGATCGGGCGAAAATGAAGCTCCAGCAGTGCCAAAGAAACAACCCTACTACTATCTCGACACGACCGACCGGTCAGAAATGGACCTTTCCGCTTATATCCCAAATTACCCGACAGCCAATGATGGATCAGAAGAAATGGCGAAATTCTTCCTTGATTTCGCAGATTTAGTCCTCGCAGATTGCTACGAGAAAATCGAGGCTCAGACTGCGGAGAATAAGAGAATCAAAGAAATTGTCAAGGAACAAATGAAAGAAGATTGGTGAGTAACAATAAGAGAAAGTCGCCAGAAATCTCATTTTGTTTTTAGCTTGTCAAATGGAGCGATTAATTCTAATGAGCAGAAAGTCAAACCAATTGGTCGTGATCCTGGGGTTCTGAAGGTACTCTAGTGAATCTACTGAAACAACCAGGATTATTTTTCTTTCAGGGAAAATGCAGGAGACTGCACGATACAGAAATCGCTCCAAAAGGCTCTGTCACCGCTGCTTCTCTGGAAAACTACAAATCTTTTACTGCCAGGTTCATCACCAAAGATTCCGTCAAAGCAATCAAGGAGCTGCACGGCTTTTTCTTCAATATTGATCAGACCATGATGGTCTATAATTACCGCAACTTAGGTTTTTCTTCTTCAAAGTGTTCTTGACCTCATTTCATTTTCTAGGACGCTCGAATTATTCAAAGCCAGTTACTCTCATTGCTCCCCGATTTTCTTATTCCTTCGCGCACGGGCGGAGGAAGGGCGAAGTCTTCAAAGCTCGTGATATACGACCCGGAGGAACATTGAGCTTTTTGAAGCCCGGAAATCCAGAGCCGATCTATGTCCGAATCACGGCGGTGGAAGACTACGAGCAAAAAAGCTTCGATACTTGGTGGGGCTGTCCGACCGGGGGAGCGCTGACAGAAGAGGAAAGGAAGGATAGAAAGGTTCTTGAGGGAGTTCAAAAACTCGTAAAAGGTAAGAGAACGCTGGTGAGTTTCGGTTCAAGGAGATTCTAGATCGACTGAAGGAGAATTTCATCAAAAGCATCAGCTCGCTTCAGAAACAGTTCGCGAAGTTAGACAAATCTGGAGATGGAAGCTTGTCAAAAGACGAGCTTCAATTAGCTCTCTCCTCGGCGAATATTCGTAAGAGCTTTTTTCCGATTTCCACTTCGACTGAATATTTTACCATGTAGGCTTGTCTGTCGAAGAATTTGAAAGCGTCTGGAGAATCGTGGACGAAGATCAATCCGGAACGATTGGATACGAAGAGTTTCTGACCGCCTTTATCGGCGAAATGACGGAGGAACGAGCTGGTTTAGTCCAGAAAGCATGGAAAAAGCTTGATCCGAAAGGAGAAGGAAAATGCTCAATTTTCAATGCAGAGAAAACACTCAGGTACGCTCAAACGTCGATTTTCTTCATCATCATTATCAGCTTCAAAATTCACCCGAAAGTCAAAAGCGGCGAAAAGCAAGAGTCCGAGATTCGCCAAAAATTCTTCACTCTCCTTGAATCGAAAAACAACGAGCTCCTCTATCGACACTTTTACGATTTTTTCCTGATGCTCTCGCTTCTGATCGAGCGAGACAGAGTTTTCTTCAATATCATGTTTGCTGTTTTTGGGTTGTAAATAAAAGAGACACTAAAGTTTTCTTCAAAAGAATCGCGACACGAGCGGGGCAAGGCGATAAAGGCGCACCGGATATAAAATATTTATAGCACCTGAAGCCCTACCGCAATTTCTTCGTAAAAGAAGTTGCCCCGTCTGGTCACGTGTTTATTTTCATATCGAAAAACGTGTTGACGGATGAAAATCGCGGGGAATCAATTAATTAGGTTCAATTGCTGACAATTCTCGGACGTTCAGCCGAAAATTACTCGAAGGAACTTGAAAATGAATTAACCAAAGATCATGTTAAAAAGACAATTTTTGACTCATTCGATAAAATGGTCCCGATTTTCATTGAAATGGTTTTTTCGCCTTTTATTTGAAAATTATATACAGTTTTTTTTCGATAAGCTTCATGCAGTAAGAGTATTCGCTCTATCAAGCGTCCCATTGAGCGATTTTCGATAGTCAAATGAACCTCCTCTTATTCCTCCCCTGAGCAAAAGCGAGTTTATTTCGTCCTCTTTAATTTCCGGCTCTCTTTCGTAACCATCACAGCAGCATTTGACGCAGACAAGGGTGAGGATGACTCCGAGAATGAAGCCAACGAGAATGATGATGTAGCCAGAAGCGTTGAAGAAGGGAGAGATGATGGTGATAAGAGCAGAGTCGACTACAGCTTCAGGGACGTCGAATGATTCGCTTGAATTTCCAGGTGAAGTTGTCGTTGAGTTTTTGAAGTCGATGTCTGAATTGAAGGCAATTTATTAATTTTTCGGGGAAAAATTTTGAAATAACTTATTTCAAATAAGTACCTTCCATCAAGATCTCCTCCTCGCCGACTTGAACATCGTGATCTGTCACTGGAGAATCCGGGACCTCCGCTGTCCGGAAATCAAGAACCTGACAAGCTTGAATCATGTCAACATGAATGATGCTCTCGTCGCAGCACTAGAAAATTAACTTGAAATCCTGCCCAGCATAATTCCAAATATAACTCACCAAATATTTCGCATTCATGGGTTTCCCGACAGTAACCACTGTCTCATAATCTTCATCGACGCCGTAAAGTATCTTCAAATGATCAGTCGTCGATTGATCAAGCTTTGTTAATGAGTCCTCTGAATATCACGGTTAGCGAATAATTTTTACGCTCAATCGTAATTTTATCCCATTTATTAGTAGTCTTCTTCCCAGCGAGTAAAAATCCTGGTGGTCTTAAAGCCATTGTCTATGGTGAGTAGACTTAAATTTATTGTCAATAAATTATTGAGAATTAAAAAGAGTCCGGAGAAAACTTGATGATCTTCGAAAACTCAAAAACAACTCGGCTATTTTTGATAATATTATTAATAATACTTTATTATCTTATTGGATTTTTAAAATCATTAATAGCAAATTTCTCTAGACATTGTAGCTGAGACTGTCAACCTGAGAGTTATTGTTTTGGAAATACTGTACTTCAAATACAGTAGTCGTATGGGTTAATGGTCAATTAAGGGTAAGGGCACATTACTAAAGGGTTCTTGGGTATAAAAACGTGGGACTTAGAGCCGAGCATAGAAGACAAAATTTTTCGTTTAAAATCATCTTTCCTCTCCTTACCTTCAATTCTCAGTAAAACAATATTCAAATCCGTGCCGAGTCCATAATCAATCGCTCTGTATCCTCTTCTTCTTCGTCGGATCCCATTAAATTTACAAACTTCTTCTCCAAGGACAACTGCCAGAAACAACGCGAAAAACTTCATTCTTTTCTCTGTTAAGTTAAAAGAAAAATATTCTTTCTTTTTTTTTGTTTTGTAATTAAAAAACAATGGTGCGGAAAATTTTGGACCGAGTTCGCTTGGCTCCGATCGTAAAGAATTGATAAGTCTGATTCATTATCATGGGCGCTCCTGCTCCTGTTGTTTTATTAGTGTATTATTAGTCCGCGAGCTGATTAGGTACTCGTTGATGGGCAGGGGCCAAGAAGAAAATGAACACTTCTCAGAAATAATGATTTCCGGCATTTTTCGTGGAGGTTAATCGCGAGCATCGTCAGCGGTGTAGAACGAGAAAGCTTCGTAATCCGCCGCAGCATGCAAAATACGTTCTGCTTTTTGAAAAGGTCAAGTGTCGGCAGCTTTTCGCACCGCTCAACTTGAAATCTTGTTTACCCTTTATTCTGTTACAGAAGGGTTCAAATATGAAAAGAAAGCCTGTAAGATACTGTACCAAAATGGAAGATGAGGGTCTAAAGAAGATTTTAAGATGGAGAAATAAGGGTGTCACTATCTTAAATTTAACTGGAAACCAATTTTAAATTATGGCAAATCTGACTACAGCGGTATGAGCGGTTTCCGCACCCCTACGATTTTTTAAAATTACACAGATAATTTCAAAAAACTCTATTTATTGTATTTTTCCCTAATAGAAAATGGCTTGAAAATTTCATAACTGGAAACAGAAATCGAATATCATATCTCAATCAAAAGATATGAATTTTTAAAGGCGAAAAATAGGGGTGCGGAAACCGCTCATACCACTGTACCAAAATTTTGTAGGATTTCTGAATAAATGGAAAAACCGCTTCTTTCTTCAAAAATTTTCGCTATCTACTGCATAATAACATATTGTTGCGGTAATCCTGGCTTGCAATTTTAAACATGTTACATTCACATTGTTATCTCTCTCCTCACTGCCGGTAAGAGGGGTCTAGTACCTTCTCCTGGGCCTGGGTCCAGTATCATAGCAAAAGAACCTTGTTAGATGCACCATTAAGGGTCTAGTCGCTCCACCACACCAAGTGCGGCACAAAAAGAGCGCGCCCGTTACGTTCAATTCATCGAAGGCGCTTTCTCTGAAGCGACTCCTTTGTCTCCCATTTTAAATTGCATTTGTATCTCATCTAAACATGCGGAAATGTAATTAGCAATGTAACGATCTAACGCAATTATGGTGCTCAAGAGGCTTTGTCCAAAATAATCAGAAAGCAAAGTGGATATTTCGGGTCTAAAATTATCGATAAAACTTCAGAAAATTTGCCCAAGATTCTCAATTTTCATCCCTCTCTCGTCTGATTGGTTGATCTCTCAAAATGTTAGGAAAAACTCAATTTTGTCAATCTTTGGCCGAGCAAATGACGTTTTACTAACAATATTCAATTTTTATATTTCCTGTCTACTAGACAATCTGTCTAGCAGACAAGAAAAAGCTTTTTTCTAAGAAATTTCGAAATACAAAATAGCAAAATTTTTATTTCAATTTTCAGCGTCAAAAAACACAAGTTCCAAGACTACAGTCTTTGCCCTCAAAGCAACTTTCTCCAGGTCCATTACAGAATTCCTCGCCATTTTCGATTTCTTCCTTGATCTCCTCGAACTCGTTCCTGATGTAGATCATGATTTCCTCATTGTATTGAACTAGAAGATTTGAGTTTTAAGAAGCTGCATCAGAAAATAAATCGGGCCACCTGCGCAGGTTAAATGCATGAGATAATCCACATAGGCCTCGTAAGTTTCCAGCACGTATTCGAAGTAAAACGTTTTGCCGATCAGGCGCTCGTTGACGTCCATCATTGCGCAATACAGACAATCCATACGCCTAGAAATAAGTAAGATATCTAACATTATAATGGTAGGGGTATAAAAGCTGAACTTCTTGAAAGTTTTTATATTTAAGTCCAAGATTTAAATATATTTTTGTACAAATACAAAACAGAAAAAATTAAGTTATGGTTTCTCGAAATACGAATCTTTCTCGTTTTTTATCGCCTTAGGGTAGGGCCCTTACCAGTTGTTCATATTCGCATGATTCTTGGCATGTCTCATTTCTCGGTAGATATTCTCATTCAGCGTGCCTACTTCTGCGATATCCGAGGACAAGTCGAAAAGCTAAAAATTCTCAGAAAAAAATCAACTTGTTTCCTTACCTCGGCAGATCGACGGACAGTTTTTGGATTCTGAGGATGTGTCTTTGTCAAGTCGTTGCTGATTTCGAGCCAGATGTTTGAAGGAGAAAGATCGCAGTAGCAACCTTTAAGATCATCTCGACCGCTGCCGTTTTGATTGCATCCGGCGGCTTCGGTGTTGTTTGAGTAGAACATCGTCGCTAGAATTGATTCTCAGGTGGCAAGAGAGGGTTAGGACTTACACTGGACCTCTCCGTATTTGTTTGTCATGTCAATGTTGAACTTGCAGTTTTGAACGTTTGGCGAGTTGAACCATTCCTGAAAAGAAGATCAAAAAAACTCTCAGGAATCAAGAGCAACCTGGTAGGGCTTGAGGACATCAGCACACTCGGGGTCGTTGTTGAAGTCGGGTTTTTCTTGCTTGGCAAGGAATTTTTCATATTCTTCCAAAGAAATTGGCTTGAGATCGTTGGGTTTGTACGGGAAGGGATTGGTGAAGCAGTTTTCTGGTGAGGATTTCAGATTATTGTGGAAACCATAAAGTTAATTATTATTTTGTCGTTCTCAAATTATTTTTTTTTCCTTGAATTGTAGTAAAAATTAATATTTTTATACCAATTTGATTCCACTTATAGGATTACTTCAATATGAATATTATTAACCCATATCATATGGGCCATATGATATGGGCCATATCAATAAATCCTCTCCTGTAAGATCAACCCCTTCAGGACAACTATTGACTCCACAATTTTCCTCAGCCCATTGATCAATATCCTCGACAGATCCCCATTTATTCCAGCAGCTTCCCCCATAATTTGGCTGATTCTCTCCACTCAAACACGGATCCACGCTCAAAACAAGTCCCCAAAATGATAAAAGAAGCTTCATTTTTTAAGAAAAAATTCTCAAATGACACACTTTGTCATCAATTTTTTGCAAAAAATGGGCAAATGAAGAGCATATGCTCGTTTCCCATGATGGCGTAAATAATGATTCTTTTTATTTTGTCAATTTGAGAATCTTCCGCTTGAATTATTCTTATGAATCGTACTTGACCAAATTCTAGCGCCGGGGATCTCAAGAATCTGAGCAATGTGATCCTTGATCGTTCGTAAGAAAAAATTCTAGAGTTACAAAACCGCGGCGATCCTCTTACCGCGGCGGGGCTCTTTCGATAGACATGAAAATTCTCAAGTCGAGCGAGGAGATAAAGAGGGTGAGGTCGCCCAAAATTGGGAGATAGCGCAGAAATTTTAAAATTGCCACTTGGGAGAGCCGCAATTTCGCGACAGATAAAACCATCCGCGTCTAAACATTTCTGCCGTAATCTGGTAAGAAATGAATGTTTCCCTCCCAATTTGCAAGCGCTGAAAAGAGCAGGCGTCTTAAAAATGCAGCAGAGCGACAACGTGAACTTCTCGATTCTAGTAAAATGACGCCATCGCGCTGCGGCGCAAAATGTTTATACTCACGCTCGCAAGCGATGTCCAATTATTTCTGATAAGCAAAGTACTGCTGCTATCTGCTTTTTTAGCTTTGATAATTAGCAAAGAACAAGGGTTCTTTTATCAAAATGACGCTAGCTACTATCTAGTATCTTTCTTTGATTCTTGAAAAATGACTCAAAAATCAATCATTCAGTACTTAAAAAATTTCAAGTTTATTCAGCAATTATTATTGAGAATCAGTTCTTTTTTTCATCAAAGACTTTGGCTTTCGAGCATCTTTCATCGATCTTGATCCGGCGAAATCGCATCCGGTTTCTAAAAAATGAAAAAAAATCGCAAATTTTAGGTTTACCGTGTTCTCCGAGCATAATCATCATTCGCACTCCATTGAAGTTGTAGTTATTCCAATCCGAAGTGAATCGGAATTCGACAATGTCTTGATCAAGGCTGACAAGTTTGTTGGAAACAGTTGATTGAGCGTTATCGTTGATCCAGAGAAAGTCCGCTCCAGGTTCCAAGTCGATATATTCAATGTAGATATTGATGGCCTTTGTTGGGTCTTCTCTTGTTATTTTCATCGAGCAGTCGTTAAAATTGCCGTAGTGATGTTGAGTCCTAAAGAATTTGAAGACCAATTGATAGAGCAAATTTTACCTGAATCCGATAACATGCCCTTCCGAAATATCCATGTCGGTTATGTCGCAAAGATAAAGCTCCATTTGAGGATTGTAGGCGACTTCAGAATAGCACGGAATATCATAATCATCAAAGAAGCCCATCGCCCAGTCTTTGACGCTCGAAACATCAGCATAGACGCCAGGATACCCTTCCCCTGCACAGCCATTGCCCCACGAAACGACGCCGGACAAGAAGGGAACGCCGTTTTCAGCGCAAATAACTGGTCCACCAGAATCGCCCTGGCAAGAGTCTTTGAGACCATCAGTCAAGCCATTCCCATCATCGTCCAGAGTTCCGGCGCAGAACATTGAATCATCCAAATTAAAATATTCCAGATGACTGTTGGCGACGCAGTAGTCTTCCGACATAAGCGTTATATCTACTTCCTGAAGAATACTGGACCCGTGGATGTCGCCGGAGTATAAAGCACCCCATCCGGCAACGTGGCATTGTTTTCCATGTCCAAAATAAGCATCTTTTGAGGGTCCTTTTTCATTCTTTGAAACTAAGGAAAAAAAAGTCAATCCCTTCCTGGTAAACAAGCAGGCTCAAAATGCGCGTCAGCGTTGTCGATTAAATTGGGGACAATGAGAATGCAGTAATCGTGGGAAACTGAATTGTCGTCGTATTGAGGGTGGATCTCGTAGTGCAAAATGGGGACGGTAGCGAAGTCATCTGTATTGTGTTCGTTGTGTTTGCCAATATCGACAGAGCTGTAGTAGCCACAGCAATGAGCGGCTTTGAGCATGCTTCGAATTCGTTCAAGTACTGCTTTGATCTTATATTGCTGTCAGTTGTTTTGAAGCATTTCCTGTCATTATAACATCGTTACTGCCATCTGTTTTTTTCGTCAAAATCGTTGCGCCACAGCCTCCAAGATGCGCGATCCATGGCCAGTCTCCTTGAACAGCGTCGTGACCTCCAACAATTCGAGAGCTTGAAATCGAAGGTGGATTGAAGGGATCAGGGCAATGCAAGCCATGTTCAATGTGAGTCGCTGTCGTGTCGTGTGAAGGATCGTAGCCATCACTGACTTGAATGCGAAAACCCGACTTTTGTTCCGACCAATCGGAATGAAAACGAAGATGAACAGACGGCTCTTGAAACGAAATCATTCCCGAGCGGTATCCCTTAAAATTTAAGTGATTGTTTTGTTAGAAAAAGACGGGGATATACATGAATTGACTCGAGATTGTCACCATTTTCATCTGAGAAGTCGAGGTAATCGTTATCTTCTTCGGTATGGAAATCGATGAACTGGAAAGTTAGTCCATCGCTGGAAGAATGGAAGACTTTGGAACAATCCGTGTTATGAGCGTAGCTCTCCGGGTAGTTTGGAGACCTTCAAACTTCGTCAGGTAAAGTTTTCAATGATAACACACCTGATATCGATAGGTGAAACAACAGTGTTATCGTGGCTGCCAGAACAAATATTACTGGACGATGTAGAGACGTATCCATCAGTGACTTGGATGTGAAAGCCAGTTCTTGTCACACCACCATCGGATGTAAAATGAACTCCGACTGACGGTTCTTGGAAAGAAAGTGTGTCGGAGTGACCACCCTTAATGGAAAATTTAACTTATAAATTCGTTGATAAAAACTTACATCGAGAGTAACAAGATTGTCTCCATTTGAATCTTCAAAGTGAACGTAGTCGAAGCCCACCTCGGTGTTGAAATCGAGGAACTCGAAAGTGAGTCCATCGCCGCTTGGAGAGTGGTAAATTTTCGCACAATCCGTGTTATCATTGTAGTTCGACGGGTAGTTTGGCGACTTGATGTCCAGAGTCGTGTCAACGTCATTATTGAGGTCGCCAGAGCAGATATCATTTGACGATGAAGAGTCGACGCCGCCGTCGCTGACTTGAATGTGGAATCCAGCTGCTGGAGACGAGCCATCAGAGTAAAAATTGAGCTTGATTGATGTCGATTCGATTCCGATACTTCCGACCTCCTGTAAAACAAATGGGTGAGTCATTGATAAAAATCTTCTGAAGAAAACTTACAGTGAGACTTTGAAGAAGGTTTCCATGTTGATCAGAGAGCCAAACATTATCGTTATTATTGACATTGAGGTCGAGAATGTCAAATGTCAGTCCATTGCTGAAAGAGTGAAGCTCTTTAGCGCAGTAATAGAAGCCGTGATAGTTTTCCGGGTAATTTGGAGACCTAAAAGATGAAAAATAAATTCCTTGAAATCAATCAAAAAGCCTACTTGATGTGCATTGTTGACTGAACCCAGCTCTCTGAGGGTTCAGAGCAAATATTGTCCAATAACGAAGGGTCGACTCCATCACTGACTTGAATGTGAAATCCCGAATGAGAAACCGAGCCATCAGAATAAAAATCAACTTGGACTGTTGGCTCTTGAAACGTGACTTTCCCGGAGCGAATTCCCTTAGTTTCAATTTTAGAGTTTTTGGTTTTCTTAAAATAATTCTTACATAAAACGTTTCAAGCTCAGTTTCAGTAAAATCGAAGAAACGAACATAATCGCAGCACAATTCTGTGTCGAAAACGATGAATTCAAAGGTGAGTCCTTCGCCGCTTGAAGAGTGGAAGATTTTGCTACAGTCCGTGTGTTCATCATAGCTGCCTGGATAATTTGGGGATCTAAAATTTAAGACCGCATATACTTGATAGAAAATATCTTACTTGATGTCCAAAGATGATGCGGAATCAACATTGTTATCGAAGAGACCAGAGCAAAGATCAGCAGAGTAGCCGATTGTTGTCGTTGTTTCTTCTGTTGTTGTAGTCGTAGTTGTCGTTGGAGGATCTTCAGGTGGGGGAGGATTGGCACTCATAGCAATGCCTGCTACGATACCGACGATACAGATGATTAAAAATACAATGACAGCGAGAATAATCGGATTCGAGTTTTTCTTTTCGGGCTGCTGCTGAGCAGGAGGTGGAACTAAGAAATGATTTGACATAAATTTGTGGAACCCCCTTTTTCATGTCAAAATACGATTTATCGCTTCGGTTTTTAGGGCAAAAATTTGGACTAAAAAATAAGTTACTAACCTTGAGGTGGTTGCTGTGAGTATACAGGACTTGGCTGTACAAATCCAGGTTGCTGTTGAGGAGCAGCGGCATTTTGCTGCACATTTACGATCATCCTCCTAAAAACCCTTTCTCCGAGAGGGAGGCTCCTTTCAGAGTTTAAAATTTGAACTGACTTGAGATACCCGGAAAATAAACTTTTTTCAAGTGTTCTAGAGATTAACAGAGAAATTTTTGAACTTTCAATTTTTTTGACTCAAAATCAAGCATTCAGTACTTCAACTTTTTCCCTTTTATTCAGCAATTATTGGAAACCAGCTTTTTTCTTCAGTAAAGACTTTGGCTTTTTAGCTTCTTTCAACGATCGTGCCACAGCAATGTCGCATTCGTTGTCTAAAAAAATGAAACAAGCCGCGAACTTCGATGTTTACCGTAATCTCCGAGCATGACAGTCATTTTGAGTCCATTGAAATGATGAAAAATCCAATCTGAAGTGAATCGCAAATCAACTTCTTCTTGATCAATGCTCACAAGTTTGTAGAACATGGATGATTGAGCATTATTGTTGATGTAAAGGAAGTCCCATCCAGGTTCCAAGTCAAGATATTCTTTGAACGGATTCATAACAGTACCATCTTTATCCTTTGTGACTCTTAGAGAACCCCTGGAGGACTTTTTCTGGTGGAAGACTGGCCTTCCTGGAAGACCTTCGGGCCATCTTTGTAAAATAATGCAATGAGTCCCGATGCCTATGTACATATTGATCGCCTTTGTTGACCCGATTCTTGATATTTTCATCGAGCAGTCGTTATAGTCGCCGTAGTTAGATGGAATCCTGAACAATTTTAGAAGATCGCCTTCTTGATACTATCAACTTGATAGTATCAAGGGTAACTCACGTTATTCCAAATGTCTCTCCTTCAGAAATATCGAGGGAGGTGATGTTGCAAAAAGAACTTTCAGTATCTGGATTGTAGGGGAGTTCAGCAAAGCACGGAACATCAAAATCAAAGAAGCCCATTGCCCAATCTTTCACGTTCGAAACATCAGCATAGACGCCGGGATATCCTTCATTAGCACAGCCATAGCCCCACGAAACGACGCCGGTTAAAAAAGGCACTCCATTTTCAGCGCAAATAACTGGTCCACCAGAATCGCCCTGGCAAGAGTCCTTGCCACCATCAACAAGTCCGTCGCCATCATTGTCCAGAGTTCCGGCGCAGAACATGGATTCGTCCAAATTTGAATAGTCAAGATGACTGTTGGCGACGCAATAGTCCTGTGACATAACTGTTATATCGACATCTTGAAGAACAGCGGATCCATACCAATCCCCATAATATAATCCACCCCATCCAGCAACATTGCATTGTTTGCCATGTCCAAAATGACCATCTTTTGGGAGTTTTCTGATGATAACTTTTTATCTATAAATAAGAGACATCAACCCTTTCCTGGTAAACAAGCAGGCTCAAAAACAGCACCAGGAATCGCATTGTCGATTAAATTGGGGACGATCAGAATGCAGTAATCGTGAGAGATTGTTGAGTCATTGTATTGAGGATGGATCTCGTAGTGCAAAATGGGGACAGTGAAGAAGGTACTGTTGTATTCGTTGTGCTTGCCAATGTCGACAGAGCTAAAATATCCACAACAGTGTCCGGCTGTCATAATAACATCGTTACTGCCATCTGCCTTTTTCGTCAAAATCGTTGCGCCACATCCTCCAAGATGAGCGATCCAAGGCCAGTGTCCGTCAACAGCATCTTGTCCTCCAACAATTCGAGAGCTTGAAACCGAAGGTGGATTGTAAGGATCAGAACAGGTCAAGCCACTTTCGATGGGAATCGGCGTTGTGTCAAATGAAGGGTCGTATCCATCACTGACTTGGATGTGGAATCCAGAATAGGTAACCGAGTAGTCGGAATGGAAATGAATGTAGACTGACTGTAATTGGAATGAGATAATTCCCGATTCAACGCCCTTAAAATGATTTGGAGTTAAAAATCTTAAGAAAAAACATACATTCGCGGTTTCAAGAATATCGCCATTCGAATCAGAGAACGTCACGTGGTCGCAGCACGACTCGGTGATGAAATCGATGAACTGAAAAGTCAGTCCATCACTTGAAGAATGAAAGACCTTCGAACAATCCGCGCTATTATAATAGTTGCCTGGATAGTTTGGAGAGCTAAAATGTACGTTTTATTAGATTCGTCTTATTGAAATCGAATCATTTTATTTAAATCGTTCTATTAAAATCGAATGTCAATCATAAACTTACGTGATGTCCAAAGTTGAATTGACGTAGTTGTCGTAGCTGCCAGAACAAATACTTGCAGACTGTGTTCCGACGAATTCATCGGTGACTTGGATGTGAAAGCCGGATCTTGTCACCATGTAATCGGAGTAGAATCGAACTTGGACTGATGACAGTTGAAATGAAATGGTCTCACCAGAGTGATAGCCCTTTTATAAAAAATAGATAAATAATCGACCATTTCAAGAGTAGCTTACGTGAAAATAATCTAGAGTGTTTCCATATATATCGGAAAAGAAAACGTAATCGTAGTTTGTTTCGGTGTTGAAATCGATGAGCTCAAAAGTGAGCCCATCGCCGCTTGAAGAATGGAAAACTTTAGTGCAATCAGCGTTATCGTTGTAATTATTCGGGTAGTTTGGCGATCTAAACTTTCACTAAGAGAAAATTGATATTGCTGATGTTACGTGATGTTCATTGCTGAATCGACGTAATTATTGTATTCGCCATCGCAGATACTGTCAGTGTTTAATGAAGCGTCGACTCCGTCGCTGACTTGTACATGAAATCCATATGCTGCGTAATAGCCATCAGAATAAAAGTTAAACGCGACTGTTGGTGATGATACTTGGATAGTTCCGACGCCCTGTTAAAAATGATCATTTCCAAATCATTAGCAAAAGAAAAAAAACTTACAGAAATACTTTGAATGGTGTTTCCATTCTGATCAGAGAGCCAAACATTGTCGTAAGGATGGATAGCGAAATAGAGAACGTCAAACGTGAGTCCATTGCTTGAAGAGTGGAATTCTTTCGAACAGTGATAGTAGCCATGGTAGCTTTCTGGGTAATTCGGCGACCTGAAGTTTTTGAAGAAAATTGTAAAAAAATACAGCTTACTTGATATCCATAGTTGTCTCAACGTTGTTATCGTAGTTTTGAGAGCAAATATTTTCAGAATACGAAGAGTCGATTCCGTCGCTGACTTGGATGTGAAATCCCGAGTAGGTTACCGAGCTATCCGTAGAAAATTGAACTATGACTGTTGGCTCTTCAAATACGACTGCACCAGTGTACGATCCCTTTAATTAAATTAGCCATTGGAATTTTTTCTACGAATTCTCACGTAAACATAATAAAGAGTATTGCCATTTGCGTCCAAAATCATTAGGTAATCGCAGCACGATTCTGTGTCGAAATCGATGAAATCAAATGTTAGTCCGTCACCGCTTGAAGAGTGGAAGGCTTTGGTACAGTATGCGTTGTTATTATAGCTGTTTGGATAATTTGGAGACCTAAAATTCCAGCATGAATGTAGAGAAATCAAGAGATACGATCAAACGTGATGTCCAAAGACGAAACAACGGTGTTATCGTAGGAACCAGAACAAATATCATCGAAATAGCCAATTGTTGTTGTCGTGGTTGTAGTCGTAGTCGTTGTCGTTGGGGGATCTGTAGGTGTGGGAGCATCGGAACTGGTTCCAATGATGGCGCCAAGACCAAGGACACAGATGAGTAAAAACCCGATGAGACCAAGAATAACCGGATTCGAGCTGTTCTTCTTCGGTGGCTGCTGGGGAGGTTGTGGAACAAAGGAATGATTAGACAGGACTAAAAACCAAATGAATCCTTTATGCTCAAGCAGAGTTGGAAATAAAGTAACATGCTACAATGCTACTACGTACTACCATTACTACCGTCCGATGTAGTAAAATGAATTAATTTACTAAACTACTATGTAACATAGTCTATGTTACTATCCTACTTCTTTTCCAACTCTGTGCTCAAGCGGCTTGAATGATTAAAAACAATATTCTTCAGGTACCTTGATTGGGTTGTTCTGGGTAAAGTCCTCCTTGCCCTGGATAAGGTTGTGAATATCCAGGTTGACTAGGAGGCTCGGCAGCGTTTTGCTGCACATTTATCTGCATCTTCCCGAAAACCGTGTCTCCCGGATGGGGGCTCTTTTGAAACTGACGATAAAAGTACTTTTACTCCTCACAACAAATTTTGTAAGAATGTTCTAGAGACTCTTAGATATCAAGACCGGAAAATCAAACATTCTCCTTTATTAACAAACAGTTATTGAACATTGGTTTTTCGTTTCTTCAATGATTTTGGCTTGCGTGCGTTTTCGAGGGATCTGGACACAGTGATGTCGCATTCGTTATCTAAAAAACTAAGAAGATGTAAGTAAGAAAATAGTTACCGTAGTCTCCAAGCATGACGGTCATCTGAAGTCCACTAAAGCTCGAAATACTGTAGTCAGATGTGAATCGCAAGTCAACATTGTTTTGGTCGATGCTCACAAGTTTGTTGACGATGGATGATTGGGCGTTATTATTCATGTAAAGGAAGTCATATCCAGGCTCCAAGTCGAGATATTCTTTAGGCAGATTCATTAAGGAGCTTTGAAAACTCATAAATGAAAATCATGATTATTTATCAAATAAAATCCGATTCCTATGTACAAATTGATCGCTTTTGCTGACCCAACTCTTGTGATTGTCAATGAGCAGTCATTGTAATCGCCATAATTAGACGGGATCCTTTAAAGTTAAAACTTCATATTATTTCTCTTTTTCGGCTATTATCTTACGTGAATCCGATCGTTTCGCCTTCAGAAATGTCCACTGATTGAGAATTACAAATTGGGCTTTCGCTATCAGGATTGTAGGTCATGTTCGAAGAGCAAGGAATTTGTCCATCAAAAAAGCCCATCGCCCAGTCTTTCACGTTAGAAACATCAGCGTAAACGCCCGGGTATCCTTCATTAGCGCAGCCATACCCCCACGAAACGACACCGGTTAGGAAGGGCACCCCATTTTCAGCGCAAATAACAGGCCCGCCAGAATCGCCCTGGCAAGAGTCTTTGCCACCATCAATAAGTCCGTCACCATCATTGTCAAGAGTTCCAGCGCAGAACATGGACTCGTCCAAGAACGAATCTTCCATATAGCTGTTGGCCACGCAATAGTCCTGCGACATAAGCGTAATATCGACATCTTGAAGTGTATCGGAGCCATAGAAGTCGCCAAAGTTCATGGTGCCCCATCCAGCAACGTTGCACTGTTTTCCCTGACCGAAATAGCTGTCTAAAGAAAATCATAAAAAAATAATTTATAATGAAAGACGTACCGGGTAAGCAAGCGGGTTCATAAACCGCACCAGGGCTTGCGTTATTGATCAAATTGGGAACGATGAGAATACAGTAATCGTGAGAAATCGTATAGTCGTTGTATTGAGGATGGATTTGGTAGTCCAAAATTGGTACGGTGAAGTAGTTGGCGTCGGATTCGCTGTGCTTGCCAATGTCGACTGAGCTAAAATAGCCACAACAATGGCCGGCTTTGAAGATGCTTTAAAGAGCGTTTCTAATTTTCTGAAGGAGAAAAAAGGGGCTTCTGATTCGCTAGAGCATTTCCTGTCATTATAATATCATTACTCCCATCTGCCTTTTTCGTCAAAATCGTTGCTCCACAACCACCAAGATGAGCGATCCATGGCCAATTTCCTTGGACCGCATCTTGACCTCCAACAATCCGAGAGCTTGTGATCGAAGGTGGATTAAAGGGATCGGGGCAGGTCAAGCCACCTTGAATGGGAACTGGCGGAACTGGTGGTGGTGGAGTAAATGCAGGATCGAATCCGTCGTTGACTTGGATGTGAAAACCAGATTGGGTGACCATAAAGTCGGAATAAAAATTTACTTGAACTGATGAGAGTTCGAACGAGATCGGACCATAGTTTGTTTGAAAACCCTAAATATCATTTCAATTTCAAAAAAAGGGTCCGAAAACGATTATTACATCAAGTGTTTCAAGAACATTTCCGTCCATGTCCAAGAAGGTGAGGAAATCGTAACTAGATTCAGTGTAGAAATCGATAAATTCAAACGTTAGTCCGTTGCTTGAAGCGTGAAAGACCTTGGTACAATCAGTGTCGTCATCATAGTCGCTCGGGTAATTTGAAGATCTAAAATATCAGTGTATTCTAGGTCTCAATTCGAAGCTTACTTGATGTCCAAACTTGAAGCAACAGTGACCTCGTTAGCGCCAGAGCAAATATCAGCTTCATAAGGCGACGTTGTTGTCGTTTCTATTGTTGTCGTTGTTGAACTTGTAGTTGTTTGACCACTCAAGATTGCAGCCAATTGATTTCCCATGACAATAACGGCCACAAGTAGGCCGCAGACACAGAGGAACAAAAATATGAGGATACTGTAAAGAACCGAATTATTCTTTTTCGATTCTTGGACGGGGTTTGATGGAGGTTGCATGAAGGAATGATTCGAAAGAGCTAATTTTTCATTTTGTAAGTGGATATTGATATTCGTTTCAACCTTGATTTGGTTGTCCTGGGCTCGTTTGTAAATAATCCGGTTGAGACTGAGGTGCAACAGCGTTTTGCTGCACGTTAAACTGCATCTTTCCCTCTTTTCCTAACTCCCTCAAGGAGGCTCCATCGAAACTGAATACCAAAATCCTTTAACCCCCATAAAAACTTTTGTAGTCAGCGTTCTAGAGACTCCTTATCAAATATTTTTATGCCGGCGAAAAAATCATTGACCCAGAAAATATGTTTTCTCTTGAATTCTTCATAAGTCCCCCCTGCTGCCCTCGGAATTATGTCCACTTCTGGGCCGCATTATTATGAAATATTTACCAAATACCGACCGGTTCTTCTCAAGTACAACACCGGAACCACAGCGTCTAAACACCACTTTGTCTAAGCTTCTTTATTTTTCCCAAGCTGAGCTTTTTTCGTATGCAAAGTCTAAGAGGCTTACGGGTGAAAACGGGAGCGCTCCAAAAAGTCACGTGAGAAGAATTTTGGCATATTTTTTCATGATTTTTTATATTTTATTGGAAAACGAAGATTATAATGAAGTGTGGCAGATAATAAATGAAAGTGCATTTTTCAGACTCGTTTTTACGCGGGAGATGATCCCAATTTTTCTTTTGCAAAATGCTCACCGACAATTTTCCCGTCTCTATAAATGACACGTTTATGCAGCCCCTTAGGTGCTTTGTTTCTTCGTGAATAAGACTGTCCTCCGGAGGAAGAGGGCTTATTGTTGGATCCAGACATCTGAGGTCTTCTTTTGGGCGATGCAAAGTAAGGTCGTTTACGGATCAACCTTGGATTTGAGTACTGGGTCTTGGGTGTACCTCTCCTCACTGTTGGGGCCGTCGATTGGTCTTTTGGTTTGGCCTGTTTTTTAGTTGGAGCTTCTGTTGGTTGTGCATTGTTTCCTTGTCTTGGTGAAGATGACTGTCTTCTGGAAGAGGAAAAGGGCTTATTGTTGGATCCAGACATCGACGGCCTTCTTTTTGGCGATGCGAAGTAAGGTCGTTTTCGACTTGACCTGGGACGCATGTAAGTCTTGGGTGTAGTTTTTTTGACTGTAGGGGCCGTGGTCTGGTCTCGTGGTTTGGTTTCCTTTTCAGTAGGCGGTGTTGTTGGTGGTACAGTGTTTCTCTTTGACGCTTGTTTCTTGTTAAAATTTTTATTGACTTTTGATGAAAATATTTCTTCTCACCTCATCGAAGGAATTCTCGCACTCGGTTCCATACCAACCATCATTGCATTTGCAGATGCTGAAGACCATTGTCGGCTGAGTGATTCCTTCCTCCCTGATCGCCTCCATGAAGCATTTTCCATTTTGCGAGCATTTTGGAATATTGTAACAAGCGCCTCTTCGGAAGAACCTCTTGTCATTTGCCGGTTTCGAAGGATCGAACTGAAAAAATGAAGAGATTTGACGAGAAATCTTATTGATTTTTGGTTTACCGGTGGGCAGCCAGAAGGTCGATGATCTTTGAAAAACTGGAGAGGGTAATGATGAGCTTGGCATTGATTGAGGATGTAGTATTCTGTCTCCCGAACTCTCCTAAAATAATAAATTGCAAAAAAAGACTGCGAAAATCATACTTTTCTGAATAAGTATTCGTCATCTTTTTCGAGCAATCATCGCCTCCAAATCCATGATCGCACTTGCAAAACACGAAGACAGTTTTTTGATCCAAAGCTCGTTCCTTGTCGAACCAATTCGGAACAGATGCGCACTGGCCATTTTTGCTACAGTATTTGAGATCCCGGCAGTCGCCCTTTTTGAATTCCTCCACTTTTATCGGTGCCTTTGAGAGATCATTCTAAACTTTCACTTTAAAAATCACTCGATTTCAATAAAACTATTTCGCACCTCTTTGCAATTGCCCCAGGTTGGTGCTTTGATTCCCTTCTGCAGCTGATACTGATATGCTTGGCAGTGGGTCGCGAGAAGATGGCGAATTTTGTTAGGAAACTGCTTCGCCGCTCTCGCTTTTTTCACGTCATCGGGAAGTTCTCGCTCGCTATAATGCCTGATTTGCTTCTCGCAGTTGTCCCCTCCCCAGTGCTTTTTACAAACGCAGAATGAAAAAACGTATCGACCATTCATTCTTTTTTCTTTTCTTCGGTCGATGAAATTGGGCAGCATTCGGCATTGACCACCATTCTGGCAATCGCACCTTCCTTCTTTGAACATGCTTGGTTTTAGCGGCTCGTTGGATAGATCTCGCTAGAATAAGAGTTAGAATTGATCAAAAGGTTTAACTTTGGATATGGGGGGCGGTCCTTGACTCAAGGGGGTTAACTCAAGGCTCACTTGTGATTGGCTGGTAAACGAAATACCGGCCTCTGATTGGCTAAGAGGATCCCCGATCCCCCCAAGACCCAAGGAGTCCCCATTCAGGTAGGGGCCCTAACCAAAACCCTAGAAACAAAGAAAGCACTTACTTTCTTACAGTCACCCCATGGAGGCGCAACGACATTGTACCAAAGTTTCCGTTCAAAAGCTTCGCATTCGGAAACAAACAAAAATTTTGTCCCTGAAACTGCTTGTAACAATAAAAGGCCCGTAAGCACAAATCTCTTCATTTTTGTTTTATTCTGATGCATTTCTTCTCCACCCAAACAACTATACAACTCCATCTAGAAAGAAAAAAGCGCTAGAATAAAAAAAAATTGAATTGAGCCGGTCTTGAAATGTCAGAAGAAGCGATTGTCTTCAGAAGCTCTTTGCCAAGAACTTTTGCTTTGCGGTTTTCACGTTCAATAAGTTTGGTTGAGAATCCGCCGTCGGAAAATTCGTTTTGCGTAATGTTTATTTGATCAGCTTTGGTTATGCGAGCGGGATTAGATCAGACGAGTCTTGTTCTTTAGCTTCAATAAAAACATTCAGCCGACCTCTCGTTTCTCCAGGATTGACGTAAATTGGGGATTAGGCGAGGTTTGTTTTGGGCGATTTTACTTAGAACTTAGGGTAGGGAATACTGTTTTCACGGGGGAAAACAAAAGAAAAGCAGAAATTTCTTTGAACAACTCGTGAATATAAAGAACCAATAAATAATTGATAAGGCTTGTGTGTTCTCAAAGTTGTCAAGCCCGAGACAGTATCTTTATAAATATGAGCATAACTGTCGTCACCAGAGATCTGAAGCGTATCGAGAAAACTGTCACCTTTCCTGGCAAGCTTTGGGCATGTTTGGGTCTTTGATTTCATAATCCTTGCTGCACCAAACCAAGTGTCAAAAATCTCGAATTTCTCAAATGTCAAAGATCCATGTTGAGATTTTATTTACGATTTTGCTTCGCTATGTTGGTGTTTTTTATATCGGAAATTCGGTGTTTTCGGATGAAAGAAGGAAAGAGTCCTTTTTTCAAAAATCATAAAGAAGATTCACAATAGAGTGGCTGGAATTTTAAAATTTAAACCAGCTTCGAAGTTAACTCGCTTTTGCATAGATTTTTCCGGAATTCAGTTAAAATTTGAACTTCATGATTAAAAAAACTCGAAAAAGATATTTCACTTGCTCAAATAAGTACCAAATCGGATGCGAAAATGTTTGCTTCAATAAGTACGAGCCATTTTCGTTCCATCGTTTTTGTTTTGTCCAAATTGTCATGACGTGTCTTCCTTTTATCGTTTTTGTCACTATCAATTTGCATATCAGCTTGTGGGTTTCGAAGAAGAAGAAGGACAAGCAGCGATTTTTACGAAAGCAAGAATGGTTTCGATCGAAAGGTAAAGCAAAAAACAAAGCCTGAAATTTGATTCAAAATAGAACCGGTGGAATGGGAGGATGTTGAGGAGAAAAAATCGTGGTTCAAGTACCCGACTTCTGGTGCTGAAAGATCGATTTTTCAGACGAAGATTTATATAGCCTTGGTTTTTCTAAGGCTCCTTCTGGAGATCGCTTTCCATTTGGTGTTTTTGAAGATTTTTGCTTGGAAATATTCTGACTGTAAGTTTTCTAAAAACGTCATAATTTGCATTTTTGTTGATGCGAATATGAACTTTCGCCTATTTTTCATATCGATAATAAAATCACATTGATATTAAAAATTGTACCCATGAACTGAGACCCATAATTGTAATATATGTTAAGATTATGATTGTAAAACTGAAGAATGCAAGACAGACACCATGCGATGTTGGATCTCCCGGCCTACAGAAAGAAATCTCTTCAAGCAACTCCACAAATACATCAACATCTTGATGATCACCATCACTTCCATCGAACTGATCCTGTTAGTATTATGCTGCGACATCAAATGCCCAAATTTCATTCTCAAAAATCAAATCACAACAGGCGGCAGAACTCTCAGCAGTCCCCCTTGGCAGCGGGAATTTCAACGATATCATTGGTAAAGATTTTTTTGCTCATTGAAATGTGCATTTTTCTAGTTGCGTCGGGGATGATTCATCAGAAATCGAAGGGTTGGAAAATCAAGAACTTGAAAATATTTCGATGTCATCTTCTTCTCCTGCGTAGTGATGGATTTGAATAAATTATGTAAAGGCGTGTTATGTTTCTTAAAAGTTCGGTGATATCACCGCAAGTCTTGTACATTATCATATCAGTCATGGTAGGGTGGCTTGATAAGGTTACCTTGAAAATGGCGACGCCGTGAAAGGGTGATTTTGTACAATTTACATTCAAGTTGATTTCAAAACCTTCAATTTTCAGCAATTTTCATCGTAAAAATGAACATTGAAAGCGTTTTTTGTCCACTTATTCTAGCGCGGCAAATTCATCCGGACTCAATCTCCTAATCATTTATCTAGAACCGTATCATCTTCAAACGAATTATGAAATGACTATCTCAAGCTCAAGTCTTCAGGGCTTACCTTCCCAGAGGCGCTTGAATACCAGGAATCAGTTGCTGTTGCTTTTTCAAAGAAGGGGCATTTATCTCTAAGTGGCGGAGCAATTTTTGAATACGGATATCTTTCGTTCGCGTAATTGGATATTTTGTCGCTCGTGTTTTTCCTGAAAAAATACTGTAATGATCGAAAACGCTGAATAAGAACCCATCTATCCGGAAGGCTTTTGGCCAAGATCCAATGCTGAGCCCCCTCAGCAGAAAAACGCGGCCCGAAGTTCCTTACTTGCAAAAAATCAGAGAAAGGATAAGCAACAACCTTTATAACTTACTAAAGTTATAAACTAGTTACTAAAGTGACTCCTGTTGACGGAAACGTAGGTAAAATCAGGCAAAATAACGGGTTGTGACACGATCACATTGACCAGGGTGTAGAATTTTTGTGGCCACAAATCTTGCCGTATTTTTGAGAAGAGAGAGGCTAAAAGAAAACTCGGAATTTTCTGACTTCCAAAAACAGAAGGTAGGACCCTTAATTCTTTATGTTTGACAGTAATCAGAAAAAATCATGATTTCTTATATTAAAATTTTAATAAAGAGATAAAAATTCGAAGAAAAGAGAAAATAAAATTTCAAAATTTTTATTATAGTTTTTAAATTTTTTTTCTAAGTAATTTTTAACTTTGTAACTACAAGCGTTTTCTGGCGTTAAATTAAATCAAATGCGGTTCTTAGCTCGGCTTGTTAGCTTTGCTCACGTTAGAGCGCTGCGATCCGGTGTTGGGTAATCTTGGGCGCGGTGCTACTACACCGCCAAAGGTGCGGTGCTCCGCTAAAAGTGCGATTCTGGGGGGCGACGTCGATTCCAGAAATTTTAGCAGCTCGGGCAGATACTAGACTACCGGAGCGCGGGGCCGACCGACCGCGCGGTTCGAAAACGCGCCGTGAAGATTAAAGCTATTAAGGGAACACCAGCCATAACAAAAGGAAATTGAGAACATTAGCTAATTGGGACCGAGATTTGCTCATTGAGCTGATAGAAAGCTGAAGTTAGGAACAAGGATGAGGTTTTAACCTATTTAAATAGACGCCAGAATTTGCCACAGGGATCAAAAGGATGAGGATAATTGGCAGATTCCTTGGGTAGATCGGATAGACCAAAATCAAGAAATGCCTTATGTAACAAAAGTTATGTTTCTGCTATTTTTTGTAAGATAAATCTTTAAATAAAACTGGTACCAAAGTCGACGTAGACACTAAGATGTTACGCTTATAAATCTCGTCTGGTGAATTTTTTTAATTACAAATGGATTATCATTTTATTGAGTATAATGGTTTTCGTTATTTCTTAAAAATGATCTAGAAATTTATCAAATAAATTATTTAGGTAGGGATTATCCCTACCTTTAAATTGTTTCATCAAAAATGAAATCTGAAGGATATTTTCTTTTCTTAAAACTAACAAGGGCATTGAATATGAAAAGAAAGAACATTCAGAATGTATTTATTCTTGACATGAATAATTTCTTATGATTCGGCATCAATATTTATGCGTTTTGTTTGAATAATTGTTGTTTATATCTTTTCGGGTTGACTTCGTTAATAGATCATATGATTTTGTATCGAACGTTTTCGTTTATTGGATAAACTTCATCAGGATATTTTATGTTGAGAGAGCAGTGTGAAATTGCTAATTGTTGTTTAATTTTTCTCTACCAATTTCAATTTGTTTTTCGGTTAATTTCGATACTTTTATCTGTTCATGTAAATACCTTAGTGTGATCTAACAATCCTTTGCGAGAAGTAAAAACGCCGAGAACGACAAAAGCTGATTGCAATTTGTTTGTTTCGGCTGAACTCGCAAATCTGAGTGGGCACCTTGCGCAAGATTGTTAAGACTTTTACTTATGTAATGAGCACTGTGAGAAACTGGGTCTAAATTGTACCACACTCGAGAGCAAGAAATCGTGAATACTCGCTCACCCGCGCGCGCCGCCGCTCACTAGCGTCACCTAGGCCGTTCAATCGATCGCTGATCGTTCAACCAAGGGACCTCATCAGTTGGCGAAATCCGTGTGTTCGAAAAGGCACGAAAAGACTGAAATTACGTCGAACAATTTCGTGTTCCTTATCAACCACTTTCAACACCCCGTATATCCCTTTTTGTTTCTAAGTCAAGTGTGGGAAAGCGCTCAGAGAAAAAAATCTTTCAAGAGAATTCTTTACTTCATAAATTTTTAACCAAATTTTCGATTTTGAAATTAACAAGGAGTAGCTCAAAATTTTGATCAAAAAGCTTAGTGGAAAGCATAAAAACTTTACGAACTAGAATCGAAATCTAAGTCTAGATAACAATTTATTGAGGACCTGGAAATTCCTTTCGCAATAAAAAGTTGCTGTTTTCCGCTCATTTTCATCATCATTTTGGGTACTCTTCTATCATTATCACGAAATTTAAAGCCCTTTGAAAACAACAAGGAAATCATTTTTATAGTCAACAGTTGCTTATCCCAAAAAAGTCAATTCTAATCAATCACATCACAAAAACATCATGAAGATCCAAGCATCCCTCCTCGCCGCGCTCACCGCGCAAAACCGTAAGTAACCGTCCGCTTTTCTCTAGCGCCCTCCACGCAAAACCGCGCTAATTCAAAAATTCTAGAAGTGGAAGCTTTCTGGAATCCGTTCTCAATGTTCACACCATCCACACAGACACAATCTAAGCCCATGCCCGCTCAGATCGTCTCTGTCGAAGATCCTTTGTGTCAAGATGATTTCCTCCGTTGTAGCTCGTGGAAACACGCCTGTGGTGTCAAATCGATCGATAAAATTTGCGCCAAGACTTGTGGCAAATGCGGCGGCGTGTCTTCAGTCTCTCAACAGTACCCAGCCCCAGCTGCTCCAGTCGTTCAAGTTGCACCAGAACCAGTCGCTCAAGAACCAGTTGAAGAAGCTCCAGCTGCACCAGTCTTTGTCGATCCAGTTCAACAAGTCATGAACTCAGCAGTCTTCAGAAAGCCCGCATACAACTTCTTCCCGCGACCAGTTCAGCAGATCCAGCCAGTTCAGCTCGCTCCAGTTCAGCCAGTTTTCCAGCCAATCTACCAGGTCCCAGTCTACCAGGCTCCAGTTCAACAGACCTCTTGCGCTGATAAATTCTCCAGCTGCTCTGCTTGGAAATCAGTCTGTAACAACGCTTCTATCCAAAACCTTTGCCCTGGAACTTGCGGCCTTTGCGGCACCCAGGTTCAAATTCAGCAACCCGTTCAAGTCCAACAAGTCGCTCCTCCCGCTCCTGTTCTTCCAGCAAAGCAAGCATACCTCACTCCCTTCGATCGTCCAGCTTTCCCTCGACCAGTCGAAGAAGCTCCAGTTTTCCAACAAATTCCAGTTGTTCAGACCCCCGTTGAGAAACCAGCTTTTCCCGTCGCTGCTGTTGCTGAGTGCAAGGATAAATACAATAATTGTCAAAAGTTCCGAGACCAGTGCTCAAACAGAATCATCCTGAACGTCTGTCAAAAGTCCTGCGGAGCCTGTGCTTCAGTTGAGTACACTATGCCTACTATGCCACCAACCATGGCACCAACAACAACCACCACTACTACCACGACCACTACTACTACCACCACTACTACTGAAGAGCCAGAAGCTAGTGGAAACGGTGCTCCCTGGGAGAACATCGAGTAAGACAAGTTCCTCTAGAATTTTTTCTAAACAATAATTTCAGAGAAGAAGCTATTGAAGCTCCAAAAATCATCGAACCAACCTCCACTACCAGCACAACAACCACCACCGAGCCAATGACAACGACGACACCAGAGGAAATCACTGAAATCGTCACCGAGTACCCAAGCGGCGAAGGCCCAGTCCCAATTCCAGCAGAAGAGAATTCAACTTGCAAAGATTTTATGATCAACTGCGAGGAGTTCTCCCAGAATCAGTACCGATTCTGCTCGATGACTCCCGAGGATGCGCTCTTCAGCGTTTTCAAGGTACAAACAATCAATTTCGAAAAGATAATAATTTTGAATCTCTAGCCAATCATGGAATCTTGCCGAAAAACTTGCGGTTTCTGCGACCAAAACGCTGCCTGTGCCGGACTTGTCGACTTCTGCCACGAAGAAGAAGTGGCTGCTACTTGCCCTGGCACTTGCAGAGGTCTTGAACCAATGGAATTTTAAGGAGACCCGACCTCAACAACCTCCTTTTTGTAAATACGGCCTTCAATTCATTTCCGCTTCAACTCACTAACCTGTCGATGACACAAAAGCTACAAACATGATGATGAACATAACGAACCTTTCAAATTGACCCCACGTGACCCTCAGCCGAGCAAAACTGACGTTCCCTGTGGCCAAAATTGATCCAGAAGTTCTAGTTTCCAGCGAATTTTATCTTCGGTTAAGTATCTTAACACTTTTAGGTAAATTCGACGAATGCTCTTTGTAAATACCTCCACGATGCTGAGAAAAAAAAACTGATGATGATTGAGCTCATGACTTCGCTCTCCCGAAAACTGAAAATTCCAAAAAACATCATCGTCGCTTACAAAAAAACGCTTACAACTATCAACAGTAGAGAGCACTGGCCGCCCACAATTTCGCCAATGTTGAGGCCAGCTGCCCGATCTTCTGTACTCGTCACCAATACTATTTTCAATTCGACAGGACTCCCAAGCCCCCTCACCAGCTTTGCTATTTCCAATTGGCCCATAGTCAGTCCATAAAAATGGAATTGACACGCGGCGAGAAATTTTCTCGATGAAAAACCCATTCCGCCAGCGTTATTTTTCCCTCAATTGAGTTCTAGGACTATTTTTCAACTCGTGCTTTTCAAACTCCATCAACTTTTCTTTTGGTGTCCCCTGGCCGGTGTCATAGCTGAACTAAGCCACATATCTCACCCGCCATGGTCCTCGGATCTCTCTCTTACCCGCTAGTACTCGGTGCCAGTCGGCTGCCTTACATCCTCTCCATCGAGATTCACCGCCAATGCAACGCCGCCAACATAATTTCCTCACTCGCCTGAGCAAAATAGGACCTCAAGTTCGCCAGGGAGTCAGGACCGGCTGGCGTGGAGCTCGTGCGGCGCCCGTTTTTCGAAACCGGGTGTTCTTGATTTTCACCGTCCCGGTTTGAGAAGTGACCAAACTGTTACGTGGGACACAATTGTTCGCCATGCGACCCTATCTTTCGATCTCTTGGGGCCTAGCGTGAATGCACAGGGGTTTCAAGGGCGCCCTAAGTCTGCGGCTGGGGTACCCTTAAATCTGATGCGGACATAACTAACGGATACTTTACTACCTTTTTCGAGTAAGCCTTTTTTCAGCCCTCGGGGTGCGTCAAGTTTGGTACGCGCCCCGGGGCAAAGAGGCTTTTAAAGTTTGACAGAGAGTGATTTTTTCGCGTTTTTCTTGTTCACTCTGTGTGCGAGAGGATTAGTATAAAAGCCGGCCACTGAGTTTAGCACCCCTCCTTTACGGCTCTCTTTTCTTACAGTAGTCGTATTGAGTAAATAACCTGGCCCCGGTGTCGCGTAAAAAACAGGCCGTTATTTTATGTTTTGTATATTTTAACTTTCAATGTTTCCCCTTTGAGGAAAATGTTTGGAACCAAAAGGAGATAGTCGAAAATGGTCGGGACGCGAAGGGGTCAAACTGTCGATTATTTTTGCTTGAATAAACAGACAAATTTTGTTGAATGAAATTATAAATCACTCTTTCTTGTTCTCTCTTGCAGGAATTGAAGGAGGTTCAAAGAAGAAGTGCTCTTACGCAAGTTTGTCAAACAAAACTTAGGAATTTCAATTTGAAAATCTGGAACTTTTAAATTTTTGAACAGCACTTGAAATTTTCGAACCTTGATCGATAAGCCTCTAGCTTTGTTTTTTATTGGAAACAAGTGTGGAATTTCTTCATGGATAAATGATTCTAGCACAAGATCGGATAGGATAGGATTTACAGATTTCCTCGTTGAAGTTGCTCGAGCTCGATGGCGGTGAAGAGGGCCTTGAAGTTTCCAGCGCCGAAGCCGTTGTGATTCGCTCTCTAGAATAATGTCTTTACAAACCATAAGCTTGTAAGTCTAATATTATGTTCATGATTATAAAGCAATGTCAATTCGAGTCCTTAATATTAGCCGCTAGAACTACTACATAAGCATGAATACGTGTTGTCTTTTTGGATCTAACCTGAATAATTTCAATAAAAAGCGTCGGTCGATCCTGAACAGGAAGCGTAAAAATCTGCAGAAGATATCCATTGTCATCATAGTCAATTAGAATGTTTTGCTCTTCAATCGCGTCGAGGTCCTCCTTGATGACGCACTTAGAATTGGCGAGATTCTCTCGCAGCTGCTTGTAGTAAGTCGAAGGTGGCACCAGGAACTTCATGCCGCGAGCTCGTAAGCCACGGATCTAAAAATAAATTAATGAGAGGTGTGTCAAACTTGAGAAGAGGGTCTAAAATCAAAAAGTCCTCCCGAACCGGGAATCGAACCCGGGCCGCCGGAGTGAGAATCCGGAATCCTAACCCCTAGACCATTCGGGACTTGAGAAACTTTGTAATGATGGGAGCCAGACACAGGAATGGGTACTGTAAGACTTACTGTAGAGATGATATCGTGAGATCGAATAGCGATGTGTTGGACTCCAGCACCGCCGTTGAATTCGCAGTATTCTTGAATCTGGGACTTCTTCTTCCCAGGAGCAGGTTCGTTAATAGGCAACTCGACGCAGAGTTCAAAAATTTATGATGCTAATTTCATGAGATTTCGAGTTTAGAACATTGTAATAAATTTTTGGAATACAACCTATTCAGGGTTGAATATTATAAATAAAATGTCTTCTACGTGTTTTTGATGGAAAAAACTATAAACAATTTTATAAGATTAAGGTTATGGTCTCTAGAAGTCTTTCTCGAACTTTGGCTTAATATTTTCGTCGTAGCTTGCGACGACTGTACTGGCGAGGGCTGAGTATTCTGTGTGCATCATTGAATCATCGACGGACCAGAATCGGTGGAAGAGGAGGTTAGTTTCGTACCACTGGGTAACGGGCTCCATACCCTTGTCAGGCTGGTTGCCGACCACGTGGTCGATGAATTCGAGGTTGATTGGCGACCTATTAAAATTTTACTTTTTGTAACAAACACTATAATCAATGACCAATTCAGCAGGCTAACTTTATGAGAACAGGTTAAGCTTATGGTAGATCAAGATTATCAAATAAAAACGAAGTAAAAAAGCCCAAATGAAAAATTCGATTATTTATATATGGTCTTTACTTATCATAATATTATCTCGTTTATTGCAGAAGCTTTTCGCCTTTCGGCATCATCAGTGCTTTAGAGACGCAAAGTTGTATTTACGTAAAGAGATACAACTTTGCGTCTCTAAAGCACTGATGATGCCGAAAGGCGAAAAGCTTCTGCAATAAACGAGATAATGTATTTAATACTCGTCAACTTTACGATATTATCATAATATGTTTAACGTACATTTTAGCAGCGACTGGATCAACACGGTAGTTCTTCATTTCCGAAGCAAACTTGTATCCTGGAAGATGTCTATCAGCTGGATATTTCGATCGATCAATGAGGGTGTGGCACACGTCGCCGTAAGTCTGCAAGACGGCGGTTCGAATTGATCCGAACTCGTCGCTGATTGTCTCGGGCTCGGAGACTACGATAGCGCCACCTTCTCGGGCTTTCTCAATCAAGGCGTCGACGTCTTCGCAGTTGAAGGCGATATCTTGAATATTATTTGAGATTATGACAACACAATTTTGAATAATCATAAACATGACAGTCTACAAAATGAAAAAAATAAGACTTCACTAAATGAGTTTTTCAGAAAATATGAAAGAACCTCTCAAATAGACGATATATGGTCTCTGTCTTCTCAATATATACCTTTGACACCATCAGCATGAGTCTCTAGAAACTTCCCAAACTCCTCATTTCCCGGCTGCAGTGCCGATTGAAACTCAAAAACGACATCATTCTGCTTGATCACATGCGAGCAAATGTCTCTCGAACCAGTCTCCAATCCTCTGTAGCACCACTCTTCAAAGCCAAATCGAATGCAATACCACTCGGCCGCTTGTTTCGCATTTCCGACCCAGAAAGTCAGGTGGCCGAAGTTGTTGAGTTTGCCTTTTTCGTGGCGGGCACCCTTGTCGGTGTATTTGACGCCGATTTGGGAACCGGCGATGACTTTTTCTTCGGCTTGTTTGGCCTCGATCTCGGCTTTCTGAAAATTTTTCATTCTCTTTTTTCGATCTTTCTTCCTACCTCAGTCGCATCAACCATCTTTTAAAAACAGGATTTCTGCTTCTTTCTCACTTTCGTTAAAGAAGTTCTGAAGAGACTCAATTCAGATTTTTCAGAATCATCCGCCGACCCGCCCAGGACACATCCTACTCCATAAAAAATGATCGCCCGAAAATGTATAATTTTAATATCGTTCGATTCTGATGATGAGCAGCCTCATAAATTAGTAGCGCGCTCGCGATTCGGAATTGCGGTATTTCTCAGCAGTACCGGATCGGGTGGTGAAGAAGATGCCGCTGAGCTATTAAAAAAATGAGCTGATTACTGTCTAATCCGCCTCAGTACCGCGTTGATCCCGCGAAAAAGCCATTTTTTTCGCACCCTAAAAATTTCACCTGAAAAATTTCGATCTGCTGAGCAATTTGCAATCAACCACCCTTTTTTACTTTTTCGAGGTAAGATTCTGTTTGAACATACAGTTAGCGAGAAAACAGAAGTGATTGATGAAGAGAGCTTCGTAACAGTAATGAGAGTCGACTAATTCTTTTCAATCAGTGTCAATCGATTACGGAAAAACTCCTTGAAAACGCGCCGGCGGTCATTGCATCCGATCACTTTCAAATTATCCTGCGGCTAACTGTATTCGCATTTTACAGTTTCTGAGAGCTTGAAAAGAAGACAAAGAAGAAAACAATCATGGAGATTTCAGAGCTCAAAACTGATGCTCTTTACCTAGGTAAGATTTCTTTCTAGAGCAAAAAAAGGGATGAAAGGGGCTCGATAATTCTTCCTATTTTTCATCAAATAAATTTCTAGAGCAAAGTGGAATGCTGTGCTATACTCCGACTATGGGAATGCCAACTGGCTTTGAGCTATCTCGCTTTGGATATCCACCGAATTTTCCGATTCCAGAGCCGATTTCAACCGCAAATTCTTCGGTTAGAATTGATGGAAGCCCGCCACCGAGTATCAACGACAGCTTTTCGTCGGGTTTTTCGCATGATTCTTCTCCAGGAATTGATTTGAGAAACCATAAAATAACTTTTATGGAAATTGTATAAATTTTTCTTACTGGATAGAATTGACGATCTTACCATATTTTTACCAATTTGCAAAAATTCCGGAGGTCCATTGGTTCTAGAAAGCAATTTTGATGATTCCATAAAATACAGACCATTTCAATCTATATAATTCTGAATCAAAAGAAAGACACAGTCCAGCTGAACCATTACGTCTCTCCCGAAATTTCTGCTTTTGACCAAATCGAACCTTCCTGGGCACGCGAATACTCCTCCCCTAAGATCGAGCCCGACTACGGCCCCTCCTCACATCCGGACTCAACGGTGGCCCAGTTGGTCGTCTGTGCTTTGTTTGCAACGATTCTGCAAGTGGTCAGCACTATGGGTAAAGCGAAAGGGATGAAAGAAATGATTATCGTTATTCTAGAGTTCCGAGCTGCGAAGCATGCAAAGCGTTCTTCAAGAGAACAGTTCAAGGAGCGATTGACTACACATGTCCTTCGAATAATGATTGTCCGATAACAAAGAGGAGAAGAAAAGCTTGCCAAGCATGCAGATTTCAAAAATGCATTCGAGTTGGGATGCTTCGAGAAGGTATGATATCTTGGACATATGCTTAGACTGAAAGCATTTCAGAGATAGGGCTGTCGAAGACATATTGTCGCTAAAAGTAGATTTTTTTCACCATCTTCAAGATATATAAAATTTGTCCTCATAAAAATTGGCAGTCATGATTATGGTTTATAGGAGTACGCCTTGATCGAGTTCGTGGAGGTCGACAGAAATATCGAAGAACAGTTGGCGATGCAGCTGCTTGTACCACTTCTACTGTTTCCCAAAGACCGATGGAACTTCAGCAGGTAAATTATAATCACCATAACTGCGGCTTTTATAGCCGAGAATTGAATTTTTATTGCCGTTTGCTCATGAATACTGCTTATAATAAATTGGAATTGTATGACCATCGGAAATATCATTCATTTTATTCAGATCGTGGCTCAACTTTTGCAAGCAGAAAGAAAAGTCGCGCCTACTTTCAAGCCTTTGCAACTCGACGTGACAGGCGGATGTGTCAATAGATTTGCCTCTGGCGTGAGGGATCGTCTTCTGAATCTCATTTCTTGGGCAAAAAATGTCCCCGGTAAGAATCAACCGTCAAAAACCTATGAAAAAGACTCCTCAGGATTCTGCGAAATGGCACTTCCGACGCAAACAACAGTCCTCCGAAACGGCTGGCTCGATGCTTTGGCGCTCGACTTTGCTTTCTACTCTCAACCTTCTTCATCCCAATTTTCAAATCAGTATCGAATAGGTAAGCCTGCCTTCTATTGCTGATTTTAGAGCGTTTTCAGTTGTCTCGAAGGACTTTATCTTCTCGAAAGAAACATGCAAAACCCTCGGAATCGAAAAATTTCACGAAGTCATGAAGAAACTCTTACTGTCGCTTTCGGCAGTGAAGCTCAGTAGTAGCGAATTCGTCCTCCTCAAGGTAGATTTTTCCTCTTTTCTATCTTTCAAAAACTCCTTCAGGCATTGTTTCTGTTTGGAACTCTCGAACCAATCGACTCAAAAGCAAAAATGCTCGCCAACAAAGTCACCCGCCTGTTCTCCGAATACTGTAACAGTGGAGCTTCGGTAAAAGAACACCATGTTTCCATTTAAGTAAAACCAGTCTAGGACGATGATAATCGCCTTGGAAGCCTTATGGTTCTGTCGTCTTACGTCAGAGAACTGGCGCTAAATGTTAAGGATCTCCTGCTCATGGCACCTTCTGTCGATCCTCTTGGTAAGCTCAGAGCGAAAATTCTCAAAGCTAAAGGCGATTTTTAGTAAATGAGCTTCTTCGTGGAACCAATGAAAATCTAGAAGCTTGATCTGCCAAAAAAGAACTGTACAAAACTGAAATTATTACTGATTTTTTTATTAAGACCTTGTATTTATAAATTATAATTTTAAGCAGAAATTGTTCAACGATTCTTTAACTCAAAACTTATCAAAAAAAAATTGTCAGAAGAAGATATATTCGGAAGTCAAAATTGTGATTTTGATCAGATAACAGTTATTGCAGCGGTTCAGTTTTGTTACTGTCACAGTCAGTGCTTTTTGATTACATAACCTGAGGTCCAGATCGGAAGAAGCCAAAGGCGACTATACACGAGCATAAGAAGGTAAAGACGGAAAATGCTACCGCAGAGGCGGAAACAGCTGTTTTCAGGTTTCAGGGAGTCGGATTTTTGCTCTGGGATTATCTATGAGAGCCGAAAGATCTGTCGTAAAATCTTGATTTAGCAGCATTTTATTTCAATATAGTTAACAAAAAGCCGTCTATTTTCGAGTTGACTCAAAGCTAGATTATTTCAAGAAGACTAAGAGCCACAAAATATGACAAGAAAGCTGATTAATTAACTGGGTTAAGTTCTAGCTAAGAAATCGAAATAATGATTCCAAATGATTTGACTCTAATCTACTTGAGGGCTCTCTGAAACCTTTCCTCCTGGGTCTACTTTCGACATTCCAATAAATGAAATAATCGTGCAGATGACTGTAAAGACCAAAATCCCAAAGACAAACTTGTTATATGGAGGCGTTGTTGCTAGAAAATCATAACGAGAGAACGGTAAGAGTGACTAACCTGGAGTAGACTGAGCCATGAAAATGATCCCAACGGAAATGGCAAGGACGATGTTGATGAACATGAAGGAAACGGCCCACATCGTATTGGCAGCGCGATCAGTTTGGCTCACACAGGCGGCCACACAATCAACTTCCTCTGTAATTGTGTTTGTCGAATCTAACGCGATTTAAATAAAATAATGACAAGAGAACGACGGACTCACTACTTGCGGTTGTTATGCACAAACACCCGTTTACCAGAACTTTGGTGTGGACATGTTCGAAGTTTCCTTGGAGCAAATCCGACAATTCGGCCCACAAAGTAGGATCTTTGCATTGTTCTTTTAGCTAAAAAAAGGATACGATCTTGAGACACGATTCATGATATATTTACGTCATCTTCTCCTGTCGCTGTCAAAGTCACTTCTTTCGAATAATCGCATTCTCCTGCAACGAGTTTCAAAAAACACAGACAGGCGGCCAAATTTCTCATAATCTTCGAATTTCTCTCGCTCTGAAACAAAAGGAAAGGGTGGTCAAAAGTTGATAGAAATTCGTAGGAAAAAAGCGGTGCACAGAGTTTAACAGTGGTAGGAAGACAAAGCAAGCGCAAATTATGACGAAATCGCTCATTGTCGTAAAAAATCCATCTCGTCAACTTGGAGATGGGTGATTGGGTCGACCGGGAGCGTAAAAATGAGGTTTTAATTCACGGTGACAAATGTTGACAATTTCGCGAAAATGAGCTTTTTCGAAAGAGAAGAAAAATATTTATGAAATGAAACAGAAGCTACTGGAACATGGAATATACTGAACTCTGGCTCGGAATTTCTCTTCAGTAAAAAAATTTTGATTCTCCTAAAAATATAAAAATAAAAGTTCTCTTGGATATCTATGCGTGTGTTAGTTCAAGGTGTCCATTTTTAGCGCAAACAACGGATTGCTCATTTTTTGGATAATGGAAGTGCAAATATGCTCTCTCCTCATTGAGGAGTCCTCAATGACCAGCTCAAAAACAGAAGGATGCAATGAATGACTGTATGAGTGTTTCCCCTTTCCCTAATTTTATAATTCCTTATTCCTAAGATTATAAAAGAATACAATTTTAAAATGAAATCCTGTTATCCTGAACGACGCATTGCAATATAGATTGCGTTAGTAGTTTCATCGATAATTACTCATGAGAATCTACCAGATGATTTCCAACTGCAAATTCTTGTTCTTGAAATAAATGTGCTAAAATGTTTCTTTTGTCAATTTTATTCATCAAAATTCAAGCAGAGAACTGTTATGCAGTCGCTACAGGCAAGGATTGAAGTTCATCAGTTTCGATATTCAACTTGATCTCGAATTTTCATCCCTTTTTTTAGGAGGGCGAGAAGCAGGGCATTATTCAAACGCAACTCAGGTAATTTACTATTTTAGGTGCTTATTTGTGAATTTTTCAGATAGTCGACTTTGCCCGGAACTCACAGTAAGTGTACAAATAGCCAGCATACTAAACAATTCATTCAAGTGTGGTCAAGAAGGGCGGCGACTTGCCTGAGGCGCGTGCTGGGAAAGGGTCGAGGCTACTTTGCTTCCAAAGAGATACAAAGAGCCTGTGGTTTCTTTGGCTGAACCGCGAGGACACCTTTAGAAAATCGTCTCATTTTCAGAATTGAGCTTTTAGAATCGACCACAAATTAAAGCCATACGATCGTTGCGGCAGATGGAAGTGGTGGAAAAGTTGCATTTGTTCTAGGTACTGTTTACCCTCATCACAGTAACTGTATCTTCAGGCGGTCGGTCGGTCGGACAAACCCGGACAGACATCTTCTGTCTTGGAACGAATTATGAGTGGTCAACTTGCGGTGAACTTGTCGATGCACGCGAAGGTCACGTGTCTATTAATTATGGGCGTTCTATCTTTTCCTGTGGAGGTCAGCATAACTCGAAAGTGCTGAGTTCTTGTGAGAAATTTGACTTGGATACTTTTGCTTCCCGGCCAATTCTGACTACTTTGAGGAAAGGAAGAAGATCTGGAGCTTCTGTCGTTTCTGGATCAAAGGAATAGTTATGAATCAGTTTAAGATCCCTGGCACTAATCCATAAGTGCCTCATACTGAGGGGGCTACACTCCCGGATAAGGGTTAGAATTAGGCCCCAAAGGCAACATTGAAAGGTTTGGATTAGGGCTAGGGTTAGCCCCTGTCACCTTATCCTAACCCTAACCCTAACTTTTCTTTTTCACTCTTTTTCATTCATTTTCCACCTGAAACCTGTATGTTTCTGTGTCTCAGCGACAGTACAATAAATTGCGTTTCAGAAAACATGTGTCAAGTGCAACCCCCTTGCTCATCTGACATGTTCTTTATTACTTGTAACAAGCAGGAAAGCAAGCTTGGTACAGCACAGTGGCTGATCTCCAGCTCAATCATAAAAGATTCATCAATTTTCTGACAGTGGTTTATTTTCGGTGGCCAAGTTCAGATGGGCTACACAAGGAACGATTTAAGAAGAAAGGATCTCTGTTCATCTTTGTTCGGGCTATCCTTAAATCTTTCATAGATTAGTCGAATCAATCGCCTTATCCGACCTGGAGTCCGGCTCAACCTTTTCCTTTGAAAAGCCCCTTCCAATTATCCTGACAGAATCCGCTGCTTTCTTCCAAAATGAACAGATTTATATTGCTGGCGGTTTTAATCATTCCAGGTTTATCCATCTCAAAAACAACAAACAAGATTGTTTTAAAATTTAGATACTCCGATTTTGGCAGGGAAGAAGTTTTCATTTATGGGTAAGCGATTGAATTAAAAATTCATTGACTTGTCCATAACTTGTTTTCTCAGAACTGAGGGGCATCATCAAGTCGTTGGAGCCCTTCCTAATGGCAGGCGAATGCACTCAGGAACAGTTCAAGGAATTTGATGAAAGATTGATTTTGGACAAAATCTGACAATACTGTCTAAGATTTGAGCTGAAAACAGTAGCAACCTTGAACAAAAAAACGCTGATTCTTGGCGACTATGACGCGCGGCCAGAGTCAAAGGGTAATTATCTATTGCCAATTCTGACAGTGTCATTCCTTGTCATTAATTTTAAGCCCTCCTGTTCGAAAATGGCGAAACATCAGAATACCGTCTAACTGGGTACGATCCTAATGCTCTTATGGCGGCGACAACTGTATGTTTTCCCGTACCGATCTTTTGAAGATAAGACTGTTACTGTATTGAATAAATCTGGAATACAGGCTGATAGACAATACAGTAATGTCCTCTATAGACCTCGCTTCACCCTTATTACTGTAATTGAATGAGGCTGGTAGCGAGGAAGGATGATACAGTTGCGAACTGATAATCCTGTCAATATGGAATATTGTTAAATGTTAAAAATTGCGCGCGTAAGCAAATTAAACAAATATTGAAAAATGAATTGTTAAAAAGAAAACTCGACGGGGCGAAGACACACACGTAAGTGGATTGCGGTACTTCTCGAAAAGACATCGAAAGTGCTGCATAATTCGAACTACAGTAGGACACGAGTGTTCTAAAAGTGGTTAGTGGTACTGTTTTTTGAGAATGACCACGTGTTTAATTTTCGATTATTCAAAAGGATAATTTTAAGTCGAAAAAAGGAGCTTGCGAAATGCCGTACTACCGCTAAGATAGGGGGCCTATCCCTAATTTTGATGGCTATTTTCAAAGACTTCTAGAATAAATACCGTATCTTAGATACGATATGTTTATTTCTTGCTGGATTTAAGTCAATTTTTATCATCGAAGGTCCTATTTGGTATTTTCTGAATGAATTCCTGGCCTTGAAAGCATGGAAAGCATTTTCAGAAGGAAAATTGGCAATTATTGTGCCTCTGAGCACAAAACATTGGTTATTAATCCCTGCTCGAGCGTGTGCGCGCCACTTCAGAGCGCTATAAAAACCGATTGGAATATACGTTTCGCCATACACTTTGCAAGCACGCAAAAGATTGTACAAAAATAGAGTTTTTAATTTAAAAAAACAGATATTTAAAGATGATGTCTCCGGTTGTTCTCTTCACGATTATCTCAATGGCTTTCGGGTAATTGAAAATAGTTCACTACAAAATATTTTTTTTTTTTGAAAAAAAATTGTTTTTATCGGGATTCGAACTCTCAATCAAGGGAGCCGAAAATTTTTTTTCAAAAAATTTTTTTTTTCTTCGAAAAATCATCAAAATTTTAGTCGATACGCCAGCTCCCTGGAACACCAAATCATGAAGCGAAATATGGGCTCAGTTGGATACGCCGCCATGCCGCAAGATTCATTTGTCGAATATAAACGAAGTGGTTTCACCAACATGGCTGATCTCAGCTTAGGAAATCTCTTCCCTCAACAAGAATAATCACCGCCTGTGCAATATTTTTTCCACCCCACTTTCCCAATTCTAAGATAACAACACCACACTCTCGGCAAAACAAGTTTTTTTTTAATGTAATAAACTTTATACTCAAGAACTGACTTGCTTTATTCTGCATTTTATACAGTCTTTCTGCTTCAATACAAATACGAATGAGTTCTATCGAATCGCGTTGACACTTTGGACACATAGATAATTAGTTCAATCTTGGCAGCGCAGCTGAACTTACAGTAATTTATGGCATAGCTACTATTTACTGTTTGATCTGGTTCTTATTAAATTGACGCTTTTTTCTTGCGGTCTTTTTGAGTTTTTCAATTTTACAAAGAGATTTTTTTATACTGTTAATCTTCATTAAAAAAGGAGACAGTAGATATGATACTGTAAAAGAGATTTCTTCAAAAAACAAACTTTACTTTGAAGGCAAGACTTCGTTTCTCCTGACAGTTTGTTTTGGGACTTCAGTAAGTGTCAGATCTATCAAAACTTTCTGAAAATATTTACCCTGCTGATAGGGTGATCAAACGGTGCACGCGTTACTTCCTGTTTTCTACTTGAGTTTTGAGCTGATTTCAAACTAAAGCTGTATCAACTTTTTTCCCTTCAAATTTGAATAGAGATTTTTATGAAGCCAAAAACCATTATTTGGGTTCCTGCTTTTTGGACGTTATTTTTTTATTGATATTCACTATGATTCTATTTAATAATCACTTCAATTTGAGGTTCTGCTAGTCACATTAGTGCATGATGGAAAAATTAATATTTTAAAATAATTTTTCAATTTTTTCGCATTTTTGTTTGGGTAAAACTCTCATGAAAAACTGTTGTTTATCAGTAAACAAGAAGCTCCTATTGATCCGTCTACTTTTGTATTTGCCGCTTGTTACTGATTCCCTTCCCTGACTCTGACAGACGTGAAGTATGCCAGTTGCCAGACTGCCACTTTATGTTTTCAACTTGAAATTCGAAATGGAATTTTAGAGAAAATCGAGCGCAGGAAATCGACCGCTTTTGTAGCGTCAATCTGAGCCGACTGATTCTCTCGATCTGGACTGATTTTCAAATTTGCTCAAGTGTTGATAATTTGGACTTGAAGACTATGTTCAAGACGTTTTCGTTCGTCGAATTCGCCCAAGAGATCGAAGGAAGGTAGAGCTCATTTCAATTCATTTTTTGACCGAAAAGGAAGGAAATCAGCTCGATTGAAAGGCACCAAAATGAACCAGAGTCATTCATCGCATCTTCAAAAGGTGTGTGTGTGTGTGTCAAACTTTACTGTAAACAATTGTGGTACAGTTTTTCCTATTGTCGACATTTTTTTCAAGGCATTGGGGAGTTTGGAGCCAGTCAGAGTTCCTTTTGATCCAAGAGCATCGCTTTTCAACGCGAAGAATCGAAAGGAAAGAGCTACGGACAATTCTAGAGCTCGCAATTTGAGAGAAAAATTCTCTGAGTAGCTTTTTCAAAGGAAAGAAAAACCATGACAGTGCAAGAAAGCGCAAAAAGAAGCCCATATCGTTTGTCAAAAACACCGGAATTCGCAGTTCGAAATTCGTTTCAAAAGGAAACAAGTCGAGCTAGGACGACAAATGCTCCCGGACCGCGTCAACTTGTCAAACACCCGAGGCTCCTCACCACCCTCCGTAAGTCCTAAATCTCCTTTCCTCTCGTTCAGAGACTGTTTTAGCTCGATCGCGGTCTGTGAATGAAAGCCATTTTGAGGAATATGAAGAGAGCCTGAAAAGGGGGCAGATTTCGATTGAAGATCGGATCATGGAACTTCTTATTGCTTCGAAACGACAACTCAAGCCGAATTCAAGGAGGCGGAAAAGAAATCCTCTGGCGCTAGAAAATTCGAAAATTTTTGATCAAGAAATAGTGGAGAAGACTGTCAATCATAAAGCAACTGAAGTTTGCGAAGGTAGATTAAAACAAACGAAGTAGAAACGCGGCTACGGCAGTTGTTTTTCGAAAACCATAAATTCGCTTATTTTTGAATTTTTATAGATTTTCAAGTGACGTGAAAAGAGATCCACTTATTTTATTGTAAGAATGTCTTTGTGGACACTGATCATCACTTATAAACATTTAATTCCAAGATATTAATAATGAATAATTCGCAAGAATGAAACAATTGTAAGATCAACTCTTACTTATTTTTCCTTCAAGAGCCGCTTCCGATCCCAGTTCAAACCATCAAAGGCCCCCGAACCCCCGCCGAAAAGAACAAACAACCCCTCCTCACCCCTGGATCCGTCTACAGATCTAGAATTGGTGACAAACTTATTCTCAAAATAAAACTTCCGACGACTGTGTAAAAAGGACATGTGTTGTTACTTTATTCAAACATTCATCATAAAAACAGTCAATCAATCAGTTACAAGATACAGGCATTCAGTTATTAGATACAGTAAAAAAGGAACAGTTAGTGAGGTGATACGGAGAGGACTTCAGCGAGCACGGGTTTTGATAGGATTTGTTTATCCGCGAGAGAGATGAGTTTGTCGTCGTCGAGGTTGATTTTCAAAGTCTAGAATTGACTCTACTGAATAAAACTACTGTCACTTACTAATGCCGCGATCTCGAACAAACTCCTCGGACTTGCCTTGATCGCCATCGTCTCAAAATCCTTGAAAATGTACTCTTTGTCTCCAAACGGCGCGTAGAGAACTGCATGTGAAGGATGAACCTTCCCAGGGAGGCAGAATTCATCAGGAAGATTTGTAATGGAAAGACGTCTGCCGCGCCATGTTCTGCCAAAAGTTGAGCGAGTTCTGCCAATGAGGTATTTGTCGTCTTCGTCGGAACCGCCAACGACGGGGAATCGAGGGGTTATTGAAGACTCCCAGTAGATGGATTCTAGAAGAAAAAATAATAGAAGACCATAAATGCATTTTACAATGGTTGTGTTTATCTAAATATACTTATCTAATAATTTAATCATTTCTTCATTATTAAGCTCGACAAAAAAAGAAAGTACCGATTTTATCTGAAACCAAAACTTCATCTTGAGTCCCCGTCCTTGCTCTTGTCCCGTAGGCAGCTAGAACCCAAGGTTCTTCTTTGCAGACATATCCCGGGACAAATCGGTACCGATTTTGCCGAACTAAGCATCTGCCAGCGTAGAGTACTCGATTCTGCGAATCGCGCCCGACGGGAATCGCGTTATCTGGAATTTTCCGATCGCTAAACAGAATTTCTCAAAAGCTCAAATTTAAGTCAAGAACTTACATTATGCGCTCCCATCTTGCAGCGTTTTCTTCGGCTCTAGAATGCGAATATGCAACGCACATTGAATTTTTTCAATTTCTCGCCTTTTTTAATTATTTTTTCTCTTTTTAAATTAAAATCTATATATTTCAAAGTGCCTCCAAAACTTGAAAATAATGATGAAAAACTAAGACCACGCCCTGCTTTCGTCATAGTTATGTAATCATAGAACTTAATTGTGAGCATTCAGCTGATTGTTTTATTACTGATGATCTGATTTGCGTCAATCTAAGGAAGCAGACCGAAAATAACTTCACATGGATAAAAATGAACTTGGAGCAGTGGTTTTTGCAATCAGGAAATTTCTTCGGCGTCTTGAATGAATCGAGTTTCTTCGATTTGATTTGAATATCGATACTGGAAAATATAGTGAATTGAGGTGTAGGCTATGGTTTTTAAAATACTTACCGAACTGGTCCTAGTTGTCGCAGGCGAAGCTGGAACTAAGGGAGCAAACTCATTCTTCTTATAAACCGGGGAAAATCCGAGTGTCACTGCCCAGAAATTCACGATCATCGAGCATTTGCACTGGAAAATAATCGCCGTCGCCACAAACAACCCACAGAAAACGCTGAATAAAAAGCCAAACAGTCCAATAAGGATATCTCCAGTACTGATATTCCAAGTATATTGCATGAAAATTGGATCAAATGGACTCGATATTGTTGCTTTTTTTTCTATCGCTTCTCGAAATAGTAAAGAATTTTTACATTTGTTTAACACATTTCGCGTGTTTGAACAAGCTGGATACAGTCTTTCCGTTTCGCCGAATTACGCTTGCGTTGACAAAAGCCAAAAAAAGTGGCATATGCTAACTATAGGTTAAATAAGCAATTTGGCCATTGCGACATTTTCGGGTTTTTATTCGGCTCGAAAATCTGCGCAGGAATCCTGAGTCAGGGTTTGAGAGACCAGCGATTTTTCGTTCCAGCATTTTTAGACCCTGACTCAGGTTCTCTGCACAGGTTGCCGAAACCAGTCCTTGAAATCAAGGAAGAAAGACCATTAAACACTCCTGTTCCCTTTTCAACCCCTTGTTAATATTTACAGAACCACAGTCAGGCAAAGAAGAAGACCTGCGTGCCCAAGTCAAATTAACCGCTGACCTTATTTGTCCACCTCTTTTGACCGAAGAACTCATTAACGGCTTTACAGACTCGCTGCTTCGATGATTTTTTTTCATTCTTTAGAAGTCAAAAAGCGCGCTGCTTCCCTCCATTGGTCCTATTTTTTCAATTTCAGTTTTCCAAAGAGAGAAACTTTAACGCGAGAAACGTATTTACACAGTTTCTGCGTTTTTGTGTGTTAATAAATAGCTAACATTGCGTGCGGATGAGGACACGCCTCTCACAGAGATAGAAAAAAACACTTCTACTTCGTAAGTACAGTGATTTATTTTTTACGATTTTATGTACAAACAGTAATTAGGGAGAGGGTGACTTATTTTGACAATTTTTTCTAGAGATATCGGGTTAAATTTTGACCCGAAAAGAGATTTTATTAGATCCATTTTTTTCATCAATATTTTATGATAAAATTAAGGCCCTTTTTTCGCCCTGAGGGCCTTCATAAGATCAATTTAATAAATCCCAATCATCTCTAGTTTCCCTTAGCTTTTGAATTTTTCAATAAAAGAGAGGGTATTTCTAGAGCTATTATGGATAAAACCCCCCTCACCCTCGAAAAGCAAAATAGAATTCTTCAAAAAATGGGTTTTAAATCTTGTAAAAAGGGTCAAAAATCAACCTTTCCCCAACGAGCACAGCATGCAACGCCCTTTGACCCCGAAAAGGTGATAAAAAGTTAAAGCTCTTAAATTGTTATTTATTTCTAGAGAGGGTCTTCCAAGTTCAAACTTGTATTTTCATTTCAGAATAAATGAGCAAAAGAGTGATTCAGAGAGCCATGGCCGCAAGTACAGATGCTGAATGGGCTGCTAAACTGGCCAGGATCAACAAATCCAAGGATGTCTTCAAGTCCGGTGTTACTCGGAGCTGGGAATGGAGGGAGACGCAACTGAAGCAGTTTTTAAAGTTTTTGGGTAAGCAATAAAACTGGGTGACCTTTAGAGCAAATATTTTCTTGGTCAAAGATCACGATTCATTTCATAACTTCGACTATCATATGATCGGGAATTTTCAGACAATGAAAAACAAGCAATTTTTGACGCGATCAAAGCCGATCTTGGTCGACCGCATTTGGAGCTGACTATCGAATGGATGAACATGAAAAATGCAGTCAACTTCATGCTCAAAAACGGCAAAAGCATGATGAAGGACGAGAAGGTTTCTGGAGGCATGATGAACATGACGAACAGTTTGTACAGACATCCAGAACCGCTGGGAACTGTATTGATCATGGGAGCATGGAACTATCCTTTTGACTTGTGCTTGAATCCTCTTGTCGGCGCTATCGGTAAGGTTTTGGGGGAAAACTGGTTGAAGACCATTATAGGCGCTGGTTGTACGGCGATAGTAAAGCCATCAGAAGTAGCGAAGTCTTCATCGAAAATGATCTATGATGTTCTCCCGAAATACCTCGACCCTGATGCATTCCCTGTCTTTGTTGAAGGCCCAGAGGGTGCGACCAAAATGCTGAAAGAGAGATACGACTTGATTTTCTTCACAGGAGGAACCAAAATTGGAAAGATTGTTTACAAAGCCGCTGCTGAGCATCTGACTGTATGTTTGTCCCCTACTTTCCGTATCTATTCATTTTAGCCTTGCGTCCTGGAACTTGGCGGACAGAACCCATGCTGGGTCGATGACGGTTACGACCTGAACCTCGCTGCGAAGAGAATTCTTTTTGGCAAGGTCATCAATTCTGGTCAAATTTGCATTGCTCCCAACTATTTGCTCTGCACCAAATCTACCAGGTGAGTTGGTTTTCTTCTAGAACTTTCTCAAGAATGCTCTAGGGATCGATTGGTGCCGGAACTGAAGAAAATCTTTTCGGAGTTTTATCCCGAAGGACCGAAGATTTCGGACTGCTACAGCGGAAAGATGGTGACGGAGAGGCATTACAAGCGTCTTGTTGGCCTCCTCGGTAATTTCAATCCAATTTGCTATTTTTGACTATTGTTTTAGGAAAGACGAAGGGAAAAGTCGTCCACGGAGGAAATTTTGACGAGAAGACATGCTTCATCGAGCCGACTGTTGTCACCGATGTCACAATGGACGACATTTTGATGGAAGAAGAGCTCTTTGGCCCCATCCTACCAATCGTCACTGTTGATAACTTTGACGATGCCCTCTCTAAAGTCCATTCCCTTGAAAAACCTCTTGCTGCTTATTGCTTCGGTAAAGTTTTATTATAAAGGAGGGGTTTGATTCTTGCGTAGCTCACGATAAGAAGATCATCAATCGCTGGGTTAGCGAAGTTAGCTCCGGTGGCATGTGCATCAACGACACCATCATGCATATTTCTCCGGAAACTCTTCCATTTGGCGGCGTTGGAGAGTCTGGTATTGGCGCTTATCACGGAAAAGCCTCGTTCCATACTTTCTCGGTCGGTGGTTTTTGAAATTTTCTACTCTTACTTGAGCATTTTAAGCATTACAAGAGTGTTATGGATGTTGGAACACCTCAATTCCTGCTCAAGCGACGCTCAGCGCCTTATTCTAATGATCCTGCAAATTCTTCTCAGTTCGAATGGCTGCTCAAGCAATAAATATCTATCCAAGATCTTTCCCAACAGAAAATGAAGAATTCATGTTATTATTTATTTACAGAAAGTTGAGATGTTAGTACTGTACAATTTTCTTTCACATTTGTTAGTATCGGCCTTTGCCGTGAGTTATTAAGCTGTACAAAGATTTGGTTGAGAAACTTTCTAGCTCATGATATCCATCATATTTGCTGGATCATTGACGCCAAAAAGACTTTCAGAATAGTATGCGCTTATTTCGTTTCCGAGTAGAGTTGGGATGAGAGCGTCTTGAACTTTCATGCAGTAGTCAAGGCCATGGAAGAACTCCTGCTCTGCGGGGACGTGACGGTTACTAGAAATACTTGTAGAAGAAGTAAAAGATAAAGGCGCTTACTGGAAGACAACGAAGTTGGGGCTTGTGTCCTCGATCGTATCATAAGCGAAAGGTGTGATAAACTGTCCGATGATACCAGTAGCTGCATGAGAGATACCGTCAGTGTTGACAGTTCGGAAACCCATGGAATGATTGTCATCGATAAAGACACCTTTGTCGGCCTTTTTGTGGTTTCGGTCCTTGAAGGTGACAACGAACTCGGCGACGTTTTGGATCTTGATCGTGACTCCTGCTCGATGACCAGGGTTGTCAGAGAGCTCAATATCTCCATGATTTCGGCTAAATACGAAATTACTTCTTTTAACTAAGAAATTGCTCTTACATGGAAGTATCTGCGTAAGGATAAGTACCAACAGTTTCCCCGTTATTCTGAATCACGACTCCATCTTCGTCGCATTTGATCGTATGAGTCACCCCACCGTTTGAGTACACCAAGCCTACAGCAATAAAGCGAGTGATAGCCCCTGTGGATTTGATTTCCGCATTGACCTCGAAGTTCGTGACCGGATCTGACAGAAGATCGACGAATCGCCCGTTATCACCATGGAAATTGAAGCAAATCGGCGTTCCGAATTTAGTACTGACTCGGACGTGAGGATCGCCAGAAGTCTCACCTTTTCATGAGTTTTAAAAACCTGTTCAAATTGATGATAATTTTTTTGGAAATTTCTAAACTCGTTCCTTCGCCATTATCGCCAGTGTTGTTGCTTGGTGGTGGTTGCGGAGGATTGGTCACTCCTGGAGGAAGGGTTGATGTGAAAGAATCTGAACTATTGAAGTCGTTTATTCCAATATCAGGACCAGGCGTAGTTGTTCCGCTGCCGGTGTTGTTGAAAAATTGAGCGTCAATAGTCTGGTTGTTATTCAAAGTGTTGGTGTTGTTTTTATTGAGCTGTTCTTGGAGCTCGATGAGCCACTCAAGCACGATCTTGCCGTCGAGAACAAGTCCTGAAAATAATAAGCGGAAACTCTTCATTTGTGATTTTACCTGGAGGAATGACGCAAGTGTAACTGCCCTCAATGTTGACGCAGTCAAGTGGGAAGTTTTGCTGGCAAAGATGATTTCCAGTTTCGCACTCATTCACATCAACGCATCCTGTTCCGGCGGGATTGGCTTCGAATCCAGAAAGACACTGACAGTTGAATGCTCCGAAGGTATTAACACAGGTAGCTTGGTTGCCGCAAATGAAAGGATCTTGAGAGCATTCGTTGACATCGCCACATTGGACTAGTTTTCCGCCGACGATGATTGCATTGAAGCCTTCTTGGCATTCACAGATGAAGGAACCGTCTGTGTTCGTGCAAGTTGTTCCGATGGTTGGGCAATAACCATCAACTGAGCATTCATCGATGTCCTCGCAGTCAGTTGTGTTGACGATTCGCTGGTATCCTTCGATGCATTCGCAGGTGAATGATCCGTCGTTGTTCAAGCAATTCTCGAGATCAGAGCATCCAGCATTTGGATCGTCTAGAAATAGAAAAATTATTTTTTCAAAAGAAAATCTTAATTTTACCAGCAGATCGTCGAGTCATGCCAGCCTCGTGGAAGTCTCCACCAGCTTCGGCAGCGGCAGCATCGTCCCAGTAGGTCTGAGCGGCAAGGTATTCCGGAGCGTCACATTCATCGACGTCGACGCATTCGTCCTCTGACATCCACCATCCAAGTGGGCACCAGCACTCGTGGCCTCCATCTAGAAAACTGTAAGAACCATATTTCGAGACTAGATTTTTACCGGTGTTGACACAAGAGGCGGTATTCGGGCAAGGACAATTGAAGAAATCTCGAGGATCAGAATCACATGGAATGCACTCATTCGTATCGACACATGTATCATCTCCTGTTGTTGACTTTGAGTAACCATCTTCGCATGGGCACGAAAATCCTCCGGGCTCGTTTGAGCAAACTTCGTGGTCGCCGCAATCATGAGCGTTTTCAGTGCATTCGTCGATGTCTTCACAGTCGACACCGTTTGAGGCAAAATCGTAGCCAGGGAGGCAGGTACAGACGAATCCGGGTTCTTCATTTGTGCACCAGGTGTTTGCTCCACAAGGGCAGCTTGGGCTTCCTTGGTAACAAGCTAAGAATAATTATTAGATAAAGCAAGCGCTTGGCGAGTTTTACCAATGCATTCATTCACATCGACACACTCGGTCTGATCGATGGAGTCTTGGTATCCAGAGGCACAGTTACACTCGAATGTTCCAGGCAAGTTCGTGCAGTCAGCGTTTGCCTGGCAACTTGAAGGATCAGCGCATTCATCATCATCGGTACATGTTCCGGCGACATCGGTGTAGCCGGTGATACACTGACACTCGTAAGAACCGTCGGTGTTCACGCACTTGTTGAAAGTAGGATCGGAAGCTGAGCAGGAGAATGGAAGAGTGCTCGGGTCCATGATACATTCGTCTTGATCCTGACACTGGTCAGCAACGTCGAGGTAGCCGGTATCGCAGATGCAGTCGTAAGAACCGTCGTTGTCCGAGCAAGCTAAAGGAGGAAATAGTTTCCAGAAAGATTCATAAATCTTACTTGAATGAGTCTTATTCACGCAAGGATTTGGCACCAGGTCGCACTCGTTGATATTCGTACAGGTAACTCCATCTCCAGTCCATCCCTCAGAGCACTTGCACTCGTTGCCAGGTTGTGTATTGATACATTCTCCGTTGACTGGATCACAGCCGCCATTGTCTGTCTGACATTCATTGATATCAAGACATGTCTTACCATCGCCTAGACAAATTTGAATATATAGCTCTAGAAAATAATTTACCGGAGAATCCAGCGAGACAAGCACAGGAGAAAGAACCGAAAGTGTTGGTGCAGTTTCCATTCTGGCTACATGGGCAACCAGCGCCGCCAGTGCTGCAATCAGCACATTCATCTATGTCAACACAGCTTGAGCCACCTTCAGAGACCTTGACTCCGTCTCCAGTGGTACCACTAGGGCATGAACATGTGAATCCTCCAGAAGAGTCCATACAAATAGCAGAGCTGTTAGTATCGCAATTGTGGCTGCCATCGAGACATTCGTTCTGGTTTCCACAAGCGGTTCCACCGACCTTTATAGAATAAATAAAACCATAATCTTGTTTAATTTCCTTTCTTTTAATATATTTTGATAATCCTTTAAGCTGAAATTGTAAAGTATTTGTTATCAGACGTGTCAGTTAACACCGGGAATTAATCTCATTTTCTAATAATTTTAAAAAGAGTAGCGCTTATAAAATGGTCAAACCTCGGACAGCAAAAAGCCATTTCCAGAGAAACCATCTTCGCAGCCGCAAGTGTACCAGGACTCAATGTTCGTACAAACACATCCAGCCACTCCACAGCAATTGTGATTACCACTGAGACATTCATCTTCGTCGAAGCAAAGCTCTCCATCGCCGAGGTATCCAGTCTTACAATTGCATTCGTAGGACCCTTCATTATCGGTACAAGTAGCATTTGCGCTGCAAGGATTTGTTGACGGATCGACGCATTCATCTACGTTTGTGCAAGTGACGCCATCGCCAGAGTATCCTTCGATGCATTCGCATTGGAAGCTTCCTTCTGTGTTGATACAATTCGCATTCGTGTCGCAATTGATCATCGTTGCGTTTTGGCATTCATCAATATCTCGGCAATAAACGTTGACCTTTTCAAAACCCTCGTGACAATCGCATCTGTAATCGCCCTCGGCATAAGTCAGCTCAACACAAGTGGCGTTAACCGGACAAGAGGCGATTCCAAGACTGCACTGGTCGATTTCAAAGCAAGTATTATTTCCTCGAGCAGTTCCGTTGTATCCTTCCTGGCATTCGCAAGTGTAGTTTCCTGGCAAGTTGATGCATGTTCCTCGATTGGCATCGCAATCAGGGCAGGCGTCGAAGTCAGCGCAAGAGAGAGCGTCGCACTCGTCGATATCCTCGCAATCGTAGCCATTTGCAGCTGGTTTGTAACCAGGCTCGGTACAGTTACAGAAATATGAACCGACAGTGTTCGAGCAATCGGCAAAAACACCGCAAAGATCGACAACGGAATCGCACTCGTCCATGTCGTAGCAACCATCACCGCTTGTGGCGTTGTTTGTGACATTGAGAGCATTACCAAGATATCCTTCATTACACTTGCATGCGAAGGAACCTTCGGTATTGACACATCCAGCTAGTTCATTACAGTTATGAAGTCCTTCGGTACATTCATCAGTGTCAATGCATCCAACGAAAGAAGCATTGAGTGTTCGACCGTCACCCTCAAATCCATCAACGCAGAAACACTCGAATGATCCGATATTGTTAACACAAAGAGATCTTGGATGACAATCGTTGTCTCCAGTCGCACACTCGTCAATATCGTTACAGTCGCCAGCGAATCCAGTACCATCGTATCCGGTAATACACGCGCAGTCGTACGATCCGATGCTGTTGGAGCATGTTGCGAGCCCGTCGCATTGGTGAAGATTATCAGTGCATTCATCGCAATCAGCGCATTCTGTCGCATTAAGACTAGCAGTAACATCTTTGTATCCGTCCTTGCAGAAACAGTAGTAGCTTCCCTGTGTATCAACACATTCTGCTGAGTCATCATCAGTTGGACATTGATGAGCTCCAGTGTCACACTCGTTAATGTTTGAGCAATCTGTCGAGTCAGTTCGTCCATCTCCTTCCCAGCCTGGCTGGCAAGTGCACATGTACGATCCGACGGTATTATCACAGTCGGCATTGGTGCTGCAGAAGTCGACTTGAGATCCAGCGCACTCATCGATGTCAATACAAGCGTAGTAAACAACTGTCTCATTCACAACTCCGTCGCCACCAATAGTGTAGTTGTAGTCGTCACACCAAAGTCCTTTTTGGTTATTTTCGTATTCTGCGATCTCATCAGCGTATGGAGCAAAATCAAAAGTGTCGCAGGTTTGCCCATCTGGAAGAGGGAAGAAGCCAGTGGTGCATCGGCACTGGTAGAAATACGGCTGTTCGTAGCACTCAACTGGTTCAGCTTCGAAGACAATATCAGGATGGCGAGATTGAACATCAGCCATAGACGGGCAAGTATGTTGTCCGAGGATACATTCGCGAGGGTAGTTACAGCCTGTTCCAACACCTCCAGCAATACCGTCTCCGAAGGTGTATGGGTAGTTACAAGTGCACTCGAAAGATCCCGGTGTATTCTTACAACTTGCTTGCAATCCGCATCGATTATTAGCAGCAATATCCGAGCTGTTACTGCAGTAAGGCTCTTCGAGAGTCCAAGGGAATGATTCAGTGTCCTCATGCGGATCGGTAACGCAAGTATCGACCTGTTCCTCGCACTCAGGAATATCTTCACAAATCGAGTTGGCAACTGTGACATTGTAAGTGCCGTCCGGTCGGTATCCATCTGCGCAGAGACAAGTGTAGCCGCCATAATGATTGTGGCATTCTGAGCCAGTTGTTGCATTGCAAGCATTATAACCTTGACACTCGTCGAGATCTTCACAAAGTGTTCCGTTTCCATAAACGTCTATGAACCGCCAATCATCGCACCAGCAGGAGTAAGATCCATCAGTATTGTTACAATTAGAGTCAACGTGACAGTAGGATGTGTAGTCGTCGCACTCATTGATGTCTTCGCACTGAAGATAGTTGGTGATATTGTAAACTGTACCAGCATCATCGCCCTCTTCAACATTCACAGTGAGATTGGTATGCTGAATGTATCCAGCTCCGCACTCGCAGATGTAACTTCCTTCAGTATTAGTACATGTGTCTGAACCAGTAGCAGTATGAATACAAGTAGAATTGTCGTCACATTCATTGATATCAATGCAAACTTCAATGCAAGTCTCATTAGCAAGTCCTTCCCAGACGCAGTAAGTAGTGGGTTCGTAGCCATTTGCGCAGCCACACTCATAGGAACCAATATTGTTGAAGCACAGCTGGTTCGGCTGACCACACATGTTATATTTACACTCATCGATGTCGTAGCATTTCTTGTCATATCCGCCGTTCGGATTCTTTTCGCCAGTTCTTGGAGGATATTCTCCGAAGAGGGGATTGTCGAAAGTGTTGAAATCAGCTGTGTAAAATCCTTCGGGGCAAGTGCAGTAGTATGAACCAGTTGTATCAGTACACGTGACATTGTCACCGGTAAGAATGCCAGTCAATGTCCAGCCGACACCACATTCTGATTGGCCGTTGAGACATTCGTTGTAGTTGACGCACATAGGGCCACAAAGAGTGCATGATCCATTGACAGCTTCGTCCCAGTCATCACAAAGAGTACAATTGGCAAGAGGAAGTGCTTCAAGACGTTGATGGTTCGCGTAGCTTCCGACAAAATCCCATCCTTCGTTACATCCGCAAATGTAACTACCGGCCGTGTTCACGCATTGAACGCAATCGATACCTCTGGTGCAGTTAGGATTCGCTCCTTCGCAGGTGTACATGAGTCCTTCATCCGAGCACTCGTTGTTGTCTCCACAACCTCCGCTAGCAGTGTTTCCGTAACCTTCTCGGCAACTGCAGTAAAAACTTCCTATTGTGTTTCCACAGCCATCAGCATTGTTTAAATCACAGAAGTAGGATCCGTATTTGTCAAAGTCGCACTCGTTTCTATCTGAACAAGTGAAAGCATATTGTTCTTCATGAGGAGCGAATTCGCTGAAAGGTGGAAGGTCTGAGTTCGTCTCATTCACGATGAAACCCTCTGGGCAGCTGCAAGTGTAAGGAACTTGTTGATAGGCATCAGTTCCAGCAACCGGGTCAGCTTCGAAATAGTAAGGATAAGCATCAGTGCAGATTGCATAATCGCCACAAATGTCAGCCCATGTACTGTTATCTGGCTGAGCACATTCATCGACATTTTCACAAATTTGATACTCAAAGCCGTCAACATCCGTGGCATTCAAACCAGGTCTGCATTCACAGTGATAAGTGACCAAATCTCCAGCGATCAGCTTGAGGTAGTCCATGATGTCGTTAACACAAGCAGCGTTAGGGTCACAGACAAAAGTAAGCTCAGTGCACTCGTCGATATCTTCACATTCATCGGAGACAGTTTGGTTGATGTATCGAGTTCCCGGAGCGCATTCACAGACGAAAGATCCCGGAGTGTTCGTGCAAACATTGAGTTTTTCTGCTGGACAGGCATCTCGTTCAGCATCGCACTCGTCAGCATCAACGCAAATTGTTCCGTCGCCAATGATGATAGAGCCGTTGACCATTGGAATGTAGGTTGAGTTCTCGTTGACAAGAACACCGTTATCGATTCGATCCCAAGCACCTTGTTCAGTTTCTGATCCCTCATCGTAGAATCCCATCGCACAGGAGCAATAATAACCAGGGAAGGTATTCGCGCAAACAGTATTTGGTCCACAAGAATCTGGCCGAGTACATTCATCATCGTCGATGCAGCTTACGGGGTTTCCGTCAGCATCAAGGGCCGAAGGAGCAAGCCATTGATCACAAATGCACTCGTACGAGCCAATGGTGTTTGAACAACCAGAATCGATGACGCATTCGAAAAGTGTTGGGTCGTCGCACTCGTTGATGTCCCAGCAGGTATGAGAATCGGCTGTTGAGTTATCTGGAAGAGTGGCATTTGCTTCAACTTCGATGAATCCTGGACCACAGGAACAATCATATGAGCCGATGGTATCTTCACAGATTCCAACTGGATCGCATGTTGCTTCACCAGTCTCGCACTCGTCGACGTTACAGTCTTCAACAAGAGATGGATCCTGGCAATCTGGTGGATCAGCAAATTGGTTAAAAAGAGTTCCTGGAGGACAGCTTTCCATGACAATGGTTCCAGCATCACAGTACTCGTAGGTCGTACAGTCAACTTTCCATTTAGGAGAAGAGATATTCTCCATGCCAAAAGCATTGCAGCCGACTTCTTTGAAATCGATTTCACAGAGAGCCGGGAGTTTTCGATCGCAGTTAGCTTCGTTCCAGTAAAATTCGTTGCCAAAAGTGACAGATGGATCGGCCAGAATCTTGTACATCATGCAGTGGGGCTGTGGAGAGTCATTTGGAGAAAAACCTGTGTAGGTGTAGACGGGGATATCAGGGCAGTTACTATCACATTGAGCACAATCCGGACAATCATCCCAAAAACCAGCTGAGGGCTTGTCTCGAAAATGGGTACAAAGATGGAATCCTTTGCACTGCTGTCCGAACCACATGAGCTGCTGGACACCATTGACGACTTCGATATTGGCCATCGGAGCGAACCATGATTCAGTTCCAGCCGTCGCGCCAGCAAGCACCAGATCGTTAGGTTCACCAAGAGCAGCGTCAAGAAAGTTGTTGATGTCTTGATTGTCTTGCTCAGTAAAAGGGATGGCGAGCCAGCCACCCATCGCTTGACAAGCTTCGTTAGCTCTTGCTCGGCCATATTCGTAGCCGGACAGTCGGAAGAGGATTTTACCGTTGTAGACAGTCCAAGGCATGCAGTCGGGGTAGCCAAAGTCGGCATCTTGTGTATTGCATCCGGCAGAGGTGATGCCAGAGCCGGCAAGAGCTTCTGGAATTGGAACTGGGCCGGTTCCATCATCGACCTGGACAGTTTTACTGGTAGCACTTCTACTCAAACTTCCGTCAAAATCGATAAGGGGGAATGGAGCGACATTTGAGCTGAGGTAGAGCGGTTTATAGTTGAAGCCGTCTGATTCTCTAATCGACCTGTCCGCCGAGGCCAGCGTCCCCAGCAGCAGGGTAAATTTCTCTAAATTCATCGTCCACCACTTGAGCGGTTTGGATTGAAAATGAATTCTGGATCTGAATTTCTGAAATCGCCCCAGCTTTATTCAACAATCGCCGATTCGGATGGGGTTTGCTGATTTGAGTGACATTTGAAAAAAATGTCGAAATGCAGAATTTTCCGAATTATGATTTTATTCAATACGGAGCTGGATTATTCGATCTTTTCTCGAAAATTGAAATGGGATTTTCAAGGTCAAGGAATAATGAGCGTAATTGACGTTTTAATGACTCAACTATTCAATGTCAAAAATCAAGTGACATATTTTCATTTATTTACAGTTAGCAAGGAAGTACAGTGCCATTTGTGTCTCGAATCTCACAATCAAAAATCTCGAAAGACGAAATATCGATCCCATTCCACAGAAATTCTCGACCATCATCGACGTACAAAATTGAGACCATGCAGCCAGTGCAAAGACATGCAATCGTTCCTGCAGCAAGCGCTCTCACAGCCAGTTTTGCGAAAGTAGGAGCTCTTTTTGGGGCGAGAGAGCTCATGGCACCAATCATGATTCCGACAGAGGCGAAGTTTGAGAAGCCGCAAAGGGCGTAAGTGACCAAGGCTTCGGAGCGTTGATTGAGCCATTGAACTTGGCCGGAATCAGAGCATTTGCAAGCGCCTTTGATTGGTTTGAAAAACTGGATTAATAAATTATTGAATTAAATTTAACCAATGCCTGATTCTCTGAGTTTGATCATCTCCGAAAGGTCCAAAAATGCTATAAATTCATTGAAAAACGTCTTTGTTCCGACCAATCTAGCTGAAGCAATTGCATCTCCGGGCTCGATTCCCATCACGATTACGAATGGATAAAAGATGTAGCCAAGAAGTCCCGAAAAGCTCCATCCTGGTTGATCAACCGAGTTTCCAAGCCAGGCCAAAATATCATCGAGTAAATTTTGAATCGCCACAAATCCGAGAAGATTTGCCGCGACGTTCATAACGACCATGATTGCATCTGAAATTCCACGAGAAGCAGCTTCGATGACATTTCCAGCGTCGAGTTTTTCACTTTCCGCCACTTTTCCTCCCGCATATCTAGAGACCTGCACTTCCGGGTGCATTATCTTCGCGATGGCCAAGGCTGCCGGCGCGCTCATGACTGTAGCTGTCAGTAAATGAGCGGCAGAAATCCCCAGTGCGATGTATCCGCCGAGAACGGATCCAGCAATGCTGGCAAAACCGGCCGTCATGACGGCGAAAATTTCCGCGTTTGTGAGGTTTTCAATGTGCGGCTTGATCAAAAGTGGCGACTCCGTCATTGACAAGAACATGTTCCCTACTGTCGTCATACTTTCCGGTCCAGTTGTCCCGAAGAAATAGGAGAAGAGCCATGCGAGTTTTTTGATAATGTACTGTAAGAAACCGACGTAGTAGAGCATGCTCGTGACCATGGAGAAAAAGATGATGATCGGTAGCACTGCGAAGGCAAAGTTGTCGGTTGGAAAGGATTCTCCAAAGAGAAAATCGACCCCAAAAGCAGCGTAGGAAACGAACTTCGAAATGATTTCTCCTAGCCACTCGAATGCTGCGTAGCCCCATTCTGTGTGGAGAACGATGACTGCGGCGATATACTGCGAGCTTGATAAATGCGAATTTATACAGTCGCTTGATATTTTCCTCGAGTCATGATATTAGTCGCCTTCCTACAATCTTTTCCTACTAAATAAGAGCTCGTTCCTGAGTTCCGATGCCCCAGAAAACTGGCCGCCATCGGATTCTATGAGGCGCAACGGACAGGATGATCGATAGAAGAATATATGAAACCAGGCCCGTGATGCCGATCAAGTTTTGAGGGTTCATTCCGCTCTTGCCAAAAGCAGTCTAGAATGAAATTGATCAAAATGGCAAGCTGAAATGACCTACCCAAAGAGCATAAGCAACCGCAAAGCATAAAAATAATCCACCAAATATCCAGTTGCCTAACTAGAAAAGGGTTCAAAACGCATTCTAATGAAATTTACCAAAGAAGCCTATTTTGAACCTGAGTCTTTTTCTGGAATGAACTCAGCTGTGGGCCTTTGTAATTGTTCTTAGAGTCCAACCAGTCCCAGCCTTTGAAAAGACCGACCAGGACTCCCAGGGTGAGGAAAACAACTCCATGCGAAGTGAAGTTTCTGACCATCGCGAAAATCGCGAAAATGAGGAGCCCGATGGCAAAAAGAATCCCCAAATACAGCGGGATCCGAGGATGGGAATGATAGAGCTGTCGAATCTTCATGAATGGCCAGTAAATCACTGCAAGAGATTTTCCTTCTTTCAAGAAAAATCATCTGAGAGAAAAATCCCCTTTCCTAAGCCAAAGCTCCAAGTAGTACAGTGCTCCAAATCCTTGGCCAAACTGTACTCGAAGTTTTCAAAGTCATCTTCTGCTCCTTTCTCTGCCACTTCATCTTCTATGTTTTCTTCGGAAGAACTCTGAATCAATTCGTGTATCTCAATTGAATACGGCAAAATTGGTTTCATTCGTGATTTTTGAATTTATTTAAAATGACGAATCCCGGATGATAAAATCGGAGGCTTTTGTTTTCAACAAAAGATACAATTTGTTAGAGCATTTTTCTTACCTTTTTATTTTCAACACCAAAGTCGGTTTCTTCCATTTCTCTACTAGCAGCTTCAATTTTAGTCATATTCGACCAAAATAAAAGAAAAGTGCGTTTGGAATGTTCTTTTCCGGGTTTTTGTCTTTATAGTTTGCTCTATTTGCTCCTGAAGCTCTTTACAAATCTTTATACATATTCAGCGGTCGAGTATTTTTTTGGAACTTTTCTATTTTTCAAACCTATTCAAGCAAAAAGCTCAACCCCCTGCAGCGGTTTTTAAAAATCATTGATCAGGTGGCTTTTCTCAAGATCAGACATTTTCTTGCCCTGCGGTGAGACTTATAAATAGACTTAATTCTTGAGTCTTTATTTAAAATTGTAAGATTCAATGCAATAAAAGGTTGAAAAAATAAGTGTCAGATAAGAGCAGGTGGGTTAAAGCATTTTTTCTTTAAATATTACCTGTTTTGGTAGGTTATTTTGTGTTCAGTAAGTTTGAAAGTGAGTTTTTTTCCATGTGTTTAGCTGCAAAAATGATAGTTTTTTTTAACAAGTTTTATAAACAGTTGCTTTTATAAATAAGTGATAGGATTGAAAATTGATAATATTCAGGCCCCAATATTCGCATCAGTTTTGAGTGCCATAAAGGGAGATAGGAAGGCTGGGTTCTGGTGAAGTGTCAGGTTTCGAGTCACTTTTCTTGCGGTAGTCTGATAGGGAAATCTTCTTCCTTGTTGGGGTGTTGCCGGAGAGCCCGGCCAGGGGGTGATCTGATCTTGAAGTAGCGGGGCTGAGAATTTTGTGAGGAAAAATGAGTAAAAATTGGAGTACCTTTGATTGGAGATAGATCGTCTTCTGGGATCCATGGGAGCGGATGTTTTTGGGCTTTGCTGTTTGTTCAGCATCGGCAGAGCTAGAATAGATCGATGAAAAAAAATAACTTTCGATGAAGGACTTACGGGCAAGATTGGGAAGTTTTGGTTTCTCCGTCACAACATCTTTGATGATATCATTGGGCATTTGATAGGGCACGCCATTGATAGTAAACGTCACTCGGAAATCAACGAGGTCGATCAGGTCAGGAATCGGCAATTCTGATGGTGGTGTTGCTGGAGGTGGCAGGTGGGGGCGAGGATCTTGAGCTTCTCGAGAAACTGCTGTTGGGATGTGACAAGTTTCGAGCCGAGGCTCGGGCATTGATGGTCGACGATAGGGTCTGCTTGGAACGCCCTGATGTAGAAGAGTTAGTGGGGCAGAAAGAAAATTAATTTACCTCGATGGCATCTCGAACATGATGATTCCGAGGCTTTGGAACATACGGCTCGTCATAATTTTCTATCAGATCTCTTTGCGCTTCATCAAGTCGTGCTCCACTATAAAGAATTTATTTAAGTTCGAAGGATGTAAACATTCAAAAAACACAACACTTACACTGTAGGGGGAGAGTACTGTCTTCCGAATTTCGGTTTCTTTGGTTCGTCGAAAGGATCATCATCAAGAGTCGGTGTCCTGTTTCCTCCAGGAGGCGAGTAGCTATCCCTACGTCTTGGGGAATACCGCGGGCTTCTCCTGTCTCGATCATCCCTCGAGTCGTAGGAATCATAATTTGGCCATCGTCTCTCTTCCCTCGGTCGATATGGCTTCGGACTTGGCGACCTCGAAGGCGGTCTCGCCCAGCTTGGAGTTGTGAAGCCATACTTTTCTCGCTCATCACGATCGGATCTTCTTTCATTCTTCCACCCTCCACTTCTTTCTGGAGATCTCGATCTGGATCTCGAGTAGCGGCCACGATATCGGTCAGGTGAATGTTCTCGGCCATAGCGATCAATACGATCTTGCTCTTCTTGAAGCTTGACAATTGGATTGAAGCTTCTATCGTCCATATCTCGTCTAAGAAATGGCGGAGGAGTAAGTCGATCTCGCGGATCCATTCCATATCTTCTTCGTTCTTCCTCTTCGTCATCAGTTGCTCCGAGAGGTTTTCTGATCGGAGGGAAGTTGTAAGAGTTATGGCGAGGAGGAGAGCGATCATCATATCCTCTCGGCGATCCAAGAGGTTTGATAGGACCAGGGCCAGTAGGAGAATATCTGCTGGGCAATCCACGATCGCCAGTCATTGGAACAGGCTCAGTTTTGTTGTGCCATTCGTACATGATCCAGCCGATTGAATCGGCATCGACCACGTCTGGCTGAGGCGTTCCAACTTCATGCGAGGTCTCATCGTTGATATCAACCTCTTCGCCGATCGAAATTCCCAAAACGTTTCGCATGACGTTCTCTGCTTTTGTATGCGCTTCTTGAGTCAAATACGGCTCGTAGTCCATCACAGTCGGCCAAGTTTCACCAGGCAAAGGGACAAGAGGACGAACAGGCGTATCAACCTTTCCAATGAACTTCTCACAAACCAACTCGCCGGGAGGCGTCGGCAGAAGAGGAACACCTGGTGGTGGTTTTGGCAAAGCCTCAACTCCGCGGTCTTTGATGAACTCAAGCTCAAGTGAATCATCGGCGAGGAAATAGTCGGACTTGAGCTTTTCGATAATGTTTGCGGTGATAGCGGTTAATTCATCATGAGAAAAGAGGCACTAGAATTTGATTCTAACAAAGAAAAGAGTGAAAGAGACTTACGTTTTTCTTCTGGCATGTTTTGGAGATATGGTAGTATTTGCAAGGGTAATTTTTATGCATGTAGTGGCAGCGTTCTCCCTAATTATAAGATGTTATCGATGGGTTTCTAAAGGACAAATTTACCTTCAGACATGTTCCGGCAATATAATATTTACAGAGCTCGTATTTCCTCAAATTCTCCTCCTTCTGACTTCCCTTCTTGTCGTTTTTGTCACTTTTCTTGTAGTCATCCTTTCTCGCCGGCCATGGAGACTTCTGCCTTCCCCGGTCTCGCCTATCGTATCCTCCTTTTGTTCGATGATCAATTAGTCGGATGCCCTTGTCTTTCATTTCTTTCCTTGGCTTGAAGCGCGATGGAGATCTTCGTCGCTCGTCGATGATGATAGGTCTGTCGTCGTTGAAGATAGTGTCAGGGTTGCGGAGTCCATTGGCATTTTGAATTTCTCCATCAGAGGCTTCATCGGAATGATCTAGAAAATGTAATAGGGAAAACTTGAAAGATTCTCTTTACCATTCGAATTCTCATTGAATCTAGAACGAAAAGCGGATTCATTTGCAGCGCCCCCTTCGTCGTCCGAGAAATCCGACTGTTCAGTCCTCCCTTTCGGCGGGTTGTCATGATCGTAGTATTTTTCCCCGTAGTTTGAATAGCTCTTCTTCTTTTTCTTCGCATTTGCCTGATTTGGCCCGTCCTTGATTCGTTCGTACTAAAAAGGGATTTGCTTGAGCGATCATGGAAGAGAATGGGTTGCTACCGAGTCATTTGGGTAAAAGAAACTCTTTGGGGCCCAGATGTTATTAGAGTTCCGTCTCTTTCTATATCTATCCTCCATTAGATCAGTTGATAGTTTCATTGTAATGAGTTTTTGGAGGAAGAAAATATCGAATCAAGAAAAAAATTTCCTTCCATCTAGAGAATTTGGAGCTTACCTTGCTGAGTTCTTTCAAAAACTCGTCGCCTTCTTCAGATGCATTTCGTTTTCTTCTTTTCTTGCTTCTATCTTTTCCGAACTTTCCCCGCTTCGCAATCGGTTCTGGCTCGACGGAATCATTCATTTGGGGCTGAATTCCAAAAGGTCCGCTGACTGGTCGATCGTCGCGCTCAGTTCTGACGTACGAGCGGTAGAGCTCCTCTCTTTCGTCGATTCGGATGATTCCGTCTTCGTGGTTTCCTTGCTGGTCGTCGTTTCCATTCTGGTGATTGTGCTTGGTATGCTCTGGTGTCAGGGGACGAGGAGGGTTGGCGATTCGATCGGATTTCGCGGGAGGCTGGTAATCCGAGTATGGATCCATCGCCATGTCATCGTCGAACTCATCTGGATCTTCTTGAGCTTCTGGCTTTTGGATGTCTTAGATTTGGCGTCAAAAATGGATTCTAGCGCGGGTGGGTTTAAAAATTTAAGCCGCGGAGAGCACGAGTCCTTGGGGAGGAAAAAAAGAGCTTGGGGTAATGTGATAAATAACGAAGAATACGTACCGTTTCCCATGATTTGGATATTGGAGGGTCTCTACTTTTCTAGTTTCTAGTATTCGCTGGAATGGCATTTAGAATTTAGATTATGGCACAACCGGTAGTTGGCAAGGCGACGTGGCCAACTGGTATTATGGGTACAAATGATTTATGGTAAAAATGATGATATTTTCGCCCCAAGGCATTGTTGAAATCAACGAGGACAATCGAAAGAGTCCAAATTTACGAATGTCTATAATTTACTACCTATTATCCCGGGCTCGGCAAACTGCGTAGAACACCTGAGTCAGATTATAAAGAGCTAGAAGAATAAGCCGCGTACCAGCTTTTTTAAAAAAAACGAAGCCGCAAATCTTCGCCAGTTCGAAGAAATATTTGAATGGCTATTTTGCGAAGCCGCTTTGCGGCTTCTTTTTTAAAAGGCCGCAACTTTTAGGCCCTGACTCAGGTTTTCAACGCAGATTGCATTTATCTACCTTCGATCCTGTCAATTATTCAAGCTCAAAATCGACTATGAATGATTGACATTTCAAAAAAGGAAACAACAAATTGTCTATTATCGACTCTAAAAACAATAAGCCAACAAGACCCGATCCACGAATCAATCTCTCTCTATGTATCTTCGTTATTTTATCACTTACCTTACCAAACTGATCGACCAACTGATCGATTGGAAATCAAGGAAGATTTCTTCTTTGAGTCAGATTTTCGATGAACTCATTTTTTCTTCAAAATCTCGGAAATGGGAAAAGATCTCAAATGTTTTTTTTTTGTTTACACAACTGTTTGAATTGCACCATCGAATTTTTTGATTTTTCGTAGGTTGAGTCATCAAATCAAAAATTGACAATTAATTTTGTCAACCAAGTGACCATTGACCAACCAAAACCAATCGATCCAGCAAGAACTCTAGAATGGACTGTACCGTACTGGATGGTACAGTAAGGCCAGTATGATGGGTTTTTCTCGGTATGGTAAATTTTCAAAATCGCGCAATCGACAACATCATCATTTCGACTCGTGCTCTCGCGCGCCATCACGTCACCACACGTGTCAAAAAAGAAACGAAACGCTTTCGACTCGAAAATGGGGAATTTCAAAAACGACAGGAGGAATTATCATAATCGCTTTTCTCTCTTTCTGAATTTAATTACAACTTATGGAATGATTCTCTAGTGTAATCTAATGGGTACTTTTTGAGGCCAATTTCCTTTAGTTTTAGGCTGGCGACTCGAAAATAAAGCATAAGAGGGTTGTACTGCCTCCGAAACGTCATTATTCTCATCCCCAGATGGCAATTCCCCATCAGAGAGCTCTCCATCCTCTGTAGCACTCATGATTTGCCTAAAAAGCCAAGGGTAAGGAAAAAGAGCTTTTTTTCGAAAAAAGGGGGACACCCTTAAGAAAAGTAAAGCTCCTTACAAAAATAATCTTAAAGAAAGAAGGTTCTTCTGCTAAATCTGAATCTTTTTCTGGATAGTGTGGATTTGTGTGTGTGATATTTCGCGAATTGGAGAGGCTCCGAAGTGAAATGAGCGCTCCTGGTTTCAGTGTGTGTGTGTGACTGGCCTCGGCCACGAGCAGCAGCAGCCCTCGCGGGTCGCCCCTCTCCAGGGCCAACGAGCCAGCTCGAAATATGACGCGCCGGTTGTGGGGGAGACACCTACGCACCAGATACAATCGATCCACCATCCACAACGCAAACACGCTAACACACAATGAAACTTTTCGCGCCAAGGGTTGCCACGCTTTTTGTTTCTTTCAAACTGCGTGGCAACCCTTGGCGGCTCACTTTTCAGGATTTATTTCTGAGTTTTCGGATAGTCTGTTTGAAATGAGTCATTTTTAATATTTCAAATAAGGCTATTTCGGTGTCAAATTTATTATCACTAAAAATATTTTTGGCTTATGATTTTTTACTGAAATAATTATTAATAATTGAATTTTTGCCACTCAAATAGTCTGATCTGAAATGATAAAAACATTGTTTTAAAATATATTATTTATTATTTATTATTTATAAATAAATTATTTATTTCGAATGATCTGTTCAAAAATTCAGAATCAAAACCTGATAATTGGAAATTTAACATGAAAAATTTAGATAACAATAGTTAACAAAATTTGTAATTAGTTAATAATTTTATAAATAGTAATAAATAAACATGTGGTTAAGTTTTTTTTATTTTTGAAAGCAAGTAAAAACATTGCTACAGTATCTTTGCTTAGCGAAGTGCATGCCAAAAATGCCCTTGATACAGAATTGTCAATACTGTATCGACCTTGAGTCACTGTACAAATTGAGCGCGATGCATGTAGGAATGAGCAACGGAAAGACGCAAAATCAATGCATCTATGGTGGAAACCTATATTTACTTGTCCTATTATTTTCCTATCGCCATGTATAAAATCTGATTCTTGAATCAAGTCGATCAGATTTCATAAGAATCGACAATCGAAAAATCAAGAAATGCACTTTTACGAAGCAGCCGAAGCCGACCCAAGATACTCCTCCTGCTATCGGTCCTCCTACTGGATCAGCGAGATCATGATGTGGGTTATCTTTGGACTCGTTTTCGTCGTGACAATCTGTCTTCCTCAAAGCGCAAGCTTTCAAATAGGACTCTCAAGAAGCCGCACTGCTAGCGCTCAGTTGGGCGCCATCGGATTTTTCGAATTCGCCGCCGCTCTGACCTTCTGCATCGGATACTACTGGATCGGCTGGTGGGACAACTACGCTCACGTGATCGCCTGGTTCTTGATCGGATTCGTCGGAATCATTTCCTTTGTCAGCTTCGTCGATCACGTCAAAGTCACCTTCTCCACCAGCTCGTTGATTACTGTTTATGCTGCTGAAGGATCCTACCAAGGAGCACCTGCTCCAACGATTCCTCAATCGAATGAGAAAACTGCTCCTCCTCCACAGACAAATCTGGTCATTCCAACTGAGGCGAGTGAGTTGGTGAATCTTCAAGCTGAGAGATCAATGGCAATATGGATGACTGTGATTATGTTTTTGATCATGTCAGCAAGCATCGTTTACATGTATTTTATTTTCAATTGTGCCTGGAATATTGTTCTGAGCTGATCTCAACTTCATTTCTAAAAATTCTCTTAGAAGAAATCAATAAATTATTCACCAAAAGACTTTTTTCTCTCATTTAGATATCCGGCAATAATTCATGTCATTAACCAGGAAGTGGACAAATAGGATCCTTTGAAATGTTTATACGCGGCTTCAAGTTGAAAGAATCATGAAAGTTTGGGCCTTTGATCCAGAAGGTATATAAATGAATTGAATCTGCAGATTAGCTTCATATTGTTTGAGGAAGAGACTGATATTCAAGAGTATTGATTTAGAAAGTCATTTTCGAAATGAGCATAAAAAATGAAATAAAAAAGGCATACGCTTTTGTTGCAGTAATTGCAAGGATTTGTCTTTATATTCTTGATGTTGGGTAGGTTCTTTAAGCAATCCATTATTATAAACTTTCAAAAGCTCTGATATTTTCCTGGCGATAAACTACTTAATCAATGAAGACTATAACTGGGCAGCCTTGACGCTTGGGATCGTTCTATTTGCTGGTACATTATCAGCATATCTTTCTTTTACGTCGGAAAAACTATCGAATGATCGAAAATCACCAATTTTTATTATCATGCATATCTTTTTATTGGGGCCAGTTTATCACTTTTGGAAACGACGGAATACAGATGATCTTTCTTTACAAAAAGAAATGATTAAAATAAGATTTGTTGAAGCTGCTCTTGAATCGGCTCCTCAGGTTTTTAAAATCAAAAATCATTTTTTTTTTATTTTCTTGAAGATTTTGCTACAAATTTATATTGGAATATCTGAGTGGTCAGATATTGATCCCATAAATATATATGCTGTTTATTCTGCTTTCCTCTCGCTTCTTTCATTTTCTTGGTCGATAACGTCGCAAAAGAAAACCTTGCAGTATGACGGCGAGCTCAATATTTTTCGGGTCGCATTCTTATTCATTATGGTAAAAACATAATAATTGTTATTAATTAACAAACACATCTTTAGTTTTCTTTTCAAATACTTACGAAAGTTATTGTTTTGGTGCTGTATATCGCTCTCATAGGAATTACAGCAGTTAATTATTATGATCATATTGCGGAAATCTCAACTGAACCACGGAGTGTTATATATGAAAACGGTCTCTCCGAGCGGACACTAGTTCTTATTTTCTTCGGACTTCCTATGCTCGCACATTGTTTTGCAATTTGGCTTTTTGAAGAAAGAAAATCAAAGAAGGATTTGCTTCTTTCAACAACAAAGATCATTTTCTATGATTTGGACCAGGGCTGGCAAATTAGGGTCCTAACAGCCGCACTACCGAAAAATTGTTAGGGTTCTAACTCAAAATTAGTGCGAATTAGTGCGGCATCCCCGTCCTACCCGTCCTATTTTTTTCCTTGATATTTTTTCGTCTATTAGGACTGAATCGCCGCCCTAACCGTACTAATTATGAGGCTCTTTTTCATCATCCAATCGGCGCGCGCTTACCACCAGGCGCGGAGGACAAATTGGTGGAAGATTGAAAAAAGAATGGAGCTGATTGGATGAGAAAAACGAATGACCCGCCATGATTGGCGCACCAATAAGCGCGCGCCTCTTTTAGGACGATTTTAGTGCGGCTTTTTCCAACTCGTACTAACCGCACTAAAAAGTTATAAAATGAGAGTTAGGGTTCTAACAATAGGGTTCTAACTCAAATTAGTGCGGCTGGCGGGACCCTAATTTGCCAGCCCTGATTTGGACGATGAGTCTCGAATATTTGTATGTATAAAACTACATCATTTGATATTGAATAATTCAGGGAGCGATCAATACAATTATCCATCAAATCCAGTATGCTCTGTGCGTTTTGCTTATTTGGTACAGTTTTCAGGGATATAGCTATTTTAAATATCCTCTATACATAATTGGAGTTGCTTTTCTTCTTAATTTCTTTTGGATCTGTTTTATCGCCCCACGGTCGAGAAGAAAATCGCTTGCCGACGGAAATCCCTATGAATACCGATAGCGCGAATCCCATTTTGCTCAATAAAATATCTACTGCGAAGAGTATTTCTCCTTTGTTGAATAAATATGAAGTGCTTTATTTGTCAGTTTTGTATTTACAGCAGCTGCAGAAAGCTATTCTTTCGTATCTTCAGCATTTTCTTGGAAGGCAGGATTCATCTGACCCATGTAGGTTGCATCTTCCTCCTCTTCATCTTTTCCGTACGTGATCGGGTTCGAAACACTTGCTTGTGGCACTGAAAAAGAAATAAAATCGATAACAGTTTCTCATTTCTTACCAAGAGGTGCACTGCTCTTGTTCTTTCCAGAGAAATATGCAATCGTGCCAGCAATGATGATCGAGCAAATGACGCCAAAGACGATCCCAAAAATTGCTCCTCCACTTAGACCGCCACCACTTGGTTCAGTTGTTCCAGTTGATCCAGGGACTGTGACAGTAATTGTAACCGTCGATGGGCCTTAAGGCTTGTTGAAGACTTCGATTTTACTCATTTTTACCTGTTGGTTTTTTGCAGCATCTCCGATCATCTGGACCACCGCACTCTTCATTGCCAAAAACACCTCCATCTCCAATCACTTGAGAGCAGCTCAACGAGTCGAAAATACACTGGCCTTGTGCAAGAAGACACTCGCCATCATCAGCTTGCCATTGATCCTCTTCTTTCTGGCATTGATCTGTTTGACAGTCGAGGCAGCATCGTTTATCCTGATGATTTCAGTCTTTCGCGCTTTCTATAGAAATCGTACCTGAGGACAAATATCCGCTCCAGGTCCAATTCCTCTGTTACAGTCAATGTAATCTTTTGGCTTGCAAGTTCCACCCATTTCCAAGCACTGGAAAGTACTTTCTGGTCGGAAACACTGATCGATTTCGGGATCCCAGCAACAGCCGAATCCATCTGCGCATTCCATTTCGTCGATGTTAATAGGACCACAAAGTTGTCGATCTAAATACATAAGCGAGGACTGGTAGCGAGGTGCAGTATCTCGGCTGGCGGGGGGTGTCAGGGTTTTGTCCCGTTTCCCCTTGTTTTCGAGCTCGAATTTACCTGGTCCTGGAACAGCGCAGAAAGAGTGAATTGACCGTTTCTGGCAAACATAGGGCTTTCTTCCTGTGCAAGCAACATCATTCCAGAATCCATTAGTCCAAAGCTCGAGGCAGTACTCGTCGCCGTTTAGAGAAGGCTCTCCTTCAGCCCAGTTAGTGTACTTGAATGCTGTTTCGTCGAGCCACTGCCATCCTTAAATTTATGCTGAAGAAATGCTTGTTTTTCAAAGAAACCTGTCGGATAGACTTCTCCGTTTCCATCAGGCATGTTGATGGCTCCAAGCCAGGCATTGTCGTGTCCGATGATACTCTGCGCAAATTTATCCTCAAACTCTGAATGAATTGACATAATCGTGGCGCCGAAGATGTTGCAGTCAGCATAAGCATCACCAAATTCTTTTGGCTCGAGTCGCTCTCTTTTTTGATTTCATAAAATTTTCTATTGCAATCTTTTTTTATGAGGAGTTATGAAAGCAGTTCCTGTAGCAGTATTTTCCGTCGAGATCTTCTTCGCCCTTGTCAGTGAATAGAAGATGCCAGCCGGGTTCGCAAGAGGATTCGCCAAGGTCGGTGTCAGGATTTGGAGTGGGTACCGTTTCGATTTTGCAGATGTATGGTAAGGATGCTTTTCATTCGTTTTAAATGAAATTCCTACTTAGGGCCTAAGTTTTAGGCAGTAGAATAAAATTTATTACCAATTTACCCCGAACAGCGCACCACTACGTGTCTCGAGACATTCGATTGGCTTTAGCCAAACTCAGATTTCCAAATATCGATACTTAGGAAATTTTCGGGGTAAATGCTAAAAATCCTCGGTATTTAGTAGAGATTAGGACAGAGAGATACCCGAACTGCAATAGAGTCAATAAAATCATGCTCAGTATAATAATACTGAGCAAAATATCTATTTCTAAAGAATTTATGTCTTTTATGGTTTTCTTTAAAAACATTTCCTGAAGTCGAATTCGAGATTCCCCAAGTTCCATCTTTGAAAAGCTCAACATATCCCTGTGCATCAGTCGACGACTTAGGCTCATCATGTCCCCAGTTTGTAAACACTATAAATAAATTCACTCCATCTCAAAATTTTTCCTACCGATTGGGAAATTATCATCCCAGTAATAATTTGCCCTTCCGATGTCCGCATCATAAGCAAAGTTCATTCCGAGCCAGAGATTGTTATTTTGTCCCCAAAGCATTGAAGAAACAAATTGGGATTCATGCTCGTTCCAGACAGTTACAAGCCCAGCAAATCCTCGATTACTGTGGCTCTCGCTCTCGCAGTTGGCGCGAGCTTGAGAACGGCTTGCAGCTGCGGAGTTGAGTTTGTAGCAAGAAGTGTCGTAAGGATAGTAGCCCGTTGGACAGTTGTTGGGATTAGGAGCTAGAAAAATGTGAGCAACAAAATTGATTCTAAAAAGTACCTTGATTAGGATCATCCGGGTACTGGGAATCTAACTTGAGCTGGCAAACGAACGGTCTTTTCTGATCACAATCTACAGTTTGCCAGTGTCCAGGAGTGTAAATTCCTGTTCCATGATACAGTAGCTCCACGCATTTATTCGCCGCGTTGCTGGGCTCATTTGGCCCCCAGTTTGTGAACGTCAGTCCTTGATCATCAGTCCAGCTGGGGAAAGCGAGTCCGTTGTATTTGAGTCCAATGAGGAGGTTCTTTGATGGTCCGCGGAAGAGGATGGAAGACAAGAAAGCTGAAAAAGAAGAAGTTCACTTTCATATTTCTAAATAAGGATGTATTTTGGGAACAGCTGCTCAGGGACCACGCCAGGAAAATAGTGAGCAACTCTCAGCTTAGCAGGACTGCTGAGGACTGCTGACACCTCGATCTTATAAATACAGACCGAGGTAAAGGGAACTTTAGTCAAGAGATTTGATCTTGTCCTCGGTAAGGAAACAAAGAAAATATCGGGGTCTAACTTTCTTTTCTAGAAAAACTTTCAACATGCCAAAGGGAAAGGGAAAGAAGTCCAAGAAGCAGGCATCGAACGTCTTCTCGATGTTCGAGCCCTCCCAGATCCAGGAGTTCAAGGAAGCCTTCGGTATGATCGACGCTAACCGAGACGGTTTCATCGACAAGGGTGATCTCCAGGCCACCTACGAGTCCCTCGGCGCTTCCTGCCTCGACTCTACCATGGATGCCATGCTTGCTGAAGCTCCCGGCCCAATCAACTTCACCGTCTTCTTGAACATGTTGGCTGACAAGCTCCACGGCACTGACTCCGAGGAAGTCATTGGCAACGCCTTCAAGGTCTTCGACCCCGAGAACACCGGCACCATCCCCTCCCAGTACCTTGGTGAAGTCCTTACCACCAAGGCCGACCGATTCTCCCAGGAAGAACTCGATGTCCTCCTTGCCGCCGCCTCCAAGGACGACCAAGGCAACCTTGACTACAAGGCCCTCGTCTACACCATCACTCACGGTCAGACCGATGAGGACGCCGCTGAGGAATAAATCACCCTTGGGGCCTAAGGGCTGGTATGGGAAAATGCCGCCATGGTTGGGAACAACTGGCCATATACGGTTTCTCGTCCACTGTTAATATCCGTTGTTTGCAAGTTTAATTAAATCTGTGAGCAAGCGCATTACTGTGAATAAACCTCCCTTTACTTTTAAAAAACTTACAGTTGTAGTAGTTGTCGTAAATCGATGCCAAATGACCTCCTTGTTCGACGCATTTTGCTTCTGCAGCTTCGAATCCTAATCGCTCGGGACTCATTGTATCAAGTCCATTGAACTGGAAACATCGTTTTCTGTATCGATACCATCCTTCAGGACACCCACCAGTTTGGTCAAAATCAGGTGGTGGTGGAGGAGGAGCACCACCTTCGTTTAGGATAAATTGACAAAGTCCTTGTTGTTTCTTTGAACAATCAGCGGCGACCCAAAGGCCAGTATTGACATCCATCTCCGCGCAGGTCTTTTTACCATTGTCATTGTTCGGCTGCGATCCGGCCCAAAATGAGAAGTCCTGAAGAGTTCCATCAGTCCAGCTGTATTGCTCTCCAGGGAAGGGCTGTTGGAGACCGATCCATGACTTTTCCGTTGACTGATCTTCTTGAGCAGCCAAAACAGTTATTGCGAATTCCACTTCTTTCTGACTATGAATAGCAATCAATCTTCCCGATCCACCATTGAACTGATGGCAGTATCGATCTGCAGTAGTCCAGCTATCCAATTCTGGAATAAAAGCTACGCATTTTGTCTTGTCCAGCCCATTGACGTCCACTCTTGTAGAATAAAACTTCACATCGGGGAAGTCTTCTTGGTTGCATCGTGGATCAAGTTGTGGCGGCGTTGTTGGAGGCACAGTTGGAGTCTGTGGGGTTTCTGAACGGTCGATTTCGCAAATGTAAGCCTTCGTTGAGTAGCAGAAATAGTCATTCCAGGCAGAAAAGAGGCCGTAATTGATCATTTCAACGCAGTTTTCTTCGCCGTTGTGGTTGTTTGGCTCGTTTGTAGCCCAGTTCACATAGTCAACGGGCGAGAAATCGACCCATCGGTAGCCAGAGACGCCGTTTGTGCTCAAACCGATCCAGAAATGATCGACTCCTTTTCCATGCTCTGATAAAATCGGCAAAAGTCGCTGTTCCTGACTATAGCTATGCAGCGCGACCAAATGGGCCGAGGCTCCGTACGCATTACAGTGTTTCTTCGCATTATCCCAACTTGCTGGTTCATTGTCAAATTTGTAGCATTTGCTGCCGCCATCATATCCATACCAACCTTCAGAAGTCTTGCAAGGAGTGTCATCAATTGGCTCAGAGGGAATCGTTGGACGAGATTCTCCCTCCATCATCATGTCGCAAACGTAATTGTATTTTTCCCAGCATTGTCTGGCTCCATCACCTGAAAATAAACTGAAATCATATCTCTATTTCTCTCTTTTTGATTTTTCAAAAAAACTGTCAAAAACTGACAGAAAGAAAACAGAAAGTTCAAAATAAATTATTCTTTTTAGAAATTCTTTAATCAGGTCAAATGATTAAGAATTGATATCATCGTACCTTCATTGGGATATCCCCACTTGCCATTCTCTTTGTTCATGGCAGTGCACTCGGTTTCCTTTTTCAGACCAGTTCCTTCTTCACAAGCGATAAATGCTCCAGTGAACTCTTCATTTGGAGAGCACCATTCTCCTACAAGCTGGCCTGGGAGACCCTTATCAATGCAGCCTGTTTGTTCTTCCCCACGATAGGTCCACACAGGAGCACACTCATTCGCAGTGCCCGGCTCATTCGTGTCCCAGTTGGTAAAGTCGACAGGCTCCTTTGAAATCCATTTGAAATATTCCCCAGTTCCGAGTTTCGATTCAGAGAACAAACCAATCCAGTAGTTGTGATGATCAAGCGTGTTTTCAGCAATTCTAGAGGCGATAAAGGAATTCACACTTGCATCATGAATCGCCGCCAATTCTCCCCCGAGGCCACGGCAGTTGTGCTTTGCCCAGCTCCATTCCTCCGGGCTTTGGACGAATTTGTAGCATCGGTTGCCAAACGGCTCCCAACCGACTTTGCACTTTTCGTGATCTGGTTCTAGAGAATTCACAGGGACCTTGGGTTTCTCGCAAATAAAACTGGCAAGATTGTCGCATCCGTAATCATCCCATTTTCCTTTCTGAGGCCCTCCTCGGAACATTCGAACGCAGCTGTCGCTGTTTCCGCTGTTTGGCTCGCCCATGCCCCAGTTTGTGTAGCGAACTTGTTCGCCCGTTTCTGCCCACTTGTCGTACCAATTCGGATGTCCCTTGTCAGTAAGCCCGATCCAGCACTCATTGATTCCTTGTTTCTGGTGCATAATCGCAGCGACATGATCTTGCTCAGCTTGATCGTCAATTGTTGCTAAATAGCCGCCAACTTCTTTGCATTTCTGTTGCGCTTCTGACCACGTGACGAGATTCTCGTCATCGCCGTTGGCAACACTAGGGCTTTTTCGAAGGTTTAATATTCATAAATCTAACATTTGTTCCGAAATAAAGGTGTACAGTGAAAACTCAAAATTTGCCTACTCTAAATTTGGCCGGTTTTGATCGAAATTGGCTGAATTTTGAATCTGAAAAAGACTCAAAAATTGGCCGCTTTTTCAAAAATAAAAAAATTTGCATCAAAATAGACCCAAATTATGGTCTTTCTGACCATTTTTAGCTATTTTGAAGCGTTTAAATCATCTAAAATAACTTTATTTTGATAAAAATGACTTAGAACAAGCAAAAAAATTGAATAAAATTCATCAAAAACGTGAAAATCATGCCCAAATTCGAAAATTTCGAAACTTTGCTTTTTTGAAGAGGAAGCTTGGCTACCCGGCAAAAAACTCAAAATTTGGCCGCTTTTTTCGGAAATTTGGATCTGAAAACCGGCCAATTTTTGAGTTTTCACTGTATAAAAACAGTCGTTCGGGTTCAATTGTAGAAATAAACGAGTTATGAAGATTTTGATACTTATTCCGTTTCAGGTAAAAACAGATCTCTTGAAATCCTGATTAAATTGATTTTTAGTTGACGATGGCCTTCTGGAATATTCCAAATGTCAATGAAAACAGACCAGAGGGAACAGCGAATTACTTCGCAACCCCTCGTCAAGCCCCTCTTGCGTTGGACGAAGTCGCCAAATTTGTTGACTCCTTGCAGCGAGGAGGATGGAAGCTAGCTCTTGATAAACAGAATAATCTTTTCAACAAGAAAGCTTCTATGGAATAAACTCCGATTACTGTTAAACCTTTCCTGTAGTAACAAACTTCTCTAAAGCCAGTCCATCCATCCTCGCAACCGAGAACATCGCCTTCAAAGATAAATCCAGGAGTGTTCGAGTCGAGATCAAGCGATTGAATTCCGTGAGCGCCGCTTCCCTTGTAGCTCTCAGGGTTGTTCTTGATTTTCTTAGCGCTGACATATCCGCCGTTGATGTTGTCGATTCTGCCGTCATGAATTGCCGCGCGGCAGAAACTCGAGGTCATTTCATATTGTCCTGTTCCGAAAACAGGCGCGTCGGAGTTGAAATCGTCCGCGGCGCAGTTTCTCGGGCAATCTGCCGAAATATGGTCCTTGTTTGAAAGATCGAAGATTGAAGCAGCTGAGTCCGTGCATTCTATACGCCCGTGTTCTTTGCAGCCGATGATGTCGACACGAAGAGCGATTCGTTTTTCCCAAAGTGTTGGGTTAATTCGAACGAATCGTGCGGTAATATGATGCCGTAAATAAGCAGAAACAGTAGATTGTCCATCAAAATTGCCCTGAAACTTCTGAACCCAAGCATTTCCTTGTCCTCCTGGATGGTACATGTAATACCACCACCAGTTTTCGCCGTCATCGGAAAACTTGAGCTGGAATTGCTTGACATATTCATCTGCAACGGGATTGCCTTGGACAACGACACCGTTGATAGCATGAATTTCTCCGAGGTCGATTTGAAGCCACTGAGTGTTATCTTGAAGTGGGTCGACTTTCGAAGGTAGATAAAAATATTGATAATGTGGTTCGATTTTTATCAGCCTCTATAAAGTAAGATAAGGTTAAAAAAATATGAGCAAAAAATGAAGCAGCATACCTAGCTTACATCGCAATGCCGTTAATTGAAAAAATGTTGAAATTAATCAAAATACAGATTTTTCTCAAATGACACACAAATATTTCTCGTATAGAAATTGAATAGACCAAATTTTTGTACCAAAGTATTAAATAAATTCTTACAAATATTCAGCTGTCGTTTTACTTATATTGCTGACTTATGCCAAAATATGAGAACAAAAAATATTAGATACAAAAAATGACCTATTCCTTGAATTTCTGCAATCCAAACATCCTCAGGTTGAAATCCTTCGCAAACATACGGGCTCATGCTCGAGCAAGATCTTGCATACCACTTGAAGCCTTTGCTAGAATCCATGCATGCACAGTTACCAGTTTTTGGCTCTCCCGCAGCCCAATTATTGTAGCTCAGAGCAGAGCCATCAATCCAATGCCAGCTTGAAGATTTTCTGTTGAGCCCGATCCAGAAGCAAGTATCGTCGTCAGATGGGTTTGAGTTCTGAATTTTGCTCTGGACAAGTTCTTGATCTTCAGAATTATGAATCGAAACAAGCGCGCCATTTCCTTCAAATTCAGTTTGACAGGCGAGTTCGGCGAGTTCTTGTGTTTGAACGGTGTTGCTCACTGAAATCTGATGCGGTCTTCGCTCACTTCTCGTTTCGGAATAAACGACTCTTCCGTGCTTTGCTTCGTGACCAGGAACAGCACTGGAGCTCGTAAAAGCTTGGTCTGGAATTTTCATCCCGCTGGGAGGATTTCTCGCAGCTCCAAGGGAATCGACACAAGTAGCCTTGCAGCCGATCAGTTCCATTCTCAGACCAGCGTAGTTGTTTTTGATTTGGCGGGGGTAGACTCGGATGGACTTGGTAATGAGCGCCTGGGGAAACATATTGATCACTTGAGAGCTGGAATCGTAGTTGCCGTCGAAGAGAGCTGTCTGGCCGACATCGTCAACGAGATCGGTATAATCTCCATCACCGATAGCGTAGCGAATGGCAAATGAACGGGTCCATTCTTTGAAAGTTTGCACGCCATAAGCTCCACCGCCATCAACACCTTTAGTTCGGATGCAAATCGAATTTAAATATTGATTTTTGCGATTAAATTTCGCGCAGTTTGGGGCGAATCAATCTTTAAATTGATTGAGAGAGGGTTTAAAAGAGCTCTGTTGATGAGAAAACTGACAAATTCATATTATGAACCAAAAAACTTATCATCATTATTGGTGACCCAAGCACTCGAATGAAAACGCTGAGAATCAAAGAGAAATCAACGGTTTACCCTTTTCAAAAATAAAATGAAGCAGATGTCCAAGTTCTCTCTAGGTCGCCGCCATAAGTGAATTTCCTGTTTACTTACATAAAAACTTACATTAATAAAATCCAAAATATAAAAAATACCATCAAAGATATAATATCTCCATAATATTTTCAATTAAGAATCCGATTCCTTGAGTAATGATTCCTCGCACTTCATAGAAATCATCGAAGGTGACTTGCAAATACGGATCCTTTGCATATTTTTCGGCCATCCAACCTCCGTATCCGCCAAAGCCCCAAACATCATAAACTCGATTCAGTCGGCCATGATCAGCAGCAGAGCTTGTTCTATTTTCAGAGTTCGAGTAAAAGGCAGAAGCAGGAATGGGTCCTCCGTTTTCTAGACCAATGTGGCCAGAGCAGCATTCAGGTCCGTCGCATTCTTCTTCTGGATCAACTGGATCCTGGTAAATTGGGTTCCGTTCGCAGATGGTGAATCGTTTTTGAGTGCATTCAGGATTTGTCCATTTTCCATTCGCGCCAATTTCGATACAAGTTGGTCCAATTTGCTGTGGAAGGTTTGGCTGATCAGTTTCCCAATTGAAATAAGGCAGAGGAGATGTTGCTCTATCCCACTTCCAGTTGCCGTTTCTTTGTCCAATCGCAGGACCATCTTCATCGTCTGGAAGCCAATCTCGGCCAGCATCAAAGCCACCTGTCCAGAATGCACCACTAGGGAGAAGTGCGACTTTGAAAGATTTTATGCATGATTCAGGTCTTAATTTTATCCGAAGCGGAAAGATGAGTATCGAATCTTGAATACTCGTATAAAGCTTAGTGGCGCTTTCAGTTCTGCAAGAAAAATTAAATGCAGCAATTTCGAAATTTTTGTTTTTGAAGAGGATTTCAAAGGATTTCAAAGCTTGATTCAAACTAAGCGTTTCTATCAAACTCTACTCAAACTTGAATTTTCTAGTAATCTCATAAAATGTTACTGTACCAACTTTTTGAGGTAGCCATCTGAGGAAGTAATCACAATAAATAAAATTGAAATGAAAATCTTTCCTAATGTCTGAACATATTGATTTTCACTTGGCGATGTAATATCCAGCATGAAACCACCATTATCAGCACAGGTCTTTCTCTGACTGTCCCATGGCAAAGGTGTATCAATAACATTATAGCAGCTTTTGAATTCCGCATTCCATCGCCATTGAGGAGCGCCGCAGTATTTGATATTCGCTTCTTTTTGGTCCTCGTCGATGATTCCAGGCGGAGTCGTGTCAGGATTTTTTACCATTGGGCGCTTGCAAACTGGTCGCTTATCAAAAGCCCTAGTACAGTCCTTGTTTGCCCATGCTCCGACAGTAGGATGATCAAGTCCATATAGACAGACACAGTCGCCTTCCCACGAGTCAGATTTGTCAGTGTACATTGGTTGATTTTCCGCCCAGTTGTTGAATTCGTACTTTTTGCCATCTTCCCAGTATTCGTTCGGGATTCCGTCGTACTTTTTGCGATTTCTTGGAGGTCCTTTTGTTGTTTGAAGACCAATCCAAGCGTCGCCGGAGAGAAATTGAAGGGACTTTTTGTACAAAAGATGTTCGACAAAATCTTGCTCCCTTTAAGAGTTTTTAAAATTTTTGCCTTTTGTTGCAAATGCTAAATTGCAATCAACTTATTAGTTGATTAGAAAATATGATGAGAATCCTGCGGAGTCAATAAATAATTCGCTTAATATTTAATTGATTTCATTCAAGGAAAAAATTAAAAAACTCAAATTTATACGAAGAAAAATAAATTTATGGTTTTTGAAAACTCATTCCTTTGTGACGTAATAGAAGTCAAATAACCACCAGCATCTTGGCAAATCTTCGACCCTCTCTGCCAACTCGTCGGAGTCTCAGTAATCATATAACAGCTCAATTCTCCAGAATCAGTATTGTTCAAGAAATGCCAGTCCTCTCCATCATCATCGTCGCTGGCGCAGAGATAGTCAAGCATGCCTTCCGAGGGTTCATAAATTCGAGTTCCAACTCTTGCCTGGCAAATAAACGATCTGATGTTTCCACAATAAGCATCCTGCCAGTTGCCTTCGCTCGCAGTTGTCAGGGCTTCGACGCAATAAGGGTTGTACGTTCCATTCAATACCCCCATCTCACTGTAGCTGATAGGGCTTCCATCGATCCATCGCGGCGATGAAAAACCATCTTCAGTGGTAGAAAGACCGATCCAATAATCTTGCACGCCAATTTGAAGCAAACTCGTGTGATGAAGAGCGAGAAAATTTTGCGTTTTCTGGTCCTTGATCATCACCATTTCAGCACCAATATCGTCGCAAAAATTGACCGCATCGGTCCACGATCGTCTGTAAGCTGGAGTTGCGAAATTTTTATAACACATGTCATCGTTTCGAATCCAATTTTTCGGACAAACGAGGCCAAGGTCATGTTGACAGACAAAATTGTATTCTTCCGAGTCGCAAGCAGTTGTCATCCAGCGGCCTTCAACGTCTGTATCCCACTCTGTGAAAGCGCAGGTATTTTCGGCTGGGCTTTGGAGAATCGGATAACCTTCGAGCCATTCATTGAATCGAATTGGTTCTTGCGAGTTTTGCCAGGTGAATTTTTCTGGATTTTGAGAACCTTCATCATGGCGCAAGCCGATCCAGAAGGGCCCCGCTTCTGCTGAAGATGCTTTCATGTACTCAATAAACGCGTAGGATTCTTGCTGATTTCGAATCTCAGCGAGATAAGAGCCTTTTTCTTCACAAGCTTTTTGAGCGTCGAGAAAGTTCATTTTTTCATGAATTCTGAGCCAGCACATATTCGCTGCTTCTTCGAATCCATCATTGCAGTTTACTACGACTTGATTCTGAGGCATTTTGCAAACAAATGTATGGGGCCTGCTGCAGGATTCCATTTCCCAACCCCCAACTTCTCCTGGGCGAATTTTTCGCATGTCCATAGTCACGCACAATTTATTCGGATCGTTCATTGGCTCGTCTTCCTTCCACGGGAGATCTCTTTTCTGACTGGGGATGTTTCCAGCCCATTTGTCTTGCCACTCGTCCCCAGATGTCCAGGTGAATTTACCGTTAACTTTGTGCGCGCCGATGAAGACCTTGCTGAACATCTCCCGTAAATCGTCGTTTTGAATAAGCCATTGATGCTCAGAAAAGCCAAGAGTAGCCAGAAGATGTCCACCCATATGTTGACATTCGCTTTCCGCGACGCCAAATGTGACTCCAGCTCCATTATCTGGTATTCCGCTATGATAATTAATAAAAAAAGATTTCCTTTTTAATATTTCCTCGTTGTTGCCACTGCTAAAAAAATCAAACCTGAAGTAGTAACAGTTGTTTTCATGATAATCCCATCCATCTGGGCAATTCTGCGCCTGGGTCAACCCCAGCACTAGCGCTAGAATGCGCATTCTGTAAAAAACTCTATCTACCTAGCAAGTATTTCGTAACTTCTCTTCTATAGAAAAAATTCGTGAACTATGATCACTTCGTAAAGTGTGATTTCTGAAAGTTGGCTCTTCCGACCAGCGCATTTTCGTTAACTAAGAAGTGCGAAAATCAAGCACGTGGAAAATTCTATAACGACCAAGTAGACAAGTAGTCAGAATATCAATTTTGCATAAGCACTAAATTACGTAATACAGTGGATTTTCCTAATGCGAATTTTATTTTTACATCAAGTATTTATCTAAATGACGATAATATGCAAAAAAATTATTCGTTATTTCATCGTGTTCTATTGAGATTGTGATCTAAATTTTTTCATATATTTTTAAATATTTTATTCACCATGTAAAAATGAGAACAGAATGAGATATCACTATGATCGTAGAAAAGAAATTTAAATCAAGTGTTCGCTGCAATGGTCTGGCTAATCCAATTATCTTGTGCTATCCAGTCGTATACAGAAGGAAGCGTCTTTGCTCCACATGGCCTCCATACGCCTGAAGCAACACCCATGACAGTTGCAGCACCATTCACATTGCAGATAAGAGGTCCACCTGAGTCTCCCATGCAAATGCTTTCGCCAGTTTCCATTTCTCCGTCCCCGTCCAAATCCGGAATACCGACACAGATATCATGAGATTTCAGCATAGTAGAAAGATCGAATTCTGCTTTCTGTGCGCAGTATTCTTGTGAAAAAACATTTAAACCGACGCTCTTAAGGATCGTTGAGGCTGGAATTGAGTCCACTGGATGATCGTCTTCAGGCATTCCCCAACCGGCAACCCAGCATGCTTGTCCGGCTAAATTTATTTTAAGCATTGATAATTGAAAAACAATTTCTTATATAAATAAAACATAGAATATATTAAAAAATACGATTGAGTTAAACCTTCTGGGTAGCTTGTTGCCAAACAAGCCTTAGCTGTTCCATCTAAAGAAAGAAGATCTTCGTCGAACTTAAGGAGAGCAATGTCCATAAAAGAAAGTCCGTTTGGATCATCAAAGTAGTCATCATGTATTTCAACTTGACTTGCTTCGAGTGTTTTTTCGCCATTTTCATTTTCAACGCTTGAATAATCATTGAAAGTAGCGAAAACTGTGGTTGTATGTTCAACACAATGAGCAGCTTTAATGAATTCAAATCACAATTAAATTTTACCAAAATCATCATTTTTCTTAAATCAAACTTATAAATTTGAATCTTGCCTGTGAGAACCCAGTGATTATCAATTATTGTGCCACCACAAGTTCCTCCATCTAACGCTCCGATTGCAAGTCGCGCCAACCACGGCCAATGTGCTTGTCCTTGCGAGTCCAAATGTGTTCCTTCTATAATCTTTTCAAGCGATCGTGCGTCAGAGCAAGTCGTTAAAGTTTCATCGATTCGGTCAGAAACAGGATCAAATTCAACAGCGTTGTTGCCTTTAAGGACCATCTCAACCCAATTGTCATGTGCGATCGAAGCGTAGATAGAGGGTAGCCCAGCGGAGCCACAAGGCGGCCAAGTGTAAGATGCTACACCCATGACTGTCGCGAACCCATCGACATTGCAAATGAGAGGTCCTCCAGAGTCGCCACTACATGCGCCACTACCGCCATCTGTGAGATCGTCAGCGTCATCAGAATCCGGGAGCCCGACACAGATTTCATTCTGGGTCATCATATTCGAAGCTGGAGCATGTTCCTTGCAATACTCATGGGAAAGAATGTTCAAACCGACGCTCTTAAGTATGTCCGAACTACCACTATCCTCCTCGTAAAATCCCCATCCGGCAATCCAGCAAGCTTGTCCAGCTTAATTTTTCATTTAAGAAGAGCTTGGAAACTGATATTTTACCTTCGGGAAATTCTGAAGCAAGGCAGGCTCTTGCCGTTTCTTCAATGGCAAGGAGATCCTCCTCAAATTTAAGCAAACAAACGTCATTTTGCATTTTTTCAAAGGTCTCTTCGTTTCCAGGGAAGTATTTAGGGTGAACTAGAATCTCACTTGCAGTGTAAGTTGTTTCTCCCAATTCTTCTTCACTTATCTTCAAATCGTTGAAAGTAACTTCAATCTGATCTATGTCTTTACAACAATGACCGGCTTCAGAAGATAAAAAATTAATCATTTTTAGAAAAAGATTCACTTAGAGTAACACTTTTGTCCTCCGTATCAAAAAAATATATTTTAAATCTCTCCTGAAAGAACCCAATGTTTATCAATAATAGCTCCGCCGCAATTATGTAAACCGGCAACTGACAGACGGCCAAGCCAAGGCCAGAGCAATTGTCCTGCACTATCGAGCTCTATTCCACCGATGATTCTTTCAAATGTTGGTGAGCTTGAACATGTTTTCAAGGAAGCATCGATCGTATCCGAGACCTCCTGAAATACACCAGGTTGAGTTGTTGGAGTTATAGGGGTCGTTGGAGATGTTGGAGTTGTTGGAGATGTTGGAGTTGTTGGAGCAGATGTTGCTGGAGTTGTTGGATTGGATGTTGTTGGCGCGCTTCCACACGTGAAATTCGAAAGATCATTATTCGTGATCATTTTGGCAAGTTTACGCGTATTCCATCCGCAGATGCGGTTGTTCCATCGTGGACATGCGCAGAGAGAAGTGATGCCTCCGAAGCTCTGTCCTTCGAAGACAACGGGAGCGCCGTTTGCACACTTATATGTGCATTTTTTCTTACCCATCCAGTTGAATCAACAGTCAGCGACAATACCAGTTGGCGGAGCAGAAAGACAACACAAGTTGACTGGTCTCAGACGACTTCTCCATTATCAGGAGTTGTCAATGGAGGGCAAAGCGAATGCAAAGCTGAGATTCGATTAGTTGGAGCACCCCAGCCGCTTTTTTTCTGGCTCAAAGCACGGAGAAAATCGTAGTATTTCGGCTGTTCATAGGCATAAGTCCCGGCAAGGATGGTAGCGAGAAGCTAAAAATATCTCATCAAAAACCTTGAAATTGAGTAAAAATTGTTACCTTCATCTCTGATACGGTTTTTGTGATTTTAACTCCGTTAGAGCTCGATTATAAACAGTTAGATCGACATTTAATTAATATCATTGAATTGGAATTCAGTTGCAATTGCATACAAAAACGTTTCTAAACCAGCTTACGTACGGAAAACTCGAGAATTGGAAACGATTTCGATGACCTTCAATTTAATCAGAACGGCTTTATCTAATTGAAAATGATTACATGGGATTTTTTTCTGTATCGTTCGAAAAAAACTGATGCTTTGTAGCCGGCTTCCTTGAAATTTAATAAAGAATATTGACCTTTTATATTCATCAGCAGCGCGTCTAGTCAAACATCCTCAAATCCGCAGACGCATAAACAAAATTATGAAAGAGAGAAAAATGAACCTCCAACTGCATCATTTGAATAAAAAGATACGAAAAAGTCCGACGAGTCTTTTTGCGGTAATCCGATGTTGTTAGCAGGTGGGTGCGCGGGCTTGAGCTGATATCACTCTAACTTGTTATTGATGCCAAAACCTTGTTCGTATCAATTTCTCCGGCTCTGGATCAAAGTACCCAAGCCGCTCAGCGTGTTGGCTGGCTGATCCGAAGCTCGGGACTTTTTTTATCGGTCAAAGTTGTGGTCGCTTTTGAAAGAGTTGAAAGATTAGGGTTATCAATTGACCTTTTACTTGAAAAATCTAAATATAAATTAGACGTACCAGCTTGTAGACTTGACTGTAACAGTTTAAAATTATCAAAAGGGCTGAATGAAGAGTTGTACTGAAAACCATAAAATTATTCCTAGTTTCACAATAAAATTATTTCTTCTCGCTCAGAAATCGACCAAATGAAACAATATCACTCGCTACCTTCAGTGTGTTAGTACCGGCTTCTTTGACAATAATTCTTCAACAAATAATTTTAAAAAGACACTCGATGAATACCAAATTTTTTACCAAAATGTTAAATTTCCAGTCTGTTACATCAGAAATTCATCAAAGCGGCTCTATTCTTCCGTAACAGTAACATTATCCAGAATCGCGAAGAGCAGCTCCACATGAACGCTCCCTGAGCCCTTTGAAGGGAATCTGATGCGCTTTCAAATTATCTTGCCTCATTATCGCTTGGCTCATATCCCGCCGGAGCGTTTCCCACGCGCGCACCCTCGCTCGTGCCTTGATTGATGTGGTCGCCAGATCCGAGACAATTCACATGGACCACCGCGACTTACATCTGACGCTCCTTTACGAAACTAACTAAACGACTCGTGCCAAATTACGCGCCAAGATGACTTTTAATCGAAGAGTTTTTTGACTGATAATTCAAAGATTATTTTTAGTAATTCATTAGAATGTAGGGTAAGGGTTAGCGTTAGCAATATTACGGGTAAGTATGAGTCATTTTTACTGTAATACAAACAGTACGACTTAAGAGAAGGGTTTAGGGTTGGCTTTATTAGGGGAAGTAGAAAATAAAATAACGGTGTCACAACTTTAATGATGGGTAGAATAAGTAAAAGGCAAAAAATAAGCTAGAATAAGGATGTCACTATCATATTGAAATTGCAAAAAACTCGACGATTTTCTTCATTACTGAAAATATTCATGAGTCAACGAGTTTCCTCAAAAGAACAAGTTTCTCCAGTTACCAAAACAAATCATCTTCAGATCTCGAACAAAAACTCCAAGCGTAAAATTCATGCAACAGATCTCAACTCCTCCCTTTTAGTCGTACCGCTGGTTTTTCCTTTGAAAGTACACGTGTGAAAATTTCATGCCTCTTTTAACAATTGTTTCTTTTAGCCGCTTGTTTGTGTTTTGAGTACCTTTCTTCAGAAGCAGTCCTTTTTTTACATGTTTTCCGAGCGGTTTTTGCGGAGAATTTTTATTGTTGACGTTTTCAATTTGGAAGGGTTTGAAAATGAGATTCTTTCCACGAGTGAGGTTCTAAATCAAATCAGCCACATGACAGAAGCACGCGCAGTGGGAGAGAGCTGACGGAAAGTTATGGCAGGCGTCAAGTCATTGCATCAAAAAAACCAATTGAAATTGAAATTAAAATGTTAGATGGTGAACTTTCAGGAAATGCGCTTTTCAAGCCTGAAAAACGGTCGTTAAAATCACAATCGTTGAAAAAAAAATAATTTTAAAGAAATTTTTTATGGAAACCTGACCTTTATGGTCGCTTTTTTCAAAGAAATAGACAAGTGACACCCTTAATTTTCAATATCAAAGGTCAAATCAAAGTCATTTCGACCTTTTTTTCTGATATCAATTGTCAATTGAGTTCTGTCCTATTCTATAAAAAACAGTAATGAAACAGTATCTGATGGACGCACGAGCGTTCTGGCGATGAAACCTGATTCTTCGATTTCGGCGCTGCGACGGAACCTGAACTCACGACGTTGACGCCGGCCACGCTCGTGGACGCACGCCGCCTTCCAAGGAAAAGTGTTCTGCGTAACTGTAATTGGCGACGTCTTTTTGATCGCGTGGATGATGAGTTTCTTGTTTGATGATTGTTCGAGAATAAAGATTCGAAGCTTGGAAGGAAAATTTTTCGTGAGATACTAATTAATGCAGATAATTTCTCCAGTTGAGTAACTCTAAGGAAAACAGGAAGTCAATTTTCCAATTTTCAAATTTTCAAATTTCCCAAACTTACTAATCGCACCCGTTTATTCTCGCGCCTGTCAGTCGGACATCCGTCCTGTCCACCGATTACACATCAAATCATGTGACTCAAAAGAAGGAACAACAAGGGGGAAGCTCGAGGGGGAGTTTTACGCCTCATTACAGGGCAAAAATGAGCGGGACTACAGACGGATCAACGAAAGACGCGGCTTTTCGAAACTGGCATTATCGCGCTCACGTGACGAGCAGATACTCGATCTTCAAAAGAAAAGCTCTCAACTGACAGTTTTTTTTTGTTCTTTTTTCGCAAAATAAAATTGTTCCTGAATTATTCTATTCGATTTTTAGCCAGATAAATTGAGCATAAGACCTAATCTGTCCCATAAATCATGTCATAAAGAGTCGATCGGACTTCCGGATTGACAGGTGTATTTCGACGATGCGCGTGCTTCGGCTTTTCAAAAGCGCGCGCCGCGGAACGGCCCCGCCGCGCCTAACGAGTTGCCTAACGCAAGCGGAAGATAGCTTTGAACAGTGGATGGAGCGGAACGGACGCATTTTACGCGCTTCCCATGGAATTTCGACGGCTCTTCATCTTTCAGGGTTAAATTTCTGGGAAAAAGAACGAATTGATGATAAAAAATAGAAATTAAGATAAAAATATGAAAAATTCAAGAATTTCAATAGTTTTTTCTGTAATTTTAGTTTCCTGCTTCAGTAACAATTTGACTCTTGAATTTACTATCGATTATTTTTGAGCTCAAAACCTCAATATGACAACTCGTTTGATTTTTTGATAGTTTGCATTTTATATTTATAAGATAAAGAATAAAAGAAAAAAGCAGATATGGAATTGAAAGGTTGAAGGCAATGCGTAGCAGGTGCATCAAATATTTTTACAGCAGAAAAGAAGCTCTTTACCAGGGACGGAAGATCGGACTTGTACTGGCTTGTGGAATGGCCGCCTCGGGAGCTTTGTTTTCGGGAAGGGAAGAAGGAAATGAAGAGAGCGAGTTCACATCGGAGTTTGAATCTTCATCAGAGCTGACGCCGGAACTCAACGAGTCGGATCGAGGGATGCTTGGTGCTTTTTGAGAAACGGCGAGGCTTTGAGCAGCGGCGTACTGGGCGAGCTGAGCGGCCAGAAGCTGCTGTTGGAAGGCGATTTGCTGCTGGGTTGGCAAATTGAGCGGGTTTTGTGGAGCAGGCTTCTGAGGGGCTGGTAGGGGGACTCGAGGGGCGCTGGAATTCGGGGAGATGGAACCGAGGATTTTTCGCTTTGATTCTTCGCTGATTTCTGGGCAAGTTGCTAGGACCCGGCTCAATTCACTTGCTGCTTGCGGCTGTGGCTTTGGCTGAGCATGGGCTGGAAGGACGGCTCCAGGGAAAGGATAGCCGCTTGGGGTCTTCAGGGAATGAATGTATCGGACGGACATTTCGAGGATGTCGGCTTTTTCGAGCTTCGAGCAGGAGGCGGAATCTCGTCGGTAGGCTTCTAAGAGAATGGACTTGAGTTCGTTGAGCGACTTGTTGATTCTTTCTCGTCTTCGCTTTTCCATCAAGGGTTTGCTGGTTGCTCGGTCGATCTTGGAGCGAATCGGGCCGACAGAACCGGCGGTGGGGAGAATCTCTTTTCGGTAAGTCGACATTTTTTCGTATTTTTTCTTTCTTTTTGAAAAAAGGAAGTTTTTTAGTCTTCGTGTTTTTTGTAAATCTGTTCTGATTTGTGTGACTGAATGAAACACGTCTCGGCAAATTAAAGGGGTTGAAGTAGGGGAATCCAGGGCGACGTAATCGCGTGGCGGCGCTCCTTACGTACAGCAGCGCCGGACGCACGCGCGGGTGGCGCACTTGGCTACTCGGACTTTTTTTTGTTTAGCGAAAGGGACGGCGTGCCGAGCGCTTTGATCGAGCCGACAATGGCGAGTGACCGTGGGAACAAGTGTGGCCTCGGTGAGGATAAGCAGGAATTTCTTATTCTTAGCTCTCCAAAAAGAACCAAATTTTCAGTTTTTCATAATTTTAGTACAAGTTGCAGTCAAGTTGTCAACATGAAATTCTTTCATAAATCAACCAATAGCTGTCTATAATCAAATATTTCTAATTAAACTTGCGTAAACAGTTCAAGCTAGGCTCTTCCTAGATTTTGTCTTAGATTTCGCATCTGGTCATTTCAGTTATTGCGGAACAATAGAAGCAGAAACATCCTTATGGTTCTCAAAATTATTTTAGTCTTTTAAAAAAGATCCCTTCAATAAAAAGCAGCTTCAGGCTGAAGACTTCGGTACATTTTTGACAGTTTGAGAGCATTCAAATTTGCCCCCTTCGAAACTTGATAACGCTAGCCCTTTATCTTTTCTTTACGCAATCTTGGCTCGTCCGTCAGCAGGACTAAAGTGTGCACCGCGGCGTAAACTGTTTTGCCTGGGCGGTCCAATTTGTTGCGCCGCCGCCGCCTCATGCAAATTGTCCAATTTGTCGTTACTATCGCCCCACATCGCCAGTTATAGTTTCCGTTCTGCCTCCAATAAAAAGGGGAGGCCTCCCTTTGAGATTTGACGGATCTGATAACTTATTCTTTTTCGCATGGTTCAATGAAGTTTCTACTCGAAATTTTCAAGCTTCTGAATATCGAAAAATCCATCAAAAAGGTTCGAATTATCCATGAAGGGTCGACTTTTTTGATTCTGGAAAAATCAGATTAATGATGGCTACACCCTTAATTTTCCATCTTTGCACTTTTCTACGATTTGAAAGTTGTTATGAATAAACATAAAATAACCACTTGCCACATTCTTTACTCACTGGAGCAAAAACTTGGCTGAGCTCCTTGAGAACAGGGCTCTGAAATGTATATACCAGGCAGCTCAGGGCGAAATTATGCGATCTTAGAGTCGTGGGAAAGGGGCGAGGGATGCACATGGCGTCGCGTGGCCCAGAAAGCGAAATTGAGCGGATCAAGACTGGAGATATTCTTGCCAAGTGGGTTCGTAGGCACGTGGGGAGGGATATATAGGCTTTTATGCAACGAAAAATTTAATTTCCCCTTCAGCTGGGAAATGTTTTTTGATGGAGAATTCTTGAAAAGCACCGAGATCTTCAAAACCCCCTCCGCCGCCCTGTCAATCTTCAAATACCCACTTGAAACCCCGTGCTTCCCCTGCTCTGCTGGGTGCTAATTCCTCCCCCCATTGTCCGAATTCCTTTTGAAATTCGTAATTTTCCCCATTTTCTGTTGTTTTCTGTTACACACTTTTGCCGCGCCGACTGCGACAATAGACGTCTCAAAGCCGTCAGAAGCCAAAATAACCATCTTCAAACGATTTCAAAGCGCTTGAAACGGGCAAAAGTTGAAACTTGGGAAAATATTTTCCTTTAGCACCTTGGAAAATACTCAGTGCTCGGCGGAGCATTGAGGTGGCTTATCTAGTGCGCATGGTTTTTGGCTGGCTCAAGCGGATAAGAAATAGGATAAACAACAATATGTGGTTATTTTGCGAAGAAGAATATTCTTCAAAAAATAGAAATTTTGAGATTTGGGAATGTAAAAAAAATATTTCGAGAAAAAAATCGGGGTGTCCTTGTTCATCCGCTTACTTGCTGCATGTGTTGCCTTGTTCATCTTTGGCCACGTAGCCTTAGCAGCAAATGCCCAAAACTGAAGAGCCAAGAAGGACTTCATCGTGTTGCCGGCTAAAAGTAAGGCTACGTGGCCTTAGGATGAACAAGGGAACACATGCAAAAAGTAAGAGGATCAACAAGGGCACACTCTATTATTCCTAATATCTAAGTCAAAAGTTGCACTAATGGTCGATTCTGCAATTTTTCCTAAATGAAGCCAAAATTTTAACAATTTGTGATTATCAAAATCGTCAGGCAATAACTCTTCAAATAACGATAGTAATTTCAATATTTATTGCCTTTTCCTCCCAGCAGCTGTCCTTCTTTGAAATCAAATTTGTGACTCTCCCTTTCTTCTCCTTTTTCATTTCCGGCCTGGTCGACTGGTGAAAATAAAACAGGCCAACTCAAAGTGTGCCAAAGTGCCGAAAACGGCGATCAATCAAAAAATGTCCGACGCGCCGACTTCCGACAAATAACACGGATCCGTGTAAGATCAAGGGGCAAAGATATTGGCACTTTGAGGAGGAACGGAAATCCGAACGAATGAATCGGGCGAAATTATGGACGGCACAAATTTGGAAAGACCAGCCTTTTTTCAAAAAACAAAACCAACCCCGGTCCCGCCAACCTAAGTAGAAAACCTGAGTAGGGCTCCTGACTAAAGTACCATCAAAATCTAAATTATATTCTAGTAAAGCCACTTTGCGGCTATGTCTTTTTCAAAGCCGCTATGCAAAGAATCAGGACCCTGACTCAGGTTTTCCACACAGGTTGCTGAAACCTGTGTTGACGAAATTTTTCTTTTCTTTAAAAAAAAAGGGTCTAAAATTGTTTTTTTTTTGTAAAATTATGAGCTTGAAAATCATCATTAAAAATACAGATCTCAATCATCAAGCCCGTAAATTCCCAGAAACGTAAACTCCTCCTTCCAATTCCCGTTATCCGCGCCCTCAATCGCTTCCCATGACCAGCCCTTGTCAAGAAAATTAGGCCATCTTGAAATCTATATAGCTCGCCGGGCGTGTTTCATCCCTTTCTCGCGCGCCTGGCCTCATTCCATGAACTTGCTTCCCAAGTGCCACATCTCCACGAGGGATGAAAAGGATATTTATTGTGGCCCGTGTCACGCGCGTTCCCACCGATTTCGACATCGCGGTCTTCTATTGTTGTGTTCAACCCTTTTTTCTCGCTTTAGAATTGAATAACGATGCGGTTAGGTATTTGTGTTAACTCATCAGCTGCTAGCTTACACAATTTTTGCTTTTGCATCAATAAATTTCATATGAGCTGGGCAGCCTGAGCGAAAACCTGAGTCAGGGTTTAAAATAAGTTTAAACGAAAAGCCGCGTAGCGGCTTTTTTAAAAATGAAGCCGCAAAGCGGCTTCACTAGTGTTTAAAGCATACATTGTTTGCTGCTTTTCAGGACCCTGACTCAGGTTTCTGCACAGGTTCCCGAACCCAGATAAAGGTTTCTTGTCGGAAAGCTCCAGGGGAAAAACCCTTCCTGCAATATGGAAACAGTGGTTTTGATTATTTGAGCAGCAGGTCTCATCCCATCACTAATTCCAATTAACCATAATCTGATCCCTTCCGTTTGCGTAAAATCCATATCCGGGTTGCCCCGTCCAGCATATTGATTCGTGCTTTGTTTGTGTGCTTCCTGCCCCTAATTAGCCTTCTTTTCCCATGACCCGTCCACTGTTGCAGTTGCAATTAATCCGATTTGTTAGATTTTTCCGGAAAGGGTTTTTGCTAAGTATCTGGGAAAACGTACGACCTCGCTTGGGTGCGACCCTATTTCGCGTGCAGAAGGAGCGGATTAGGAACCCTTCACTGAGGCACGTGTTTTCATAACGTAGCCGTATTAGCCCGGTTTAGACCACTTGGAATCGACAGATCAACACGCTGATACCCTCCTTTCATGATTTTCATTACAGTGGATTGAAATTTAATGGATAGTAAAGAGTAGAGACAGGAGAGTTAAGGGTGTTCTCATCTATTGAGTTAGGGTCAGTTTTTCGTACGCAAAAATGACGAAATCGATGTTGATACCCTTAAAGTAAGAAAATAGGTTTTTCAGTCTGTTTGAAATAGATTTTCAACAGAAATTCGCTACATGTCAAGTTAATGACCTCTTGGATTCATTTTGGATATCTCCATCACTGCAAGCGTCGCAAGAACTGAAGAAGACAGTAGAAAAAGAACAGTAAGGATCATTTTTGAGCCCCAAAACCAGGATCATCGGGTTTTTATACGAGCTAAGTACCACTTAGATAAATTATGAACACAAAAATACTATTTTTTTATTCAAGAAAAAAACACTTTAAGATGGTCACATGACTTTAATTCCCGCTCAAGTGGTTCTTCAAACATCATCATTTGTCAAAAAAGCACTGAAAGATTAGCTATCTGAGCAAGAATCGCTCCGAGTGGGCTTCGTCCCGGCCCGCTGCCCCTAGAATTGATAAAGAGAAGACTACGGTCATCCCCTTTGAGGCGGGCAACACGGCGGAAACCGGAGATAAGAAATAAACGGGGATGAACTCTTTGATCGGCCACGATAAGTTCGTATAAGTATTTCCGGTGCGCGTTCTTTTTTCTTGGTTTTATGGCGAGTTGAAATGATGACGGGGGGTTTTGATGAAATTAGGGGCGAACGAGGTGCGAACTGACAAACAGAAGCAGATTGGTTTAGGGCAGGGCTGGCGGATAGAGTGAGCATATGGAGCACACGCGTTTTTTTCGCATTTCATAAACATGCAAAAAGCATATCGTAAAACCTTCAAAATTTGTTTATTTCCGTGCTATTATCTCAACTCCATTCAATTGAAATTCGATTTGAGCAGGCTTAGGGGAACTTTAGGAACCTTCTGGCAATCTTGACACATGATGCTGATCGTTATTGATTCTGTCCGAGTCTGTTCCGGATGATTTTGTTCCGCCGCGTGTGTTGATGTCTGTTGATGTCTGGGAATGTGATACAACAAGCGCAAGTGGCCGTCTCGCAGCGGCACTCCCTTTGATTCCTGGAAAAGGCTGTTAGGCCAAACAATAACCCGGTACTCCTTACCCAATTACCCCGTGCGCTAATCGTCTTTGTAAGAAAAGCGGGGCTGACAAGGCTTTCGAGGTTGCGATTATGGCGGCTATTGGGCTTTTATCTCCCCATTTTTTCTTTCAATTAAAAAGGATCAGGTCAAAATCTTCCAGTACTACCTTGGTTAATCCTCAAAATACAGATTGGGCAAGGAAAAGTACTGTAATGGGAAAGACAATCTATGAAAAGACTTTCAAAACACTCAACACAACCAGCTTCTATGTCCATTATTCGCGAAGAAAGTTCAAACTTGCACCAAAAAATTAAAGATCTTGCTTTGAAAAATCTCTAGAAGACGTCTTATTATTGGGAAAAATCAGCAGTCGCTGACAAACAGACGTAAAAAGACAAAAATGGACAGCGAAAAACGAGCAACCAGCCGAGAAGAGTACAAAAACTACCTTCGAAAAACTGGCGTCTGGGATACCCTGAATCAATTTCTCGTCAAGCTTTACGAAACACATGACAAGGTAAGCCCTCGACAAAAGATTTTTTTCAATCAAAATCTCAGCCAAATGATGCAAAAGCGTTTTTGGCGCAATACATCCACGGAGACCAGGTTTCGCTGAAAGAAACTCACGAGCTGCGAGCAGAACTTGATGCTCTCCAAGCGCAAGTCGCAGGTAAACCTCCTTATTTCCTTCTCATCCCTACCCAATTGTAGACCTGAAGATCCGGGCAGAGACAGCAGAAGCAATCGTCCGAAAACAGGAAGGAATCGAAGACGAACCTGAAGACAACGAGGAGAACCCAGCCGAACCTGAAGAAGAGCCCGAAGAACCAGCCCAATAATTTTCATTACTTTTCTTCTTTTCATCTTCTTATATATTTTTGTATCGAAATCTTGCTCTATTATTTAATAAATTACATAAAATTATTTCAAAATAGAAAAGTCTCTTTCTTCTTCTTTTCACAAGGTCTTCCATCGCAGTGGAGGACTCTCCTTTTTCTCAGAGGCCGGAGGAGCGCGGCGAAATCGAACCACTTTGCGGAGATACAGAGAAAATGCCAGAATCTGGGAAAGATGAATCAATTTGCGCACCGCGTTTGTTGTAGAGATTATTTGAGAAGAATATGAAATGAATGACAGAACTACAACTGAAAATAAGGATAGTCACAATATCGGTTTGAAAAAGCCATTTATCTCTGACTATAAAAATTTATTGAAAATAATACAGTAGTGGGTACAACTTTATTTTATAAAGTGAACAAAACATAAGCAACTTTTGCAAATGCTGGAATTGCATGTTATTGGTTTCCTTTTCTGTTAAATGAACTGATTATTATTATTCTATAAAATCTCCTTGATCAAATGAAAGCATATTCATCTTCATTGAAGTCATATACTTTTTCGATTTTTGTTTTATTGCGAGCTTTCGGAGGGAATGCCCTCCTTCATCAGGCTAGTACAGTTGTTAAGAGAAGCTACAGTAAAATAGGACTCACCGTGACTTGCGAAACTCGCGAGTGATCGGTAAGTGAGGAATTTATGAGAGCGGAGAGAAAGTCTAGAAAAGAAATGGAAATAGAAGTCTAGAAAAGAGTTTAATTGCGTATCTGGGGAATTTGATCTAAGGCTCCAGATACGCAATTAACAATGCCTTAGATCAAATAAAGTGGACGAAACGGAAGTCACCTTGCTCGTTAAGTTGAGGTCGGTTTAACTTTATGAGAAATGATTCGGTAAGTTTGCGGTCATTATAATTTGGAAGGTTTGTTTGTAGAATGGAGAAAAAAGATTTGGCGAAATCGCCAGGTGAGATAAAGGAAGTAACTTCTGGAGAGTTCACATGGTCTTGGTATGCGTTTTGAAAGTCAGGGCAATTTCGAAGGTGTTGTTTAATTGCAGTTTGACTAGTTGGAAATGTGTGGTCTCGCTTACGAAGGTGAAAGGTACGCATGGTCTCACCGATGTAAGTGAGCTGACATTTACAGTCGAATTGATAGCAAATCCCGGATTTTTTGTTGATATCGAGCTTTCTTTTTAGACGAGATGTGATAATTTGTCCTAGGCGCAAAGTTTTGAAAGCAAGACATACTTTATATGCTGGCGTGATTTTACGGATGAAATTAACAATCTTTTTACCTATTTTATTGACTCGGTGTGAAGTGAAATCTAGGGTTAAGTAGAAGCGGTGGGTAATATTGGGGTCTTTCTCGAGAGGAGTGAAGTTAGAATCTTTAATAGATTTGATTTTAGATTTGACAAGTTTTACGGGGTAGTTATTTTTAACGAATTTGTCAGTAAGTTTAGATAGAGCGTTATTAAGGTTAGCAGGAGTGGAACAGGTGTTATTTACTCGAAATATTTCGCCTGAAAGAAGTCCAAGCTTTTGGGAGATCGGGCTAACTGATTCATTAAAATTATTAAGGGTGTCACTAGATGTAGGTTTCTGGTAGAATTTAAGTTCATATTTGTGGGTTTTCGGGTCAAGGTAAATGGTAGTATCTAAAAAGGATAGACTATTATTTTGAGCGTGTTCTATGGTGAAATTCAGGTCTTTGTCCCAATTGTTGAGTAGGTGGTTGATTCGGGGGAGCTCGTTTTTTTCAAGTACGCACGCAATGTCATCGACATATCTATTGTAAAATTTGATGGTACCACTTGCTAGTTCATGGTCTATAATGTCGCTTTCAAGGTAGTGCATCATGATATTCGCTAAAATACCAGATGCTTGTGCACCCATTGCTACCCCTCGGCGTTGGCGATAATATGAGTCCTGAGTACTGAATGCCGTAAAATAGGTCAGTGTTTTAGTAAAAACGTCCTCAAAAATATTTCGCGGAATAATTTGGAGTTCTTCCCCATCGTTGATTTCAGTATCGAAAAATCTTTGAGGGTCGGAATAAATGCGATCTACTATTCTAGGAATTATGCGTTGTAAATTAACGTTTGTGTACATACTCTGTACATCAAATGAGACTAGCCAGTGTTTTTTTGTATCGAATGTGTCTCTTGCTCGAAGAAAATTCTTCTTGAAATTTTGGGTAGATTTAATACTGTATTTAAGTTCTGGCAGGAATTTGGTCAAAATTTTTGAAAAGTATCTTTCGATGCCGCTGGTGATTGAGTTTTTACTAGACACTATTGGTCTCATCGGGTGCCCTGTTTTGTGGCGCTTCAATATTCCATAGCTCGATTTAATCGCGTAATTAGGTCGAATGGAATTGAATGTGTCCTTGCCTAGATAGGGTTCTAGTTTACGGATGGTTTTGTAGAAAAGTTGGATGTCTTGGTTTAGGGGTCGCGGTTGAGTTTAAAGAATTGGGGTGTGTTAAATTGGGCATTTAGTTTACGATTATATTCATCTAAGGAGATTAGCGCAATATCCTTGCATTTATCAACTCGGACGAATCGTAGGTCAGGGTGATTATTGAGGAAGGTGATGAGTGATTTTTGTTTTTTAGCGGGTTCGTAGCACTTACGTAAGGAGTGGAAGTTTATTTTTAGGAAACTTAAAACTTCGTCAATAGTCATAGGGTCTATCTTAATTTCACGGGCATATTTGGTCCAGTTTTGTATCAATTTCTCCATAGATGTTAAAATTTTGTACGGGTTCGGTGTGCCTCCAACTGGGAGTTCACACCCAAATTCTAAGATGGAAAGGAGGTCAGGTGGAATCACGGTATCAGTAAGATTGTGAATTTTGATAGAACATTTTTGAGGGGAGGAAGGCGGTAAAATAGATTGTAGTTTACGGTTACGGTGGAAATCGGATTTAGCTTGACGGTTAATAATAGTTGAACAGATGATTTGCTTTGTCTTCGTAAATTCGGGGTGCGGTAGAATTTGTTTTAGTTTAGACATTTCGAGGTCGTAGAGTGTGACTAGGGAGTTAATTTTGTCTTCGGTGGCTTTTATGTCGTGTAGGGTACGTTGTAGGCGATGGTTACGCAATTGATCAGGTGACCAATGCGAGTGGTTCAGAAAGTCAGTTGATACATACGTATATGGTGGTGGAGTTTTAGCATCGTGGCATTTTTGTAGAAAAATGAGGTGTTGGCGGTTACGATGTAATTTTTTTCCAATTTTAGTAGCTTCTCTGGTGTGAGTTTTACGTCGATTATCCATTTATAATATCTCTTGTGTTGACGTTGTAGAATTTTCGATTTTTGTTTTATTGCGAGCTTTCGGAGGGAATGCCCTCCTTCATCAGGCTAGTACAGTTGTTAAGAGAAGCTACAGTAAAATAGGACTCACCGTGACTTGCGAAACTCGCGAGTGATCGGTAAGTGAGGAATTTATGAGAGCGGAGAGAAAGTCTAGAAAAGAAATGGAAATAGAAGTCTAGAAAAGAGTTTAATTGCGTATCTGGAGCCTTAGATCAAATTCCCCAGATACGCAATTAAACTCTTTTCTAGACTTCTATTTCCATTTCTTTTCTAGACTTTCTCTCCGCTCTCATAAATTCCTCACTTACCGATCACTCGCGAGTTTCGCAAGTCACGGTGAGTCCTATTTTACTGTAGCTTCTCTTAACAACTGTACTAGCCTGATGAAGGAGGGCATTCCCTCCGAAAGCTCGCAATAAAACAAAAATCGAAAATTCTACAACGTCAACACAAGAGATCATATACTTTTCTTACAATGTTTTTTATCTGCTAAACGAATAATTAAACTTCACAAGCATGAATAAATATAATAGGAAATTCTTTTTCCTTAAAACCCGCCTTCATTTGTGCCTCATTCTTTATGACCAGTTGCCCCAGTTCAGACATCAATAAGCATTTGTCTCTTTACGACCGGCTTCTTTTCAGACCTAATCGAACACAAAGCATAAAAGAAGAAAACACAGAGGCGAGAAAATGTCCGACGAAGCTCCACCACCATACCCGGGGCCAAAGAAAGCAGAAGACACTCCAGCTGATGGCTCCGAAACGAGCAAGACACAGACAGAAGAGCCATTTGATAACTCCAAGTTGCCGCCCCCACCTCCTTACTCAGGTTCTTTAACTTCTTCATTCAACTTGAGTAATGAATTCTAGCTGTCCCCGGTGCCGAACCAACCCGTCCACAGATCTTCATCGCTGGCCTAAGCACTCCAATAACCATTTCTCCTGATGCTACCCGCGTTCAGGTACTATAAAGAGGCTCGTCGTTTCCAAAGTCTTCCTCAAATGACCCCTCATTCTTCCTCCTTTTTATCACTCTTTCAGCTTTCTACCGAGGCAAGCCCTGAGCAACCAGAAAAAATCGAAAACTATCTCCTTCTTTCGATCTGCTCCATGATTTTCTGCTGCTTTCCTCTTGGTGTTCTCGCCACGCTCCTTTCTTGCCAGGTTTGAAACTCGTCTCCCTCAATCCCCTTTCAGCTCCTTCTAGGTTGGGATCCTGTTCCAACGAGGCGACTACCTGCACGCTAGAATCATCTCGCAGCGCGCTCGTCACGTCGCTTCAATGGCTATCATGATCGGCTGCTTCATGATCTTTGTCGATTATTTCCGACGATACAACTTCGTACGTTCATTTCTGTCGTTTAATTTCGTAACTAGAAGGTGCTTAAGGGTCTGGACTACGGGACAAACGGCATGGACGGAACGATGAATCCAAAAATATACGCCACCAGCGATGTTGATTACACCTCTAGCGAGACTCCAGGAGCGGCTTTTCAGCCAACAGATCCCTTTTCCGATACAGACCTTGATTCTTATACTGGTTCTTTTCGAGTACAAGAAGTTCAAGACGAGGATTCGTGGCATTTTGACCCTGTTGAGTTCTTTTTCGGAAGTGAAGGTTACAATGCGTCAGAATATCAACACGGTTTCAACCCTGACCCTCTTGATCCTCAGCCAGAAATCTCAGTCGACGACAGGTTAAATTCTTTTCTTCACCGGTGATTCATGCCATCCTTGATTATGCACACAAGATAAAACGCTAGAAAAAGAAGCTAAACCATGAAAAGAATATCGCGAAATCCGATTCATCTAAAAACTTGGGATAAAAAATCAATTGATTTTTTTCTCCAAAAGATTCAATAATTGACCCCCTTTTTATCATAATTCTAGTTCTTATTATATGGAGTATTGAGCCGCAAAAAAGACATCAACATGGACGAAATCGTCGCCGTCCCTCGTGGTCCCGCACCAGTCGTTCCTACGCCGCTCACGCCCGAATCCTAATTCAAATTTCAACTCTTTTTTTCTCCGATTGAAACATGCACGCTCTCAATACTTTAACCTACTTTATTATTGCTCTTTGATTTTCTTTTCAGTTATTTCATGTTCCGTAACTGCTTTTTCCTTTTCCGAAATTGATGCTCTACAAAATTTTTGTTTCTTTTGACGTTAAAAACCTTCAATCTTGGCCCAACAACCTGCCTAGAAACCTGAGTCAGGGCCTGAACTCGTCAACGCTTAAGGAAGACCCTGTGTCAGGTTTCTTCACAGGCTGCCGAGCCCGGACTTCAACCTTTCTTATTCATTTTTCGTGCAAAACTTGACAGAAAATTCGATACTAAGATGCTCCTATTTAAAAATTCGAAAATTGAATCTTTCCCTTGTCTAAATCAATTTGCCTTGATAATTCTTTATTTGGAAATCCCCTCCTTCAATGTTCTAAAAAAACTTTCTTTTGAAAGAAAATCTGCTCAAAATCGTCACTGAATAAATTACAGATAAATTGTTGCTGTAAGTCCTTCATGGCCTCCAAAATCGCTCTTATTACTGGAGCATCGTCTGGAATCGGGCTTGAAATCGCGCGAGGCTTGGCGAAGGCGCAGCATTATGTTTTTCTTGGTTGCAGGAGCAAGGTCAAAGGAGAGGCAGCTCTGAAGGAGATTCACAGATCGGATCCTTCGTCGAAAATAACTGTCAGAGATGGACTCGAGCTTTCGGACTTAGGAACTGGATTTTAGATGCTAGAAAATCAAGCTGTCTTTTATTTCGTTCTTTACGAGTCGATAAGTCGCTTCCTTCTTTCGATAAGTAAATCCGGTAAAGAAAGCGTTCGCCACTGGGCTGACAAAATTAAAAATGAACTCTCCCTGAACAACGATAAAATCGGCGTGCTTGTGTGTAATGCCGGCGTTATGCATCATCCCTTTCAACTGACAAAGGATGGATTTGAAACGCACATGCAAGTCAACTACTTGTCGCATTATGTACTCATCAAAGAGCTACAGGAAGTTTTGAAGGGTGGAAAAGTCGTCTTTACGACGTCTTCTTTGTATAAAAATGCTGATCCAAGGTAAGAAAGAGCGATTTACTGTCATTTACAGACGTTTATCATCAATTACAGCCTGCCCTATCTCTCCCACAGTCCTGAGAAAACTCCTGACTACGAAAAATCAGGTGGAGTAAGTGCTTATTCTCAGTCGAAAATGGCGATGAATCAATGCGCGATTGCTCTGACTGCTGCCATGCCTGATATTACTTTCGTCCTGACATCTCCTGGTGTTGTAAGAACAGACCTAGCGAGGCATATGGCTGGAAAGAGTGGGTTTCACAAAGTTATGGTCAACACTTTTTGGCATGGAATAGGAATGGTTTATTCAAGAAAAAAGATTATTCATAGAATGCAACACTTTTTCTTCGCTTTCTTTCGTTCTTCAATGGCCAATCGTTTTTCATGCTCAATTTCACCCATTTTTCGCTGATGATCAAGTAATTTCTTATAAGCCTCCAGTTGTACTCGGCTGGTAATTTCTCGTCGCCTTATTTCTTGTCTATCACAACTGTCTTTTACGATAACGAATACAAGAGCGCCCACAATAACATATCCCTTTAATATATTATTTAAAGTTTTTTGTCTTTTACCTAGCTCAGTCTTTCAGAATAATACTTACCAAATTGTTATTGAAATCATAAAGAACAATACTCAGATAAACCAATGCAAGGAATTTTATCTGAATAGGTATTGACACAAATTGTAGTATTCACATCTGTTTGAAAATTTGCAACTTACCAGCGCAAATATACTGTCAGCAAGCATTAGATTTTGATTCTTTATTTTCTCCTTTCCCCTTATCTCCTCTTTTGTCACTTCACTTTCGACAGTTTTCAGTAACTTCATTTGCTCTTCCATTTTTCTATTTTGAAATCGACTGTAAAAGCAGTAAATCCCTAGAAGAATAATTATCAACGTCGTCATATCCGGGAAAAAGCTTGTCAGCATGCTCTTTTTCGAGGATTATTGAATTATAAGATTCTTAATAATATCATAAACATATTCTCGAAATTCCTGTAGCATCTGCGTAAAAAATGAGCGGAGAAACTCCATCCTTCAGATTGAATAACTTTTTCTTCTCTCGAAAAATCTCAGCACTTTTTGACTTTGCAGGAGGGCACTTAACTTTACTAACAAAACGTTTTTTATGACCATCATCAAACAACAATTGGTAACCGGCGGAAGGGAAAACGCTTTTATTGGCATGAATAAATCATTTACAGGCCGACTCATTCTGCATTCTCCAGAATCTGGTGCTCGACCTGGACTCACCGCTTGTGGCGATTCGACAATCAAATCTGGAACTTATCTGACCCAAAAAGGCCCCGAAGAGCTGACCAAGGAATGCATTGACCCTGAAGCTATCTGTAAGTCTCCCAAAGAAAGACTCTCTTCATTTCATTTCTAGCGACAATCATCGAAAAAACTGAAAAGCTCTTGTCTGCCGGAACTGAAGTTTGATGCCATAAAAATGCCGTTTCTTTCCTTGTGTACAATTTATTTTTTAAAAGAAATGTCTGCCAACATTCTTGTCTGTATTTTTCAGTAGCATGTCTCTCATTTTTTTTCCGTGAGTTCATTCACTGTCCTTTCTTATTCTTCAATACTTCTACCTGCTTCAAAATGTTTTCAATCAAAGCTTTCTTCAGAAATCGGGAAACAAGAAAAATGTTAAAAACAAGTCGATTTGTAAGAAAAAGAATTGAAACAAGGCTTTTTACAGCTGATACTTGGAAGCCAGTTTTGTTGAATAAAGCGATCTTCTCGGACAAGCCGTATAATTTGAGCGAAGTCACAAAAGGAAACAGTACAATGTACAGTGGCGTTTGCGGTTGCCTCCCTGTTGGAGCGTCCCTCGTTGCCTCCCTATCCAGACGCTCTTTTTCTAGAAGGGCGCATTAAATCGAACCAGAAATCGTCCCGCGTTGCCTCCCTCTCTAGACGCGTTTGGATAGGGAGGCAACCGCAAACGCCACTGTAAGTAAGAACCTGCGGCCCTTGCCGCTATTTGAAACGCCATAAATTCGTTATAAGTTATTAATCCTCATTAATATATGAGTTCCTATTTGTCGCCCTACAAAATGATGCGAAATGGTTAAAATTAGTCACATCACTGTAAACGTACAGATACAATTGTTAATTGACTTTTCAGATCATATCATCAACGAACACAAATAGAAGAGGAATATCTCATGATGACTCTCCAAACAGAATCGCCTCTCGTCCTGACCTGCGTGTCAAAGTACTGCAATCAATGTTCCTTTGCCTCTTCGGAAATGGGAGTCCTCTCGCGCGCGCAGCCCAAAGTCCGCTACTTGACAGTCGACATCGAGGATCATCCATACATCGTCGACGATCTAAAGATCGACGCTGTCCCGACCTACTGCATCTTCGTCAATCGAAAAGAAGTCTTCAGAATAACGGGAAGAATGAACACTGCTGGAATTCAGTCGCTCTTCGAAGCGTTGAATACTTACGCCCAATTTCCACTCGATAAAGTTGAGAAAAAAGATAGCGGAATGAACGATTTCAAGTTTTTTCCGGTTGAGCCGTATGGAGTCGTCGAAAATTGGGACTTGGACCGAAAGACACAACTTTTACGGACAATCGCGCATAATATCGGAGCTGGAATAAGGTAGGAAACGACCTAAATCCTCAACATAAAACTCACATCTAGTCATACAGAAAGAACGATGGTAAGAAAGAACCCTCTTGAGCTGAAGAAATCGACGGGATTGCTGGCAGAGCAGAAGGCGAAATTAACCGTTTTGGACGAGCTTCGAAACTTGCAGCCAGGAGAGTCGGGCTATTCAGCGCTGGACAGTATTTTCTACGATTTAATTCACGAGTTGAGGCAAAATGCCTGGGCTCGCAAACCTCCTACGTTTTTCAAAGGTACCCTTACAATTTTAATTGTTTTTGTTAGTGGATTTTTTCAGGAAATGATCGAGAAAAGGACAAAACATCTCGTCAATTTTCACTCGAAATTGGTTCACCAGCGCATACGATTTCTCTCCAGTAAGTCTTCTTCACTTCATTTTTCGGTAACGAGCTTTTAGGCTTGCAAAGCAGATTCAAGACGACTTTCTCGCGGATCCGAAAGTGTCAAATATGATCAAGTATCAACGAAATATGGCGACTGTTATGGACGATTATGACGAGGGAGACGCATCGCTAGAATATGAATTCTCGTCCGTTATTGCTCGACGAAAGGTAGAACCGGGCATTGTTTCGACTGTTGAATGTTCTAGGGTCGATTTTTGCAAAACTGTCGTCCGAAAAAATCCCCTTCCTGGCGATTAACTTTCGTCGAAAGAGCTGAAATCATCAAACAAAGAGCCTCTCTCACGGGAGAGATTCTATCACCCGCCACATTCCGAAAGATCCTGCCACCGTCGACGAACAGAATGATGGACGCGTTCTTGGATGCGCAGGCTGGATATTTGTATGAAATTTATATCGACATGAAGTCGATAGGCGACGAGTATTCGATAGATTATGGAATAAGAAACGAAGGAAAAGTGAGATTTTTACTGTCCAACGAATAAACAACCAAAAATGCTGAAATTTGCTTGGTTTTTATTGTAGAATGCTGCGTGCATTTTTTCCCTTTTTACAATCGTTTCGAGCTTCAAGCATATGTATCCGTAGAATGACAGAAGGTCGGCCTTTTCCCGACCGGATCTTCTGGCTGGATGCCGAAATGACCGGTCTCGATGTTCTCGGAAAAGATTCAATCATGGAAATAGCCTGTGTCGTTACTGATGGAGAGTTGAACGTAGTAGCAGAAGGGCCAGAGCTGGTGTTTGCAATGACGAATAAGCAGCTGAAGAAAATGGGGCCGTGGTGCAGAAAAACGCATGGCGAGAGTGGATTAACGCAAAAGTGCAAGTAAGATGGAGATAGAAATAAGCACAATTGAAAATTGATTTGTAGGGATAGCGATTTGACGCACGAAGAAGGAGACGAAATCCTCGCCGATTTCATTCGAAAAAATTGTCCGAAAGCGCCGCTTGCCGGAAACTCTGTCCACGCGGATCGCCAATTTATGTGCAAAGAGCTGCCAAAATCGGTCAAGGAACTTCATTACAGAATCATTGATGTTTCGAGCATCAAAGAGCTCGCAAAACGATGGTATCCTGGCCTCCCGGAACGCAACAAAGACAGAAAGGTCTTAACCATAAGCCGCTGAAAAGGTCAAATACTGTTACCTTCAGACTGGAGTTGGAGGAGCTCACACGGCGAAATACGATATTTACGAGTCGATAGAGGAGCTCAAGCATTACCGCAAAAATGTCTTCAAAGATAAAGCTTCCGTTTCTCTCGACTGAACATCATTTTTAATAGATACTTCCTGCCAATTATCAAAATAAAACAACTTTTCTCTTAGAAAAACTGTTCAGACCCAATCGATTTTGAAATCAACGAAGAGAGGATGTAAAAACTCGTTATTCCAAAAAATTGAAAAGAAAAAAAGAGTTGAAAGAGGTTCTTTTGAAGACGAATGGCTGAAGGAGAATTCATCAACTCGTAAGTCACTTTCGCTTCTCTGAAAGTTACCTTATCTATTGTTTAAATATACAGTTATTTCCCGTTCATTTATTGTCCTTCTGAATAGACCCTTTCTCATCATCATCATGACCATATCAGAATAATGAAAAAATACTCAAAAGGCAATTCCTAAAATAAACTAAGGCGTGTTCCAGGGTGTTCCCCTATCGTTCCAGACGGTTCCTAAATATTTAAGAAAGAGAGAAAGAGACAATATGATATTTACCTAGCTCGTTTCGTAATTTTACAAACAAGCCTTCGCCCGGTCTGTGAAGTTCGATTTTTTTCGATGCTCGTTTCGCACATTGTTAATCAATCGGCCAGTACTACTAATAGGCCCAGTACTGATACAAAGAGGGTGTAATGTCTACAAAAAAGGAGAGTTACAGAGGCTTAAGAATTAATGAAAACAGAGAAATGATATCTTACTGTTTTAGTTGAACTTCCGAAAGGTTGGAAATATTTTTTTAAAAAATTAAATTTACCCTTGAAAGTCTACCGTTTTTGTCCAATTAGAAATAAAGACTCCTAATTTCAGATTGACAAGTGACAGTTGTAAATCTAAGATTGATAAGCTGTATAACGAAGTAAGGGTTTCTCAACCATAAATCTACTTTTTACCTTAACTTAATGTATTTATTTCATGACTTACATTCGATTAGACTGGTGTATTTTGATAAAGTCGTTCTACTTGGTCACTCAAAGTAGTAGAATTTCTATTTGTGGAAGTAAATACTTCTAAAACTTATACTTTAGAAATTTATAAAAACTAACTAATCCCTTGGTAACTTCAAATAAAGATCCTATCCCAACTCAACGCAGGCTAGAGCTCAAAAAATATCTTTCATCAATCAAAAATTAATCCTTCTGACAAAAAGACTCTTCTGAAAAAAGAATCTATCTCATAATCTTCATTATGCGGGGTGGCGTTTAATCTAAGAGAAAGAGTCAGCCCAAATGTATAATGAACGACTAGAGATCGATATTTCCCCAGAACAGTTGGGATAGAGAGAAAGAGAGAGGCGAAACAATCCCAAAAACGTCTCCCCTGAGTACATTATTCTGACATTGAAAGTTGACTCTTTTCTTTTTTCGCGCTTCTAATGGGCTTTTGACCGCAAAGAACGAAAAAAAAAGAGAACGAATTATGCCCAATTCAGACCAAATTTTTGATCTCTTGCGTTTTGAAAATAATGTCTATGTGGACTTATCCTCTAATCCGTCCGATGGAAGTGATGATGAGAAAGATGAACAAAGGTTTGACCCCCTTCATAAACCCCAAAGCTCCCCAAAGTCTCGCCAAAACAAAATTACCTCTCTTCTTTTAGGGAACAAGGTTCAAACTTGACAGTACCGGAGGGAGGACAATCAGGTGGCGGCGTTTCACGAGGCAGCGGGTCGAACGCGCGCGCTGAGACGCCTGAGCTTACCCGACGTCCCGACAAGTCATCGTCGAAAAAAGGTCTCCTAAAGGTCCTCGCGCCGCGAACAGTTGGAAAACGACAGAGCGAGTTTTTGAAATTTTTCAAAGAAGAGATCCCCGAAAACGAGCCTCTTATTGCCGACTTCAGGTGAGATTCGAGCCTTATTTTTCTCCTTGATTTCATTTTTTAGCTGCGCTCTTGTCCGAGACATCCTGGTCCAAGGCCGTCTTTTCCTCACCCCGAATTACTGCTGTTTCCATTCCAATATCCTCCGCTGGGAAACAAGCGCCGTGATACCTTTCACTGATATCACCAGCATTTCAAAAGAGAAGACCATCAAAATCATCCCAAACGCCATCTCAGGCCCGGATCCTTAATTTTCATCGCTCTTCAAATAATTATCTTAAAACGGCCAATCAAACGTATTTCCGCCCTGCTCAGTGAGCAAATCTCGTTTTATATTTTCACAACTGAGATTAAAAAATCAAATTTCTTAAATCACAACTTGAAGGGCAATTTTGGATCCTTAGAAAAAGTTGTTTGTCATCAGAACAAATACATCTTTACGTCATTTACTGCCAGAGATCGTGCGCTTCACATTTTCACGAAATTCTGGAGGTTCAAGGTAAGCCTTTTTGTCGTAAAAATAGACTCGAACGCGTTGGGTTGATAATAAAGTTAACATTGAGTCTGGATAGTGAATCCTTTTTCTGGGTTAAAAGCCCATTAGCGAGTATCTCTGATGAATATAAAGAAATCTATCTAAATAAAATATTCTGAGCGGGGTTTATATGCACCAATCTTACTTTCTCGGCCGTTCCGAAAATCAATAATTAATTGAATCAAAGCAAAACCGAGAGAACAAGAACATCGAAATGGCGAGCCAAGAGAACGAAGAACTGCCACCACAGCACGATGACGATGATGGAGATCGCATCTCGCAGGCGAGCAACAATTCAGAAGGTATGACTTTTCACTTTTCTAGAGCATTTATTTTCAATTCAAATTTTGATCACTTACAGCTAGATTAGAATAGAAAAAGAGATGAAGAGGAGGCAAGAGTTAAAAAATAGATATGAACAATTTAAAAATTCCATGGCTCGCGGTGACCCTGAAGGATCTTATAATGGTTTGCTACGTTGCCTTGTTATAATGGTTTTTTTATCTGCAAATCATCAATTGTCTTTCAGAAAATCTGGAGCCTCCATCGCTGCATCATGAGGACAAGCTCTCGAAATGTTTCCTCGACGTCGTCTTCCCGATCCCCATCGATACACTATTCTCGCTCGTTTGGTTGACGGACTCGCCATTTTGGAAGAAATTCATGACAGTAAGAAAGACGAAAAATTGGTACGCAGAAGAATGGAGTGAAAAGGATGGCGAATATCAGCGAGAATGCAGATGTCTACAGGTAAAGGAGAGCAAAAAAGCGTGAATTGAGCAGTTTTCTTAGCATGTTCAATTGCCAATGGGCGCAAAAGATGTTCCACAAGTCGATAATCATACGATGATTGTGAATGAAAGCGGGAGAAAGATAGTTATTGATGCTAGAACTTATATACGAGAGGTAGGTCTTCCTTTATTTATCCCAGGAAACAATGCTTCTAGGTACCGTATGGACCGAATTTCCACGTCCTGAATCGCTGGCAATTCCTAAAAGCGGAAAATAATCGATGCCGAGTTCGTGTTGCCACGCAAATTGTGTAAGAAAGCCTCTTTAAATTTCTCCCACTCATATTTCTTTGTAGATATGATAAAGCCTGCTGGCAGGTGGTGAAAACATTCATCGACAAAAATGCGTACGAAGGGAATCAAGAGTTCATGGAGGGCTTCAGAGACGAGCTTAATCGTTTCATCGAATCTGGGTCGGTTCATCCCAGTCCGACGCTGGATGATTTGACTGATGAAACGCAACGAGAACGAAATGGAACAAAGATCTCAGGTAAAAACGGCCCTTTATCTTCTTTTCCCTACAGTTTTCTAGTTAAAAAAGCAACCCCAAATCCAGACGAGCCAGAGCCGCTGCCCGAAGCCGTGACTACGCCTCCCCATGTGCCGAACCTCTCCTACCCGCGTGGAATCGACCATTCTGGGGCGATCCAACACTGGGCCATCTTTCTCTTCTTCTTTGTCATCGGAATCCTCTTGTACACATCCTGGAGCTTCAACGCGCGGCTCAATCAGTTGGAAACGAGGACGATTGTTCCTCCACCAGTTTCTGCTCAGCAAAAGTAAGAGAATCAACCTCTCCGCCTCCTTTCATCCTTCTTTTAGCGAAAACAGAGTTGAAGAGCTTCTACTGAAGCTTATCGAAGAAGTGCGTCATCTTCGGAGCGATCTTTCTTCTTCAAACATTCCCAGCAGTTCAAATTTCAAAAACGAAGAACTGTAATTGAAAATTATTCATTTTCGACATTTTTCTTCATCCTGTATTTGAATATTCCTTAACTTATTTTATTAAACAAACATTCAAAAAAACAAAAATCCTCTTTCACTCATGTTTTTATTCTCTCTCGACTCATATCTACGAATTGTCCATTTTTCTTCACCTTCAAATACTGAATTAAAACTAGAATTCTAAGCGTTGCTATGCTCAAAAACCTGTGTAGAATCCTGAGTCGGGATGTCAGAGGCCTTTTCATTGCGCGGCTTTTTTCATAACCCTGACTCAGGTTTCTGCACAGGTTGCCGAGCCACTAGCTCATGTAGAAAACTTGTAAAAAAGGGATTTGTAGAAAATGGGAAGCGTAAAGGATGTTTGGAAGCCGGAGGAAAACGGGTTGGAGAAAGATTTCAGATTGATCAATTTCACCGGGTTAAAAGGGTGAGGTACGTAAAAGCCCATTAAAAGCAGGATGAAAATTTCTTTGAATAGGATGCAAGGTTCCACAGGAGAAACTGCTCAAACTCCTGTCGAACCTTTCCGCCCCCGCGAATGCACCATCGAAGCCAGAAAAAGAAAACGGCTGTAGTCACAAAAACGCGCCAATAAAAACTGAAGAGATAGGAATCGGACTGGATTGTTGCGTCCAGCCGATTCCAGAATCCGATTTATTCCTCGTCCAAACTACTGACTACTTTTATCCGTTGATTAACGACCCGTACAAAATGGGCTGGATCGCCTGCAACAATGTTATTTCTGATTTGTATGCGATGGGCGTCTCTCGAATCGGTAAAGATGATGATATCACGCTTTCTCTTTTAATTTTGCTCTCAGATAATGTATTGATGCTCCTGTCAACTTCCACCAAATTCACTACGAAACAGGAGGACGCAGTTCTGCCACAGATTATGTCGGGCTTCAGGGACTGCTGTTTCGCCGCTGGAACTCAAGTTAGAGGAGGGCAAACGACCAGAAATCCCTGGGTGCTTCTTGGAGGTTGTGCTACTTCAGGCTCGTGTTTTGAGAAACCATAATTCTATTCATTATTGGACGTAATCATTTAATTTCTGAAGGTTTCCATTCTGTAGAAATGTGGCATTATCTTTGTACCGACCCTCTTGTGGCAAGCCTTCACAATCAGAGCTCTTTTAAGTCTTAGAAAACATTTTATTGGTTGTCTTTTTCTTAAAAATATTTCCTATTTTCAAAACGCTTGAAAGTTCTCTCAAAAGATAATTTCGTCCTGCCAAACGGTGCTAAACCCGGCGATCTTCTGATCCTCACCAAGCCCCTTGGAACCCAAATCGCTGTCAACTTGAACCAGTGGCTCGACGATGAAGACACTGACAAATTGAAGCCGACAGGAATGAATGATGAAGATGTACGAAAGGGATACGATGCGGCGACCGTTTCAATGATGACCCTCAATCGAAAAGCATCGAGTCTTATGCGAAAATATAAGGTGAAGGTTTTATGTTGATCTTTTTGTAAAGTTTCTAGGCGCATGCGGCGACAGATGTTACTGGATTTGGAATTCTGGGTCATGCTCAGAATTTAGTCGAATGTCAAGAAGAAGAGCTTGATTTTATCATTGAAAAACTGCCGATTCTAAATAAAATCGCCAAAGCTGATGATGGCATGGGAAGAATGTTCCAACTTGTCAAGGTTGTGATCGTGATTTTGACACAGAAAGACTTGATTTTCAGGGTTATTCTGCCGAGACATCTGGCGGACTTCTCCTCGCCATCGACCCGAATGAGGCGGATAAATACGTCGCTGAGTTGAAAGCGGCCAACGGTCACGATATCTGGATAATCGGAAAGGTCACTTCTGGAAGCCGAAAAGCCACGATCATCCCCGAAGTCAAAATTATCGACGTCGCACTTGATGAAAATGAAAAAATCATCTCTCTCTAGTCCAATTTTATAGTTTCAATCCTCTTATACCAATTTTTCGCGCTACTAGTACTAGTCAGTTGCTTTTTTGCCTTTTTGTCTTCAACAAACCTCCATCCTGAGATTTTTCTACTTTTTCTTTCTTTCTTTTCGTGGATCTCGGTTTTTGAAAGATTGAGCACCTTTCAATCCCTGATCTGTTTCTTTGCTTTTTGATCTTCTCGAGCGTATGAAGTTTTTTGGCGAAACCACAAAAAGCTGGGTCCAAAAATGCTGATCTTTTTTCTCAAGCTAGGTCTTTGAGCTTTTTCCTTCCTTCCTTCTGCTAGAATAGAAATACATCAATAGAAACTGCTATTTAGACCACAAATACCTTGGCCCACAGCCTAGTTCGCGGAACCAAAGGCAGAAACTTGAGTGAGGGTCTTGAAAGAACTCAAATTAAAGATCTCCGAGGACCCTGACTCAGGTGTCTTTGCATGATGTGAGCCCAGGATCGGAAAACTTCTCATTTTCTTCTCCCTAGTAAGAATGGTCGATGTAACTCGAAACGATCTGGTAGAACTCACTACTAGAAATGGCAAACACACTGGCACCGTTCTCTACTTTAACAAAAACAAAGAAACGAACGACTACGAAATCAAGCTGAAAGATGTCAAGACAGAATCTGGCCGCACAATCAGAGCCCAGCGATTCAAGAAAAGCCAAATCACCGACTTGAAGACTCTGACAAAAGTTCGGAACGCTGAAGATCTTCCTGCTCCAAAAACTGCTCATTGGATTACCGATCCGGGAAATACCAACTTTCCACCAGAAATCGCGGGTTGGTCAAAAGCGATTGGAAGGAAGGAGAAAAAGTTCTTCCTTGGAAAATATGAAATTGTCGACAATCGAGTGGATTTGACCTCGACGCTCGTGAAGTTGAAATCTTCCTCGCAGCTTTCTGTCTCTTTTGAGGTAACCAAAGCTGTTTTTATCAACAATAAAACCGTTTCCAAGCCATCAGCAAGTGGCGAAATCGCTGAAGCAAAAAGTATCAAATACGTCTGCTTCAAATCTAAGAAATTCGAGCCTGTTTTCATCATCGATATGGAGAAAATAGGCGAAGAATTGGTGATTAAACACGGCATCAAAACCTTCATGACTTCGAAAAGCAGGAAGAAAATCATGTCACATTCTGCTGTTGCTGTCAGTGCATGCAAAAATCTACATTTCTTCGATCCAAAGGAAATGGGTTTTCAAAAGACCATAAATTGTGGCCCATAATTTTTATTAGGGAGAGCTTAAACGGTATCGAAAACGATTCATATTATTGAGAAACCAGAGTTAAAACTCAGTCTCACAGTGAGACTCTCACTGAAAGTAAACTTCATCATGAAGTCCTCATGTAGGTATGAAATTTCTTGTAGTTTGTGACTTCTCGGCTAGAGACTTTAGTTAAAAGTTCTTTAATCATCAATATTCATTGTTGAAAAAATAATAAATTATTATTAATAATTATTATAATTCATTTGAACTAATGAAAACCTTGTCGTAGTCACTCCAAGACGTTGAAGTCCTCGGCTATCTAGTGGCAAATCAGCCTCAATCCTCCCACTTTCAAAAATTCACTGCCTTGGCGAAACTCCTCCTTGATATCAACCTCGCACCTGAGTCTACAAACGCCTCTCTCAAAAACCCCTCTGATGAAACATTTATGAAAATGGCTGGCCGCGTAAAAGCCCTCGATCTTGTCAAAACAAAGCTTGAAGAAATGCGAGATTCAAAGCTCAACAAATGCTATGAAGCGATGACGAAGTTGAAATCGGAAGAAAAAGGAAATTATGAAAAAGGAATGGTCAACGAAATCGTCCGAGATATCGTCCATTCACCGCCAACTGAGACAAAGATTCTTCATTTCTGAAAACCTGAAAAAACTGGAATAAAATAGAATGTGTTACGTCATCCTAATGAATTTTCTTGTTTTAGGACACGTGGCGTTAGCTCCGGCTTGAATTCGGACTTGGAAATTGGTGAAACAAAAGAGAGAAGATAGTAGAAGATGCATGGCTACAGAGTTCAAAATGAATACACGAGTTTTCCGTTTTTAACGAGAATAGCTGCTACTTACTCCTTTTTGGTCACGTGTGGTTTTGTCTTTGGAAAAGTCTCACCGGTAAATCAGTCGAAAGAGTCGCCATTCCCCTCTTACAGTTTTTCTATAGAACAGTCTGATTTATGACGAAACAGAAATCGCCTCGGGCGAGTGGTGGCGCTACCTGACCGCCCACCTCTTTTTCGGCATGCATCAGGCTCGTCCTGGCGCCATCGTCCGGTACATCATCGTCGGCATGAATTTTCTACGATACTTTTACTACATGGAAAACTATTTCTTCTTCCAGCGAAAGTTCCAATTCCTGACGATGATTTTTCTCTTCTTTGGCGCTGCGAATGCTTTTGCTTCTTTCAACGAAGTCGCTGGTTTTTATGGAGATGTTGTGAGAATGGCGATTATAACCGCGTGGTCACAGATCTACTATCAGGTTCGGAACAAAGGGATCTTTTCAAATGACCAACCCCGCGTTTTAGGACAAGTTCTCGGTCGTTGCTGGTCTGGACCTGACGAGATTCAACGCTACGAAGCTTCCTCTCGTCTGGCTCGCATTCTTCTCCTTCATCGACTATCCTCTTTCGATCGCTCCTATCTCTCCAGTGCCTCACATGCTCTTTGGAATGGTCGTTGGATATCTTTATTCTTTCCTCGCTTTCAGGTTTCATCCTCCCCCTATTTCATTTACTTACCTTTTTCTGTAGATTTGGAATGGTCCCTGAAGGCCTGACCCAACGAAGAGAACCAATCATTCACGAACTCATCTACCCAGGCGAAATGTTCGTCTACATCGTCATCTCAGTTCTTCAGGGCGGCAGAATGGTATGAAAACGACTCTCAGACTACGACCTCACATTTTGTGCAATTCTTGATTCTTCTTTTTCTGTGAACTTTGATTTATATAATAAAAGACAAACAATGAATTTACAAAAGCAGATTCTTTTGGAGTCGATCCTTTGATCAGAAAAGAATCAGAATTTTCCTCGATCTCTTCGTTGTCTTCAACAGGATTCTCAAAAAATAGAAGACACGCACAAAAATAAATCGATGCTTTTTAGCTCTATAAACTTTCTTTTTATCATACCTCTGCGGTTTGGTAGCGATCTTCCGCAGGATAAGTATCAGAAACCGCGGAAGGAAACAGTTAAAATCGTCAAAGACCGGCAAACTAAGAACTCCCTTGCCCGATTACAATATCATTAATTTCGCAATAATGTTTTGAATATTTCGACAAAGCAATTCACATTTATCGCATACACCGGCTTTTTTGTTAATAAATCTTATGGTTGTGGTTCTGACCTTCCGGAAAAGACCATGAACTTACGAAAAAGTCAGCACAAAAATGTCAAGTCAGGCAGTTTCTTCGGTTTCTCAGGTGCACAACATAAAATAAAAGCAGATTTTATTGAAGAAAAAGGATAAAAACATAATTTCAAAATCGACGTTCATGACCCGCTTGAACCGCGCAAAGATTAATTATCCTAGTTCTTGTCGTAAAAACGATAATTCACATAAATACGACGTTGACAGGCTGGATTAGGCAGTCAGAGAGCTTCTCTAAGAAAGATGAAGTTACTTTCTTCCGTTGTACTCGCCGCTGAGGCAACTAAGAACTCATCCAGTTCATATCCTGGCTGTGATTTACCGAGAGTGAGAAAAGGATGTCACAAGGTAAACGGACCGGTTTTCGGATCGTCGGTGAAGTGCATGAATCAGTGCTCTTATTTCAAGGAACGGAATTTGAGATTTTTTGACAAATTTTTGTTTTTTTTTTATCTTTTCGTCATTGAACCCTTTAAAATTCCAGTCAAAAAGCAAGCTTCGAAAACAAAAACCAGGGTCATCAATCGTAAATATGGCTCCGTTCTTTTCTCCGTCGATTTCAAAGGAAAAGTCCAGCCACCAGCTGAGGAAGATTACACTGGAATGATTCGCTTCAAGAAGTCCAACTGTGGGGCCTTCGTTACAAAACACCATCTTCATATGCAAGATTTGCACGTCTCCTTCTCCGATCGACAGCTCGACGTCTACGAAAATCAGTTCATCGGACACCAAGCTCCGAAAAAGGATTGGATGGAGCACAAAGAAGCCACTCTTATTCAGTTTTCTCGACGATATCAAAAGAAAGAGCTGAAGGACGAGAAAGGTGACTCTTTCCTGATGGAGGTTAACTTCGATGAAGATGCGCACAGTTTTGATGATGTTGAACAATGCGTCACAAAAGCCAGTTATTACTTTATGACAGAGGTAAGGATCTATAAATACCTAGAGTCTATCAGTGAGTGTCTATCAGATATTCTTCTAATCTTTTGAATTCAAGGACACCTCGGAAAGCCACAACGAAGATTACACAAAATGCATGCTCCACACTCTCTACAAAGAAAAAATCGACTGGGAAGAAACCTTTCAACTCCCGCCTCTTTCCATGCCAAAAACGAAATCATGTTCAGATCCGCGAATCTCTCCAAGGATCGCAGGTGGCCAAGAGACGAAAAAAGGACGATATCCTTGGTTCGCGTGGAGCGAAAAATTTGGCAAAGCAGAGGATGAAAACTGCGGCTTGACAATTTTGACCAAAAACGAGGACGGAAGTGATGACTGGCTTTTGACAGACTCGTGGTGCTGCTACTTCCATCCGAGTGATTGGGATATTCACGTTGGCGCTCATAATTTGGAATATCCAAACGACGATGAATTCATCATCAATCCTATTGAATACAAACAAGGACAATTCCCCAACGGAAACCACTGCATAGTAAGAGTTCCGAATTTGATCGACAGTGCGCCTCAATCGTGCTCCGGGGGATCGTGCTTTGAACCCGCATGCTTGTCTGACGAAGAACTGGAAGAGTAAGTTCTATTTGTGTTTCTAGAGCACTTATTTCAACCATTTTTAGCGGAACTAGCTGTTACATTGCCGGATTCGGCGGACAAAAAGACGCTGATTATAACTACGGCTATAATAACTTCACTGATTACTACTACTATGGATATGAATGGCCAGAGCAAGCTAAAATTCTCCGCGACGCTCCTCTCATCGTTTTGGATGGCGAACTTCGATCTCTCAACGAAAATGATCAAGCAAAAGCTTGTCTTGGTGATGCAGGCGGAGCGCTGATTTGTCTCATTGATGACTACCCTATTCTAACTGGCGTTCTCGAATATAATGGCGGTTCTTGCTATGAACTTGATGATCAGATTTTGAGTTCGGTCGACGCAAGTGAAATCGAGGATTTTATTCAGAATCCACCACCATTTGAAGGAACACTCCCTGGGCCTCTTCCAAATGCGACTTTTGAGGAGCCGTCCTGGAAAAACATGACATGTGAGACGCCTTTAGAGCCGATTGAGAGCGAGCCTCTTGCAAGAATCATCGGAGGAAGACATGTTCCGATCGAAGCTCATCCTTACTATGTGAACTTTGACTTCAGCTGCGGAGGAACATTGATCACCAACTTCGATGATGGTTCTAGTGATTACGTTCTGAGCGCTGCGCATTGCTGTTTCTACTACGATGACAATTACGCCTACTACAGCTACTACAATTATGGTGAATCGAGTGATCCTCAAGTACACCTTGGAATGTCAAATGAAGCAGACACTTCAGGCGATTGCAATTTATCACTTGATATTGAAGATTTCAAGATTCACAATAGTTATGACCATTGGAATTACGATTACAATGGGCAAGGTTTTCTTTTACCTTGTTTTATGAAAGACTATGTATTATAAAACCTTAAAAGAACTGAACCGGGAATTCCTCACGACGTCTGCCTCCTCAAGATCCCAAACGTCAAACAGGCTCTAGAAAACAAACTCGGCGCTGACGGTCCAGAAACATGTGCTTCTAAGATCGCACCAGCTTGCCTCCCTGCTGATCACGTAGCTGACGGTTCTTACTGCAAAGTTGCTGGATATGGCGTTGGAAACGAGCCTTCCAACCTCTTGAATGAGGTCGGTCTTCATACTTTTTCAAACGAGTACTGTAACGCGACAAAAATGGTCGATTTCCAAGCGGGAGAGTGGGAGACTCAGGTATCTATTATTTCCTAAAAAAGAAAAAAAAAACATATTATTTCAAAGTTCTGCGCTGGAACCCCCGATTTTGACGACGACGGAAAGACAGATCCTGGCAAAGGCCCTTGCTACGGTGATTCTGGTGGACCCCTAGTCTGTGAAGCTTACGGAAAGCCAGTTGTTTATGGAGTTGTTTCCTGGGGCGAGGAATGTGCTGGACGGAATGCACCAGGAGTCTTCGCCAAGGTCTCCTATTATGTCGACTGGATCTTCGAAACGATGGCAAATCTCTGAAATCCAAAAAGAGATCTGCAATTCTAGCGTTTTTTTTTTCCTGCACTTAATCACTATAAAGTCCTGCCTGCCCTTAAAATTTCCCTGTTCCTGATTGAAATAAAACATTTAAACACAAAAAATTCAAAAATCCATTTTCGGTCGAAAAAACAAGCCCGGCTGACTCTAATTTTTTGGATTGTGTTCTTTGCAATATTCACATTTCCTGGTTTTATTAGATCTCAGCTGATGAAACAAGCACCCTTGCTCATTTTCTCTCCAGTTCTGGGACATGTCGCATGTTTCGCTTATTTCTTATTCATCGTCCTTTCTCCTAAAATATTCTAGCGCGGAGAGAGCATTCTGAGATGAGAGACCGCAGGACCAGCAGCATCTCGCAGCTTTTTTCGAAAACACTAGAGAGCATTTCAAAGTCGACGAATAGAAGCCTCAAGAATGGAAACAATCTCCTGCTTCAGGAGAGGAGCAAAATGAGCAATTTTAATTTGAATATCAGTCCTGGTTCTTCGGGATATGGGAGCTCGACGGGGTCGTCGAAGAGTTTTTCAACGTCGGGGAAAAGAATTATGCTTCAACAGAATTCAGGAACGTTTATTTTATCTGACAGTAAAGAATCGCAAAATTATGCAGGTGCATTCGCGGTAGATACTGTATCTATTCTTATATAAAATAAAGGAAGATGTTCATAACTTTCTCAGTTTAAGCGACTTAGTAAGGATAAGTTATCCTGGAGTACTCCATATAAAAACTCGGTTCATTTTGTTATTCTTGCGGTATCCTTCACTAACAGCAAACTTTTTGTTGTCGCAACATTTTAAATGTCAAAATATAAGAGGATTATATTCTTTTGAGAATTCTCTTATGAAGCGCTCTTTCGAACATCAGCAAAGAATGAAAACTGATTCATTTTGTATTTTTTTCTTTATTGGAATCGAAAATCGAATCGCTTATTTATCCCTGCAAAAATCATCAGTGCATTCAACTGAATAAAGATTTATGCATGAAATCAAATTCAAAATAAACAAAAAAGGCGTTGGAATTCATCAAGTTATCAACCCTGTTAAACGATGCACAATTCAACCCATTCCGGTAAGAAGCTTTCGGATTGATTTAGGGAAACCATTGATGATCTGGACGATGTTTTCGTGGTGAAACCCTTATTTTTTGTTCAGATAACGAATCAAATCGCCATCCTCCAAAAGAAAAAGTCCTGGTACCAGTGCTCCACCGAATACGAATCCGACATTTCAGAAGGCTCCGATTCTGAGTTTGAAATCTACCGCGCTAGGTAGTATTATTAATACTGTATTAACCTCAATTGTTATTTTTTCTTAACCTCGAGTTATTGAAGATGAAAAGGGCTCACGTGTTGAGGCTCCTTTTTATTTCGATAAGTTGTTGGCCAGCTGGCTTAGTTAATATTGAAAGCAATGCTCTGAATCAACTGCATTTTTAAAACTAACGTGCTGTAGGAGACGAGTGCCACTTCATCGCAACGATATTGTACGCCTCAGCGAGCCACTTGCAGCCTCTCAGCATCTTTCTGATTGTGTTCAGGTAAAATTCAATTCTGTAAATATTCAGTTCTACAATTTTCTATTCTAGCGGCCAAGTTCGAAGCTAGAAGCTGCGACAGACCAAATAACAAGACTTGCGGGGTTTGGCAGTGCTTGCATGAGGGAAATTTGTGAAAGAAAGAGTTATGAAGATCATTTAGACAAAGTCAGGAAAGAAGTGGAGAAGGAAAATATGCGACCGATTCGACTCGTTCCTCTAGCAGGTAAAATAGGAAGTGGCCTTGTTCATCATCATGATTGCTGCATGCCTGCCCTTGTTCATCCTTTGGGCCACGTAGCCTTACTTTCAGGCGCCATTCTGAATTAAGGCTACGTGGCTCAAAAAATGAACAAGGCAACACATGCAGTAAATAAGGGGTGAACAAGGCCAGTCCCTATTTTTCAATAGAATTTGTTTTATTATCTCTTTTTAGGAGTGCACCAGGACGAGCTGCGCGCGGTCCGCAAAAAGATCGCCACAAAAGGCAAAGAAGCAAAAAAGTAGAGAAAAAACGCGCAAGCATTTTTTTTACTGAAAAGAGAATTCGTCCCTATTGTTCATATCAATAACCCTGTGAATAAACAGCCGCAAGTTTTCTATGACATCTAAGACAATCATCTTTGGCATCAATACTAGCAGCAGCAATTGAATTTTGAAGAAGTTTTTCAAGAAAAAGTTTAAAGAACAAGATTTTGAAAAAATAATTCCTCGAATAAGATAAAGAGATTGATTCGTTTTTAATAGAGGAATGCGCGAGGATCAACAGTAATTGCGTGAATGTAAGTGGCTGATTGACTCTCAGACTTTGTGTCAGCTTTTTGCCAACAGTTTATTTTTATTTCAGTTTATGAGACGAGATAATTATCCCTTATTTTGATCAAAAAAGAGAATTTTTGTTGAAAAAAATTGATCCTTTTGATGGTTTTTGAAGAGTTTTTACCAGGGTCAACTCATCATCTTCGGATGTTTTTATTGATTTTACGATGGCTTTATTTCTAGATTCGTAATTATTTCTCAACGCCGGGAAAGCGCACTTTTGAAGGAAAATAAAAGAGAAATGAAGGAAAATGAAGACAAGGAAGCGGTGAGTTGATCAAAAAATTACGCAACGGGCTGCATCTCAAGCTGCATTTTTATGCACGAGAGATAAATGGATCAATTTCTTTGATGAAAAAAAATAGAAAAAAGATAGAGATTGTGATAGTCGATCTTTCTGAGTTTCGGAAAAAATGATAAAAAGGAAACAGGTATAATTTTAAATTCCAGAGCAAGTTTTTTTAAAGTTAAGGAAGTGTCACCCTTATTTTTTGAGAAAACGAGCTTCACACGCTTTTTTTGTCCCTCCATTAATCGGAATCGCCGCTTTTATTACTGTCAGGGAAGCACTTTATCATTGAAATCGGATCTGCATGTGATAAGCCGTGCATTTTTGATCCAGCAATAAAATTTTCGTAAACGGAAATTTTTCATTTTTTTGCTCCTTGTTTTCGTATCCGTCGCACCTGCGAAAAAATATTTGAAGGATCATTTCCCATTTTCAAAGGGCGAGAGAAAAAATTTCGATTTTTTCGTCATTTTTTTAACATGGATGAAAATAGAAATAAAGAAATACGGGAGAAGGTAGGTAGTTATGCCATTTTCTGATAAAAAATGACATTCAAATCGTCAGCCCTGACTGTAATTAGCAAATTTCTCTTCGAAAAAATCGTTGCCATGGTCAAGTTAACAATAAAAACCGACAGAATTTCATGACTTTTAACGATAAAACTACCTTGAAGATCATAAAACTATTCGGCTCAATGACTTATTTTTCAAAAACAAGAGCAAAATTATTTTTCAAGCAGCTGTAAGTAAAAAGAAAGAAAAGATTTTGACGATTCGAGGAAAGCGTTAAAAAGTTGACATTGACAATGTTTGAATGTTTGAATGGATGACTCAATCCTTATTATTTTATTTAAATGGCAACGTCAAACAATTTTTGCATGCGAATTTTCCCGCATGGAAAATGATTCTTTTTTCCTAGAGAAAAATCGATTTGAAAAAAAAAATTACTGTAAATTGAATGGCTCAAGAAAGTGAAGAGGTACTAGTACTTCTGTCTCCGCTATTTGTCATTTTTGAAGTAGAAAAGCTGAGACTTGACTCCTTCTTTTAGGAAAAAAAGGACAGATTTAAGAGATGAGAAATTTTGAAATTTGATTCAAAAATTGATTTTTGAGAAAATTTAAAAGAAGAACAACGAATAGAGAGTAAAGATAAATTTCAGATGATACAGGCGTTGCTGCCGAAGACAAGTGGTAGAAAGACAGAAGATGATGAATTTCTTTCCTGCAGTTATAAAAATTTAATATTCGGTAAGGCGCGATATCAAGGGAATATGATATTCAACTTGATTTGTAGGAACATTGCTTCTTCTCGGAGGACTTTTATACCTCCAAGTCGCGAATACATCGAGCTGCCAGTACACCCTCTCCATTGTTGCTCCTGCTTATGGCTACCAAAGCGATACTGTCCCCCAAATACCCGCTGAACCAAGTTGGATAAAAGAAGAAACCGAAGAAACTGAAGAAAAAATCTGCACGCCCAAAGATTTAGTGGGCGCTTTAGCGATCAACTTTGACATGTCAAAAGTCGAGGAGCGTTACAAAGAAATGGCGGTCGAGAATCAAGAATATTTCGAAAATGGGGAACACTTGCCGAAAGATTGCGAAGTTGCACCGAAGAAAAACATCGCTATCATCATTCCTTTCAGAGATATGACGGCCGATTTGTTCAGAACCAAGCAATTTCATGTAAGAAAATAACAATTATGAAGGAAAATGAACCTATTTTCTAGTATTTTCTCTACTACATCGTCCCGATTCTCCATCGCCAAAACAATCATTTCGCCGTTTACTTGGTCAACCAAGCCAATGATGGATCCCCCTTCAACCGCGCTAAACTTCTCAACATCGGATTTGACGTTGCAAAAGACGGTACCAATCACCCCTCTTACCCTCCATTCACCCTATTCTAGATGGCTTTGATTGCTTTTTCTTCCATGATGTCGATCTTGTCCCCGAAAACGACAAGAATATTTACGAGTGCCTCGACACACCAAGACATTACTCCGGATACATTGATAAGTTCAATTACAAACTGCCGTACAACACGATTTTCGGAGGAATTACTGCTTTTACTGCTGAAGCATTTGAGAAAATCAATGGATACAGGTACTCTTACAATCAATGCTTAAAGACCTTACTGTGAATTCTAGCAATGAATACTGGGGCTGGGGAGGAGAAGACGACGATTTGGAAAGAAGAACAATCGGTGGTGCCAAATACAAGCTCGTTCGACCATCACCACAAATCACGCGCTACAAAATGATCAAACACGACCACGAGACGTCGAACAAACCCAACCCCAATCGAGTCAAGCTCCTCAAAGCTTGGAACAAACACAACCAGTTCGACGGGTTAAATGTAACAAGCAACCCTTTCTTCATCATTTGATCTGTCTTTCTAGAGCTTGAACTACGAGCTGATCGAGCGAAACAACGAAGTTTTCTACAAAAACATCACAGTTGACCTAAAATACGAAGAAAGAATACCCTTGCAAGAACTCCTAGGAAACGGATAGAAATGAATTTGCTCCGGTATTTGCCTGTACATGTCGCTTTGATAGAATCTTTCAATTCGCTGTTCTCTTCTCTTGCCACTTGACGATATTTCGCAAACAGATATTCATATTTATTATTTTTTATATTGTAAATAAAAAAAGTGCACAATTTTAAAGATCATCAAATAATAAAAAATCTTCTTTGTTCTTTTCGCAGTCCAAATTTACAGAAACAACTTTTTGAAACATCGATTGTAGCGCTGTATAGTTGGTAACTTTGTGCGCGACTGGTACTTGACGTAGAGCACAAAAATCATTCTTTTGGATGGCAGCATTTGTCGCAAGAATTCCATTGCAGGTCTCATTCGATCTTTGCGCTTTTTCGCGCATTCCAGAAGCGACCATAAGGGACCCGATGTAAACATCGTCCAACGGAAAAACAGGGAAACCGGGGATTGCTTTTGCCAAATTGATGGAAAAGTTACCAGTAGTCAAATAACCAGCGCCAGAAAAAATCAGGATAAATATCTCCTTTGAACAGTTGTTTTGGGGTGAAATACTTGCTCTTTAGTGCTCTCATTGGACGATATTTATGATTCAGACCAGGGCTGGCAAATTAGGGTCCCGCCAGCCGCACTAGGGTAGGCTTCACTTTGACAAGAGCTTCATTTCGACAGAGCTTCACTTGGACAAAAGCGTCATTTTGACAACATTTTAAAAGGGTCATTTTTATGAATTTGATAAATAATTCTCAAAAAGAAAGCAACAGTTTTCATAAAATTGACAAGTTTTTTACATAAAATTTTATTTGTCTTTGTTTACTTTTAGATCAAAGAAAACATCTGATAGTGTCTATTATTCTTAAAATTTGGCCATAATTAGTCATTATTAATCACGTTATTAATAAATAATCGTTTTTCAAAAGTTGTCCAAGTGAAGCTCTTGTCCAAGTGAAGCTCTGTCGAAATGAAGCTCTTGTCAAAGTGAAGCCTACCCAGCCGCACTAATTTGAGTTAGAACCCTATTGTTAGAACCCTAACTCTCATTTTATAACTTTTTAGTGCGATTAGTACGAGTTGGAAAAAGCCGCACTAAAATCGTCTAAAAGAGGCGCGCGCTTATTGGTGCGCCAATCATGGCGGGTCATTCGTTTTTCTCATCCAATCAGCTCCATTCTTTTTTCAATCTTCCACCAATTTGCCCTCCGCGCCTGGTGGTAAGCGCGCGCCGATTGGATGATGAAAAAGAGCCTCATAATTAGTACGGTTAGGGCGGCGATTCAGTCCTAATAGACGAAAAAATATCAAGGAAAAAAATAGGACGGGTAGGACGGGGATGCCGCACTAATTCGCACTAATTTTGAGTTAGAACCCTAACAATTTTTCGGTAGTGCGGCTGTTAGGACCCTAATTTGCCAGCCCTGATTCAGACAACCAAGAGCTTCGAAAACTTTTGAGTCCTTGAGCTTGTCGATTTCTTTTTTGAGATTTTGAGGGATGAGGAGAATGTCATCATCGCCCTTGAACACGAATTCGACGGAAGAGCAGGATTGCTTGATGAAATTTAGGAAGGCAATGCCTTTGAAAGGCAGTCCGTGATGGCTTTCTTCCATGTCCAACATCAGGATATCTTTATGCTTCTCGATTTCTTCCTGAAGAGCATTTTCTTTTGATGGTCTCCCGATGAGAAATACAATTTTGATCTGGACTCCTAGCCATTCCCAGATATCTTTCCTTAGCCAGGTTTTTCGGATCTTCTCTCTGGCGAGAGCTGATTGAGGCATTGTTTTGATCCCAAAAATCAGCGAAATTTTCTCAGAACATGAAAAGTGGCAGTTGTCAGGTTGCGTTAGGATCTTTGGCTTGAGGTTTGGATTGAAACGGATGATCGAGTTAACGATTTGATAACCTTAAATTTAATGATGATCGTGGGATAGTCTATCCCGGATAGAGCTTTACCAACCTGGATAAAAGCATTTATTCGTGACTCTATTTCTTCTTTTGATTCCTTTGAGAGCTGGATAATTTTCTTCAAGCTTCTGAAGATCAAGGAATATGTCATGTTCTATCTCTGAGCATTCAAGGTCGGCCACATAGACCCAGGAGTTTTCACCAAGAGGGCTTTCAACAAGTTTAGGGCCTCTTCTCAATATAAATTCATCGTTTATTCCAGTTATTCCGAAGCAATCGTCGTTTTTCAAGCAATTTTCTTTTGCGTCTTCCAATGTTTCGAACAATTTGCATCTGTCAGTAGTGCATTTTTGAATGTACTTTCCTTCTACTTTCTTCCAAATGGTTTTCTCTTCCTTGATTTCAGCTTGATTTTCAACAATGGAGTCGATTCCTTCTTCAATATCGTTCTCGATTCTCTTGCGAATGAAGCTTTCAAATATGTTGACTTCATCACTAATAATTCTCGTTGAAAAATCCTTGATCGCTTCTTCGTACAGAAATCGTTGTATAAGAATCACCTTGAAATAAATTAGAATTAATTTTTTGAATGATAGATTTCTTACGGTGACGAAAACGAGAAAAAGCAATATATTCGCAAGCTGCTTTTCGTTTCTCTCCTCTCTTCTCATCGTGAATTGAAAGTCTCGGCGTGACTCGGCGTTTACCGTCCACACAAATTCTCAAATATAGACTTAATTATTTAGTCTCTGGCGGGCTTAAGTATTTGCGCCGTAAAAACAATTTAGCAAATCATATCCAAAATTTATATCTTGCACAGGTTGAAGATGTCAAATCACATCTGGAAAATGAAGACTTTTCCCAGACAAAACAAAGATGCCGGATCACGCGCGATTCGGAGCCCTGGCCGGATCTGCGAAAGACAACAGCAATATCGACAGCCAACACAAATATACGACAAGCTATCATCAAAAAATACATAGTACCAATTATAACGCAAGTTCATGCAATAAATCCATAGCCTCTATGGATCATAGGCTCTGAGCCGTAGAAAAAGGGCTCACGAGAAAAAAACGATGAATAGGAAAGACTTTTTGCTTTGCATTTTACTGTTTCGTTGCAATTTATTGCGGAGTTTTTGCATTAGTTGCCGGTAATTATGTCCAAAGAAATGGCAAATTCAGTGCATTCAAATTGAATGATTCAATTCAGTCTCCATCGCCAAAACAATCATTTCGCGGTTTACTCGGTCAATCAAGCCAATGATGGATCTCCTTTCAACCGCGCTAAACTTCTCAACATTGGCTTCGACGTTGCAAAAGATGGTACCAACCATTCTTTTCACCCTCCATTCACCCTTTTCTAGATGGATTCGATTGCTTTTTCTTCCATGATGTCGATCTTGTCCCCGAAAACGACAAGAATATTTACGAGTGCCTCGACACACCGAGACATTACTCCGGATACATCGATAAGTTCAATTACAAACTGCCGTACAACACGATTTTCGGGGAATTACTGCTTTTACTACTGAAGCATTTGAGAAAATCAATGGATACAGGTTCTTTTACTATGAAAACTTGAAAGCCTAACTGTCAATTCTAGCAATGAGTACTGGGGCTGGGGAGGAGAAGACGACGATTTGGAAAGAAGAACAATCGGTGGTGCCAAATACAAGCTTGTTCGACCATCACCGCAAATCACGCGCTACAAAATGATCAAACACGACCACGAGACGTCGAACAAACCCAACCCCAATCGAGTCAAGCTCCTCAAAGCTTGGAACAAACACAACCAATTCGACGGGTTAAATGTAACATGCAACCATTTCTTCATTATTAAACCTGCTTTCTAGAGCTTGAACTACGAGCTAATCGAGCGAAACAGCGAAGTTTTCTACAGAAACATCACAGTTGACCTAAAATACGAAGAAAGAATACCCCTGCAAGAACTTCTCGGAAACGGATAAAAATGAACTTCCTTTGGTCCTTGCCTGTACATGTCGCTTTGACAGAATCTTTCAATTCTGTGTTCTCTTGCCACTTGACGATATTTCGCAAACAGATATTCATATTTATTATTTTTTATATTGTTAATAAAAAAAATGCACAATTTTAAAGATCATCAAATAATAAAAAATCCTCTTCTCTCTTTCTTTCGCAGTCCAAATTTCCAGAAACAACCTTCTCAAACATCGATTCTAGTGCTGTATAATTGGTGACTTTGTGCGCGACTGGTACTTGACGTAGAGCGCAAAAATCATTCTTTCGGATGGCAGCATTTGTGGCCACGATTCCTTTACAGATTTCATTCGATCTTTGTGCTGTTTCGCGCATTCCAGAGGAGACGATAAGGGACCCAATGTAAACATCATCCAACGGCAAAACAGGGACATCGGGAATGGCTTTCGCCAAGTTGATGGAAAAGTTGCCAGTTGTCAAATAACCTGCGCCAGAAAAGAAAGCAGGATAAATATCTCCTTGGAAGAGTTGTTTTGGGGTAAACTACTTGCTTTTGAGTACTCTTATTGGTGTAGGTTTATTTTTCAGACATCCTAGAGCTTCGAAATCGTCCCTGTTTTTGAGCTTGTCGATTTCTTTCTTGAGATTTTGAGGGATAAGGAGAATGTCATCATCGCCCTTGAACACGAATTGGACGGAAGAGCAGGATTCCTTGATGAAATTTAGATAAGCAATGTCTTTGAAAGGCAGTCCGTGATGACTTTCTTTCATGTCCAATATCAGGATATCGTTATTCTCCTCAATTTCTTGCTGAAGAGCATTTTCTTCTGACGGTCTCCCGATGAGGAATACAATTTTAATCTCGACTCCTAGCCATTCCCAGATGTCTTTTTTCAGCCAAGTTTTTCGGATCGTCGCTCTAGCGAGAGTTGATTGAGGCATTGTTTTGATCCCAAAAACGACCGAAGTTTTCTCGGAGCTTGAAAAGTGACAGTTGTCAGGCTTGGTGAGGATTTTTGGTTTGAGGTTTTGATTGAAGCGGATGATCGAATTAACGGTCCGATAGCCTAAAATATATTATTGAATGTGGAAAATAGCTTTTATTACCTGGATAGAAACATTTATTCGTGACTCTATTTTTTCTTTTGATTCCTTTGAGAGGTGGATAATTTTCCTCAAGCTTCTGAAGATCTAGAAATATATCATCTTCTTTGTCTGAGCATTCAAGATCTCCTTCATAAACCCAGGAGTTTTCACCAAGAGGGCTCTCAACAAGTTTGGGGCCTCTTCTCAATGTAAATTCATCGTTGATTCCAGTTATTCCGAAACAATCATCGTTTTTCAGGCAGCTTTCCTTTGCTTCTTCAAGTGTTTCATACGATTTGCATCTGTCGTAAGTGCATTTTTCAATGTATTTTCCCTCTACCGACTTCCAAATGTCTTTCTCTTCCTTGATTTCAGCTTGATTTTCTTCAATAGATTCAATTCTTTCTTCCATATCTTCCTCGATTCTCTTTCGAATGAAGCTCCCAAAGAAATTGACTTCATCGCTGATTATTTTTGTTGAATAATCCTTGATCGCTTCTTCGTACAAAAATCGTTGTATAAGAATCACCTTGAAATAAATTAGGTTTAATTTTTTGTTAAAAAATTTCTTACGGTGACGAAAACGAGAAAAAGCAAAATATTTGCAAGCTGTTTCTGGTTTCTCTCATCTCCTCTCATGGTGTATTGAAAATTTCGGCGTGACTTTAAATTTACCGTCCTCATTTATTCTCAAATAAAGCCTTTGGCGGGCCTTAGTATTTGCGCCGTAATAACACTTTAGCAAATCATATCAAAATTTGCATTTTTCACCGGTTGAAGATGTCAAGTTTTATGAAGAAAATGAAGACTTTTCCCAGACAAAACAAAGATGCCGGATCTGCGAAAAGCAACAGCTATATCGACAGCCAACACAAATAGATGACAAGCTAGAATACACATTAAAAAACACAAAGTCTCCCTTGTTACACAAAATCATGCAATGATTCCATGTCCTGAAGGCGATAGAAAAAGGCTCACGAGAAAAAGAGATGAAGAGGAAAGACTTTTTGCTTTGCATTTTACTGTTTGGTTGCAATCTATTTGCGGAGTTTTCGCATTGGTTGCCGGTAATTATGTCCAAAGAAATGGCAAATTCAGTGCATTTTGGCGATTTCATTTGTGTCAACAAGAGCAGCTCTATTGAATGTGATTGTAATAACGATCATTCCAGTTGTGAAAAAGAATGGACTGGGGGAGGAACAGAGGCTCAGGCGTATTTCAGCTTGGCTTTTTTGATCCCGTTGTCGATTAGTATTCTTTTGAATGGCTACTTATCAGGTAAAAATTTTCTCAATTGAGCTTTTATTATTCAGAAGATATCTTTGACCGATCGAAGATCTTGTCAATATGGCTGGTTTTCCTCACAGCTGGTCATGTTTTGACTGGATTTACAAGCAACTACTGGGCTTTGGTTGTCTTCAGGGTTATTGTTGGATTTTCAGCCGCGTATGATCCGATCAATGTGTCGCTAATTACTGATTCTTTGGATCCGGAAAACAGGGCTTTCGGAATGTCGATCGTCAATTGGGGAATCTATGTAAGCAAACTTTTCAGTCTTCCTTTGATTATTTTTCAGCTTGGCTATGGAATGTCTTACGGTCTTAAAACCCTTCTTCTCCAAGTGAAATGGCTTGGAGTAGAAGACTCGTGGCGCTGGGCGTTTTGGCTCTCTACCGCTCTCGGAGTCGTCCTGATTCCCTCAGTCTTTTTTCTGATAAAAGATCCTTCAGATAAGTCAAAGTCATCAAATTATTGCCAAGAATCAGCAGAAACTTCTAAATATTTCTTTTCAAAATGCATCCAGCCGTCCATTTTATTCCTCATCATCGGCGGGACTTTGAGAAACTCGGCCGGATATGCCTGGGGTTACAATCAAGTTCTCTTTCTTTCCGAGAAGGAGAGTTCCGAAGATTATAATATTGACCTGTGGCTGATGACCTGCACCATCCTCTGTGGCATTCCAGGAGGCATGCTCGGCGGATACATAAACGACAAGATAAAGGCCTCGTCCACTGGCTTTATCAGACTAAAAAGATCCCTGAGATTCGTCGCTGGGGCGCTTCTTCTTTCCTCGCCGCTTTTGACAGCTGGATTTTATATGGAGCTCCCTATTCTCTTCGCGCCACTTTTTATTGGTAAGATAAAGCTTTATGCTTCTTTTGAAAGGATTTTCGACAGGATATTTTATTACTGAAATGTGGTACGGGCCATATCTCGTTGCTGTGGCAGAGCTTTTTCCTGAAAATTCTAGAGGCCAGGCGATTGGCTACACAGGTACCTTTTCCAATAGGATTTTTGACTACCCATTCAGTTTTCCTCCTCCGTCTTATTGGTGGAAATCTTCCAAGTCTTCTTATTGGCCCGCTAAAAAGCTCCATCGACTATTTTTGGGCGCTGTTCATCCTTATTCCTGGAATGAATATCCTCGCCGCCATTATTTTTCTTGCTATTTCATGCATACCATTCACTGATAACGAAAGATTTGAGAAAAATACAGACTTTCACGAGTTTTGAATAATTATTTTTCTTGCAATAAATAGTTGTCTTTTACATAATCGTACATTCTCCCGCTGAATTTGTGGCTGAGGGCACTGATTGCTGCATGTTTTCGATGATGAATCTTCTCTCTGAAAATTTCTTAAGAACTCGATAAAAGCTGATTTTCTTACTTGATTCGAAGCTCTAAGGCTTTTCGTGGCTGGTAGTTTCCCTCATACTCCGCAAGAACTGGGAGAAAAAATTTAAAGAGTTTCATTTTACTGAATCTTTTTCTAAGGCTAAGGACTTTAGTTGCTACTCATTTACCACTCGGGTTGAATTATTAACTTTTAAGAAAGGTTCTTTTTATAAACAGTTTTAATTCGTTGATAAGTAAGGTAGAAGGGACTCTTCAAAAGGTCTAGAAAAGAATTTATAAGAGTGTGTTTATTGTAACCATAAAAAATAAAGAATGAACGAAGAAATAAATTTTATGTTTCTAATGAATTTATCTTTTTTTGTATGTCTAATTGCAACTAATTATTTGCCACCTTCTATGGAAGGTACTTATTGCTTGAAAAACCGATTCTCTTTGTTGATTTCAGGCATCGACGCCTGTTGGTGTTTTATTTGCAAGATCATCGAAAAGGATGCAGTTTGGATCACGCTCGAAATAGACTTTCAAACAAGATGTTGTCGGTCCAAAGGAACTGATACCGCCGAGAAAGTAGAAAGCGTCTTTGGTCAAAAGGGTAGTTGCACAGGCGATCGGATAGGGAAGGTTTGGGAGGGGCTGAAAACGATTTGCAGGCTCTCGGAGGTTGATTGTCTCGACTTGATCCGCTGGCTTTCCTTCTAGAAAGAAGCGTGAAAGACTGAAGGTTGCTTTTATTACCGTTGTTGATTCCGCCAAGATTGATAAACCAGCCATCGATGGAGCAAGTTTGGCAAGAACCTCTTGGTTGAAGAAGGCTCCATCGTCGTTGCCCGGTCCAGTCAGAGATTGAGGCCTTTTTCGTGATGTCAAGGAATGAAACTTTCTTGCAAAAGCCATCGTGATTCGCCTTTGAGAATGACAATGAGTCCATTTTTTATCCTTACTTGAGAAACTTTAAGACCACCAGCAATGACCATCATTCCTCTCGAACAACCAAAGCTTGAAAGAGCAGTTGGACTTGGCAGATTCATCCAAGAAGTCCATTGATTCAATTCAATATCGAAAGACTCGACTGCCGCTACTGGTTGTTTTCCGCACCTGCCTCCGACGGCGAAGACATTTTGTCCGTACAAAGTCACGTGCAAGTCATATCTTGAACTATTCATCGAGATTCTTTTAGTTTTACCTAGAAGTTGGCATAGGAATGAGATTAACCCATCGTGGCATTTTTGCATCTTTGTTCCAAGTGATCTTTCTGACTGTATCTCGCGCGCAGGTATCTCCATAATTTATCAAACAAGCCTTGTTAAAAATCTACCTGAAGCCATCCCACCCATAATGATCCCCTCATTTTCAGAAATATTCACAGCTGCGATTCCCATAAGACCTTCTGGCAGCAAACTTTGAGTCGTCCATTTTTCTCCATCGAAGACTTCGACTCTATCCGATGGATCGTGCGAATCTTCAATTTTTGATGAGGAAAAGAATGAGAAATGTCGTACTTATGATTCCTCCAACGCAGATAATTCGATTGTTTATCACAAGAACGGACGGTTTTGCTATTGGATTTGGCAGTTTTGCATCTTCTACCCAGCTATCTTCCTCCATTCTTATTCTACTGTCAAAACGCCCTTGCTTCTGTACTTACCGATAAACAGTATCAACCAGATGACCTTTTCTATTGCTAGGGTCCGTACACAAAAATTAAGTACCCGAAATACTTGTCCGATCTTTTTATTCTTTAATATGTTTTTAAGATAGCTCAAATAAGTATTTTTGTTTTTTAACTTTCTCTAAAATAAAAGGGATGAAGAAATATAAAGGGTCAAAAATGGTGATTTTTGTGTTCACCAGGTTGCATTCCGAGTTCAGAAAAATTAATGATACTGGGATAACCGGCGGGACAAGCTGATTTCAAATCCGTTTTAAAAAGTTTGAACAGAGCATGCATCTGTCCGAAATTTACAAAAACTGTAAATTTTGCCGATATTTTGAATGCAGCGCGCGAGTAGTTATATATATGGTAGGGTATCTGGTGTTGCAGGCTGTCGCTGAATGGCTAATTCCGTTTGGCGCGCAGTTTGAAAATTACCTGCTTTCAACTCCCTGCAAATCGCCCTCTGGGCATATCAGACCAAAAAGTGTAGTAAATTGACATGTATTTTTTTGTACAGTACAGTAGAATAATTGATCATTTTTCTGGGTAAAGTCTTTTCGTTGTTTTCCATAATCGTTTCATAAACTCATAATATTCTTTTCGATTTTCAGTTGTATCTTCTTTGTTGATAAACCAAATTGGTGGAAACACTCTTGTATCAAGTTCAAATAATCGTTTCATATCTGAAAATAAAGTTATAAACAATTCAATAAAATAATCAACCTTCTCTATCGAAATAAAGATCTTCTGCGTCGTCCATTTTTCAAAAATCGAAAAAATAAAAAGCGTCTTTTCTCTATCTTGTATTTTTGTAGACTGATCGGATGCGGCTGAGTTGTTGCTTCTCTGTCAAAGATAATTATCGCCTCGGGCCGGGCCCCACCACCAGAATTCGACACCACCATGCTTCTAGAATCGGTTGTTATTGTTTTTCAAATTCTCAGTAAAATTCTCAAATTCCAAGAAAAACATGCAAAATTTTCTCTAGAACAGCTGCTTACTTCAGGGCTAAAAATGAAAACACGTCAGTTTGCTTTGGAACAGCAAAGAGAAAAGTCGTTTTTCGATTTTTCTCATCACCAGTTCTTGCGTGTCACTTGACTCCGTCCGTCCACCTACCCACCCACCCACCCACCACCACCATGGTCGTAAGTACTCAATCTAAACACCATAAAATCAATAAATTTGTTTTCTTTAATTATAAATCAATAAACAAAAAGAATGGGAAACATAATCACTCATCTCTTGGAATATTAATGGGGTTAGGATTAATAATCATAAAAGTAAACAAAATTTTATTTTTATCAACTTAAAAAACTTAAAATTATTTGAAACTTAATATTTATCATCAGTCAGAAATTCACTTCGTCAAACTCTAACACACAAACATACAAACAATCAAAAACCATAACAATTGAAAACTTAGAATTTTTATAGACTTTATCAACTTAAAATAATTGAAACTAAAATCACATGTCCATCATCCTCAAATTTTTTACGCCAAACAATTAAATAAAAATAATTAAGCGAGCGTCCACTTCCGCCAAGACTAGAGCTTCGAAGAATAAGCTTCGAAGAAGCCTTGGTTTGGCTCAAGCGAACCTGGCCAACGCTGTCGAAATGCTCGACACCCCGTCCACCTCGTCAACCACCATCCACGACGATCCCAGCGTCGCCCATATGGAAGCTGAGAGCGCCGAAACTGCTCGCGCTGGTGGCAACCGCGATCGGGATCAAGCGCCCCTCCCCACTTTTGCTAAAAAGCCAAAGAATTTGGCAAACGACTCACCAGCACCATTGGCTCTCGACGTAAGTTTATTTTTTTGATTTTGTTCATAGATAAAAACGTTTTATTTAGGACCCCCAGCCATCATTTTGCCTGGTGAATCTCCCGTCGATCAGGAGATCTCCCACGCGAACCCAGCTGGAAGGCGATCTACGATTCGCTCGCCGAAAATCTGGACGCTGTTGGTCGAGACCGACTCAAGGTCGAGCTCCAACGATTGGAAGAGGCCTATGAAAAGGCGTTTCACAATTTGTGGTCGGATCTTCGATCTGGCGCCGCCCGCGTTGTCATCACTACTCGCGCGGGCCGCACTTTCGCCATCGACGGCGCGAGTGTGATTCGACGCGAGTAAATCTCCACCACCACCACCAAGTTCCAAGTGTCCAGATTCAAGACCACCACCACCAAGTGCGCGCAAAAATCTTTCCAATCTGTTCCAAAGTTGAGCTGTAAATAAAAACATTTATTTTTCTAGAAAAAAGTGTCTTTGTTTTGATGTTTGTGCGGTTCTTTTGTGTAGTCAAAGAGTGTGTAGATCTGTTATCACGAATAGTTATTCATATTCTGTTTTCATTAGAGTGTTGTTTTTTGGAGTAGTTTTTAAAAGCAGTGTTTCATTTTCGTTTGTTATTAATGGTTTTTGAGTTAGGAAAAAAATTTTTTGATTGTGAGGAATTGATAGCTGATAAGTATGCATGTTCATGTCGAGATTCGAACTCGAGTTATTCTCATTGTAGTTTAACACTCTCACCCTTTAGCTAAGAAAGGGGCAAGGGTTGTTTACAAAACTCGCATTATATGTTGGCAGCATGTTCTAGAGAGTTTGTTATTTGTTTTGGTCTTTGGCGAGCGGAAGTGCCGATTTTTAGTAGCTGTGAATTGTATATTGCGATCGGCGGCGGCGTAGCAGTAATTATGCACCTATCGATCGGCGATTAGAAAACATGACAAAGATCAAAACAAACTCTTTTTTTTGAAATTGATAGAAACTCTAGCGCCAGGGCGTATAAATACTCACTGCTTACTGTCAATTTCATATCATCACCAATCGTCAAAACAAACAACAACCACTACCACTACTATGATTGTCAAGATTGAAAAAATCCAGCCAGAGAAAAAGACTCTTTCCAAAAGAATTGCAAAATTCTTCAAAAAAGTAAATCCAATCGTAACCACTCTTCGATACCCAATTGGCGAAATTGAAGAATGTTTTTGCGATGCAGAAGAAATCAAACCTGTTGGAGCAATTACAGCTGCTTCCGTTGCATCTGTGAAGCGCATCTCCAAGGAGGAACCCGCCTGCTTACCATCTATTTTTGACGAAGATACTTTGAAATATGCGACCATTCGTCGGAGCTACTCTGTACGATTCAAGTATACTCAATTGCGATTGCTCTAATCTAAAAACCATAAAGCATGATTCTCTTTGAATGTTCTTTCTTTTTCACTACTTTTCTCTAATTCGATAAAATAGTCACATCTTTTTGCCCAAGTTCTATAAGCGACATATTGTCAAAAAATTTCATCTACTAAAAATAAATACAAAACAGACAAAACAAAATTTACATGCCCATTTTATTTTTATTTTCCGAATCAGTCATTATACCCGAAAATCCACAACCAAGGTCCAAGCCCCGGTATTTCACCAAAATAATTAGTGAGTACAGTTGCTTGGTCCATGTTGATGGTATCTCGATTAAATATAACGTACGAGTAGGCAGGAATTCTTCTTTCTTTAAAGAGTTTCATGGCTGAATTGTAGGCGTCCACTTCTCCTGTCTTCGTGGCAATAGTTTTATTCATACCAGTGTCAGTATTATTTTTGAATAAAATATATGCAGTCATACAGTTTCTAAATAAAGCTTTTTAAAAAATGGTAAAAATGTGTTCATACCTGAGAGTGATCGCCTTTCGACTCTTTTCGTAAAAGTTTTGAGCAATGAAGATTAGCGAGACATTGAAGTGCCTACGACCATATGTTAGAAGATATTCAATAACTGGGTCTTCAACGCATTTAGACCACATGTCATCGACAATTATCATACAATTTTTATTTTCACTTTTAAATGTGTCGTCAACCCAGTTTTTAGTTGGCAAACCTTCCATCAAGTATAATTGTTGATGGGGTAACGGTTGAATATCCAAATTTTCTAGTCTAGGCATAAAATAATAAATATGTTTAATGTCTCCTACTATTCCCTCTTTCTCAATTATATTTTTTACGAAATAACTTTTACCTGCACCAGTGGTTCCCGATATAAGAAGCGCGCTAGGATGTTGAAAGCGCGGATCGGGGACCCATTTGATTATATGCTGGGGCATTTCAATCCACAGATGACGAATCGCCCGTCGATCTGAGATTCAGGATCGGTGATGTATTTTCCCTTGTACTCTTCGGCTTGAGGCTGGTATTCGTAGATTGAGACGATGAGGGTGTTTTCTCTTCGAAGAGCTTCTGGCACTTCCTTTTAAACCAGTTGCGTGTTTTCGGACAGTCAAGATTGAAATTATTCTCAATCAGTGCAAAAGTGGCTGTTTTGTTGATCTCCAATTTTTCAATCCCAAACTTTTCCTCTCCTTCCGCGTCAACAAGTTCTGCAACGCTCGCTTTGATGTAATACTGTTCCTTTCCTTTGATGACGTGGTGGTTGAAGTTTGTTTTTAAAATTCTAGCTCGCTTGGACTTGCTGCCAATTTGTTGAAGTTGATCAAAGTTAAGATGTTGAAACATTTTTGAGTTGTGATATAATTAGGTTATACCTATGGTATTTATACTAGGTATTTTAAAAAATCCGCTAGGCGGCGTGATTGCTGTCTCTACTCTTTTTCATAATTATATAATAGAGTTTACAAGCATGTTTATTCATAAATAATTATTCTTCTGAATAAGAAGCCGCAAACGGTAAAAATTACAATTTTCACTCAAGGTAAGTCGTAAAAATTTTTTAGTAGTTATTTTTTTAATCAGGATGAATAACGCACTGGTAAACGGTGGTTGTTTCGTTCGATTATCAATCTTGGATAATATTGCTTCATTTTGGGAACTGAATCCAAAGACAAATCGTATCCGTGTTATTGCGCCAAAGACCAAAGCAGAGCCATATCCTGATTATGAGACCGAGGAGGACACGAGCGCCCGCACTATCGCCGGTATATGCAACAGAGAAATTCCTTACGGAAGTGATCGAGCAACGAGAAAGAGCAGAAAAAGAAGCGTATCGGAAAGCGAAAGCGAAAGCGAAAGCGAAAGAGAAAGCGAATCAGTCGAGTTCTCAAACTCGGAAGACGAAGAGGAATTCCACATCAAAAAGCTCGAGCAAGAGGCAAAAACTCGACGACAAAAACTTCAAGCCCGTATCAAGCGTAGTCAGCTTTCAAGAAAACCCGTCACTCGAGCAACGAGCGCCCGAAGAGAATCGCGACGTGGCAATATTCGCAAACGACGGTCCGATTCTGGATCAGCAAGTCCAGTCGTCAAATCAAAGCGATCTAACCGTTTGGAAAAATCAAATTTCGCGGAACCTGAACCAGTTACAAAACATCCCCGAAAACCACTCCTTCGCCCAAGTCGCCTCAAAGAGTATCCTATCACCAGCAATGATTACCGAAAATGGAGGAGTGCAATTTCTAACGCAAGTAATCGGGACTCGAAACGCAAAAGGGCAATTGAGTTTTCCAATTCAACTGCAAGTGATGAAGACACCTCCGAGACGGAATCTATTGCCAATAGCGTCAAATCGAATTCAAGAGTTGCCCGAATCAATGGCAGACGACGTATCAGAGAACAAACTCCCTTTTACAACAACGCTTATGACGACGCCGACGTCGACCGTGACGAAGACGAGCAACTTTCAAAACGACCAAAGCGATCAAAGCGAGCCGCTGGACGTGTCACTACCGTACGAGCCACAAAACAGCGTAAACTCGCTAAACCAAAATCTCAATCGTCAAGTAAGAATGCCGTCTCTCCAACTTCAAGCGCCATTAAAAAATCCCACTATTATGACCCAGACGGGATCGAATCTCGATCCGATGAGGAGTCCGATGAGGATCGACTCTACATTGACGACGGCGACGAAGAGAATGAATCGCACGTCGGACGGGGCGGCGGCGGCGGCGGCGGCGGCGGCGGAGCAGACATCGACAACTTCTGGGGTTAATAATACAACAACATTTGATGCGCCTCTTTTTTCTCAACGTCCAAGCTCAGCTCTTGATTTGTTTTATAATAGTAAAAATCCTTCTTTTTATAGTGGTATGAATTTGTCTCGTTTTAAACGCATGAACAATGCGATTTCCTTACATAAGCCGTTTAAATCTAATTTTGAGCGTAATCCAATTATTGCGACTGGTTTGTTTACATGTTTGTTTTCCGACACAATCGCTGCATTTAAAAATTATGCTCATTTAAACAATGGCTATAAATATATTCTTACTGTTATTGATGGACTTTCGCGCAGAAGTTTTGTTGCTCCTTTAATGTCTCTTAAATCTGCTGAAATAGCCAAGGAATTGGAATCAATTTTTGTGAAAATAGGTGAAGATCTTCCTGGACACACTTTTTTCTGCTCTGATCAAGGCGTTGAATTTGAAAAAGACACTTATGACTTGCTTGCCCGATGGTCGATGACACCTGTTCATCTTCAGGGTAGACACAAGGCCGCTCTCGTCGAGCGATTCAAGTGAGTATTTAAAAATAAAAATTTTTTTATTAAACGAAATTCAGTGGAACGTTAGAAGCTCGATTGGGTCGTTATTTTACTGCTTCTGGCGGTGTTCAACGCTGGATCCACATACTTCAAGAAGTCAACACAGCTATTAATAACTCTGTGCATTCGACTATTGGAGTCGCTCCTTCTGCTATAACACGTAAAAACGCTCGTGTTTTATTTGATTATCTTGAACAAAAAAGATCTCTATATAATAGAAAGCGAAAATCGCTAGTTGGATTAGGCGATGTTGTAAGAATAGCAAAATCTTCGAATTCTAAAAAGAATTTTGTAAAAGGTTTTAAAGAAAAATGGTCGAGAGATTTGTTTCAAGTTATTCAAATACATCAGGGGTCAAAAGTTCCAACATTTTCTTTGGTGAATTCATTTGGTCATCCTCAATCTAGACGATATTATGAAAATGAATTGAATGTTGTTATTCCTATTTCTGAAATGAAGTAAAAATACAATGTTTTTAAAAAAATCAATTTTTGTTTATTAAGATTGTAAAAGTGTGTTCCAATGGCTCGAATTTCGAGGTTTCCACGAGTTTATTCAGTGGGACCTCTTGTAAGAAAAAGACGCTCAAGTCGCCGGAAAACAACCAAACGAAAAAAGTCGACAAGAAAGGCCCCAAAGCGGAGACGAAGCAACGCGTACTCTCGAAGACGACGCTGGTAAACTCAATAGAGGTGTGGCAACATGTTTATGATGTTTTTTCAAAAAATTTTTAGTGTTCACCTGGATTTATCGATGGATTCTACAGAAACTACAAATACGCGTCCCTGATTTTTTGCTTTGTTATCCAATTGACTATTATTAGTCTTATCTTATATTCTCTTTTGAAAATAAGAGAGAAATTTTCACTCAATTCTTTTTTTAATTCTCTTAAATAAATTCTCTTTTTAGCAATCACAACTTCTCTCCATCGTCACAATTAATCAACAAAAACAACAACAAGAACATCGACAAACGATAAACATCAGCAGCAGCAGCAGCAGCAGCAAGTATTTTCTTTTTAACCTGTTAATTTAGGAAGAAAAATAACGATGCCAGAATCAACAAGCGATTATGGAAATCTTTTATTTTATAAAGATTCCAAGCGCCCTATGGATCCATTCAATGGATTAAAAACGGTCAGACGTTTGGGGGTTAAAGATTTGCCATACACTTGGCGGTTTGAAACTCCAAAAGACAAACTTCCCATCAAGTTGGACAAAATGCAATTTGAGTTTGATATCGAGATCCCATCAAATTGCGTTCCTGATAATGAAATCGGGTCAAAAATATTTTCAAAAATGGACATAAACATTATGGACAGCACGATATTCTCGTCGTACACAGAAGGTTTAGAGTATGCTTTTTTCAATCATTTTATAAAAAAGTTAAATTACTCACCATCAGCGCAAGAAATTGAGCTTTTTCCTGAAGGTCATTTTGATGCTTATGATCTGGATGCGAATGAGTTGAATGATTACAGATTGAAGAGTAATAATTTGACTGCTCTTGAGAATCGGTTGTTGCATGCGACGTCCATATGGCGAGAGGAAAACCTTGAATCGGCTCGATATATAAAAATTGGAAAAGACCAACGAAAAGTAAAATATGAGTTCAAGCATCATATTTATAAGATTAAAGCGCCAATTTCGCACGGATTGGCTCGCCAAGCTCGAGTTTTACCTCCAGCCTCTCGCCTCTGGTTTAATACCACTCTTGCTCCAACAAAAAATTATATCATGAGGCATAGTGATTATATTGAATGTCGATCAGAAGATACGGATTTTTTTTCAGATGAGCTAAAATTTCCGTTTAATGAAGAATCTGGAGTTGAATTTGAAACAAAAACCCTTATTCATGATACTGTGAATAAGTGCGATTGTGCAATTCCAAAAGGAGAAGACGATCCTGCTTCTTACAAAGACAAGATCACGAGCGGTGAATATGATGTTTCAACACTTGAACAAATCTTAAATGTCAATGAAGCACCTGTTACAGATAAAACTTCTATTTGTAATTCATCGACCTTCAAAGCGCATAAAATCACCAAAAAAGTTCCAAAAATTCGAGTTAAAAAGATTGACAACAAAAGTTATGCCTGCTTTTGGCTACAAAGAGCTTCAATTCCAACAGCTGAAGATGTCGTCATAGAGGGTCAAGAGCCAAATCTTCATAATTTTTGGCTAAAGAGTGTTTTCTGCAAAGCAAGAGAATGTGAAAAACCAATCAAAGTTGGTAACAGTGATAAAATGCTCAAGATTCCCTTTTTTTATCCTCGATTAAAAATACACGTTTTGTCAAAAGGGCTTGCAAGTTATGAGGTGGAGTTGAGCTCTGGACCAGTGCCTTATATGATAGTGTTGACTGGTATGTCCAACAAAAAACGTCAAAGACCGGATTATCAACGATGTATAACAAAAACGACGATGCATGAGGATGGTTTTAAAATAAGGGAATTTGAAGTTTTGGTTGACAATTACAATGCTTTTTTGACGCCTTGGACTGATCCTCTGGAACACTATCAGAATTTCTTGATGCATAATGGACGTTATGAAAACAAATCAATTGGAGGAGGATTGGATTTCTTTCAATTTCAAAATCAATCTTGGATGGTTCCGTTGCTTTTTGATGATAGACAAGGAGAGAGTGCCACGATAACTGCAAGAATTACGTTTGAAAAGATTCTTGAAGAAAATTGGGATGTTCTTGTGATGAAGATACCCATTGATGCGATTATGCTTGATGGGAATCGAAAAGGTTTGTTTCACTTTTATTTTTTTGAGAAAAAAACAATTTTTAGAGGCGACAATTTTGTCAACGATGGCTGACAGAAGCAAAATGAATTCAGGGAAAAGAAAAGCCGGCTCATAATTATATATTGGAGGCGCTGTTGAGCTGTAAAGAAGTAACAGCGCCGTGGTGAAATAAAAAATATTATCGAGTATAAAAACATGTGTGTTTTTGTTTGAAGTTCAAGAGTATGAAAAGGTTTCTACCAAAGAAACATCCTGGCGGTTTGGACAATGCCGCTAAAAAGAGACGCAGGCGTTTTTTAACAAAAAGTCGAAACATACAAATATTATCTGAGGAGCGACTCTCAAATAATGACGATGATCAGCCTACAACATCAGCTACTTCTCGTCGTCGTCACTGCAGCAGTAGTAGCAGCAGCAGTAAAGAGTATACACCAGTTGACGACAGTTGCACTTTGGAAAATTATTCAAATTTCTATGCCGCCGTTTTAATGGGTATCAAATGGTCGAATTTCTATAAGAGATCATATCCATCTGTGCCAACGAAAATAACTAGAGCTCTCCGCGAGGAATTATCATGTGTAGATCCGACTGAATTAATTGAAAAATTTGGCGAATTTCCAACAAGAGCAACAATATCTCAAGTGGAGCGATATTTAAACGTGGATATTTACGTACTCTATGGTGGAAAGTATGCACCTCTTGGCGTGTCATATCGCGCGCAAAGGGATGAGTTAGTTACAACAAATGTTGGCGAGCTATTCAATGTTGACATCAGCAGTGATCGAGCACGTGTTGTTCTGCAATCTGCTCGACCATTCTTTCACCGTCTCGGAGTTTTTCATGTTTTGCCAAATCGAGAATCAGCAAACCGTTGTGATTCTGAATGGGTTTCGATTTGGAGAGCAGTTGCCAAAACAAAATGGCCAAATCTTGGCGGAGAGCGTTTGGATGAGAAAGCGCTTTTTGTTAAAAACACAATTATTGGTGAAAAATCCTTTAATGTTTTCACGATTGGCGATGATGTTTTTAAGCGCATCAGATCACGATTTGGAATAAATATTGCTCTATTTGTTGGAAAAATTTTAAATGATAATGTTAATTTAAAGTCTTGTGTTTACAAGGTTATTGGAAGTTCTCAGATGAAACAATTAAATTTATTGGTTGCTTCATATAAAGAAGATGAGTTTGAAAAAGAATTTAAAAAATTAACTTCGGTTTCTTATCGTCAATTTCATAATAATCCTGGTCTTTTGGCTCTTTTCTCGGAGGACTTGGATTTCAATCGAAGAAGAGCCAAATGCTTGAACATGAGCGATTCTAAAATGAATAAAATTCGTAATTGGTGTAATACCGCTGGTCATCGATATCATCGTGCGGCAGATCAAGATGATGATGATGATGAAGAGCAGACCAGCCCAACCGCCGCCGCCGCCGCCGCCGCCGCCGATGACGAGGACGATGATGACGTTGTTGATTTTGATAATTTGACAAACAACGCCGATTCTGAAAAATCATTTATAAACAATCCTTTTTTGGATGAAGAATGCGAACACGAAGATCGATCAACATTGTCGTCGCAAACATCATTACCACCTCCTGAAACGACAATTATTGATGGTGGTGGTGGTGGTGGTGACAACCATCATGATGCTGATGATGATGAGTATTGCCCGATTCGCAATGTTTTTTGTTTGGCTCCAAATGTTTTTGATGATAATACGCGCGTTAGAATACTACCCGATAGCGCAGTCAGAGTTTTGCCAAAGTGCAAAACAAAGAATTGTCTTTTTACGACATCTAGAGCGCATCGCATGAGAAAGCATGAAGCGGTCTGCACTGATGAGCCAATATCAATAATTCGTCAAAGTGTTGAGGATGGTCAAACTATCAATCGGCATATTCACGAACTTGTCGAAGAAAAGTTTTTGCCTTCATCTTCATATGTGCAAAAATTTTTCGCCGTTTATGATATAGAATGTTTAATGAATAATGGACCATTTTCAACACAATCAAAGTACCACAATCTCGCCACAATTGCCACTTATACGAGCGAAAAGGAAAAAATGTGCTTTGTTAGAAGGACCAACGAGTTTGAATCAGCGTTAGTTATGTGCGCCGAGTTTATAAATTATTTGATTCACTTGCAAAAACAACTTGAAAGTAATCTTCCAGCATGTATAAAGAGCGGAATCGAGCATTACTCGATGAAGATTGAAGAAGAAAAAAAGAATCCAACATTGGCATTTCATGATTTGGGAATGATGAAAAAGAAGCTCAATTATTTGAAAGACTTTTTGAAATTGAAAATTTACAGTTGGGTTGGCGAACGTTACGACTTAGTGGTTCTCTTTCCGGCGTTGATTTCTGCGCTCTTTGAGTTTTGTGGTCGCGATGCGTCTCAAATAAGTATCATCAAACGATCTTCTGGATATATGATGGTTGATGCTATAAATCTTAGCTTTCGCGATTTTAAAAACTACACATGCCCCATGAAATTGGAAAGTTTGGCTCGATCATGCGGTCTCAATCCGGATGTTTACTCAAAAGGCTCATTTCCTTATGAATGGTTTAGCAGTATTGATCAATTGTACAAAACATTCAAGTTTTCTGCTTACACGTGCTTCTATTCAACGCTGACGATGAAGGACAAAAAATTCATTGTTGAAATGAATGAAATTATCAAGGAAAAGATTGACGAAAAAAGATGGAAACGTGAAACAATTGTTGATCATGTGTTTAACTTTTTGAAATTGAGCAATTTGAGGGATGATTATGCACTTAAGGAGTACTTTGAAAGACGCGAGTGTCCAATTGAGAGTAGTTTTGAAAAATTATGATTAGAGCAATTTCTTTGTGTCTAGATTCCTTTTAGAGTTTTAGCTTTGCTTCATCTCTTTTTCGATTTTAAAAAGTATAAAATTATCAAAAAACATTTTGTTATGGTTTGTTGTTGACAATGGCTGTTCTAGAAAAAAACATTTCAAAACTACTGCTAAAGCTTGTCGAAGATGGTTTTGACTATTCGGTTCACTTGTATTTGATTCTTGAAAAGTGTATTAAACTGTTGGATGATCAACCTTATCCGGTGATTGATGAGTGTGATGCCGCTTCTCTCGATTTTTTCAAATTTTCGCCACGTGTTTATCAAGAATGCGTCAAGATGTGGGATGAAATGCAAGATGAGTATCAACAAGAAAAGAGCGCGATGGAGCAACAATCGCTGCCCCCGCCACCAAGACCATGTATGATGAAATACTTGATCAATTACAATTACAATGATGTTTTATTGTTGGAAGGTTCGATTTCGGCATATGCTGAAAAGTATTTGACCAAGTATAATCTTGGCATACATTCGGAAATTAGTATTACAAAAATTGCTCATCGATTGGCTTTCACACTTTACGATAAAAATTCGCCGCCAATTTACTCAATTCCGCCCGAATTTGCGTACTTTTATCGCGATTGCCGTAAGAGTCTCACCGGAGGCATTACGCAAGTGCTTCATCGCGCCATATATTTAAATGGAGCCCAGCCACACGTTCCAGAGTCGGCCTATCGCGCACCGAATGGCGATTTGTTTGTTGCGTGTTTGCTGTTGGATTTTAACGCTCTCTACCCGTTTGTTTTTCAACACTTTTTACCCAGCGGTCCAGGCATGATTTTCGAGCCAGTGTCGATAAATATAACGAGTTCCGCCGCCACCGCAGCCGATGAAAAAAGATTTTTCTGTAGAGGTTTATTTAAACAGCGCGAAAATTCTTCAATTCAATCAATTCAATGGCTCGAACATCTCAACTCTCAAAGCGAAAAAATTTGGCATGGTCGAATTCAACATTCTTACAATTTCAAGGAGAAGCAAATTGGTGATTATTTTGTAGATGGATATGCTGAAATTATTGATGACGTGACTGGCTTAAAGAAACGCTTCATATTCGAATTTAGGGGTTGCTCTTTTCACGCTTGTTTCAAGTGTAAGCGCAATCCTCGAGTAATCAAGATCAAAAAAGACGCCAAAAATCCCAAAACAGTTTATTACTCTGCGCAAGAACTCGCCGAGCGTGATGCTCAACGAATAATCGCCATTCGTGAGCTGATAAAAAATGAGGATGGCGATTCATACTCACCACCAGTTATATTAATAAAATATTCTTGCGAATGGCTAAAAGAGTGGCGACAGCTTGTAATGGATGGCGCACCACCAACTTCAATCAGTATGCCATTTATTTTTAAAGGCGCACCTAAAAATTATACTGGTTATGCGCTTGGCGATGAGGGTGTCACCGAGGATGAATTTCGAGAACTTTTGCTAGAGACAAATGCCGACGGAGAAAGCCGCTTCTTTGGCTTTGCCATGGTTGATCTTTTTTCAACTGAACAAGTAATTGCCGATCATCCAGAAATTCCGCCGATTTTTGTAAAGAAAACACTCTGCGCTGAAGATCTTCAAGGTGATTTGCTGAATACTCTCTCTGAGCAGCAAAAGAAGAATCTTTTTCCGTGTGATGAGAATGTATTTTGCTATCATGCTGAGAATTATTTGGCAACATCTGACACTCTTCTCTACTATGCGAAAAAGGGCATCACTTTCAAGTTAAAGTACTTTGTACAATACACGCGCCGAAAACCATTTCACAAGTTTATCAGATCAATGGTTGCCGATCGAGTTCAAGCTGTGCGCGACAAAGATGCCAGTCTCTCGAATCTCGCCAAATTTTTACAAAACTCTTGTGTTGGCAATTTTGCAGTCAATCGAAGTCGATTTACAGATACGAAAATCGTCGCTGCCGATGGTCTGTATCGAGCTTTGAGAAATCCTCTTTTGAAGCAAATGGAAACGCTAAAATCCGATGGCCATCGAGTTGATCCTCTCCACGAAGTTAGCTTTAAAAAGAAGCGAATAATTGAAGATTTGGCCATACACATTCAGATTTTTGTTTATCAAAATAGTAAGCTTCTCTTTTTCAAATTTCTCGATGTTTTACGCAAGTATATGCGCGAGGGTTCCTATCGATTCTGTTATTGCGACACTGATTCGTTTTTACTCGCATTGACAAGACCAACACTGGAGGAGCATGTGCGGGATGAGCTGCGTCAAGAATGGGACAATATAATTGTTAAAAAATGGTTTGCAACTGATGAGCCGGAATCTCAAAAGGAGCCCGGATTATTGAAAATCGAGGAGCAAATCACTCGTGGTTGGTTTATTGCTCTTTCGCCAAAATGCTATATTATGAGTGAATGTTATACGAGCGATTTCGAAAAAAAATTATTGGATCCTGCAAATCGAGCCCACATTTACAAATTACTTGACGAGTATAACAACACCATTGCCAGCGAAGGAGGAGGCGGTGGAAATGATCAAAACACAGTTGCGAAAAAGCGCTCAGCCAAAGGCGTTGCTCATATGATAAAATTAAAGTAAGAACGTTAGTGTAGGTTTTTATTGACTTGTTTAGTCATTACGAATATTTGGCCGCGCTGTTTTCTGATAATATGGAAGAGCGAATCGAGAAGAGCATACCGACTATCAATTACGATCAAAAGAACAAGAAAATGAAAACTTGGATAATGAAAAAACGCGTCATAAATTCAACTTTAAAAAAAAGAATAATCGACTGTGACAAGATTAGAACTTACCCACTGTGTAGAGCGGACGGCACGCTTATTTAACTCTAACAATAAATTCGATAAACAAGTATAAAAAAGGGGAGTTGTTAAGAATGTCACTACCATCATCCTCACCACCATTGTCGCCGCTGCCGCCGCCGCCGCCGCCGCAAACTCAAGCCGATTTAATACGCGAGACTGCCAACCGGCAATTTGCCGAAATTAAGAGAATTCGAAAATTAACAAGACTTCGAGCGCGACAGGATGGGCTGCCGAAAAACATTCCAAAAAAATTTCTTGATTATTATACAAACAATGTAAGAGATTTTAATTTGACGCCATTGCAAATTCAATGGTTTTTTCCACCACGCTCAAGCACCGCCGCCGCCGCCGCCGCCGCCAAAGATAACAACATTGCATCTGATGATGAAATCCTTATTCGAGAAAAGAACTTTTTGGACAGCGCCTTTCCTGTCATTGTGCCAGATGATTCGTATTTCGAAGAGGAAGAAATTGAAGCGCTTGCAGGAGGAAATAGCTCCTTTCGATTTCCAATCAAACATTATATTCGTTTGTTTTTTGTTTTTTTTGTTTGAAAATAATTATTTCAAAATTTAGAACAAAGATGGCAACACAATAAATTTCTTGCTGGAGCTGATCTACAAGGTCGTGGGGGCAAAATGTGCGATAGATTCGTCATTACAATTTTAAACGATCGCGACGTTGTCAAAGCTACTAAGCTTTTAATGAAGAATCTTTCTGGTTTTTTGAGAATAAGTGTCGACGCATTTTACAGCACAAAGTCAACAAGTGTTGTGTATAATCACTTGACTGGCGAAAAAGAATCAAAAACAAGAACTGAAATAATCTACGCCAACGGATGGGGCTCAGTCAACGATACAGAATACATTCGAACTCCTGAAGATGCAAAACAGCTGCTAAGTGAGATTGAACCACAAGTCTTTAGAGATGGAATTCTGCGAAACACCTTTCATCGGCGCAATGTTTTTAAAGAATCAAATGTTCGTGTTCATCGGATACTTGCTTATCAAATTGCTATTTTAAGTTATCCCCTGACCTGGATGTATAAATAAATCAGTTAAAATTATTTTTTGTTTTTTATTAAAACACCGCATTAGTAAGAAAAGAAAAATTGAAAGAAAGTGAGTTAGTCAAAGTCCAAGAATTGAATCAATGGTTCCGTCGTTGTCGCAGGTTATGTCTTCTGAATAAGAGCATAAATAAAAAGGTTTTTAAATTTGTATTACCTGTATCAATTTCTTTAAAAATCATCGGGGTTGAAATTGGGCGGTAGTTTTCTGGTGATGTGGGTACGAATTGTTTGTCGTTTGTTGAATTGTTGTGCTGTTGCTTGGATGATGATGATGAGGGACGTAACTGTTGTATGTTTGTTGGTGTAATAATTGCTGTCGGTAAAGAAATTGTCGTTGTGGTTGACGCTGTTGCGCCGCCGCCGCCGCCGCTACTGCAAAGAGTTGTTGATTCCGCTGCTGCTGCTGTTGTTGAAAATAGAGAGCAAGCTGATCCTTTGTCATAATTGAATTCTTTTTCGGTGGGAAGATTTGATTGTAAGCCGGAGGCGCTGCTTTCTTGTCTCTGCTGTTGGTTAACGTTGTTTGGTTGGAAATGTGAGCTGTAGTAGTGTTGGTTTGCGCTGGCAGCGAAGTCAGGTGGTGGTTGTTGGTAGGCGGCGGTGGCGGTGGTGGAATGACTGTCTGCTGGCCAAGTTGGCCAGTTGTTGCCGATGTTGCTCTGTTGATAAATTGGTCGGTGTAAATTTGCTCCAGAATAGCTTTGTCCACGTGTTGCCTCTCCTCCGAAAGAAGAAAACATTGGTCGGCCGCTGTGAAATCGTTGTTGCTCAAAATGCTGCTGCTGTTGGATTCGCTGTTGAAACTCTGGATAGTTGTATTGAGTTGAGGAGTAGTTGGCGTTGTTGAATGGCTGATGGTCTGCGTGTGATCCATCATGATTCCAGATGCAGGGATTGTACTGTTGCTGCCAGAAGAAGTGGTTTTGTTGCTGCCAATGGAGGTGTTGTGCTGGTTGTGATGCCCAATGTGTGGTGGTGGTGGTGGTTGTTGTTGTTTCGGTGAGTTGATTGTGGATTTTTGTTGCTTCTTTCGTCGAGGTGGTTTCACCGGTGCTACTGCTGGGTTGCTCACATTCATGAAGAGACGCTTGGCTCCAATGTTTTGTGGCATTGTTCCAGGGATGGGATGGAACGCTTTGGGGAGGTTGAGTTCGTTGATGCTCACTTGAACATTGGAATTGTTGACTGGCGTCATGAGAAGACCGTAATTTGTCATTGTTATGATGAGCTGAGTGTTGTTGTTGTTGCTGGAGATTGTTGGTGCATGCTGTGGCCGCTGAAACGGTGGTGGTGGCAGCAGCGGATCCGTTTGAGTTTCTCGTGTCACTGTTGTCTTGATTGGCGACGGTTCGCTGGTGGCTATTTTCTGCACATCTGGTTGTTTTGGGGGCGATTTTCTAAAAAGCACATAATAACACACACACACACAGTCGCATTTGTAAATTACCTTTTGCCAAATAGTGTTTGTGTGAGATTTCTCTTGCAGTTGTAGATTTTTGATGACGGCGTCACTGTTTTCATCTCTGGCGTTGTTGTGAATTTGGTTGGAGTTGACTCTGCGACTGGTGGTGGAATCGGTGGCGGGGGAAGATTCTAGATTGTGTCTTTTTTGATTTAAGAAAAGATAAATTACCTCCTCCTCCTCCTTTGGTTTGTCGCTGTGTGTTGTTCCGTCGCCGCTCGCCGTTGTAGTTTGGGTTGAGATATATTCCATTTGGCAAATACCATTCATCATCATCTTTTTTTGATTTGGCTGGTGGTTTTGGGAGAAGTTTCTTGAGGCCGATTCGTCGGAAGTGTGCATCAAATATTGGCACGGATTCGCTGCACCCTTCAAAGCTTTTAGTCGTAGCTTTATTGGTTGTTGCACTTGGCTGCTGCTGTTTGCTGCTGCTGCTGCTCTCTTGGCTGGAGGTGGTTGTTGTTGTAGATCTGTGGACGAGTTTGATGGTGTCGATGCTGGTCTTTTGAGATTCTTCTCGCGCTTGTTTTCCTCCTCCTGCTCCGAATCCGACGACTCGACGATCACTAGTCGACCCTCCTCGATTTCCGAGTCGGATAGGCTTAAATCGTTCTTCTTGCAACGATGCTTGAATAGCAGCTTGAGTGGAGACATTACGCCGCTGCTTTTTTAGCAGTTTTTTGCGCTCTGCTGTAAAAGTTTTGTTTGGCTCGTAGTTGTATGACTGAATAATGTTTTGATGATTGGTTTTATATTGAAAAAAAAATTAGAGCGCCTGCAGCGGCGCTCGTGGGCGCAGGGTGGCGCTTACCGGATCGTCGTCCTCGTCGTCGTCATCATCATCTGAAGACTGGCTTGATATCTCAATGATTGACCCAGTGTCGGCAGGGGCGTCAACGGCGGCGGCGGCGCTATCTTTCGGCTCTTGACAATTTGTGTTAGAAGACAGGAGCTATGAACTCAATTTGTTGTTACCTATCAATTTATCATCATCATTGTCTGCATTGTTAGGGTTGCTGACTTCAAATGCAGCAGATTGAGTTTCTTTTGATGCAATGTCTCCCGCCGCCGCCGCCGGAGTTGGGGTCATCATCATCGGCGTGTCACAATGATGGCGATTCTCAATTTCTGCAATTTCAGCAGCCGCTGCAAGAATGCTGCTGTTTTGCACATTGAGTAGACCAAAATTGAATTTATGATGAGTAAAAAAGTCGAAAATGGATCTGTGATTTTCCATAACACTAACAAAAATTGAACGCGGAAATTGCATAATGCGCACTTACCGATGCAGCTGAGCTCGTCGCATTGACATAAACTCAGATTTGAGATCAAAATCTTGATTATGGCCAAGCTGGTTTATGAAACCTTCTATTCGATTGTAATCGTTATTATAAGTTGAAATACAAGTTGAGCAGCGTATCTCCCACGAGTTGTAGTGATCGTCAAAAAAGGCAATTGGGTTTGAAGGTGGAGTTTGCACTCGGCGAAGTTGGCATTTTGATAGACTTGGAGCAGATCCACAAGTTGCAATAAAATTCACATAATTTTCGAGCATCCGTTTTAGCAAATTTTTGATTCGCGCTCGATGTTGATAGTAAATGTGTTTTCGCGCTTTGACCATCAAATGCTGAAGTGAAAAACGGCGTTCACGTTGTTCTTCACTCTCCATGTTGCCAAGAAGTCGCGTGTCGAGAATTTCTTGCTCATACGAAGTTATTTTCAAAATTTTTTCAATTTTTCTTTGCTCAAGAAAGCAGAAACCGCTGAAGAAGCGCTTCAGCGTCATCAAATAGGCGATTTGTGGGTGATTGGTTACTGGTTTTAGGATGCTGAGGCGAAAAAGTGTTTTGTTGAGGGTTTCTGTGTCAACCGCTTCACTATACGTGCTGCATATTGATCGCTTTCTTGACAATGTTTTTACATCGGCAATTGACTGAGGCCCCTGCGAGCAAAAAGTTCTCCACAGTCCCTTCTTCTTTTCATTACACTCGTTAGGGTTAGGGTTGAGTGTAGAGGCGCCAGCAGTGGGTATATAATTTTCGCGAAATTGACGTGGTCGATCTGAGCGCCAGTCGGCTACAATGCTTGCCGGCATTTTCCTAGTTGTTTCATTACTGTCCGATAAAAAAGTCGTAAATTCATAAAACGGCGCGCATTCTCTGATTGTCAACTCGAGATAAACCAAGTACATGTACATATCACTCATGTGTATTGGTTTCTCAAGAATATTGCCATTTTGTTGATAAGCTGGCGCCGCCGCCGAGTTATCGCCATCCATTTTTGCCGAAATATAGGAGAAAGTGATGCAATTTGAAAGGAGGTGAAGAATTTCTCTTGTTACATCGAGTCCATTTGTATAGCAATCGGCGGAATCTATTTGCTCGAATTCTCTAGCGGTTGAGTATTTTTCTTGGAAAAAATTGCTGGGTAAATTTGGGTTGATTAATCGAATTGCGTTGGCGACTATTCTCATGTCAGTTTTGTCCAAATTTGGCTCGCTTTTCCAATGATGAACAGTTTCCAGCGGGGGCGATTGGAAATCTATCTCAAGCATTACCCAGAAAAATTCAAGTACAGCTAAAATTGCCGACTTGTTTTCCATCGAGATCATTGAAAATATGGAATCGTGATCAATGAGTTTAAATCGACCATCCTCAAAACTGTCATCATAAGTGTCTTCATCTTCTTCGTAATAGTTGTAGTCGCAATCGTCGTCGTCGTCATCATCATGGTCGTGCTCTTCATAGTCGTCAAAACGAGCTTTTTTGGACGTTGGACGGCGGCGGCGGCGGCGGCGGCGGCTGCGGCGGCGACCGCGGCGCTCATCATTATTGTAAAACTCGAATGGCATCAACACTTGGCCATCGTCAGAATTGAAAAAGTAATCTCGTAATTTACACCAGTCGTCATGAGTGAGGGTTTTTGACCAGCGTGGAGTATGCTTTCCTCGAATGTAAAAATTTGCAGGCGAGCTTTCAAATATTCCCGATTTATCAGTAAGAGATTTTAATAAGCTATCTCGATACTTTTTCGTGTATTTGGGCGCTCTCCTGCCACACAACTGATAGACGGAATAGTTGGCTTGGTACTTTTTTTGTTTTTGCCGCCGCTGATTTTTGTTGTTGTGTTGTGTTGTTGTTGGTGGTTGTTGTTGTTGTGGTGGTAATAACTTGTGAGGATAATTTCGCCGGCTACTTATTGATTTGTACTCTTCATACCGCTGCCTTCCTTCTCTTCTTCTTGTTGTTGTCTTGTTGTACTCAAGTGCACGGGAATTGCGGTTGTCGTCTCTCCAAAAATTGGGCTTTTTCGTGAATCGCCACAGTTGTTGTCGTCGTCATCGTCGTCGTCGTCGTCGTTGTTGTTGCTGGTTTTCGCTGACGATGGTGCTGATGATGACGGTGGTGGTTTTTGTGTCGAGTGTGATTTTCGATCATCTGGTTGGCAATTTTGCGCGCCATTAGCGTTGTCTCCGCTGTTGTTGTCTTTTTCTGCGCTGTTTTTACTGCTAATACGCTCAGACCTGCGACTAGCCATATTACGCAAAGCATAAGGGTGAAACAAAGCGCCAGATGTCTCATTAGAAAGTTGTTGCAATCGGTGCATCGTCGTCGTCGTCGTCGTCGTGGTCGTCGGCGGCTGCTGCGGCGCGTGCTCTGGCACTCCTCCTCCTCCTCTTCTTGACGATTGTTGTTGTTGTTGATGATGGTGACAGGGGTCACTGAACTTTCCATCGACGGCGAAGGGGGTGGTGGTGGTGGTCGAGTTATCACTCGCAGATCGGGAAGCGTCGTTGTCAGCGCTCTGTCGTCGTCGTTCATTTGTTGATCGTTGCTGCGGAAAGACAGTAATGGTTGGAGTGGCGGCGGCGGTAGCGGAATTGGTGATTGGAACGAGGCTCGATTCTTTTTAGCGTTTCCAATCTCTCCCGCTCCAGTCTCTCTTGTTCCATTCTCTCTTGCTCTTGGCGAGCCAATATTCTCCGCCGGCGTAGATATCTCCGTTTCCATAGATTTGCTCGACTCACAACCAAGCCGCTCAGAGGTTTTTGATTCCGTTGCGGCGGCGGCGGCGGCGGCGTTGGTCGATTGTTTGCGGAGACGAGCTGCGGATCGAGTAAGTACGACGAGTCCTGAATGGTTTGAGAAGACGATCGCTCTGCTCTAGTGGTGGTCTGGACTGGGCTGATTCTTCTTCCTCTACTGACGTCAAAACATATGTCAACTCGTGCTGCTCCTCCTCCTCCTTTTTCCTTCTACACATAAAATAGCACATACTTTTAATTGCTAAATATCTTACCCCAGGGGATGTTGGTGGTGGTGGTGAAATACTTCGAATTGGTGTTGCTTTTGATCGTCTGCTTCGTTGTTCATTTTTTTGCTCTTTCCTGCCCGCTACTTCAGCAAAAAGCATGCACAAAATGCTTACAAGAGAAGAGCGTTTTAATTTAGAAAGACCAAGCGTGTTTGTGTGTAAGTGTGTGTGTGTTTTTTATTCAAGAATTTTTAAAAAATTTTAGAATGAGCTATTCAATAAGTTGATTGACAGTTTTAGAATGAAAAAATAGTAGTGGGGCGCCGCCGTTGTGGCACGGCGCAAGTGACCAGCGCCGTGCAGCGGCATCATATGTGAGTGTGTGTGCATGTTTTGGTAAGAAAATATTTTTCTTTTAATTATTTTTCTTCTTTCGTCTTCGTTCGTGACGTTGGAGAATCGGCGTGCTAGTTCCAAATTGATTTGCAATCAATTGATCAGCCCCCATTCGTTTCTTTCTTTTTTCTTGCTACAAAATTGATAAAATTTCTTTTTATTCACTTTCTTGTTCTCACCTTGGTACTTGCGCGGGCTGAGCTGCTGCTGCTTCTGGATCTTGATTTTCCTTTTCCTCATCTTCACTTTCTTTCTTTACTTCCTTTTTGCTACAAAGATGTAAACAAACAAAGATATAAACAAAGCTCACCATTCGTTCTCTGGCGTGGCGGGCGTTGGCGGTGGTGTAGCTGGCGGAGTGTTTGGTGGTGGAGTTTTTGTCATCCAACTCCAAGCAGAAGAATCGGCGGCGGCGGCGCCTTCTTCACCGGCGGCGGCAATTTGGTCGTCGGCGTCGTCGTCGTCGGCAACAACTGTAGCGTCACATGCAGACAGAAAAACAGTTGCATCGGCGGCGCCAAAAGTTTCATCGCTGGTACTATATGGTAGGGGAGAAGTGGCGGCCGAAATCATCATCTTCATGTGCTCTGAATTGTCGGCGCAGTGTTGAGCCACTAGTTCAACCATTCGCAGCGGTGATTGAGCAAATTTTTCGTCTTGCTCCTTGCTCAACGGTGTGTCAAAGACAATAACATTGTCTGTGGCTGTAGTTGTGGAGGAAATGATAGCTGATAAGAACTCGGGTTCTTGTTGATCGTCGTCGCCGTAAATCTGAAAAAAATTTTTCTACATTTATTTTTCAAAAAATTTTTCAAGCGCACAAGGTTGCGAAAAATTTGAGCCGAGCGAGCGAAGCTCGCGAGCGAAAATTTGAGCCAGGGCCGCTCCGCGGCCCCGCGCGCCCGGGCGCTTCGCGCGTACTTGGCTCGCTTGAACCTGCGCATGCGCAGGTTCTACGCCTCGCGGACGGGCCCTTTGGGCCCGTCAGGGGACTTTGGAATGGCCGGCGACGCCGTACGGCACCGCCGGCCATGGAAAAGGGGCCCGTCAGGGATGAGTGTAAGCGCCGGCTTTGCCGGCGCTGGAACGGGGCCGTCTTTGGAATGGCCCGTTGTGTGGCTGGTCCGTTACGGCTGCGCCGGGGTGCTTTCGCCGGTCTATTTGGAGGTTTGTTTTGATCTTTGTCGGTAGTTATGCTTGCTAAAATCGCGCGAAAAATTATTAGGAAAAGTCAATTTTAAAGAATTGACTTTAATACTTGGAGATTGTTCAATTAAGAGTTATATGATTTCTAAGTAATTTTGCGATTTTTAATGGGCGCAAGAAGGTTCAATTGATTGCCAATTTTGTTGTTAATTGATAAAATTGTTGAGTAATTTTTGAAATTATGTAATTATGGCGTGCGCTTTGGATGCTTAAACAGCGCCACAAACGGTGCGAAAACTCAATTAAAAAGAAAGCAGCGCTCCACGCGGCGACATTCTATTTTCTAACAGCGCTGCGTGCGGTGCACTAAACTTACCGAATAGCGATTTTTATGTTGAGGCGTTTGGTAGCTTGGTTTGTGCTGGAATTTAACGATTGGGCTCATCGCTGGCGAACTAAGTGGCTCAATTGAATCGTAACTGTTGTTGTCGGATGAATCCGCTGGAAAAATATCCAAATCGGCGAGTGTTGTCTTCTTGCAAGTTGAATTAAGCAGCTCTTCAAAAACAGATTCGACCGTGTTGTAAGCAACTTTTGACACAAGTACATCCACAAGAGAATTAAAAGCCATATCATGATAAGCATCTGGCGAAATCTGGTCTCGGCCGTTTTCGCTGTCGCTTGTGATTTCGCCCGCTGCTGATCGGTCACTGCTACCACTCGCTTCATCCTCGCCCTCATCTCCAGAAGACATTGATGAAATTGACGACGAGGACGACGACGACGAAGACGAATCGTCGGTGGCAGAAGAAGAAGAGTCGCTGTTTTCGTCATTGGCATCGGCGGTATCGGCGTGTTGTTGGTTTCTGCGGCCGAAAACCGCTGTATTATAAGAAGGTGGCAAGTCATGCTGCTGCTGTGGCTGCTGACCATTGCTGCTGCGATTTCTATACCAAGCGTATCGTTCAGTAGCCTGATTGATTTGAGTAGCAGAAGGAGTTGGTCGTCGCCTTCCAGCCAAACTTACAATATCACCAAACTGCTCGTTGTCTCTTTGTCTTGGTCTTAGCCGATTAAAAATGCGTCGAAAAAAAGAGCGTCTCGGAGGAGCAGCGGCGGGAGCGGCGTCGCCTTCTTCAGCCAAGTCTCGCATTTCTTGGTGATACGCATGTTGAGCTTGAAAGGCGGCTTCCAAGTGAGGCGGTAACAAATGTTGACGCTCATAATGCTGCCTTCGACCTAACAATCATATAATTCCCTTTTTTTTGCAAAAAACTTACGAAAAAATGAGCTTCGACGACGACGATTATTTTGATAAAGAAGATTGTCAAAATATTCTTGACGTCTTCTGTATTCTTGCACCGGATTTCGACATCGAACAAGATCAAATAGAGCGTTGAAAAATGCCTCGATCCAATGTTGTAGAGTATAGAACACGTGTCGCCAAATCGAGCAGCAAGATTCGTCTCGGTGTTTGCATTTCAGCACAGCCGCAGCTATTCCACAACAAGCCAAAATTGTTCCAATAAGCGACGCCAGAATGATGAAGAAAATGCTAAAAAAAAAATTCAAAAAAAAAATTTTGTAATTCAACGTGTGTTTTGAAACTAGGTGTGCTTTGAAATGCGGGGTGGTATGAAACGCGGGGTGGCAAAACTCGCGTTTTTTTAACAAAAAACACCACATGTAAGTTTTTGATACCATGAAACCAACTGCCACCATGCATCCAAATACCACATAACTCCAAAACGCACCCTTGTTTCGAGTGTTACCTGGTCGACGAAAATTTTTTTTTCGATTTTATTTCTTCATCTTTCTTCTTTTTGCGAATCCTGGGCATTGTCTTTACTGTTGTCACTTGTGGCATAACTGGCTGACTGGCTGTTGGTGGTCGAAGAACTTTTGCGCCGTCGTCGTTGTTTTCAGATTTTGTTGCGTTTTCTTGCCGACAAGTTATGAGATCGTCGTCAGCAGCGGCGGCGGTGGATTCCATTGAACTTGTCGTCGTAGTCGAACTTGTCGTCGTAGTCGAACTAGTCGTCGACCTAGTCGTGGTCGAACTAGTCGTGGTCGAACTCGTCGTGGTCAAACTAGTCGAAGTGGTCGAAGTAGTCGTCGAAGTTGGCGACAAGACCGCGGCACAATGATCATGTTCAAACTTGCAAAAATCGTCATGGGCAACGTACGGGTGCGAATCAAAGCATGATCGGAAGGGGTACCAATTATCAGACGATGTTATCAAGATCATCGATGCATTGGCAAGATATTTTTTGCGCACCACTGGTGCATACATGCACATTATGATAATGATGAACAAGCGACTTATTGGTGGTTGGTAGCAGCGGCGGCGGCGGCGACTCATGATCCCCCTTTTCAACTATCTAAATAAAAGCAAAAAATAACGTTTCTAATTCTGGGGCATGTTTGCACGAGGAACAGAAGAAATTTGTTCATCATCAGAATCATGAAGCCCGTACGATGTTGCTGCATCTTCCATCTGTTCAAGGGTGAGTCGTCGGCTCTTTTTCTTGCTTGAGACTTCGTCTCCGGCGGCGGCGGAGGAGGAGGAGGTGGTGGGAACGGCGTTGGAAGCCGGCATCGGCTTGTAATTGGCGACAAATTTTTCCAATTCGACTTGAGCTCGCTTCGCCTCCCCAGTGCTCATGTTGATGTCGAGCAGCGGATAGTTGAGCCACTGTTGCCAAGCGACAACTGGTGCGGGCAAAATTTCGCCAACGCCAAACTACAAAACAATTATTTTAAAAATGAAAAATAATTATTTTACTTACAAGCTGCATCATCGCAGGATTTTCGGTGAATTTTTGGCAAGAGTTGGCATAAATGAGCGTTTTGATGAAGATTTTTTGGGGCCAGACGTCTTTATTCTCGGTAAAAACCCGCGGAAGAGCAGCAACGATTGCCTCGAATGGGTCGCGGTTTTTAAGAGGGAGTGTTGTTGCTGGCTTTGAGCCGCCAAGCATCTCATCCATTTTGAGGATGAGGCCGTTGTATCGCACCTCTAGAATTTCCTCGTCCGTTAGTCCATCTTCGGGGCCCAGGAGATCCATCTTGAAGGCCGTATTGACCATCCTGTAGCACTTGTTTTCAAGCCGCTCGTTGAGAGCAATCATCTGGTCGGCTGAGGGCGGTTGAGTGATTTGCTCTTCAATGCAAAGCGTCTGTAAAACCTTGAAAACAATTATGATAAGAGAGTGTGTGTACTTGTGCACAAACCTCTTTGCTTATGTCGACAGCTTCGAGCGCGTATTCCGGATAAGTGCCCAAAGGAATGAAGCCAAGTACAAGTAGAATGGTCGACTTTTCCTTGGCGTACGGATCATCAGCCGACGTAAAGGGCCAAGGGAAGACCATCGGGGGCATTTCGTTGAGAGTGGCCAAAAGAATCGCCGGGTGACCAAGATCTTTGTCCGTGATTGACATTAGTCGCCAACCGCGTTTTTCAAAGTGAACCTTGTAAACTCGATTATTATTTGTTTTTTGATAACCAAACTCACCCAAATTTTGAGTTCTTTGATGTAGTAATGGATGAATCCATCGATGGCGAAAATGGGGAAGAAGCTGCCAACTCTATCCCAGACAAGGCGCGGACCAACTTCTAGCCCCGGCTCATTGTAGAAGCTTTCCAGAGAAGTGCCTTTGCTCACATTTTCAATGAAAATACGGTACTCGGCTTCGTTCAGAGGCTGGCTGTATCGCTTTGCATGATGGTACTTGCGGGCGATTCGCTGCAACCAAGCACCAATTCGGCAGTCGGCCATAGACGGTCGCACTCCAAATTTAGCATTGTATGCCAATTTGAAAGCTTTTCGAAGGGCGTAGCGATTCATTGGCCAAACCGGCGCTTCCTTTTTGAACGCTTCAATTTTTTTCTTTATCTCGCCAGTCGACTCGTCTTCGCTGTCGGTTATTTCCAGCGCATCTGTTCGTCGAAGAAGCTCGCCGACTTCTTTATCAACATCGGAATCTTTTGGCAAGGTGAGAGGGAATTCGCCCTGATCAATTGTCATCGTGTTCTCCAAATCGGGCATTTGATCGCGAGGAACAGACGACTTTTTATCGACAACGGGGAGGATTCGCGGCTCAGTTGGCTTTCCGACAGCGTCATTGGAAGGTAATTCTGGATCACCCTTTTGAAACAATCGCGCGCGATTGTAGTCCATCTGAGAGATGCAATTCGGTGGAACTGGTTTGCATCGGCGAGGGCGAGGAGTATCGTCTCGTTTTTCGCCTTTTTTCGCAGATTGTTTTTTCGCAGCTTTTGCCACCGCCGCCGCCGCGGGAGTAGTTTTTCTTTTTTTCGGCGGATTTTTCGCCTTGGTTTTTCGAGACTTGACAGGCTGCGGAGTTTCCTCATCAATTATCGTCAATTCGCCCTCGCTCTCGCTCTCGTACGGTCGCTTGAAAATCTCGCTCTGCTTGGCGGCGGCGGCGGCGGCGGTGGTGGCGCCTTCTTCGGCGTCGGAAGTCTCTGATGAGAGCTCAATAATATCTCTGGCAGGATCCTTCATTGGTGAGAGCTTTGGCGGCGATGATCGAGCAGCTGGCTTTTTTTGCTTCGAAAGATCGCGGATTGCCGGTGGAACAACAAGCGGCGTTTTTTTGCGACTTTTCTTCTTCTTCTTTTTGTTGTTGCTCACTTCTGGCAGAGTTTCAAATGGTGGCGGCGGCGACATTGGCGGCGGTGGTGGTGCACTTTTTTTACCCTTCTTCTTTTTAGACTTTTTTTTCTTATCTTCAAAGAGTTCAAAACGCGTATATTTATCAAAAATAAAAGAAAAATTGAACCAGGCCTTGTTGTTTTTGGCTTTGTTGTTCCTCGCCACAAGATGAAGAAGAGGAGAGTGGGACCACACCTGGAATCGACGTAGTCGCTGGTTTTTTATGGATATAATCCGAAATGCTCAATTGCTAAAATTCTAATAAGTTTCAACCTTTTTTCAAACTTCAAACCTTGGTGCCACCGCCACCACCACCACCACCACCACCACTAGAGCGTACAATCGAGGAAGAGAGGCCAGCAATGATTTTTTTAAATGGAGGCGAAGGATTTCGGCGAGGCGTTTTTCGAGGCGTTTTTCGAGGCGTAGAAGCTCGGCGCGGAGAAGTTGTTTTTGCTCGGCGCGGAGATGGTGTTTTTGCTCGACGCGGAGATGGTGTTTTTGATCGACGCGGAGAGGGTGTTTTTGATCGGCGCGGAGAAGTTTTCTCCGCTTCAGAGTCACTCGACGATGTTGGTAAAGCGAGTGCAAAAGATCCGGGCGAAATTAGATTGCTGATTGAAGGAGTCGAATCAGCATCGCTTTCCGAAGACTCAAGGTGCGCGCGACGAATCGGGCGCCCCATTTTATTTTCAACTGTCTAAAAATTACCAAAGATAAAAACAATTGAGACACTGAGATGAAATGCGTGTTTTGCCATAAATGAATGATTAATTGGGTTAGTCAATTGATAAGCAGATGGTTAAAAGCGGTAAGAGTTGGTTAGGGGCAAGGCTGGTTGGGGCGATGGGACAGCAAGCAGTTTAATAGCAATTTGAAAAATTTAGAAAAGACCCAGTTTGGCAGTTTGTAGTTGCTAGCCGATTCTTACTTTCTTGCAGAGCGGCTTTTCATTGCAGATCGGCGGCGCTGCTCTCGCTGAATTGGTGTCTTGCCAGCAGCAGCAGCAGCAGCAGCAGGTGGAGGTGGTCGAGCGGGTGGAGCGGCGATCGAGCGGCGGCGGAGCAATGGATTGTTGAACTCGATTTCCGAGTCATTGTCCGAAGACGAGAGGTGTCTGATTTTCGGCAGCGGCAACGTCTCCACCATCATCACCTCCTCGTGAGCCACCTCTTGATCATCCTCGACGGAGTTGTTGTTAGCTAATAAAGTTACAAACTTAGTAACAAGTAAAAGTGCTTACCTGGAGGGTAGGTAATTGATCGACGAGTATTTGCCGCCGCATGATACTCGGATGATTCTCCAATTGCTGGCAAGAGGGGCTCCATGTTCATTTTTCGCGTAGTGAAAAGATGAAACGGGAAAAAAATCCCCTTGTTTGGAATGATCATCGGCCGATCACCATCCTGAGTCTCAATTGCATGAGTGATTTCACGCAGGGATGGAATCGCATCCGCCTCACTGGTGTTTTTTGGGCAGAGCGCGAATCTGGCCTCATACGGGCCAAAAGAAAACGCTGTTGCCATTTTCGGCGGCGCAGAAGCAATTTCTAAATTATTTGTTAATAACTAAAATTTGACAAAATTTGACTCACCGCGAATGATTTCTTTTGTCTTTTCAGCAAAAAGAATCGCCGTGTTTTTGCACTTTTTGGCCAGTTTTTGCTTCTTGACCTCTGGAGAAGAAGGTGAAAGACGCTGCTGATCATAGTAATACCCATCTACAAAAAGTTGTTTTAGGAGTTCGAAAACTTTGGCGCATACTGGGCGAGCGGCGACGAAAGTATTGAGGCGATCCACGACGTCGCTTGCCACTCTGGTAGTTGTTGGCCATCGAGTACGCTTTGGAAGCGACTTTTTTGGCGTGCTTGTTGATCTTCTTGTCGATATAATCGCTAGACAAAAATGTTTGTTTATATCTTTGTGAGCTTGGCTTACTTTGTGAGAGCGACAAACTCATTTTTTACGTTCGTCGCGACACGACCCATCACGTAAATGCTTCAAAAGTCTAAAAATAATAAAATTTAAACAAAATTGGCAGTTGACATCATCCTCATTTTTGAACAGCGATTGACAAACAGATTAAGCATCACGAAGAAACTCCAATTCCCACTCCAAATCATATCGCGGTGAAAACTTGGGTCTGCCAGTGATTTTGATCGCGCTCAAAGTCATCATTTGCTGAGATTGAACCCAATTCTCAACACGCCACGATTTAAATCTATCATCATCTTCGATCCACATGACAGCGAGTCGCGTATTGACGTTGTCAATCTATTTTTTATTAAATTTTCTTGTTTTTTATCATAATTTTACCTCATATGCATGAGTTTCAAACAGCCGTAAAGTAAAACAGGGTAATTGATTGTCCTTCATCGATTGATCGTTTTCCACAATTGGTGAGAGCTAAAAATTTTGTCAATTTTGCTACTGCTGCTGCTGCCGCTAAATTGCTTACCGTGATCTTGAGTTTTTTGTAGAATGAATTGAAGAAAAAGTCTAAAATTGCTTTATCCATTCTGAAAAAAAAACAAATAAAATTTATGTTTTAGGGGAGCTAATTGCCGCCGCCGCGCGCGCGCGCTAAAGATGGTTTAATAAAAAGTCAGGTCAGGGTACAAGAAAAGTTCAAGGAGAGCAAAAAGCGATAACAACAGTTTCAATTTGAAGGGTGGGAGAAGGAAGTTAGCAGGTCTTGGTGGTGGCGGCATCTTTTCGTTGTCGTCTTCATTAGACAGCGTCAGTCTCTATTATTTATTTTACAACTTGAAAAATTTTTTTTACAAAACTTACCGTATTCGACTTTGTCGCCGAGTTGAGTCTCGAGAATAACAGCGGATCCGTCTGAGGTGAAATCGTTGAAGATGCTGTCGACGAATTCATAGTCGAGAGTGGAAGTGGAAGAGCCGCTGGCCATGTTGGTGGTTGGCGTCGGCAAAATGGTGGCAGGCTTCTCTTCGGTTGCAGCCGCAGGATCGTGGTTGATTGTGGGGAATTGATCGCTCTGGTTCTCGGTGATCTCCAACTTTGGAAGTTTCAATTCCAAATCCGGCGAATGGTTTACCTTTGAATCGTCATCTTGGGCGTTGTTGGTTGGCGTATCCCGGTTGGCAGCGGCAGGTTTGATCTTGTCTATTATGGCTTATTTAAAAAAAATTTTAAAAAACAGCACTTACAGCAATAGCCGCGGCAATAGGAGCACAATGGGTCCTCGCAGTCAGAAGGCCACGGATCAGTGCTATCGGAGGAGCCTTCCACTTCAACAGTTACCACCGCCGCCGAAGCAGCAGCAGCCGGTGCGTCGCCGCCACTTCCCTCAACGCTGCCTTCGTAATCGCCAGAAGCAGCAGCAGCAGCAGCAGCCAGACCACCAAGATCAACCATGGCAATTTCTTCTTCAGCGCCTATTGACAAATAATAGAACAATAAAAGCTTCAAATTCCTACCTTCGCGTCTATCTCGAACGATCCTTGGATCTGCTACTTTCGAAGAAGTCTTTACCGTCGGCCAATTGCAAACATGTTGAAAGCTCGCAATCAACAAGTAAACGGAGAGCGCAAAGAAGCTGCCCAGCAAGAAGAAAGTGACCTTGGTAGTGAATTGCTCACAAGATGCCAATCGGTGGGTAGTTGGCGCCTATTAAAATTCAATAGATTGAACAAAAAACTTTTGATTACCTTGTTACCCATCATGCGTGTAGCAGTGGTGGTGGTGGAGGTGGCGGGAGTGGTCGCAGCACCGGTCGCAGCTTCGGATCGCATCAAGATAGTTGGTCGTGGACGTCTCGTGGTAATCGAGAAATCGCTAGAAAAAAATAATTTCTCTTGCTCGTAAATAAGCTCACTTACGAAAAGCGCTCTGCTTCTCGGCGATGGCGATGGCTTCCTGGTGGGCAACACATTCGATACGGCGGTGGTGGCGTAATCACTTCTGGCGCTGTTTGATTCTTTCGTAGTTTGCTAAAAATGACCACCATGCCTCTGAAAAGATAACGCCCGGTGAGAAAGTTGTAAAACATAGTATCAAAAACGGAAGTGTGTGGCAATTTCTCACAGCGAAGGTAAAATTTATCAGCTTGATTGAAAAATTCTCTTTACTTTTTCTTCTGAGTAAATTCTCTTTTAAATGATAAGTTTTTGTATAATAAACCGTTTTTTCCGCGCTTTATTCAATTCTCGAAATATCCCGAGCGAAAACCCAAATCTGGAAAATCCTCCGCCGCTGCGACAAAACCAATCTTTTCTAGAAGTCACTTGTTTTGAAAAAAGTGACTTTGAACCAAACTACTCATTTTTCCGATTAACTACCAATCAAACCGCTTTATCAAATGCACACGAGGTCAAAGGATGATATGATTATGAATCATTACCAATCCTTGTATTTTTTGAAAATTTCAAAGAAATTTTATTTTTTAACAGAATAAATGGACCACTAAAAGTGGTTTCTTTTTTTTGAAAAGAAAATCAAATAAATTTGATTTTCTTTCATTAGTTTCGTCGCTGTCTTTTGAAGATTCGGCCTCGTCGAATAGAGCCCTTCTTGCCAACTTCGGGAATGTGGCCGAACTGGACATTCATCAAGGGGATGGTGCACTTGGAGGATTCCAAGTGGACACCAAAAGCGCCCAGGTTGAGCTCATTCTCCAGATGGGTCGTCTCACGGACCATGCCCCGAAAGAATGCCTTGAGGAGCATGATCGCGGTTTCGGTGTCTCGGCCTTCAAGACCTCGGTCTAAAATAATAAAAATTATTAATTTATATTTTTGATAACAAAAAAACTTACATTCGTCGTTTTCGTCGAATGGCACCTCTTTTAAGAGGTCCTCCATGGAGAGTCTGCAGTCGTATGGTCGCCACAACCACTGCGAAAAAGACGCTCCATCAGCGTATCGAAGAAGCTCGGGGAATCGGTGGGGGTGCTTGGACAAGGTGACACCCTTGATCAGCTTGGCGGAGGCGGCTTTTTGTCGTCGTCGAGCGATCGCTTCCCTCTCGACTCGCTCGATTTCAGCTTGCTCCTCGGGGTCTTGGTGACGAGGTGGTCCATCGCCGAAGAAGGGGTGGTCAGCGGGGAACTGGGTGGGGTCGACGGAGTCATCACCCACAATGTTGCGGGAGATTCGATCCGCCTCCTCATCATCGACTTCGTCGATCTCTAGGAGATCGCGCGATCCCAAGTTGGAACCAAAGCTACTAACTGAAACAAGTTCAGCATCGCCAAGGTTGCCAACAGGGGCGTACTCGGTGAATTGGGTGACGTCGACATCTTCCCAATTATGGTGGAGAAACTCCTCCGGGTGAGGATTAGCGCTACGAGTTGGGGAGACCATGTTGATCAAGGACCCAGCTGGGGACTAGAATAAAATTTTCAACTTTTTTTTTCAAAACCCCGCTAACTTACCGGTTGCTCGGACATGGCTTCAAAAAAATTGACAAAAAGACGTCTTGCTTCTCCAAAAGACTTTGAGAAACTGACGAAAAATGGCTTTTTTGCCTTACAACAACACTAGTTCTAGAAAATTTTTTACACGTTCGAGAGATTTTTTGTCAATTTTGCAAAGATGTAAACAACATGATTGAAAACGCGTTATATTTTGATTTCTTTATTAAAAATAATAAACAACGTCGTAACCCAGTATAAGGAGCTTCGCGAAATTGTTGTGAACATTTTGTACTTCAGAAATATTTGACATTCATTTCATTTATTTCTGCAATTTTGCCTTCATTTCTTTGCATTTTTATATTTTGTGGCATTTCATCATCTTCGTCGTCAGTCGAGCTTAAAATTGGCATAAAACTTTTTCATAAAACATTTTAAAGACTTACACGTAATTCTTTCAAAACAAACCATTCGCCGCACAGCAAAATAATTTTTTAAGGTCGACAACTATAAGTAATCACAGCCGATAGCTGCTTGTTTAATTCAAATAACAGTGCGAAAAAAGACAACGCAATAAAATACTGGTGCCCGCATTATTTTACATTGTTGTCGAGAAAGATTTCCTACGGTTCCTATATCCTCATTTTGCTTAATTCCATGACTTCCTTAACTGACAATTGAATAAATAGCACAAATAAAATAAAACAGGTTTTTTAAAAGGACATCAATGTCAGCTGCGTCAGATACTACCCATCATACGCTCTGTCAAAGATGTTGAATGTACATACTTTTTTGAAGGTGAAATGCATTTTTGATTTTGTTGAGATACTGGGTTATATATATACAACGCCGATTGGCGAAATAGAACGCGCCTTGTCACTTTTTAAAAACCCACTACTGCCAGAAGAAAAAGTCTTTTACAAACATAACAACAAAGTTCATTCTAAACTGTTATTTTAATTAAAGAACAGCGTTTTACATTTACTTAGAGTTGCCGACCCTAAAAGGGATTTACTCTCTTAACATTATTTTATTTTACATATCTTGAAAGAAATTTTTCTTTTAAAGACGAGCGAAAAACAAGCGCGACATCAGCAAAAATTTGTAAACCTCTAGCGCCATCGCTGATAGTGCCCGAAAAAGTGCTTAAAAAGAGCGCGTCGACATGTGATTTCATTCACAAACACCATTAGATATTTTAGTTCAAGTCAAGGCATAGTATGCGCAAGGTTCTTACTATCTAATAAAATTTGGTATAGACTCTGTGCTTGCTATACTTTGATCACTTTCATTGACCAGTCTACAAAGTGAAACAGAAAATAACGCGACTTGTGTAAAGAAAACTTTAAACAATACTATCAATCTATGTATAAAGTGGACAGAGCACAACTCACCATATTATCACAATCGACAAAAAGAGACTGCGTCGTCCTCTCTCGACGATAGAGCTAAATAATGCGCGAAGACACAGGAATGATAAACATTCGTTGTTTTAGCGTTTTATTTGGTTATTATTGTCAACAAGCTACAAACAAAACATTTAAAAAACAATCTGCTCGATAGTTCTATGTAAATTTATTTACAGAACTCTCGTGCAGTCTGCTTTTGAATACTATCGACCGGTATCACATCACCGCATTATGGCGCGGCAGTAATACTTCTGCTTTCAAAAAGGATAATGCAAGTTGAAGATTAGATGCCACGCTTTAATGTAGGGAAAATTCTACAATTTGCGCATTTTTATTTTGTTTTTGTTAGCCCTAAGACTGAGACTCAAACAACAACAACAACAACAACAATAATAATGAGAATCGGCATAGGCTAACTTGAACATGATTAAAATTATCGACTTGTAAAAACTCCCGACGAGAGAGAGAGAGAGAGCGAGAGACATACAGAGAGATGAAAAGTGTGCAATTATAGGACCTGTTCAAGCATTACTTTTTGAAAGCATTCTTGGCAAAAAGTCGGGCTTGAAAGTTCTTAAATTGCCACTTACAATCGCCAAAACATTACTTGTCATTTATCATAAAGTTGGAAAGGACGTTTATTTTAAAAATAAAAAAAGGCGTCCTAACCGGCTAGAATGATGAACATGAGCTCCATTCGACAATTGCACAAAGATGTAAATATACGTGACGACACGAATCTATTGGCTTAAAATGGAAAAAGTAGATAGATCGTATGGTCATTGTATAATCATCAACACTCGACTAATTTGAGCCAAGAACAGCGCCACCAATGACAAGCGGCAAACACGCCGCCGTGTGGTGTTAAATAAAACTGGAAATAAATTTGTGCAAAAGCGCATATTTTTATTCAAAAAATTGATAATGCAAGAAGACGGCGAGAAAAAGATGGATTACAACAAATGGATGGATCATTTCTACAATAAGCAGCGATATAGCGCAATGACGAGTTGCTTTGGATCAAGAACGAGACTTCAGAAATCTGACATTGAAAAGCGCGAGAGAGAGCTTAACTATGAATTTAAAATGCTCTCACGCCAAGAACTGGAACAAAAAGCTCGTGAAATTGATCCTGAAGATGCGCTTTGCTATGCTGAGGATTTAGTTACTCCGAGAGATTTTCATACAATTCAAATATTGAAAGATGACAAATGCGATAGCGCCATTTGCAAATTCAAGACAAAAGCGATTCCCATAATTGCAGATCAAGGATATTGCGATGATTGCATTGGGCTCGGCATTCTGTCCAGAGTGAAATTGTTTTTTCGACATGCGTTGTTATGTTTGCCATTTGAAATTTATTTAAAAACAATTTACTCTGTAAACAGAATGTCGAGGTCAGTGACTGCCCTTATGATGAGCTTACAAAATCAATTGAATACTTTGAACGAGAACTGTAATAATTAGAATCATGCACACGTGTTTTGCAACATGTTAATTCTAGGAAACAGCGAATTGAATTCTGGCCGTGCTACGTGGAAATGATTAAAGAAGAATTGGCTACGGGAGAATTTTATAATGTAAGCTCATTCGCATTTTTGCAGCGATAGAAGCAACAGCTTTTTGATTTTTATATTTTTTCAGAATAAAACGAAGAGAAATGATTCAACCTTCAAAAGCAAAGAAAATAAGGCTGGAGAAAGCACCACTCCCCAAACCAAGCAATCAAATGACCATTGAAGAACTCGTAGCTGAAATCAACAAAGAACTTGAAACTCGAATGGAAACTAAAAACAATTAACTGGTGTTTATTAAGAATAAAAACTTACATCGAAACCGCTTGTTGATTTTTGTAGCCTGCGGCAGTCGTAATTATACCGGCTTTTTGCAGGGTGGAGCTCACTCTGAAAAATTTTGTCATTGGTTTTTTTAGAATGTCTTCACTTACAGAAATCAGCAGAGATGAGCTTTTGCGAAAAGGTTTATAAACATGTTATTATTGTTGTTTAAATTTTATTTAGATTATTCAAAACTTGAAGAAATGCCTTATAGCCCAACACCACCGATTTGGATATTATGTGTAAAAGATCGAACAAGACTTCAAGGAAAAGAACTGTACGATTACATGAGAGGCTTCTGGCTTGGTGCGCAAGAACTTTACCCAGAACGACAAGTTATTATGATCACCTGATTATGTGCAATTATTTACTCTGCAACTAACATTTATTTACTACACTAACAAATATATTTACCACACTTTGAAACTTACCACACTCGTGTATTGTATTTTGCCCAGAGGGATCTTAGCAGGCAATTGAAAGCAGGTAATTTTCAAACTGCGCGCCAAACGGAGTTAGCCATTCAGCGACAGCCTGCAACACCAGATACCCTACCATATATATAACTACTCGCGCGGCGCGCGATCACGCAGGGAGCGCATGAGACGGGGTGAGCACGCAAAACCCAGGGTGTAGGAAAAATTTTTTTCAAATTTATAAAACTTAGCCTAAGCATACATAGAGGACTAAATAATATGCTCAAAGAAGATTTTTTCGAGCCATAAATTATATTTATTAAAAATAAAGAAAATAATTTTCATAATTTAAAATAAAAACCATAATTAAGATAAAAACAAGGATAATTGGAATTTTAAGAAAGATGGGTGTGGGTGGGGTTGGGGACATAACTGAGATTGATCAACTCACAGTTCCACGCCTTTATCAAGCCCCTTAAATTTAAAAATCAAGAAACGGGGCTGAGACGGCCCGAAGGGCCGTCAAGCCCTTAAATTTAAAAATCAAGAAACGGGGCTGAGACGGCCCGAAGGGCCGTCAAGCCCTTAAATTTAAAAATCAAGAAACGGGGCTGAGACGGCCCGAAGGGCCGTCAAGCCCCTTAAATTTAAAAATCAAGAAACGGGGCTGAGACGGCCCGAAGGGCCGTCAAGCCCTTAAATTTAAAAATCAAGAAACGGGGCTGAGACGGCCCGAAGGGCCGTCAAGCCCTTAAATTTAAAAATCAAGAAACGGGGCTGAGACGGCCCGAAGGGCCGTCAAGCCCCTTAAATTTAAAAATCAAGAAACGGGGCTGAGACGGCCCGAAGGGCCGTCAAGCCCCTTAAATTTAAAAATCAAGAAACGGGGCTGAGACGGCCCGAAGGGCCGTCAAGCCCCTTAAATTTAAAAATCAAGAAACGGGGCTGAGACGGCCCGAAGGGCCTTCAAGCCCCTTAAATTTAAAAATCAAGAAACGGGGCTGAGACGGCCCGAAGGGCCGTCAAGCCCCTTAAATTTAAAAATCAAGAAACGGGGCTGAGACGGCCCGAAGGGCCGTCAAGCCCCTTAAATTTAAAAATCAAGAAACGGGGCTGAGACGGCCCGAAGGGCCGTCAAGCCCCTTAAATTTAAAAATCAAGAAACGGGGCTGAGACGGCCCGAAGGGCCTTCAAGCCCCTTAAATTTAAAAATCAAGAAACGGGGCTGAGACGGCCCGAAGGGCCGGCAAGCCCCTTAAATTTAAAAATCAAGAAACGGGGCTGAGACGGCCCGAAGGGCCGTCAAGCCCTTAAATTTAAAAATCAAGAAACGGGGCTGAGACGGCCCGAAGGGCCGTCAAGCCCCTTTAAAT